TCCTTATTTAGATTGTTTCTTTCGAAATTGCCAGTTCACATATCTACATTAAGTGCTGGGCGAGGTTTTGAATTGTTTATTTATGCTAATTAAATTTGGTTTGTGCTGCTAGACTCATTTTTGCATGCAACTTATGAACCGATGTGAACTGCTCAATCTATTGTTCCTAATACATACTCTAAGTACAAAAAATAATTATTTGGAGTAAACATTCTGTGATGGATGATTTTCTGTTCTTTACTTGAATAAAAGCAGGGACGTTCCATGATAAAACTTATACATATTCGAATCTGATAAAAATGGTTCTTTTGTCAAGTTTCTGAATTTGATCATGGTGGTTATTAAATCTAAATCTGACCTGTAGGACAATGTTTTATCGTTCTCACCTGTCTGGGGAAGCTCTTTGAAATAGCTTATTTTGGATCGGTTTTCCTATCTATTTACATTCGTCAGGTGTGTAACATGCACTGGCTTACCAATGTAGGTAAATATAGGCCAATGTATGTTACATACCAGTTCATGTAAAATAACCAAACCATTAAGTAACATTTCACGTTTAAAAATGTCTAAAAAGAAAAATTACACGATTATATACCTTTCTTCTCCGCCGTGTACGAAAGAGATCAACATATGGCAACATTTCATAATTTAATTAAATACAATAAACAGTTTACATTAGGTAATTTGTGTGTAATTGCGCCTATCACATATATGTTATTGGGAAATAAAATCCATTAAGTTTCCTCAGTTCGTCACGGTGGTTTGCAGTCATTGATTAATTTTGCAATGAAATCAGTCCAATGCAAATGTAGGTATATGGCAATAGAATACGCGTAGATTCTGGCACTAATTTAAACAAATTTATTGTCGATAATGAATTCGGTCATTCTATATTCTATTGAGGTCATAGTTGTTTATCAACTTTTTCTAATAATATGCATCACTCGAAATCCTGTTTTTGTATATTAGTAACCAACATCTTGCACGAAAAACGTTATATTGGGACAATACTCTTCATTATCATATCAACTACAGAATGAAAACACCATAGGTTGGATGTGCTCGGTGAGATCGCTATGACGACGGCAAAATTTCCATATATTTTTTGGATTTACCATCAGGATCAAGGAACACTGATTCGAGGTTTGTTTTCATTTTAGATTTCAAGATGCTTATTCACTAAGAGTGATGACTGACTGGATTTGAACCATTATTAACGTGAAGGAACTATATTTTGTATCTCGTACGCTGCTTACTTTAATGTTGTCTATTATCTAGTGTTACACATTAGTTTGTGAGATACTTGTCTTTAGTCTTACGGGAGATAAGATTTTATTTTTTATTTTAAGTCAGAGCCCATAATCTTCACTTTCGTAAAACTAACACGCCGTCCTACAGTTTCACGAAAGCAACAAAGAAATTCAAATTCAGACACAAATTTGATGAAACTATGGTAAAATAAAATTAGAAGATTTACGCAAAGACTCCTGGTACAATTCCGTGTATTGGAAATCTTTTTTCTGGATAATAAGAACGTCCATTTGTTATTAATTGTTGTCGTGTTTTACATTTCTGCTTTAATGTACTTAAGATTTGACGGATGTAATACGTTACTGAGTTAATTACAACCATGTGTGATGATATAACGTCAGATATAAATTAGTAGTAACAACAGCTGTCTTTATTCAACAATTCCTGTGATGATATATAACTAACCATTGTAAAGGTCATTATATGTCCATAAGAAAATTGACATAAATGGTATATATTAAAGGCGATATATAAACATATAATTCATAATATTTGAAAAAAAAAAAAACTTTTTTTTTTTTTTTTTTTTACATATTTATATATTATGAAGTTGAAACACTGTGACAGTATGACACGGGGAAAATGACCGTTATTAAATGTAACTCGCGTAAAAGAATTTGGTACATTTTATCAAAGATGAAGATCTACAATTATTATAAAATGTAATGTATATTTGCCATCTTCAATGCATTATGTTTGCTTATAAATTGTAAATAAGAAAAGTTTAACATTTTGTCATTAAATTGGTGTAATACATATGATATATAAACATATAATTTCTCAGGAAAGATCCCGTTATTATCTGTTATTTGATGCTAAATTATTATAAAGATGATACATTGTAATAAATTGTAAGAAAAGTTTAATTCTGTGAAAAGTTATAAGCAATCTGGGAGTCGACGATTCTTTCGAAATGCTTGAATTAAAATTTTGTCGGAGTTTCATTGAATCTGAGTCTGAATCAAGATTTTGGTGACTTGTTATTTTCTTGTAGGGGAGAAAAAGTCTGACTTGTCACAGAGTCGCCAAAGGCGTCCTGTTATATGGATAAATACTCTAACAAAACACCTCATTGCCTCTTAGTTTCGCTTTTACAATATGGATGTTTACATGTCGCAGTTGATTTCATATTCAAAGACTTTTTCATAATATCAATATTTTTCAACAAGATGTCGGCAACTGGCAGACAAACTCACAACACGGGGTTTCGGGAGATGCAGGTTGTTGAAAATAATGGATAAGTTTAACGGCCGTCATCATAATATCATTCCTTAATTAAGCGATAAGAAGTTGGATGTTTGTGATACTAGTCTGCACACTCGTGATTTTCGTTGTTGTTTAACGTGCCATCAAAGAGAAACGTGGCATTACTAACTCGGAATGAGTCTGGATTATGATTGTGTTGGTAATTTTCTATGTTGTTTTCAAAGTAGACATGTCATAATCTCCAGAGTGTGTTCTAAGCATCAAGAATAGACACGTCACAATTGAGACATCTCTCCAGAATCTGCTTTAAGGGTCGAGAGTAGACATGGCACAATTATTTCACCTCCCGATAATGTGTTTTAAGCATCAAGAAGAATGTTCAAAAGACACACAAGTAAATAGTACCTTTTCACAATTTAGAGTAAGATTCAAAACAATGAAGTTAACTGCATTATACATCTGTCACCATGGATTCACCTCTCCAGAGTCTGATCTCGGTGTTTGGAGTAGACATACCACAATGGATTCACCACCTCAGACTCTCTTCTAAGTATCAGTAGTTTACAATTAAATCCATTCCCTTTTTTCACAAAAATATGTAAAATTTGTTTGAGATGGTTAATTTAAATACTAAGCAGTATGCTTCTAAAATACATGTTAATAGTAAGTATTTCGATTTTTTTATTGCTAATTTCACATCTCTAGAGAGAAACCATTCTGTTTACCTACCTTTCGCAGCTAATTCGACATTCAAACTTTTTCCCAATGTTACGATATTCGCAATACATATTAACAACTGGTGGAGAAACAATACAGAGCATGATCCCAAGCAAGGCAGGTTGATGATTACTATGGGAAGTTTTAATGGACGGCATTATTTTCTCATTAACGAATGAGTATCCTATTGTGATACGAGTATGATGCAGTGTGCTTCCATTGCATCTTATTCTACATTTGTATCAAAACGTGTATTTACTTGTTTGTCTTTTGTATAATATTTGATGTATTCCATACTGATAACTATCCTGGTTGTATATTTGTTATCGAATAAGCTTTCTTTTGACATTACCTGGCTTCATTTAAACTTAAATGAATCGATGAATCACAAGACGCCTGCCCTTCCGGAGATTCTGGTCTCGTTCAACTTCTTACAATTTCCGTGTAAACCTTAATTCATATATTGTCCCTTATTGAAGGACGCATTATTATAGCCATCAATAACGCAATAAAAAGTATTTTTCTATGTAGTAATTGTAATTTCATGACAATTTTATATAAAATACAAAACAACATATTCAGAGAATATCCTATTTTACATAAAGATGATAATTAACGTGTATATGAGTACAAGGAAATCCCCATCAAGATGATATACACATATCAATTTGTAACAATTGATATTGTCTTCATAGATTCCAGTTACGTTGTCGATGTAATGTCATTTATTTCACCAGTGAAATATTGGAATTATTCCATTTGATAAAATTTTATATCATCACTGCAATGAAATTCTCCAATTTTTCTGTTCGAACGAAGACGAAAGTTGCACAAGGACGATTTCCATCAAACAATTCGCTAATTTGGTATATAAAGCGAATCAGATAACAGCATTAACCGGTAGAATACAGCCTATGGTGTCTTGTCAAATGTAACTTCAAACTATGTGATATCAAATAACTCGCTAATAATTCCCGACCTTTTTCGACATCGGAAATGTTTGGATCATTTAAATGTCCTTTAAAATGTAATAAAAAGAAAAATTAACGGTCTCCCGTTGGATATAACCTATAAGTCACGAGTATGACAGAATTTTTTTACGAGTGCGAAGATATTCGATCATTCGGTGAAATATATTTGATATTAAAAGGGAAACCGTTAGACATGCTCTATATGTTAATGGAGGCTTTGTATTTGTATATATTTCTGAATTTTATAACTGTTGTTAACTTCGGAAACAGACACATACACTTTTTATCTACCTAATGCAACAAAAGACATATTTCTCGATTAATGTTTTCTGTATTGTAGGCAATTAACGTATTTAAATATATCAAATTATCAAACCTAAAATTACACATAAATCAACTGCTTATTAAATTTTAAATGTTGAAGTAACATTTACAAGTAAAACAATATTGCCTTTAGTACATGGCATGATATACATAATATGAGATACATATCGGTAGCAGTGAACGTTGCAATATTTGGTATAAAACAATTATCGGCACAGCATATGGAACAATATCTATACCTTGAGCATTCTGTTTAAATATCACATGTAACCGGAAGGAAATGACATTTTTACATTATTGAAGAAGATGAAATATTACAGATACGTATGTACAAATTTACAAATGTGTTTTCATCTCTCCTGCCAGTTAATCAATATCTATCTTAAATTAATCGTCAAGCGAGTCGCACACACTAAGATAGGACCACACGTCTCTGCAGCAACAATGTCTGTCAATGTATGAAATTTACTTTCAGAAATAGCTGCATTTCTCTTCAGCGTTCATGGGTGACTTCACCGGACATTTGAAAGCTTCAACAAATTCTGGTAGCTGGGATAGTATGCTGTTAGTTCTACAAGTAAAACAGTACAAGGGTAATTAGCCATTGGAAGAGATGGGAAACCGCTCACTATGAGAAAATTAAAACCTAAAATCATCATGAATACACTGAATAAAAATCTGACACCGAATTGCAAATTGAAATGGGAACAAACTTTTCAAAAACAATTTGACTGGGAACTGGTTTGGGATAACATAGAATTAACATTTACGACAACACAGATGAAGGAATTGCAATGGAAATGTATACACAACGTCATTTATACTGAAGTAAAAATAAGTAAATTTAGTAATTCAGACGGAAAATGTCATTTTTGTAAGACAGAATTAGAGGATATTTTACATCTTTTCTTCTCGTGTAACGTTGTAAAATCTGTCCTTATTCAATGCAGAAATAAAATATTTGTGAAGTTCCCAAGTTTTAGGAATGAACTTTTGACTCCAGAAATATTAGCTCTGGGCTATCTGGAAAAAGGTATCTTTTCTATTTTATTTAATAGTGCGCTAATTGCATTCAAATGGACAATGTGGAAATGTAGAAATGATATAAAACATAATAGTATTAAATATAGTATCAATCAAATGCAGAAGAAAGTTCAATCAGTAATAGTTAGCAATCTAATTTTATATGTAAAGTCCAATAAAAAGAAAACATTGCCTATTGAATATGCACAAAATATACTTAATAAGATACTAGATCAATGAAAGAGGCATTCTTTTATTACAAGTTAAATGTCAAGCTATGTTTAAACATATATATTGAATAAACAACTCATTTGTAAAGAACAGGATTACAATTAAAAGTATAAAACGAGCACTGTGATGAAGAGAGAAAAAAAGAGTTGATGTGACGTGATTTGAGAAGTTCCAAAACATGTAATATAACACTTGTTAATAATCTTATGCATCTGTTGTGTAGTTAAAAAAATTAGACTAATTATCATATATCATATATGTCTATGATTAGGATCTGTTATGTATACCGTTCTTTTGTGTATCTTAATATTTGTGACTTGTAACCGATGATAACGCAATCTGTCTGTCGTCCGCATGTTTATCGTTTCATTTTTCATGGAAGGCCGTATGTGATTTATCTGTGTGTCTGTGAGTATGTCAGTCTATGTGTCTGTCTGTGTATGTTAGGGTGTGTGTGTCAGGATGTCTGTCTGTGTGGCTGTATGTTTATTTGACTGTCATGTGTTTGCTAGTGTGGCTGTCTATGTTTATGATTGTGTGCATGTCTGTCTGTCTGTTTCTCTGATTGTCGGTGTGTCAGGGTGTGTCTGTCTGTGTGTCTGACTGCCTACATTTCTGTCTCTCTGTCTCCTTGTGTTGTCTGTGTCTTTGACTTTATGGCTGTCTATCTGTCTCAGTATTTACTTTGTATATTGATCCTGTTAATGTTTGAGTTAATTAATGCTAATATATTAGAATGAACGTAGACATTTAAAGAACGTCACGCTTATAACATTCTGAATGAACGTAGACATTCGAAGAACGTCACGCTGAACGTCATGCTGATACTATTCTGAGTGCTCAAAAAAAAAAAAAAAAAAATGTCAACAGTAAAATTCGGTTTTGTTGTAAAATAAGAATGGACTCATATGAGTAGTAAAAATCCAGCTTTAAAATTTTGTTTTATGATGATCTTTTATGAGTAAAGTTTATAGAAAGTAATTTAAAAGCAAACAATCAGTATGTTGCTGCACTTCTTTTTCCGATACAAGTGTCAGAATATGTGTAACAGGAAATTATTTATTTTCACATATTCTTCTTATTTTCTCCTATATAATTGGCATTCTCTTATTTTCGCAGGAAAATGTTTTGAAATGAATTTTCGTGTTTTTATCTTAATACATTACATACCTGACTTGCTCTGATATGATTCCTCGAATAGCATAATTATAGGCTGTGTTGTCATTCCTGGTATAGCACATTGTCTGTAAGTATAATAGGTCAAACATACTAAAACAATACAATAAAGGCCTTGGATGAAATCAAAATATTTCAAACTAATGGTTTCAAAATTTTCTGTCAATGTTCTATAAAAAGGCTTTGTTCATATGTAGACATATTATATATGTACACGTTGACTTCTATCAAACGATAAACAATCTTCAGAGCTACAACGAGTCCTACAACAGTATCATATAGTTCTGTACATTGTTTTCGTAGAAATAACATGAAACCAGAGCGACGAGGGGTTTATATACCCACACTCCTTGATATATCTTAAGTGACCAAGGGTGACGTTTGACCTTCAACTTCATCAATGATCACCAAAATCTGATTAGGTGTAGAACTTGATGTTATGATGTTATGGTGCAAATGAACGAAATGTGTCAAAGATCTCATACGATAACTTGTACACACAAACTTTTCATTCCCAAAATGTTCAAAGGTGATCTTTGGCCTTGACTTTTGACCGATGACCACCAAATCTTAAGCAGTAGTAAAAATTGATAGTGCCATACTGCTGTGTGAATATGGACTAGATATATCAATGAGGTCATGAGATGTTTTTTTATTATTATCATTATTATCATTCCACAAGTGCTCAAGAGTAAGCTAACAGCTTTAACTTTGAGCGATGACCACCAAAATCTAAACATACATTTAAACTTGATGGTGTGACGCTATGGTGTGCATATGTGTATGGATTCAAGAGGACCCTTCGCTTGGACGTACACACTCAAGTCTTATCAAAATAGTATGGTTATATATATATATATATTGTAAATCATTACCGTACAATATTTACCTGAGCGAACGCAACGAAGAACATTTGTTCATTGGACAAATCTAAACCAGGGGCCTTTTTCTCTTCGACATTATTTTTGATCCAGTTAAGGTAAGCCTGAAAGACGAAAAGTATCGAAAAGTGAGAATAGATTGTTCGTGAACATAGGACGAATAGGAAGAGGTATAACAGTGTAAAGAACAGCTTTAAAAACTTTTTTTTTCTTTCCTGCTTTTCGCTTACCTTTAAATGTTCCCCGATCCTTTATCTTTAATTCTTTATCCTAAGCTGTTCCCTTCCTCAGGCTTTATAAGCTATCTATATCAATCTACTACAACCCCTTCACAGATTTCCTCTCGGCTTACGTTATATGCTACCCTGAACTCTTCGTCCTTGATCCCTTACTCTCAATCTGCTGACCTTGTAAGTTATCTTTAACCCGTTACCCTTGATCCTTTTTCCTCAGTTTCATATTTCCGCTGACCTTATAAGTGACTTTGATTCCACTACCTTAATCCCTCCCCAGTTCTTCCCTTCTCATACCTGATAGTCTCCCCTCTCCACTTACCTTGTAAGCTACCTTGACCCCGCTTGCTTCAGCTATTCCCTCATAACCATAATACTTTCCGTTCACTGGTACCTTTAAAGAAAAGTATATCCAAGGTAGTGTGGGTTTAGGAGTGAAGCCTTATGATAACTCATCTTTTATCATTATTCTCTTTATTCCAACCAATTATGAAGATTTTAGCAAACAGAACAACATATGTATCATTTCCAAACACAATTTCAACGATTTACAATAACGTACACAAGCTATTTTATGCGTGTAATTATCGAAAGTATCTATTGTTACAAACTATATGCCAATGAACTATAACATATCTATGCGTGTCTAATTAAACGAAACAAGAGAAGTTTTAACAGACACTTTAAAACATATAAGAAAATTGTTTTTCTAAAAAATAGCAACGTTACAATATACCGTCAAACCACGACAGGACAATGGGAAATTTCGAGTTATCCGAGTATTTGATAAAAGTTCATATATTTGATTCGAAATAAACGGAGTGTTCATGTTATACAAATTCATGATAACAAAGTTCGAAAGTATACTACTATTTTGACAATCACAAGGATTAATATTCTGTTGAATAGATCGAGTAAAACAGTTCGAATCATCGTTGTAACTTACAGTGACAGGTTTAGGGTCACCTGGGACTGTAAATGGCCCCATAGTCTTAGTGGAGTAATAGTCACCGACACACTGTTTCGTCTCCTCCCACCTTGTCTTGGTGTAGTTGCTCCACCAGTTTTCGTATTTACCATCCTTTTGATAGTAAGCACCTGTTAATACATCAGAATTAATATAAATACATTATACATGATCTTTTTTGTCATTAATATTTTGAGGTTGATAACTTCTTTAAAACTAAATTCGTATTCATTTTTCCTATATCGTAACGACAAAACCAGTCACAGAGACGTGTCGATTTAAAGCAAGTAAACATGTTTGCCCAAGAAAAATTAAACGTTTGTCATTCAATAGGTTAAAAAGAAAAGGCTTATTGCTTGAATCTTGCATTGGTTTTAGAGTTTGACATACTTTGATGTATCTTGGTTCTCTTTATAAAATGACAGTATAACGAGAGATCGGCTTAAGTCAGACACGACGTTTAATCTATTGTGATCTTGAAATTTTATTTCAGTTCTGCATTCTCTTTAGACTTGAAAAAATATCCATATCAATGTATATTTGCCCCTGGTCCATCAATGTTCAGTTGTCAAAATTCGACGAAAACTGCAACGTTTAACAAGCTGCATTGAAAGCGTCACAGAGCCTTTATTATCTATATTCACTCTTTTCTTTTTATGTAACCCTAATTTAAAGCATATTGTCGATAATATATAAAGATATGTTGATAGTTTTTTATCGGAGATAATCTTCCGTGTCATATAAGGAGCTTTTAAAGAACTAATGATAGTCACCCCATTCGTCGATAGAATGTACAAGGTAATGCCCGACGATGCTGCCCATTGTTCCGAAGTTCATGAAGTGGGGAAGTGTATGGTCATAAAACGGGAACTGCAAAAGTCCGGCCGGGATGATGAGTTCGTTCCAGCCATTATAGAAGGAGATTAAAGTATCATAAACCCTGTAGTACCACTCCGACTTATCTTGGCCACTCGACAGTCTTCTGTTCCACTGGAGTCGTATAAACTGGTTCATGCTGAGGACATTAGAAAAGTAGTCGTCCTTATCTACCTTCAGCTGTAAAACAGAAATGAAAAAAACATACAAAATAGGACAATAACCAAAAAATAATAATTTCCAATGTAGATACAGGTATGATTAAATGACACCAATTCAATATTTGCTAACGTTTGCATATACCAACTGCTGTCTGCTGTAAATAACCTACCGGGGAGTACATGGAATCCATCTCGCTGTCGTTCGTCAGGAAATCCGGATAGCCGAGCTTGTACATGGCAGCGTCCAGCTACAAGTACGTCAGTAAAAGGAAGAATTCATCAGTTAGTTACGACAAAACAGAAAACTGATAGCTGGTAAATAAAATCAATCACCCAAGCTTATTGTTACTATTGAGCAAAAACAGGGCTATCGATATAAGATCATTTGTCTTTTCTATAACAATTTAATAAAAAAAATGTTATTATGCAATATTGATTGTTGCGGTTATCCTAATTTGTTTAATATGGTCTACCGGGTGTTACAGCGTGAGCTTTCACTGGTGTGATATAATATGGTCTACCGGGTGTTACAGCGTGAGCTTTCACTGGTGTGATATAATATGGTCTACCGGGTGTTACAGCGTGAGCTTTCACTGGTGTGATATAATATGGTCTACCGGGTGTTACAGCGTGAGCTTTCACCGGTGTGATATAATATGGTCTAACGGGTGTTACAGCGTGAGCTTTCACTAGTGTGATATAATATGGTCTACCGGGTGTTACAGCGTGAGCTTTCACTGGTGTGAGATATTGTGGTCTACCGGGTGTTAAAGCGTGAGCTTTCACTGGTGTGAGATATTGTGGTCTACCGGGTGTTACAGCGTGAGCTTTCACTGCGGTGTGATATAATATGGTCTACCGGGTGTTACAGCGTGAGCTTTCACTGGTGTGATATAATATGGTCTACCGGGTGTTACAGCGTGAGCTTTCACTGGTGTGATATAATATGGTCTACCGGGTGTTACAGCGTGAGCTTTCACTGGTGTGAGATATTGTGATCTACCGGGTGTTACAGCGTGAGCTTTCACTGGTGTGATATAATATGGTCTACCGGGTGTTACAGCGTGAGCTTTCACTGGTGTGATATAATATGGTCTACCGGGTGTTACAGCGTTAGCTTTCACTGGTGTGATATAATATGGTCTACCGGGTGTTACAGCGTGAGCTTTCACTGGTGTGATATAATATGGTCTACCGGGTGTTACAGCGTGAGCTTTCACTGGTGTTATATATTGTGGTCTACCGGGTGTTACAGCGTGAGCTTTCACTGGTGTGATATAATATGGTCTACCGGGTGTTACAGCGTGAGCTTTCACTGGTGTGATATAATATGTGATATATTGTGGTCTACCGGGTGTTACAGCGTGAGCTTTCACTGGTGTGATATATTGTGGTCTACCGGGTGTTACAGCGTGAGCTTTCACTGGTGTGATATATTGTGGTCTACCGGGTGTTACAGCGTGAGCTTTCACTGGTGTGATATATTGTGGTCTACCGGGTGTTACAGCGTGAGCTTTCACTGGTGTGATATATTGTGGTCTACCGGGTGTTACAGCGTGAGCTTTCACTGGTGTGATATATTGTGGTCTACCGGGTGTTACAGCGTGAGCTTTCACTGGTGTGATATAATTTGGTCTACCGGGTGTTACAGCGTGAGCTTTCACTGGTGTGATATAATATGGTCTACCGGGTGTTACAGCGTGAGCTTTCACTGGTGTGATATATTGTGGTCTACCGGGTGTTACAGCGTGAGCTTTCACTGGTGTGATATATTGTGGTCTACCGGGTGTTACAGCGTGAGCTTTCACTGGTGTGATATAATATGGTCTACCGGGTGTTACAGCGTGAGCTTTCACTGGTGTGATATAATATGGTCTACCGGGTGTTAAAGCGTGAGCTTTCACTGGTGTGATATAATATGGTCTACCGGGTGTTACAGCGTGAGCTTTCACTGGTGTGATATAATATGGTCTACCGGGTGTTACAGCGTGAACTTTCACTGGTGTGAGATCATGTGGTCTACCGGGTGTTACAGCGTGAACTTTCACTGGTGTGAGATCATGTGATCTACCGGGTGTTACAGCGTGAGCTTTCACTGGTGTGAGATCATGTGGTCTACCGGAGGTTACAGAGTAAGCTTTCATTGGTGTGAGATATTGTGGTCTACCGGGTGTTACAGCGTAAGCTTTCACTGGTGTGAGATATTGTGGTTTACCGGGTGTTACAGCGTAAGCTTTCACAGGAATGAAATATCATGATCTGGCGAGAGTAACAGTGTAAGATTTCGCATGAGCATTGACATGTGCGAAATAGCATGGCCTGGCGGAAGTGAGTCCATCGAAGGTGTGAGATAGCATGTTCTTGCGAAAGTAAGCCAATCCATGGTGTGAGATAGGTGTGAGATAGCATGGTCTGGTGGGAGTAAGTCTATCCATGGTGGGAGATAGCATGGTCTGGTTGGAGTAAGTCTATCCATGGTGTGAGATAGCATGTTCTGGCGAAAGTAAGCCTATCCATGGTGTGAGATAGCATGTTCTGGCGAACGTAAGCCTATCCATGGTGTGAGATAGCATGTTCTGGAGAACGTAAGCCTATCCATGGTGTGAGATAGCATGGTCTGGGGGAAGTGAGTCTATCCATGGTGTGAGATAGCATGGTCTGGGGGAAGTGAGTCTATCGAAGGTGTGAGATAGCATGGTCTGGCGGAAGTGAGTCTATCCATGGTGTGAGATAGCATGGTCTGGGGGAAGTGAGTCTATCCAAGGAGTGAGATAGCATGGTCTGGGAGTAAGCCTATCGAAGGTGTGAGCTAGCATGGTCTGGGGGAAGTGAGTCTATCGAAGGTGTGAGATAGCATGGTCTGGCGGAAGTGAGTCTATCCATGGTGTGAGATAGCATGGTCTGGGGGAAGTGAGTCTATCGAAGGTGTGAGATAGCATGGTCTGGCGGAAGTGAGTCTATCCATGGTGTGAGATAGCATGGTCTGGGGGAAGTGAGTCTATCCATGGTGTGAGATAGCATGTTCTGGCGAACGTAAGCCTATCCATGGTGTGAGATAGCATGTTCTGGCGAACGTAAGCCTATCCATGGTGTGATATAGCATGGTCTGGGGGAAGTGAGTCTATCGAAGGTGTGAGACAGCATGGTCTGGCGAAAGTGAGTCTATCCATGGTGTGAGATAGCATGGTCTGGCGGAAGTGAGTCTATCCATGGTGTGAGATAGCATGGTCTGGGGGAAGTGAGTCTATCGAAGGTGTGAGATAGCATGGTCTGGGGGAAGTGAGTCTATCGAAGGTGTAAGATAGCATGGTCTGGCGGAAGTGAGTCTATCCATGGTGTGAGATAGCATGGTCTGGCGGAAGTGAGTCTATCCATGGTGTGAGATAGCATGGTCTGGGGGAAGTAAGTCTATCCATGGTGTGAGATAGGATGGTCTGGGGGAAGTGAGTCTATCGAAGGTGTAAGATAGCATGGTATAGTTTACCCTAAGTTGACAACATTTCATTGTTATAATGATACTTACCTTCTCTTTCGCCAATTTTCTTGTTTCCTTATCAAATATATGGTCGACAGTCGTGCTTGCAAGAGCCTCTTTCACAAATTTTACGATCTCCACAACCTGTTGAAAAAATGAGATGACGAACCCTATATTTATCGAAAACTGATATTTTTTGTGAACACTACACAAGACGCTCGCAGATATTTTAACTCAACGGTTTTGTGAAACCAAAATACAGTGAACTGCATTAGAGCTAAAACATTCTATCCTAGTGTATTCACCTTAGCTTTATTTTTGTCGGAGAAGTGATCCCTAACAAAGAGGGCGCTGAGAGCGTCACCGAGGTACATCTCCATGGTGTTGAAACAGTACTTTGTGGTTCCCAAGAAGTTTGGCGTGCCGTACAGATCGACGTAGAAATCTCTGTTAGCATGGATATAATCCCAGGAGAGCTCCTGGCGGTATTTATGTATGATTCTCCATACGAGGTAGTTACTCAGGATTCTATGTAATATAAACAGTTATAAATACGGTTAAAATCATCTTCACTTGAAAACTCATTTTTAACATTGAATAAAAAACATGCCGGTAAAGGAACGGCGGAGATTGATACCAGTGGATTAATCTTTTATGAATGTACAGTTCCACTCAATATATAGAGAATACATGGTCAGTGTCTGAAAATGTAAGCTGTATTTTGTCTTTCTGTCCCTAGCCAAAATACAACTTTTATTTGAATACGCTGACCATGTATTCTCTTCATCCTGCAACATATATTTCGAATGTCAAAAGTTCGGTAGATTTGTTGTTCAATCTTTGTTTACCTGCCGTTGACTTTACGCTGAATTTTGCCTTATGACGTTGCCAAAATAATTGCACCGCGCAGAAAAGTAGTCCCAAACTTCAATGATATAACAGCGATTATATGAATTTTCGTCAATAAATTAACAACATAATTAATAAGTTATTTATATTATTAAACGTAATTTTAAGGTTATTTCAGGAATTCTATCGACTTAATCGCACGTGCTAAAATACAGTCTAATTTTATTGTGTTAGAAACGACACATACTTTTACAGTACCATTGACAAACTGGGGAGACGTGACCATAGCAGGGGATATAAAGGACATATATAGAATCTTCGTCAACACAGGAAACTAGATATGTATAGAAGCTGTCTAACACCTCCTGTATTTCCCTCAACCTTTGTGTAGTGACCAGGTAACTATTGAAACCACAGTTTTGGAAACAGTCCACTTTCGTTTCTTTTGATATTGGAAACTATTGTAGTGAACCGTTAACAACCATGGCCAATGATATATTTGTCAAATATGATGGCATCTGATTGTGACATGTACGGGAACGCTACATCAATGATGACGAAATCCTACTGTGAGCGGTGACATCAAAGAACGTGAAAGCTGTCTTTTCCCTTACCCCTGGCAGGTGCATCCCCACATTAAAGGATGCGTGATCTCCTTGCCTTTCCCCTGTCAAGGGATGGCGGGGAATCCCCTTGTCAAGACGGTGGTTTAGTGTTGTATTACGCCAGAGCGCAGATAAATTAACATGCCAGTGTCCCCCTTTTTACATCTTACCAGGTACTCAGGATTTAAGCTACATATACAACTTACACATTTGAATTAAAACTCCCACTCGGTAGATAACTATCATGTTACTGGTGCGTTAACTCTATGTGTCACTGTTTGTTATAAAAAGATTAGAGTTAAGCTGACCTGGTGCTGTTTGGTCCCAGACTCCCTACCAGGTTTGACATTTGTATCAGGTAATCCTTCTCAAACAGCACTATCTTGTCGGTGGCGCGTAGTTCAGCCTCCGCAAACATAGACGTGACGATGGAGGAAAAATCAATCTACAAAAATCAATTATCACCTTGTTAATATATTTGTTTGTGTCTCTACCTGATTTCTTTAAACAGAATGTGGACGCCAAAAGCTAGATATTTTGAAATTGATACATATATTAGTAATAAAGATTTAGATTGCAGATATACATACAAGTCAAGTTATGTCTTGCAGTAAGACAAAACTGTTGTCAGCTATAAATGCAATCTTACTAAATGGCGCTGTAGTATGGTAATAAGATTTACATGGCGGGTGCCGTCGATGAAGCAGAAGACGCTTACTCTTTCAGACCAGCTGGTCTTATTCTCCTTGTGTTTTATCAGGAGTCTCAGTGTAGTTAAAGTGCTCAACTATAGACGTTTCGCATTTATTTTCTAATCTGAACAACGATTCTTGTCAAATAGTTTCGAGGGAAGTATGAGGTATACAGTATAGGAGAGTAGATACAGACGAACGTCTACATACCTGTAATGAGATTTAGAAATATAAGTTATGTCAATATAATGCTGAAAACATGTGTATCATTATAACTAATTTTGTAACAGTGTCAATGATTGGTTAAAAAACATCATCTGACAGGAAGATAAGATATATTTTTCTGAACCACATGTTGCCGTAGTTCGACTTTGTCATGTTCCGACAACGTTGACGCCTTTTCATTTGTGAATGTAATAGCAGATGATAGCGAGGAAAGGGGGAAACGAGGGCATAACGTAAACAGATTAAAATTGATACAATTTTACAAAACAAGAGCGAAGATAAGATATCAAAAGTTTCGAATAGTTATTTCATAGAATCTCTGAAGGAAACTGGAAAAACGCCAAAGTTGAACATCCAACCGCACATTGATGTTTGTTAAGTGATGCTAGGTTTGTTGACTCAAAAAAGTGTGTTTGATTCCTCTGCTTTGATAAACAATTGACTATCCTTGTTGCCGGGTAATATGAACACTGCATTGCTCTGAGATTTCAATATGACATCCGAGGTTAAACAAACAGTCATATATATATATATCCCAACAACCAAGGCCACATAACCAACGAGAATATTAATGACATGAGAATTAACTCGTACTTCAAAATCGTCGGAGAGACTCAACTTTTTCGCGTTAAAAGTATATTTAAAGTCTCTGTTATAAATGTTGGAGACATCTTAAGGAAAGGAAAATTAATACTGAGGCACCGTCATGAACACCAAGTGCGTGCTGATTTAATTATTGTCAATTAAACACTTATAATTCGTCTTTACTGTAACCAATTCTTGTATTCTTCAACACTGCATTATTGCGACAAATATTTGTCATTTTACTGACAAGTCCATTATTGGCCATATACACTGCAGCAGAGACATGTCTGGTGCGGCTTTTTTATTTCATTTTTATTTTTTACCTTCTTCTTCAGTTCAATTAATTTTGTGATGTATCAAAACAAAAAACGTGACAAAAGGACAGAAATAAATTATCCATTTCTCTACTTAATACTTGAAATAATCCTAGCATATGAATGTGACTGACTCCAGCATGAAGCAATCATTTATACAACACTTCAGTTTACTGACAAGAGTGCTGAAAATTGCAATTTCAGAAGTGATCAATTCGAGGGCAAAACCAAAATTATCATTGTACTGTTTTGCAATGCACCTTGTAAATATCGTCTGTTTTCTTACCACAGATACTATATATAGCCTCGTCTGTCTATGAACTAAATAGAGTGTAACTCGATCGGCCTAACGAGATTACCCAATTTCGGGAAACTCGTGAGTGTTACTAAAACGTTCCAGTCATCTCGCTGTGAATGTGGTCTGAATCGACAGATAAATTTCTTTCTTTAATTTTTAATTTTAAATTGTTGCCATACTTGTTAGTCGTGCACTCATCTGACATCGAAATCAGACATGAGACCATTAAATAACCTGTACGCGATTCAACTTAAATGCACTGTTAAGTGTGATAATTTACTGACGTACGTTATCCTGTCAAATATCACAGTTCAGATTTAAAACTCCACCTGGTACTGATTATCAATGAGACCTACATTGTGGCGCGTGAAAACGGAGATGGTCTGTAACATTTAGTAAACACGGCGCTCGGAACTAGACCAGAAGAACAAACAGACTTACACGGCGCTCGGAACTAGACCAGAAGAACAAACAGACTTACACGGCGCTCGGAACTAGACCAGAAGAACAAACAGACTTACACGGCGCTCGGAACTAGACCAGAAGAACAAACAGAATTACACGGCGCTCGGAACTAGACCACAAGAACAAACAGACTTACACGGCGCTCGGAACTAGACCACAAGAACAAACAGACTTACACGGCGCTCGGAACTAGACCACAAGAACAAACAGACTTACACGGCGCTCGGAACTAGACCAGAAGGACAAACAGACTTACACGGCGCTCGGAACTAGACCAGAAGAACAAGGCGCTCGGAACTAGACCAGAAGAACAAACAGACTTACACGGCGCTCGGAACTAGACCACAAGAACAAACAGACTTACACGGCGCTCGGAACTAGACCAGAAGGACAAACAGACTTACAGTGTTTCCTGTCATTGCATCAAAGTCTTGCATCGTTTCCCGTTCTTCTTCGGCATGTGGATCCCACACCGGACTGCTGTTTTGTGTAATCTGGACATAAAACATGACAAAACAACCAATTTACATTTGACATCCCTCAAACGTTTTTTACGTAGAATTTCAATTAAATAAGTAATTTGTCTTTTTTGACAAATTTATTAGTTGTATGTTCATACTTTCTGACAGAGTATCTCGTTAACGACATACAATAATTGTCTTACTGATAAGCAACCCTTTGTGACGGAGTACCTCGTTAACCGACATACAATACTTGTCTTACTGATAAGCAACCCATTTTGACGGAGTACCTCGTTAACGGCATACAATACTTGTTTTACTGATAACCAGCCCTTGGTGACGGAGTACCTCGTTAACGACATACAATACTTGTCTTACTGATAAGCAACCCTTTGTGACGGAGTACCTCGTTAACGACATACAATACTTGTCTTACTGATAAGCAACCCTTTGTGACGGAGTATCGCGTTAACGACATACAATAATTGTCTTACTGATAAGCAACCCTTTGTGACGGAGTACCTCGTTAACGACATACAATACTTGTCTTACTGATAAGCAACCCTTTATGACGGAATATCTCGTTAACGACACACAAGTATTGTCTTACTGATAAGCAACCCTTTGTGACGGAGTACCTCGTTAACGACATACAATACTTGTCTTACTGATAACCAACCCTTTGTGACGGAATATCTCGTTAACGACACACAAGTATTGTCTTACTGATAACCAACCCTTTGTGACGGAATATCTCGTTAACGACATACAATACTTGTCTTACTGATAACCAACCCTTTGTGACGGAGTACCTCGTTAACGACATACAATACTTGTCTTACTGATAACCAACCCTTTGTGACGGAATATCTCGTTAACGACACACAAGTATTGTCTTACTGATAAGCAACCCTTTGTGACGGAATATCTCGTTAACGACACACAAGTATTGTCTTACTGATAAGCAACCCTTTGTGACGGAGTACCTCGTTAACGACATACAATACTTGTCTTACTGATAAGCAACCCTTTGTGACGGAGTACCTCGTTAACGACATACAAGTATTGTCTTACTGATAACCAACCCTTTGTGACGGAGTACCTCGTTAACGACATACAATACTTGTCTTACTGATAAGCAACCCTTTGTCACGGAGTACCTCGTTAACGACATACAATACTTGTCTTACTGATAAGCAACCCTTTGTGACGGAGTATCTCGTTAACGACATACAATACTTGTTTTACTGATAAGCGACCCTTTGTGACGGAGTACCTCGTTAACGACATACAATACTTGTCTTACTGATAACCAACCCTTTGTCACGGAGTACCTCGTTAACGACATACAATACTTGTCTTACTGATAACCAGCCCTTTGTGACGGAGTATCTCGTTAACGACATACAATACTTGTTTTAATGATAAGCAACCCTTTGTGACGGAGTATCGCGTTAACGACATAAAATACTTGTCTTACTGATAACCAGCCCTTGGTGACGGAGTATCTCGTTAACGACATACAATACTTGTCTTACTGATAAGCAACCCATTTTATCTGGTTTATTGTACTCACGGATATCAAAACGTAGAGAAACATTACATTGCTTTATGTTATGAATCCATTATAACACACGAGAGAGAACAAAAGTAACTTAATGGAATTATCATCATTCATCGTACTTTTGTGTACGTATTTATCAGATTTACAGTATTTTAGCATATAACGTAATAGAAACAGGCAACACAAGTAAGTGCTTATTATGGCTTAAAAACAAGTTAGGGCCTGCATGTGGAGTAAATATCAGGAACGTTCATGAGAACATGATCTACAGAAGGTATAGAAAACGACTTCCTGTGTTCGGCTATCGACGGGCGTGGGCAGTGAGAGCGGAAGTTGTTTGTGGTATATCTGTATATATTAATGACACCCGATAATGATTTACGTTCGCTCTTGACATTCAAAATAAGGAAAAGATTTTAATCAAAGCTATTTATCCCAACAATATTCATGTATGAAGAAGATCAATTTGCCTAGCGCTGTCTTGTCATTTTTTAAGTGTTGGAGTAAGTTATTTCGAGCAATACATTATGTGTATATTCTTGCGTCAATCAGCTAACGATAAGTACAAGTCTCGTGAGTTTGATGTATGGAATGAATAAAGATCGATAGACCTTCGACACTTGCAAATCGAAAACGGAGACCGACTATACGTTCTGAAAGTTAGAATAAGACATCCGTTTCCGGTATATTCAATAACGGCATGCTTCCAGGGTGCATCATGATACTGATAAGAGCACATGCACGAAATATATGGATCATTATTAATAAGTTGTAAATGACCCTTTCTGTTAAAGTCCTATAATCAAAAGAAACGGTTCCTGGAGCCGTCCTTGTTCATTCTAAAGTACATCGTATCCTATTTGGTTATGGTAGAAAATGTCATTCAAAAGTTAGCTTTAAATTGTCTTTTATTCAAATGTTGGAAGGTTCCCTTGCGAATGAATTGAATACATTTCTCTTAGATTTTATGTTTCACCTCACAGATACGCATGTTTGTCACAAGTTTATGTAAATTTAGAATTAGGTGTTGTGGATCTATGTTGTATCAATAAAATCACAGTGGTACTAGGAATCCTTGGTTGTGGCGGCAATACTAACTAAACGATATATATATATATTCCTATCGATCATATTACACATTCTGCGTAACTTCCACGTGCGATAACATTAAATATAACAATGTAATAAGGCCCCTGTTTATCTTCCTGGAGAAATAACTTTAGTTAAATATAACAATGTAATAAGGCCCCGGTTTACCTTCCTGGAGCAATAACTTTAGTTAAATATAACAATGTAATAAGGCTCCGGTTTACCTTCCTGGAGAAATAACTTTAGTTAAATATAACAATGTAATAAGGCTCCGGTTTACCTTCCTGGAGTAATAATTTCAGTTAAATATAACAATGTAATAAGACCCTGGTTTACCTTCCTGGAGTAATACCTTCAGTTAAATATAACAATGTAATAAGGCCCCGGTTTACCTTCCTGAAGTAATAACTTCAGTTAAATATAACAATGTAATGAATTAAGGTTCCTGTGTGCCTTCCATCTGATATAACTTAAGTTGGAAATGAGGAAACAACCATTCCTTATTTAAGTTTGAATTTAAATCACACATTGTTCAAACATGCGTTATTTGTAAGATATTGTCTACTGTTGAATATGTCCAAAAGTTCGATAATTATTAGAGAAAAGTCTTTTGTAAAATATAGGTCAGTGTCACCAATTCACATATCAGGACACATTGTGATAAGACAATGTCCCTATAAAGGCAGAATTAGGCCACGGTCGGCATGGAAAAATCATTAAACTGTCTTTACTGACGATATATCTTATGTTGTATAAAGAAAATGCTCTCCGGACAGTGTTCAATGTCATCAGTATAGAAATCAGATCTTTGATAAGACAGTAAAGCCTTTTTAATACTTGCGCGATAAAATTCGAACTCTGAAACATTGGTGAATACATTTTACATTCGGTATTTTTACGGGTGTATCGTGTACCTGCCTTTGAGTTGTTTACTATTTTACCACAGTAAAGAATCATGCGATGTATGTGATTTCAATATCAGTTCAAAATCTCAAACAAGAAACAATATATTTTAAAGAAAGGTTTCAAATAGATTTGGTATACTAGGAATGTATTTTTTGTTACATAAATCTGTGCACTTGATACAAGCCTCTTTAACACTTGATAACCCATTAAGGATGTTCTCGGGTATCCGTATTGACGTGTAATCTATTATACTAACGTTAGCAAGCATGGATTCGACATAGTAAGCGTCGCTGACGAAGGTGTTGAGTCGCTCAGTTTTTGTCGCTTCATCCAGAGTGACGTTAGAGTCCCTTAACATGTAGGTGGCCAGCGTCATCATCAACTTCCGGAGGTCCGATCGGTACTAGAATGAAACAAAACCGTCATCACGTGAGAAATGGACCACAAAAATAATCACACTTGTGTACAATGCGGTATAAGAGGGAGGAACTTTGATTGGTTCTTGCATAGCTGTACTGTCAACTTCGATAGGTTTGTTTCTGGCGATTTCAATGTATGTTTGCAACGGTTCAAATACTGCGATAAGGTATTGTTGATATAATGGTTGCTTGTTGGAAAAGTGTTCAAATTTTGTCACATTTTGTCAAAATAATCCGTTTATGAGATTAAGTACTGTCATCAAATCTTACAGAATATTCATGACCGTGCAATTTCGCATCGACAAGAACACGCCCCTCCCCCTTTTTAAATGCAAAGTCATATAGTAGATCATCAGGAACCAGTCATATTATAGAAAACAACAAAATCTCAACACAACAGAAACTAAGAAGCAAAAAAGTTGAATGACAACAATAGAAACTGGAAAAATAGAAACTAAATGACAGACAACAATAGAAACTGGGAAAATAGAAACTAAATGACAGAACAATAGAAACTGGGTGAAAATAGAAACTAGATGACACAGAACAATAGAAACTGGGGAAAAATAGAAACTGGGGAAAAATAGAAACTAGATGACACAGAACAATAGAAACTGGGGAAAAATAGAAACTAAATGACAAACAACAATAGAAACTGGGAAAAATAGAAACTAAATGACAGAACAATAGAAACTGGGGAAAAATAGAAGCTAAATGACAGACAACAATAGAAACTTAGGAGACAACGACTAAACGATAGACAACAAGAGAACTGAAGTGACAACAGCTTAACGGCAGAAAACAACAGAAACTGGGGGAAAAATAACGACCGCATCGCTGTAATCATATGGAAACGTGAGGACGCAATATTCCCTGAATGGGGAGTATGTAACCCCGGTAAAATTCTTGCCTCAATGTACCGCTCAGCTAGAGAAAACTTCTCTTTAGCTCGAGTGGTTAAACGTCAGACTAGTGATCTAGATGTCATTGGTTCGAATCCTAGCGGAGGCATCGTTACATTAACTAAACAAAATCATTAGAAACTGGGAGGCATAAAAAGAAAACGAAAAACAACAACAGTTACTGACATAATGATATAAACAAGAGTGTGGCATCAATGTCCTAACTTACAATAACGACCGCGCCATGATTTTATGTGTGACCTGTACAGTTTTTGTGTTCTACTCTCTGCGTACAATAAACAACTGTTGACTACAAAAAAACATGACTGAAAGCTGCACTTTTTCATGAAAGAATAATAAAGAGCTACTACAGATCATGACTAACACATCTGGATGAAGAGTAGGACTATGGCCTCCTATCAGGTAAACATGTAGCGGAAACTGATTAGAAATACAGAGCAGATAAGTGTAATTATTGGTTTGAAATATCATTGTCCCGTCAAACCCACCATGTGGTACCTACACTTTTCACTTTATATGGTAATGTGTCATTTGCAGACGTCATTGTGGCTTTATCATATTGCCAACTAAGATATTCACACTCAGTGGTCATGCGATCATGTTCACTGAATATTGAATATCTCGTAAATCAACACTGGTTGCACTTATTTCAAATCCGAAACAAATGTTAAAATGTCACATGTACTCTTATGTGTGTGTAAGCAAAACCAACACCCTGCACAGTCACAAGGGAAACCACCACCCGGTACATTCACAACGGAAACAAACACCCGGTACAGTCACAAGGGTAACCAACACCCGGTACAGTCACAATGGAAGCCAACACCCGGTACACTCACAAGGGAAACCAACACCCGGTACAGTCACAAGGGAAACCAACACCCGGTACAGTCATAAGAACCAAACACCCGGTACAGTCACAAGGGTAACCAACACCCGGTACAGTCACAATGGAAAACAACACATGGTACAGTCACAAGGGAAACCAACACCCGGTACAGTCACAAGGGAAACCACCACACAGTACAGTCACAAGGGAAACCAACACCCTGTACAAACACAAGGGAAACTAACACCTGGTACAGTCACAAGGGAAACCAACATCCGGTACAGTCACAAGGGAAACCAACATCCGGTTCAGTCACAAGGGAAACCAACAGCCGATACAGTCACAAAGGAAACCAACACCCTGTACAGTCACAAGGGAAACCAACATCCAGTACAGTCACAAGGGAAACCAACACTCGGTACAGTCATAAGGGAAACCAACACCCGGTACAGTCATAAGGGAGACCAACACCCTGTACAATCATGAGGAAAACCAACACACGGTACAGTCACAAGGGAAACCAACACCCGGTACACTCACAAGGGAAACCAACACCCGGTACAGTCACAAGGGAAACCAACACCCGGTACAGTCACAAGGGAAACCAACACCCGGTACAGTCATAAGGGAAACAAACACCCGGTACAGTCACAGGGGAAATAAACACCCGGTACAGTCACAAGGGAAACCAACACCCGGTACAGTCACAAGGGAAACCAACACCCGGTACAGTCACAAGGGGAACCAACACTCGGTACAGTCACAAGGGAAACCAACATCCGGTACAGTCACAATGGAAACCAACACCCGGTACAGTCACAAGGAAAACCAACACCCGGTACAGTCACAAGGGAAACCAACACCCGGTACAGTCACAAGGGAAACCAACACCCGGTACAGTCACAAGGAAAACAAACACCCGGTACAGTCACAAAGGAAACCAACACCCGGTACAGTCACAACGGAAACAAACACCCGGTACAGTCATGAGGGAAACAAACACCCGGTACAGTCACAAGGACCGAACACCCGGTACAGTCACAAGAGAAATCAACATCCGGTACAGTCACAAGGGAAACCAACACCCGGTACAGTCACAAGGGAAACAAACACCCGGTACAGGCACAAGGGAAACCAACACCCGGTACAGTCACAATGGAAACAGAACACTCGGTACAGTCACAAGGGAAACCAACACCGGTACAGTCACAATGGAAACAAACACCAAGTACAGGCGCAAGGGAAACCAACACCCGGTACAGTCACAATGGAAACAAACACCCGGTACAGGCACAAGGGAAACCAACACCCGGTACAGTCACAAGGAAAACCAACACCCGGTACAGTCACAAGGGAAACCAACACCCGGTACAGTCACAAGGGAAACCAACACTCGGTACAGTCACAAGGGAAACCAACATCCGGTACAGTCACAATTGAAACAGACACTCGGTACAGTTACAAGGGAAACCGACATCCGGTACAGTCACAATGCAAACAAACACCCGGTACAGGCACAAGGGAAACCAACACCCGGTACAGTCACAATGGAAACCAACACTCGGTACAGTCACAAGGGAAACCAACATCCGATACAGTCACAAAGGAAACCATTACCCTGTATAGTCACAATGGAAACCAACACCCGGTACAGTCACAAGGAAAACCAACACCTGGTACAGTCACAAGGGAAACAAACACCCGGTACAGTCACACCAACACTCGGTCACAAGGGAAACCAACACCCGGTACAGTCACAATGGAAACAAACACCCGGTACAGGCACAAGGGAAACCAACACCCGGTACAGTCACAAGGGAAACCAACACTCGGTACAGTCACAAGGGAAACCAACATCCGGTACAGTCACAATGGAAACAAACACCAAGTACAGGCGCAAGGGAAACCAACACCCGGTACAGTCACAATGGAAACAAACACCCGGTACAGTCACAAGGGAAACCAACACCCGGTACAGTCACAAGGGAAACAAACACCCTGTACAGTCGAGAGGGAAACCAAACCCCGGTACCGTCACGAGGGAAACAAACACCCGGTACAGACATAAGGGAAACAAACACCCGGTACAGTCACAAGGGAAACCAACACCCGGTACAGGCACAAGGGAAACCAACACTCGGTACAGTCACAAGGGAAACCAACACCCGGTACAGTCACAACGGAAACAAACACCCGGTACAGTCATGAGGGAAACAAACACCCGGTACAGTCACAAGGGAAACCAACACCCGGTACAGTCACAAGGGAAACCAACACCCGGTACAGTCACAAGGGAAACCAACACCCGGTACAGTCACAAGGGAAACAAACACCCGGTACAGTCACAAAGGAAACCAACACCCGGTACAGTCACAACGGAAACAAACACCCGGTACAGTCATGAGGGAAACAAACACCCGGTACAGTCACAAGGGAAATAAACACCCGGTACAGTCACAAGGGAAACCAACACCCTGTACAGTCACAAAGGAAACCAACACCCGGTACAGTCACAACGGAAACAAACACCCGGTACAGTCACAAGGACCGAACACCCGGTACAGTCACAAGGGTAACAAACACCCGGTACAGTCAGTTAGGGAAACCAACACCGTGCGGTACAAGGGAAACAACACTCGGTACAGTTACAGTTACACCAAGGAAATACATACCGTGTACAGTCACAAGGAAACCAACACCCGGTACAGTCACACGGAAACTTACTTACCGTGTACAGTCACAAGGGAAACAAACACCCGGTACAGTCACAAGGTCAGTAAGGGAACCTTACACACAGTCACACGGTGCGGGTACAGTCACATTAGTCACACGGGAAACCAACACCCGTGTGGTACAGGAAAACTCACCCGGTACAGTTAAATCAACATACCGGTACAGTCACAAGGGAAACCAACACTCGGTACAGTTAGTTACACCGAACATACATACCGTGCGGGTAAGGGAAACCAACACTCGGTACAGTTACAGTTACACCGAACATACATACCGTGTGGGTAAGGGAAACCAACACTCGGAACAGTCACAAGGGAAACCAACTTACCGTGTCAGTAAGGGAAACAAACACCCGGTACAGTCACAAGGGAAACCAACACGTGCGGTACAGTCACAGGGAAACTTACGCTCTGATTAGTCACACGGAACTTACTTACCGTGTGGGTAAGGGAAACTAACACTCGGAACAGTCACACGGACCTTACTTACCGTGTGGGTAAGGGAAACTTACACTCGGAACAGTCACACGGAACTTACTTACCGTGTGGGTAAGGGAAACTAACACTCGGAACAGTCACACGGAACTTACTTACCGTGTGGGTAAGGGAAACTTACACTCGGAACAGTCACACGGAACTTACTTACCGTGTCGGTAAGGGAAACTTACACTCGGAACAGTCACACGGAACTTACTTACCGTGCGGGTAAGGGAAACTTACGCTCTGATTAGTCACACGGAACTTACTTACCGTGTGGGTAAGGAAAACTTACACCCGGTACAGTTACATCGATCATACCGTTTGGGTAAGGGAAACTTACACTCGGAACAGTCACACGGAACTTACTTACCGTGTGGGTAAGGGAGACTAACACTCGGAACAGTCACACGGACCTTACTTACCGTGTGGGTAAGGAAAACTTACACCCGGTACAGTTACATCGATCATACCGTGTGGGTAAGGGAAACCAACACTCGGAACAGTCACACGGAACTTACTTACCGTGTGGGTAAGGAACAGTCACACGGAACTTACTTACCGTGTCGGTAAGGGAAACTTACACTCGGAACAGTCACATGGAACTTACTTACCGTGCGGGTAAGGGAAACTTACGCTCTGATTAGTCACACGGAACTTACTTACCGTGTGGGTAAGGAAAACTTACACCCGGTACAGTTACATCGATCATACCGTTTGGGTAAGGGAAACTTACACCCGGAACAGTCACACGGAACTTACTTACCGTGTCGGTAAGGGAAACTTACACTCGGAACAGTCACACGGAACTTACTTACCGTGCGGGTAAGGAAAACTTACACCCGGTACAGTTACATCGATCATACCGTTTGGGTAAGGGAAACTTACACTCGGAACAGTCACACGGAACTTACTTACCGTGTGGGTAAGGGAAACTAACACTCGGAACAGTCACACGGACCTTACTTACCGTGTGGGTAAGGAAAACTTACACCCGGTACAGTTACATCGATCATACCGTGTGGGTAAGGGAAACCAACACTCGGAACAGTCACACGGAACTTACTTACCGTGTGGGTAAACGAAACTTACACTCGGAACAGTCACACGGAACTTACTTACCGTGTGGGTAAGGAAAACTTACACCCGGTACAGTTACATCGATCATACCGTTTGGGTAAGGGAAACTTACACTCGGAACAGTCACACGGAACTTACTTACCGTGTAGGTAAGGGAGACTAACACTCGGAACAGTCACACGGACCTTACTTACCGTGTGGGTAAGGAAAACTTACACCCGGTACAGTTACATCGATCATACCGTGTGGGTAAGGGAAACCAACACTCGGAACAGTCACACGGAACTTACTTACCGTGTGGGTAAACGAAACTTACACTCGGAACAGTCACACGGAACTTACTTACCGTGTGGGTAAGGGAAACTAACACTCGGAACAGTCACACGGACCTTACTTACCGTGTGGGTAAGGGAAACCAACACTCGGAACAGTCACACGGAACTTACTTACCGTGTGGGTAAGGGAAACTAACACTCGGAACAGTCACACGGAACTTACTTACCGTGTGGGTAAACGAAACTTACACTCGGAACAGTCACACGGAACTTACTTACCGTGTGGGTAAGGGAAACTAACACTCGGAACAGTCACACGGACCTTACTTACCGTGTGGGTAAGGGAAACCAACACTCGGAACAGTCACACGGAACTTACTTACCGTGTGGGTAAGGGAAACTAACACTCGGAACAGTCACACGGAACTTACTTACCGTGTGGGTAAACGAAACTTACACTCGGAACAGTCACACGGAACTTACTTACCGTGTGGGTAAGGGAAACTAACACTCGGAACAGTCACACGGAACTTACTTACCGTGTGGGTAAGGAAAACTTACACCCGGTACAGTTACATCGATCATACCGTGTGGGTAAGGGAAACCAACACTCGGAACAGTCACACGGAACTTACTTACCGTGTGGGTAAACGAAACTTACACTCGGAACAGTCACACGGAACTTACTTACCGTGTCGGTAAGGGAAACTTACACTCGGAACAGTCACATGGAACTTACTTACCGTGCGGGTAAGGGAAACTTACGCTCTGATTAGTCACACGGAACTTACTTACCGTGTGGGTAAGGAAAACTTACACCCGGTACAGTTACATCGATCATACCGTTTGGGTAAGGGAAACTTACACCCGGAACAGTCACACGGAACTTACTTACCGTGTCGGTAAGGGAAACTTACACTCGGAACAGTCACACGGAACTTACTTACCGTGCGGGTAAGGAAAACTTACACCCGGTACAGTTACATCGATCATACCGTTTGGGTAAGGGAAACTTACACTCGGAACAGTCACACGGAACTTACTTACCGTGTGGGTAAGGGAGACTAACACTCGGAACAGTCACACGGACCTTACTTACCGTGTGGGTAAGGAAAACTTACACCCGGTACAGTTACATCGATCATACCGTGTGGGTAAGGGAAACCAACACTCGGAACAGTCACACGGAACTTACTTACCGTGTGGGTAAACGAAACTTACACTCGGAACAGTCACACGGAACTTACTTACCGTGTGGGTAAGGAAAACTTACACCCGGTACAGTTACATCGATCATACCGTTTGGGTAAGGGAAACTTACACTCGGAACAGTCACACGGAACTTACTTACCGTGTGGGTAAGGGAGACTAACACTCGGAACAGTCACACGGACCTTACTTACCGTGTGGGTAAGGAAAACTTACACCCGGTACAGTTACATCGATCATACCGTGTGGGTAAGGGAAACCAACACTCGGAACAGTCACACGGAACTTACTTACCGTGTGGGTAATCGAAACTTACACTCGGAACAGTCACACGGAACTTACTTACCGTGTGGGTAAGGGAAACCAACACTCGGAACAGTCACACGGAACTTACTTACCGTGTGGGTAAGGGAAACTAACACTCGGAACAGTCACACGGAACTTACTTACCGTGTGGGTAAACGAAACTTACACTCGGAACAGTCACACGGAACTTACTTACCGTGTGGGTAAGGGAAACTAACACTCGGAACAGTCACACGGACCTTACTTACCGTGTGGGTAAGGGAAACCAACACTCGGAACAGTCACACGGAACTTACTTACCGTGTGGGTAAGGGAAACTAACACTCGGAACAGTCACACGGAACTTACTTACCGTGTGGGTAAACGAAACTTACACTCGGAACAGTCACACGGAACTTACTTACCGTGTGGGTAAGGGAAACTAACACTCGGAACAGTCACACGGAACTTACTTACCGTGTGGGTAAACGAAACTTACACTCGGAACAGTCACACGGACCTTACTTACCGTGTGGGTAAGGGAAACTTACACTCAGAACAGTCACACGGAACTTACTTACCGTGTGGGTAAACGAAACTTACACTCGGAACAGTCACACGGAACTTACTTACCGTGTCGGTAAGGGAAACTTACACTCGGAACAGTCACACGGAACTTACTTACCGTGCGGGTAAGGGAAACTTACGCTCTGATTAGTCACACGGAACTTACTTACCGTGTGGGTAAGGAAAACTTACACCCGGTACAGTTACATCGATCATACCGTTTGGGTAAGGGAAACTTACACTCGGAACAGTCACACGGAACTTACTTACCGTGTCGGTAAGGGAAACTTACACTCGGAACAGTCACACGGAACTTACTTACCGTGCGGGTAAGGGAAACTTACGCTCTGATTAGTCACACGGAACTTACTTACCGTGTGGGTAAGGAAAACTTACACTCGGAACAGTCACACGGAACTTACTTACCGTGTGGGTAAGGGAAACTAACACTCGGAACAGTCACACGGACCTTACTTACCGTGTGGTTAAGGAGATAAAACAAATGGTACATTTACATATAACGAATATTTACCGCTTCTATAACGAGACATCATCTGAGCATGTATCTGCCATGTACAAGGTGAACAAGTCGTTTTGAAGTCTGATAAAATAATATATCTAAAGTTAGTAAGACAAACAGATGATAGCGCAAGGTACAAGCACACAGCACTTACATGTATACATAAAGCGGCACAATTCTCTACAATTGCTAACGTTGTGGCAAGGGGACATAACTCATTTGCATTCATCTGTCGTGTGAGAAAGAAGACATATCCCACTTTACTAGGGGACAAAACTTATGACACATTCATTCAGAATAAACGTGTTTAGGAATAATTCTATCTGCTGCTTGTAAGACACCTGTGCTGACCTTAATCGATTCTCTGGATCTTGTTATGTGTCACTCACCTTGATTGTGTCTTCTGATACGAAATAGTACCAATACATGGAGGTTCCAGACAGATGCAGCTGTAGTAAGAAACAAAAAAAAAATCTTTGTAGTTAAGTGACGACACTTCTTTAGTCAAACAAACAAATGACGGCCTAAACTTGCGGAATTCTGTTCACTTCAACACGTTAGCTTCTTTGTACTTATTGTCCATCGCCTATACAGCAAAATGTCGGGGGCTGGTGTCATAGTTTTTCATTTTGCCTTTCCGTCCGTCTATTAAAAATAGGTCACTCTGACCCACATTTTGACCTTTTAGCTATATCAAAGAAAAAGTGAGTCAGGGCTCAATCATCGTACTTTGGGTTTGGGTTTACCAAGGTGAAGCGGTGTATGTTAAAGTAGGTCATTCCGACCTACATTTTTACCTTTGACGTTTATTAAAGAAAACATTTTCCCGACTCTGTCTCCGATAGTACTTGTCATTGAATCTTATTATTTGGTGTACATGTTCATCCTGTTGAAGAGGTTTGTCAGTGGGGGACTTCTTCGCCGAATTGTCTTACTATTTAAACAACGGGACGTTTTCTTTCTGACTGTAATTGAAGTCGATAATTTGTTATAAAGCAGGGAGGAACCCATTTGGTTATAGGGGTAGGCAACTGGACCGATTTGCGCTACCGTGATTGTATTAGACGTCTTCCATTAATCCGTAATAGCTAATCCAGCAGGACAAATCATTGCCTCATACTGCACGTGTAGCTTGAGCATATCTACAGCAGCTGAACATCACTGTATTATCTTCGCCCGCTTAGTAACCGCGAAAACACATTTATACATCGTATATTATGAGAAAATGACAATGCATTGTTAGAGAGTACAAACACATCAATGTATTGTAATTGAGTGAGAACATGTCGATATGTTGTAATAAGGCGAGAACATGTCAAAAAGTTGTAATAAGGCGACAATATGTCAAAAAGTTGTAAAAAGGTGAGAATATGTCAATATATTTTAATAGGGTGAAACCAAGGTGTAATCAGTGCTAATCATCATCATAACATTAAGACAGAACATTAATGACGATAAATAAACATTTAGTAAACATTTATAGTAAACAAGATATTTCTCTGTCTATAAGTTAATGTTGAAAAGGCATGTAACGGTCGTCTTGGCAACTGTATATATATACATGTATTTGATTGTGATCGCTTAAGTTTACAATCTAAAGACAAAAAGAATTTGAGTCATGATCTTAGGGACAGATGAAAAATAATAAATATTTGTTATTTTACTTCATAACACTAATTTCCATCCTATAAATTGTTTTGATACAAACCTCGACAACCCGTCTGTTATCATCATTCCAGTCATTAGCTACGTAGGCAGTGAAGAAAGCGTGGGTCCAGAAGTCTATCATGGTTTTCTTGAGAGCTTCCTGGAAGTTCCACGTAGCGGTGTCCAGGGTTCCTGTCACATACCATCCTCCAATCTCTGGTAGGATTTTGGTGAGCACAGGGGCGCCCTTGGCCGTGTCTTTGGCGTAGGTATCCGTACACGATTCGAACAGATGTTTAATCTTCCGTTCTGAGGACCATTCTTCAGTACGTAGAAGTGGAGCATTCAGAAGATTTTCAATCTTCTCTTCGTTTTCAAAATATAAATTGCTAAACATTGTTCTAGAGGACATTGTGGGGTTTAGCGGGAATTGTGTTGGATAGCCACCGCATGCGTACTGGAAAAAGTCCGTGCAAGGGTCCGCGGTTTTGTTCATATTCTGAGTAACATATGATGCACTTTTTAGGCACGGGCCCGACACGCATATGGATTCGTAAATACTCGGAGAACTCTTCGGTGTGTCATTCTTGCCACCTAACAGAGCAGCAAGTACAATTAAAGCTACCACCGCGGCAAACAGGCAAGCCCCAAGTGCAAGTTCTCTCAATTTAATATCAAGGTTTCTTCCAAATTTAATATCTGGAAGTATGGAAGCTTTATCCGTCGACGGACTGTCAAAATTGGAATATTTTTCCTCGCCCATATTTGCACCTACAATGCCACCAGACACAGCAGCCGAGAACCGAACACTCCCCAGGTTTTGGATGTCAAACACTGCCTAATTAGTATGTACTCCTCCAGAATCACCTGATTAAAACATAAAACTAAATTGCATCTGAAAATGTTTGAAATTACTTGTATCCTGTTAAAGATTTCTTATTGGTAAAACTTCCATGTACCTAGACAGACATCCAGAACATTTAAGTGTAAGGGGGCGTTCACACAGAGGTGCAAGCCAGACCTTCCTGTCGTCCTTGTAGTACGGGTATCGGGCAAACTTTAACGTAGTCACCTACCTGGCGTTAGTTTTATGAATAAGACTTTCTTACTAAATAGGTGTTCCTTCTAGAGGACGTTTTATGATTTCACAACCCACGAGGCTGGTAGCGCGCTGGTGATTTAAAGAATAGGTGTGTTGTTGCATAATTAGGAGTCTCGAGAGGAGAGAGGCGCGTCCTGGTCCTGATGGGTCACTTTATCAATCGCTCATGTCTCCAATTCTAATTTTCCTAATCTATGATAAATAAACTATCGTATTTCGATGAATGACAACTATAAACTACGTCATGACATTATAATGCCTTTAGAATTGTCATTGTATATAAAGTTAAAAATGCATCTGTATAACCCAAAGATTGATTAACTGTATTTTGCAGAAATAGCAGTTATCCTCCATGTAACAGTTAAGGTAAAATGTGTGAAGAATTATTATCAAACTGCTTGGGGTGACGGACAATATAATTCACACTGGCCAAATTCACTGAGTATTTACTAAGGTAAACAGGTCATTCCTATAAAACAAAATCAAGTAAAATAGCATCCATCTCATTCACAGGTTTTTTCTTTAGGATAGAAGGAATACAATTACTACATATTGTCACGTGATGCGTGAATACTAAGTTACGAGAGTACTTACTTTTTAAATTAGGCCTTGTCCATTTGGGTTCACCTTCACGACCCCCATGTCGTATATAAAAGGCTAAAGGGGTTTGTGTTTGAGTCGATCACGTGGCCTGATCACTTCCACAAACATCCCTCACAACATTGTATGCTAATTAACAGTCATCGAACCCCGTCGTAAAATATTGACATATCTTAGTGAGCAAAGTCTAAATGGTATCAAATTTATATATATATTTACATTTCCGAAACTTAAACTGTCAGGGATGAAGTGTTTGAAAAACAGAATGTTATGTACATTTCTGTAAGGTCGTATAATGACGGGAAACAAATCTGTTTTACATTTTATAGTCCTGATTTAGGTGATGTAGTTAGATAAGTAATTCAAGTCTATACGACCTTATCTGTTTAAATATCAAGATGGCACGTACATATCGAACACAATTTTGTACACCTTCCATATCCAAGGGGTTTGTAACCCTTCTAATATATAATGGCGAAATTGACGAGTAATGATTGACCAATCGATTGGTTCCAGTCACGAATATTTGACCAATCACCCCAGACTGGTGCTGCTGAACGATACCTGGCTGGAGGACATTTGAAGCAATTTGACGACATTTTTTGTCACTATATTCAAATTATCTATCAAATGTATTTCCAACAGAAGACGGTGATTTACAAGAAACAACAACGAAAACGCCGACAAGTCAACAGAATCTTTATTCCAAACCGGATGAGATGATGACAAAATATGGACACAAGAAAGAATTACATGAAGACTACTGAAAAAGTACTAGGAAAATAAGACCAGGTGTTCCGAAAGAGTATGCCTCTTCTTCTTCATCGACGACATCCGCCTTGTAAATCTTGATCATTCCGAATAATTAATGTCACGTTCTCAAATGAGAGCAAGGTTAACAACAGCGAAAACAACAGGCATACTAAAGAACCCCTAACACTTCTACCTATATATCATAACGTATAAGGATATATATTGATATAGCAGTGATATATTGGACATTGTTGGTTTCTTGATCTTTAACATGTTGTTATTGGTGTGTAAAACCGAATTGTTGCCATCCAACGACGGTATTATAATTCGTCAAGAAATGAATATCATTATGTATAGATAGTATTATCATACATCTGTTTCGTTCTCCTAGGACTCATCAGTGATGTTACGGGTCTAAATCTTAACACCTTATACGCAACTTCAAACTTCAAATTGGCCGAAATTATTAATACTTTTCGTATATTTTTCGTGTTACATATAGAATCAATGACTGTTTAGTCAAATATGTTCCGTAATGGCGATGAAATTAACAAATTCAAAAGTGATATGAAAAACTAAGTTTTCTTTCAAATACTGAATATTCTTATAATTTTTACGTCAGGTTATAAAGTAGACTAACATCCGCTGCCAGTTCATATCAAACTCATCACGAACCTATCTAATACAAAACAGTAATCAAAGCGGTCCACCACAGCTACTGTTCAGGGCACTTACGCTTTACAAAGTAAATACTAGAACCTATATATGACAGGCATTTCGTGTCGTTTTCTCTCTTAGGAGTACAAACGAGAGGAGTTAACCTGGTGTATGTATTCGGGACCATTATCAGATGATCTACATGTACATGATAAGGTTATGTATTTAGGGTCGATGACAGGTAATGTCGCCTCGTAGTACTTAATGTAAACATGGATGTTTAACATGCTATGTAAGACGGTAAATGATTTGTAAATATGTTTAAGTGCTTAATCGAATACTAACTGCCATTATTTTCCATCTAATATAGGTAAGGGAGATAACTTATCAAAATAGCAAGTAGAATCCTATTTGTAAATGTATGGAAACGAGCACAATAGAGGAATCTTCTAGAGAATAGGTACGGCGAGTGGTACAAGGTGACAAAGCTGGACACAGAGAAACAAAGAAGGATACACGGGGACAGAGTGGGATACATGGATAACAGTTACACGGGGTGGGATACACGGGGACAGAGTGGGATACATGGATAACAAAGCCAGTTACACGGGGTGGGATACACGGGGACAGAGTGGGATACACGGATAACAAAGCCAGTTACACGGGGTGGGATACACGGGGACAAGGTCAGATACACAAGATAAGGTCCGATAGACATTTACAATGCCAGATAAACGAGAGTGGGATACACGGAAAACAAAGCCAGTTACACGGGGTGGGATACACGGGGACAAAGACAGATACACAGGATAAGGTCCGATAGACATTTACAATGCCAGATAAACAAGAGTGGGATACACAGGAAACAAAACCAGTTACACGGGGTGGGATACACGGAAAACAAAGCCAGTTACACGATGGTGGGATACACGGAAAACAAATCCAATTACATGGCGTGTGATACAAGGAAAACAAAGCCAGTTACACGGGATAAGGTTCGATAGACATTAACAAAGTCAGATATACGAGAGTGGGATACACGGAAAACAAAACCAGTTACACGAGGTGGGATACACGGAAACAAAGACAGTTACACGGGGTGGGATACACGGGGACAAAGACAGTTACACGGGGACAAAGCCAGTTACACGGGGTGGGATACACGAATAACAAAGCCAGTTACATGGGGTGGGATACACGGGGACAAAGCCAGTTACACGGGGTGGGATACGCGGGGACAAAGTCAGATACATGGGGTGGGATACACGGGGACAAAGTCAGATACATGGGGTGGGATACACGGGGACAATGTCAGATACACGGGGTGGGATACACGGAAAGCAAAGCCAGTTACATGGGGTGGGATACACGGGGACAAGGTCAGATACACAGGATAAGGTCCGATAGACATTTACAATGTCAGATATACGAGAAAAAGTGGTATATACAGGGAACGGAGCAGTATGTTCGGGGAACAAAGAAACACGGGGATAAAATCAAATTTACGCGGAGACAAAGTGGGATACACTGATAACAAAAAAAGTTTCACGGCAAACAAAGTCAGATGAACGAGGTAAAAACAAAACGAGGACAAATTCAAACACGTGATATATCTTTTCTAAACTTATTAAAAAGTTATTTGGAAGGATTCATGTGACTTAAATATCAACCCCTTGACAACGTTTTCCAACTATTCATACAACGCGTTTATACATAAAATAAGCAAATGAGCTAGGAACACGACACCGTCCAAGGATCGCCTCTGTCTCGGCTACACTTTTATAACTTGGTTCGGGGCATGTTCACCTGAAAACAAATTCGCCGTTGGTCCTGGATACGAGATTCGCGAGAGTGCCTCTTGTTATACGTACATGTTCGGCACCTGGCACGGATACAATCTTATCTACCTACCCTGTGCATGTAATTGTCCTAATAAAATCGTCATCATATACCTTACAGCCATCTCATTATGACAGAAGTGGCACCATCTAATACCAACACAGACATTTTAAATCGTAAACAGGTATTTTAAAATCTTTATTATCGTTATAAACGATCTCGTAACCTGTCCCGGCATCAAAATTTAACTCCGCTGAAGACTTCAAACCCGTTAAACACAAACAAGTAAATCGCTTTCTTAGTCGTAAGCAAAAGGCAAAGCGAACCCTGTGTCAATCACCTGATCACAAGATACACTTGTTTCCTTATTTGGTGACTGCCCCTCAGAACAAAACCCGTGACAAAATTCTTCTATAACGAAGGTTATCGCGTGAACTAGCGAGACATGCTCACGAAATGAGCTTTTAATATGAATATGGATGTATCTTGGCTTGAAAGTAAAAACACTTGTCCACGACGAAAATTGTGAACGTTCATAGAAGCTGCCATTTTGTTTAATTAAACTCTGATTATGATTAAAACTATAATCGTAATAAGAAGACATCCCATGGCTTTCAAAGTATTGCGTTTCTCTTCCATTATTCCAAAACTATTTCGGTCTTTGTTTATCGTATCAGCTGGGGTCTATTGACCAATCGAAATCTAGGTAATTTGTTTCTAACCGTTCTCCAACATTTCAAAAATATCCATTAAATATGTAAACTTAAGTGCAAACAATGTTGGTGTGTGTTTTCTTTAATTCAACGTTCTAAAAATGTATGTAAGCACGCGATGTTGCTAGGTTGCACCTGGAATAGTGTAGTTCGACAACTGATGACTGATCCACGAAGTGACGACTTTTGGACAGGATGTGCAATTATCACGAAGTGACGACTTTTGGTCAGGATGTGCAATGATCACGACTTTTGGACAGGATGTGAAATGATCACGACTTTTGGACAGGATGTGCAATGATCACGAAGTGACGACTTTCGGACAGGATGTGCAATGATCACGAAGTGACGACTTTCGGACAGGATGTGCAATGATCACGAAGTGACAACTTTTGGACAGGATGTGCAATGATCACGACTTTTGGACAGCATAAGCAATGATCACGAAGTGACGACTTTCGGACAGGATGTACAATGATCACGACTTTTGGACAGCATAAGCAATGATCACGAAGTGACGACTTTTGGACAGGATGTGCAATGATCACGACTTTTGGACAGGATGTGCAATTATCACGAAGTGACGACTTTTGGACAGTCTGTGCAATGATCACGACTTTTGGACAGGATGTGCAATGATCACGAAGTGACGACTTTTGGACAGGATGTACAATGATCACGAAGTGACGACTTTTGGACAGGATGTGCAATGATCACGACTTTTGGACAGGATGTACAATGATCACGAAGTGACGACTTTTGGACAGGATGTGCAACGAAAGTCTTTTTATCTGAAAATTTCAGATTTGTTTTTCATTTACTTTAACACACATAAGAAATAGAGATTATAACCAAACGGTAGAATGTCTTTGGCTCTCACCTGTTACACCCAATGACAGCAGATATAGGAGCTACATCATCTGCTATGATTGTACTGCCACATTAAGGATCCATACAGCATGGACTATCACGATATCTTGTTATATCTGCAACGCTGATTTCAGCAAAATTACTCGAAACAAAATGTTTCGATAATGGAGACTTTTCAGAAGGAAAAACTACTCTGAAATTCCAAAAGAAGTTTTTAGTAAGAGAAGCTGCTTAAAGACACCAAAGTATCTCCCAGCCTCTGTATCTCAGATGTACCCAAAACTGACTTGTCATCAACCGAGACACTTGGATTGTTTATTAATATCTTTTATCACACTAGGATCAGAAAACTTTGCAGTGGACATTTTTGAACAAGTGAATTTACGACAATCCTGGATCAGTTTTTATGTGGTGTACGTACCACAAATCAAAACCGTATGCTTTTTGCATCATCAGTGCAATAGATGGATTCTCCCGACCCATTGTATGGTAAAAGTTGGAGACAGAAAACGGTCAGGCAGAAGTGATGTAGATATTTCCATAAGGGGACATGATGAAACATTTGTATCGAGCTGTTTTAAATGGAAGTTTGGTGGTAATTTCCAAGCAGACATTTTCCTTAATTCTGGATTTTTTTTCAATTAATGAAAAATGAGATGAATCAAAGGCAGAGGGTTATGCTTCAAAAACCAAGGAGTTGGATCAATCATAGTAAAATTGATCTTCCTCAGATATATTTTACCAATATTTCCAAAGATGTGTATCACACTTTTGTACTTGTTGGTGTTAACTTTGTCAAATGGATTATCTAGCTTTTGTATCAAGCGTTAACTTTTCCTACTGGTTAACCAAGCTTTTGTACCAGGAAAATGTCCATTTTCATTATCATTTCATTTCAGAAGTGGTTTACTAAGCTTTGCCTAAAGCAAGGTCAGCTGAACTGTGGTGTAGAGCTTTGTTCGTCTGCTAGAACAAGCTTTTTCCTAAAAAATCTAAAAAAAACCCCAGAAACACCACAACAATATATATGTACATATATTGATACTGTTTTCCACATGTATCTCAATACATTTAGTTCAATAATAGGCTTTAATCACATATTTTTGTAACATCAAGCATCTCAGTACAAACAACACTACAAAAAAAATGTCATTTCTTTTTACTGACTTTTTTTTTGTCTTTCGCCTCAAACTGTTCTAAAATCTCCTCGATGATATCCTCACGTGCTGCCTCCTGCAGCTTTCTGTTGAGAAAGTCCATATCTTCTCCACCTTTAAAGAATACCTCAATGTTAAACATGTTCTCATGTAATCTGTGGTCCGTAATGCGATCCTGGTTGAAGTTATAGGTACGAATCTTATCCGACCTATCAGCTGATCCTACTTGTAGTTGTCTTTGGGCCTTATACTCCAATACCTGAGCCTTCAGATAACGTGCGTAGACCCTGAAATATTGCGAAAAGCATACACTCAAGTCTAGGATACATTGACAGTAAATATACCATTTAGCAAACACAAGCACCAAATTATCAGGTAAACAGGTCAAACATGACTGACTAAGTTAACGATAACTACTAGGTAACTTTGATCTGAGATTATGATAACTAAGTTCTGAGTTAAGAAAACCGAGTTGTAATTTAATAATAATGTAGACTCATTTGTCCCAGTTTAAAACATTTTCCAAGATGTTGTTATAAGTGAACTGCAATTTAATTTCTTTAGAATAAATATAAACTCACTTTGTCTTGATTTAGTGTGATTTCTGACTCCATCTTTATCTAATAACCACTCTGATTGACCTAAGTGAATATAAACTCACTTTGTCTTGATTTAGTGTGATTTCTGACTCTATCTAATAACCACTCTGATTGACCTAAGTGAATATAAGCTCACTTTGCCCTGAGTTGCTCCATGGCAATAACTTTGTTACGTATCTGTGATCTCTCTCGCTGACAGTACACTACAATTCCTGAATAACAGAAAAGATAAGGAATATATACACCAATGATAACACATACATGTAGATTTAACTTGTTACAGCTACAGGCTGGTGTAACAATGTGTAACTATAACAGCCAATATACCTGTAGATAGGAGAAACATGATGTAGGTGTACCGGTCTATCAAAATTCATATCCAACATTACCAGGTGTAATACAGTATGTTACAGCGACACTACCTGTAGACAGGTGTAATACAGTTTATTACAGCGACACTACCTGTAGACAGGTGTAATACAGTATGTTACAGCTTCACTACCTGTAGCCAGGTGTAATACAGTATGTTATAGCGACACTACATGTAGACAGGTGTAATACAGTATGTTATAGCGACACTACCTGCAGACAGGTGTAATACAGTATATCACAGCTACACTACCTGTAGACAGGTGTAATACAGTATGTGACAGCTACACTACCTATTGACAGGTGTAATACAGTATATTACAGCTACACTACCTGTACACAGGTGTAATACAGTATGTTACAGCTACACTACCTGTAGACAGGTGAAATACAGTATGTGACAGCTACACTACCTATTGACAGGTGTAATACAGTATATTACAGCTACACTACCTGAACACAGGTGTAATACAGTATGTTACAGCTACACTACCTGTAGACAGGTGTAATACAGTATATTACAGCTACACTACCTGTAGACAGGTGTAATATAGTATATAACAGCTACACTACCTATAGATAGGTGTAATACAGTAAGTTACAGCTACACTACCTGTAGACAGGTGTAATACAGTATGTTATAGCGACACTACCTGTAGACAGGTGTAATACAGTATGTTACAGCTTCACTACCTGTAGACAGCTGTAATATAGTATGATATAGCGACACTACCTGTAGACAGGTGTAATACAGTATGTTATAGCGACACTACCTGTAGACAGGTGTAATACAGTATATGACAGCTACACTACCTGTAGACAGGTGTAATACAGTATATGACCGCTACACTACCTATAGAGAGGTGTAATACAGTATGTTACAACTACACTACCTGTAGACAGGTGTAATACAGTATATTACAGCTACACTACCTGTACACAGGTGTAATACAGTATGTTACAGCGACACTACCTGTAGCCAGGTGTAATACAGTATGTTACAGCTTCACTACCTGTAGCCAGGTGTAATACAGTATGTTATAGCGACACTACCTGTAGACAAGTGTAATACAGTATGTTACAGCTTCACTACCTGTAGCCAGGTGTAATACAGTATGTTATAGCGACACTACATGTAGACATGTGCAATACAGTATGTTACAGCTACACTACCTGTAGACATGTGTAATACAGTATATGACAGCTACACTACCTGTAGACAGGTGTAATATAGTATGTTACAGCTACACTACCTGTAGACAGGTGTAATACAGTATATTACAGATATACTACCTGTACACAGGTGTAATACAGTATATTACAGACATAATATTGGTAGACAGGTGTTATACAGCATATTACAGATAAACTATCGGTAGACAGGTGAAACATATTACCTGTAGGTAGGTGAGTCAGTCTGACAGCACTCTCTGTTTTATTGACATGTTGTCCTCCTTTACCTGTGGCTGTTGTTGTCTCTAGTTTGATCTCCTTTGGGTCTATTACCATATCAATCTGAAAAGGCATTGTTACTATCAATAAAAATTTTCTGTATAAAATAAGAATACATAAATTCATCTAATAATGATATCAAAATGTCGGAGATTTTTACCAACTCTGAAAAGATAATTTTTGAGAATCTTGTTGTGTTAAGACAATAACATTTCTGTAGATTGTGATACTACATCTGCATCTGTATATGCTGTGGTAAGATAATAATACTGTACCTGTATATGTTATGGCAAGACAACTGCACCTCTTTATGCTGTGGTAGGACTCCTTAACCTCTATAGGTTGTGGTAGGACTACTGTACCTCTATAGGCTGTGATAGGATTACTGTACCTCTATAAGTTGTGGTAGGACTACTGTACTTCTATAGGCTGTGGTAGGATTACTGTACCTCTATAGGCTGTGGTAGGATTACTGTACCTCTATAGGTTGTGGTAGGATTACTGTACCTCTATAGGTTGTGGTAGGACTACTGTACCTCTATAGGCTGTGGTAGGATTACTGTATCTCTATAGGTTGTGACATGACTACTGTACCTCTAAAGGTTGTGGTAGGTCTACAGTACCTCTATAGGTTGTGGTAGGATTACTGTACCTCTATAGGTTGTGGTAGGACTACTGTACCTCTATAGGTTGTGGTAGGATTACTGTACCTCTATAGGCTGTGATAGGATTACTGTACCTCTATAAGTTGTGGTAGGATTACTGTACCTCTATAGGTTGTGGTAGGATTACTGTACCTCTATAGGCTGTGATAGGATTACTGTACCTCTATAGGTTGTGGTAGGACTACTGTACCTCTATAGGTTGTGGTAGGATTGCTGTACCTCTATAGGTTGTGGTAGGATTACTGTACCTCTATAGGCTGTGATAGGATTACTGTATTTCTATAGGCTGTGGTAGGATTAATGTACCTCTATTGGCTGTGATAGGATTACTGTACCTCTATAGGTTGTGGTAGGACTACTGTACCTCTATAGGTTGTGGTAGGATTACTGTACCTCTATATGTTGTGGTAGGTCTACAGTACCTCTATACTGTAGATTCTGTTAAGACTACTCTACCTCTGTGTGTGGTAGGGTTACTGTACCTCTACAGGTTGTGATAAGTCTAAAGTACCTCTATACTGTAGATTCTGTTAAAACTACTCTACCTCTGTAGGCTGTGGTAGGACTGCTACTGTTGCTGTACTGGTGTGAACCCTTCCTTGTTGCTCAGTAGCAGGCACCCTTTGGACACGATGAACACCAGACTCAAACTTGAAGAACTTATACACATCCTCTCCTTTGATAGAAGCTGAAGCTTTCCTGATACCACCTGTGTCACAGTACATGTAGATTAGTATAAAACCACCGTTATCAGTGTAATAACACTCATTACATTAACTTTTGTTATGACAACATGTGCTAACTTAGCAGTAAAATGAAAAATTCACACACACATATCATAAATCTCCTAAGAATGAAATTTTGTGTAAGATCTTCTATATTGATCACTCTCTGGTGAAGAGAGTTAATGAATATCTAATATCTGTACCATTTCTTTCCAATTTCTCATTCAATTTGTAAATTTTCTTTACACTTATTTGACATGTGGCCTGTGGGTAACGATCAATTAGACACAAGAACAATGCACTGCACACTGTCTGTGTGCATACTCAAGATATCTCAACATGTGAAAAGGTTTGATTCTTGCAAGATAATATTAGATCTAAAATAACTAGTCAACAAGTATTTATAGAATATGAGAAGATATATCAGCGATATAAATAAATATTAATAGAGCAAAATTGAAAGGGAGATAACTGTAACAAAACACAGGGACAAACAGGCCAGATATGAAATTCAGTACCCAACATGGTAGATATGAAATTCTGGCCTTAAGTTATCAGATACAAAATGTTCTAGTATTATATATAAAAGATATTAAGATCTGGCCTCATACATAACATATAAGGTATATAAGCATATATGTTCTGGTCTCTAAATCAAGGTATAGTTATTAATGTGGATTTCCAATGGAATGTTTCATGAAGATTTAAATGCCCCAGGATTTGCTACATGGGCCAAGAATATCACTTAACAACTGGTTTTCAGTTGAAATGTAAATGCAAAAGTGTTATGAACTTTCATATCAAAATGAGAACTAGGGCTATTGGAAATAAAGACTAAGGAAATTAGAAAAATAAGTAACAAAGTTTGGACTGCCAACATATTTGCTGACTGTTAGAAAGTTACATGTACACACATTTTTAGTAAATCATCAAGAGTACCACAGAACCTCCCCCCCCCCCCAATAGATCACTAATACCTACCTGTGGCTGTGTCATCATCATAATCATCTTGTGTAAATTCCCAGTTCTTGTACTTGGCCACTCCTTGGTACATTTCAAAGAGTTCAGCAGCAAACAGCATAGCCTCTTGTCCACCAATCCCTTGGTACACCTCCAGTATTATGTCATTTTTATCTGTACTTTCCTTTGGTATGATGCAGCTTAATATCTATCAAATTAAATATGTATTCAATTATCATTATTTCAGTGACTTGCTCCGAACCCAATAGCAAATTAGGAATTACAGTTGCTATCAGTACATATATGGAAATTTCTCTTAAGTTGTTTTTCCTCTCAAAAACTGATCAATATAGATTTTAAATGTTTGTTAAATGATTCAACTTTTTTCAGGCATTATAGTATGTAAATGAAAGAAAATACTTGGACAAAACACAAAAGCAGAGAATTCTCCGAACCTCTTGTTTCACTTCTTCAATCTGCGTTCTGTAATCTCTTTTTTCCTGCTCTGCCATGTAACGTATCTCTTCATCCTCTGGCCCTAGGCCTAAAACATTTTGATACATATTTGTGTTAGCAAGGTTTTGATAGCATCCTAGGATTTCGATGATTTAGTATCAACAGGGTGACTAGAAAAAGATAAATTATATTACATGTGATTAGTGGAATAAGTGGATCTGTCCTCACAAATTTTGATGATAAGATTTCACAACTGTTTTTGTCAATTTCTATCTCAGGTAAGACTTAATGGAAGTGTGTACAATATCTTAACTTGTGAGGAAAACTAGAGTATCCGAGAAGACTTGTTTGACTAAACAAATGTGTTTAAATTGAACTCCAAGAGTCATGACAAAACAATATGTCAAGTGGATCCCTATCAGGAAGACTGCTGTTGTATTCATCTTCCTTCTATATCTTATTTGCCCTTTGTTAATTTCCTTTACATCAATAATGAACCAAGTTTTGTCTCTGTTAAAAAAGAGAATCTTATAAATCACTCTCCTTTACAGAGATGTTGTTGTTCAATCAAAAGCAACAACACTTTTCTTATTTTATAAGATAATAACAAAATAATTTTTTAAAATCACTGAAATTGTTCTTACATGGTAATTTCAATTTTTAGTAATTAACAGATGTTTTCAGAGCCATCAAAAGTTGGACAAAGTTTTTTTAAGAATTTTTTTTTTCATATCAGTTAAACAGCAGTAAAATAAGTTTCACAACTTTAAAGTACATAACAATGATGTTTAATTACCAGAGATCAGTGTTGTCAGAGTGTTGTAATCTTTCAATTTCTGTAGGAAGTCTTCTCGTAGTTCCATGATAGGGTGTAGATTCTGCATACGTCTCTTTTCACTTTTTTCCATATGTGATTTATTTTGTAGATCAAGAAATTCATCATTCAGCTTATCAAGGTATTTTTCTAAAAGTTCTAATGATACACGGGTAGTTACTGATGAATGATCACGGGTGCTGATGACTTCAGTTGTCTTTACTGTATTAAGACAATTTAATAAATTCTTTTGAACCTTAAAAATGCCGGATACACAAGAACTTGATATTTTGCCACAGCTCTGTGATGAGAAAGTCCTCTTATGTAAATTTGGCCAAATATCAGATGGTGTCTTTTTCACAACCAAATGACTGACCAAATAGTGTGTCTTTGATAATGATCTGTGAAAATAATTTTCTTTGTGTTGATGTGCTTTTAGACATTTATGAAATCCTCTTTGTTGAAATAAAGCTAGGCAGTATGGTGTAGTCAATTTCCTTGTGTGTCTCCAGCTTTCAACAAATGCTTTCTTCAAATTATGAGATGATGACATCTTCACATATGAATTTACACAATCACAGGAACATTCTAAAAAGTGAAGGAAACAGTCAATTAGAATTTTTTAAAATCTAAGTGTTCTTCACTTAAGATATATCTCCATGCAAACCTGTAATGTTTAATACACTGAGTGCAATCAATTGCAAAGTTAAAATTGAGTATTCTAATCACACATTTCTCAGAAACAGTTAAACCTGTTTGTTATAGCTAATCAAGGGAGCAGAGATATATGGTCATTAAAGGTATGTGTCTTTGATATTATTCAATAATTATGTGCTGTAATATATTAAGACACAAAACCAGAGGGATTTTACAGACAAGTATTTGTATTAGACACTGAAAGCTGTCCTGTACGATATGTTTAACTGTAACTCTAAAATATATGTAAAGAAAGACTGAAATGAACTAATTTTACTTCATATTAAAATATTTTTTCATTCCATGAATTTTATTGAATGACAAAGGCAAATGGATTAGTAAACAGACACATCCATCCTTTATAACTCCTCAAATATGGTCAAATAGAGACATTTGACAAAATGTCCATTTTAACATAATACAATTTGATTCATATGACATTCTACGTATTATATCTATTGTGGCACATTGCAATACAAACGAGGAACTTGACTGCCGTAACATGTTGGATTGTTTGCTAGGTTCACCTCTTATATAGCCAATGTCATCTTGAGGCGATTCTCCTTGAAGGTCCGCTGCATGTTATACAAATCCGTGTGGGTAAACTTTATAATGTTTTGTTGTTAATATAACATCATTTCTCATATCTATATAACCATATTTCAATAGTAAAGCTGATCATGCCAAATAGCCAATGGCCGACCGGGTAGTTGTGCCGAGAGATTTCTACTGTAGTTGCCCCCTCGAACAAATATAATTGGCAGGCGACGGAAAGTCCAAAGTAATATTGGTATCAATAATCATTATATAGGTGAAAATAACACTTACCGTTAACTCCACTTGTGCAATGTCACCGTTTACCAAGCTGCATGTTCCAAGGGCGCAGACATCTTGGTTTTGTCCAAATTTAAAAATTTTATGCGGAAAGAAGTATTAACAAAATACGTTATTGATACAAACCAGATGTAAAGCATTGAGCGTTATTGCAAAAAGCATCAACATTAAATGTAATGCTATGATAATATCTTCAATATTTATCATTGTATGAAAAAGAATACTACACGTGTTTTATGCATTCGATATTTTCAGGAAAACAAATTTGCAAAATATATTTACCACCGCTACACAAACTTTCATCAGAAAGAATGGCCACCAAAAGAAAGCCAGAGAGCCAAGAGTCTTTCAGAGTCCCGATCGAGGAGAGCGATGAACTTGTCATTACGCCATTGTAAATATCATTTAAGTTAACACCGAAGTGATCAGATATGTTGGTTGAGTATATACATGTAATGATGTCAGTGTCTCCCAAAATGAGAACCTGATATCGGCAGATGTAGAGATTTGAATTATATTTGATAGAAGATATGTGGTAAAGTTGACGCATTTTTAAAAATTATTTTATTAATCCCAATTGATAGATAGATATTTACAACTACCATTTACAACAAGTTCTTGACAACTTCATGTAATATTATTCATAATTGTGTTGTTTGAATAAGACACATCAATGATCAACCTTTGTTGAAGTGGCCTTCAAAGTCATGAAGTGTCAACATTTTTCACTAATGTCTGGTATCTATATAATTTAAATAGAAAACTCAATTGATGTCTGTTCTAATGGTTCATTTTTTTTGGATATGTTCTGTTTATGAAGTGAATTAAGTATTGGGATAATTTAATGGTACATAGCATGTTTCTTACATGTACATATAAATAAATGGTGACATAAAAAATTGTTTTAAATGTCAATGTGATTCACTGTTTTTGATAACAATGTCTCTGCCATGACTGACGATGACAGGTCATGTGGTGCACCATAATATACTCGCCTGACGCCTTTTAAAAATCAACAGTACTGTGACTGATTTTGAAGTATCTGCATTTGTCTAACATCTTTCTCAATATATTGACACATTATTATATCCTTTGACTGTTCAAAATATAAACTGTAAACATAATGATCCTCTCCTTAATTAACAATTTGAAGATTTTATAGCATGTTTTTTAATATGCTTTAATGTTGCAGGGGTGCAGGGCAAGAGGTTGGACGATCATGTCACCTTTTGGAGTTTAAAGGAAAGAAAATTATGGTAATGTCAAAGTTGACCTTTTCATTTCATTCTCTTCCGACTTTTTGTTTCGGGGATGAATTTTGTTGTTCTTGGATGCAGAATTGTTTTTGTCTTTATTGTTAATCAGTAGTCATAATTGTTTTAACTTGCATTGGTGTAATAATATGTTTTTTTTAAACTTGTATTTGTGTTTATATTTATCAGTGGTATTTAACGGTGAATCAAAACCATTTTTTTTTTTCAAAAATTTTATGTTTCTAGTTACATAGATTGTTCTAAGAATTGTGTGAGTTTCACATGAAGAGCATAAGTTCATGAAAGACCGAATATCTGTGTCCCAAAAATTAGTGATTGGTCATCAAAGATCAATGTTTTTGGAGACGCATGGTAATTCATGGATGACATTACACACACAAGAACCCAGGACACAAAAACAAAAGAACCATCCTTTGAACATCATGTAACCCTGGTAAAACACTAGTCGCAATATGCCACTTGGCTTGGAAGAATTTTTCTTTAGCTTGATTGGTTCAGCGTCTGACTAGTAAACCACGGGTCCTAGGTTCGATTCCTAGCGGAGGCAATGAAATATAGAATGAACTCTGTTACATTGGTGCCCATGTAGGGACCCTTGTATAGTACTTTTCCATGCCCCACCAGCATTGCTGTAACCCTTGGAAACTCCAGGACAAGTTATTTCTTGGAAGGGGAGTATGTAACCCTGGTAAAAATACTAGCCGCAATATACCACTCGGCTAGGGAGAAGTTCTCTTTAGCTCGATTTGTTGCGTGTCAGACTAGTAAGCCAGGGGTCCTGGGTTCGATTCCTAGCGGAGGCATTGAAATAAATAATGACCCCTGTTTTTCATTTTCAAGTCTTTTATGAATCTGATTAATAAGAAATTAACAGGTCTCGCTGGAAAGCACAAGTCCATGTCCCAAATATCTTGAGCCCAAAAAAGGCTAGTTTCTACCGAAACATACTGTCATATTAATAATACACATGACCATGATATCTTGTCTCTGATTATCAGCTGGACTGTGGAATACACCCCGGCCTGAATGGCATGGCTTCCCTACCTTTTCTGGATCTTGTGGATGTAGAGGAGATTGATCTACTGTTGATGAGTCAGTAAGTGATCAAGCAGAAATAATGGGATAAAATTATCACAAAAATCAGTTGTATCAGAACGTTTAATCATTATACTGTGTTTATCTATTTAAGCAGCATGCTGATATTCACCAAGGGAAATAACCCATTGTCTTATTGATTGACTTGATGGAACATACAGCACTGCATATGAATCATTGCTCCATTTCAAATGGTTAGAATAATGCTAACATTGTATGTTTTTAATGTACACTGTATTTGGAAATGTTTTTTTTTTTTTTAGCTTTCATCTGGATCATTGTGGTGCATTACCTTTCTTTCTGGAGAAAACAGAATTCAAAGGCAGATGTTTTATGACACATGCTACCAAAGCTATATTTCGATGGTTGTTGTCAGATTATGTAAAAGTCAGGTAAGTTCACTTTAGATGGGATGTTTATATCAGCGATAACACTGACATCTCACCATCAAAAGTTTGTGTATGTTTAGGCCAAGTATCTTGTGTTGTATTAACTGTATGTATACAAATCCTTTTGGTATTCTTTTGAATATGTGCTGGTAATGTAGGACTCTACCACTGCTTTATAAATTCTCAGACATGGTTCAGATTTAGTGAAGAAATTTTACAGACTTTCCTTCTGTATTGCATGTGTTATGACACCCCTAGTAGAAATTTGATTTTGTATTTCAGTAATATTGCCACAGATGACATGTTATATACAGAAAAAGATATAGAAAACAGTATGGATAAGATAGAAACCATCAATTTTCACCAGGTAAGGCTGCTGGCAATTTATCTGTCATATATACATTTACATATTTCATTGTTTATAACATATCAGGTCCAGTTTTTATATTTTTAACCTGCATATATATGATCCCACCATCATCAGATGGTGGGCCGTTTGAATCACTTTGTGTCAGTGGTCTAGCATCTGTCTGTCCTTACTCAGTTCTTGTAATTGCTATTTCTTGAAAAGTGCTGGATGACTGATTTTCAAATTTTATGTGTATATCCCCCATTGTTAAATAATTTCTCGGGTAACAAGCTGGAGTATCATTAGATAGAAGTTTGTTTAGAATACTATAGTATTAGTGGTGGCCATTTAAAAAGAATTTTTACATTCTCAACAGTAGAAAAAATAGATCCTGCAGAAACCATAAAAAAAACTGTACATGGCTAAAACTCAGTATTTTCTTTTCCAGGAAGTGGAAATCAACGGAATCAAATTTTGGTGCTATACTGCAGGACATGTATTAGGTGCAGCTATGTTTATGATAGAAATTGCTGGTGTAAAGGTGAGTTATGCCTCAAATTAGACAGATTATATGCATTTCACTTAATTTAAAGAAATGGCAAAATAGATCAGTATTTGTTAACAGAAATAAATTTTCTCTTTTTTCTCTAAAATCATAAATTGCTGACTTAAAGCTTGATAACATTAGTACCTGATCAAATGTTTATATAATTTACCACAGAAGTATTTAAACCAACATTAGGAGTCATGACAAGACAATCAGAAACATGGTTTCAATTGTATATGTTCAGTACTTTTTGACATTCCTTATCAACTGATAAATACTGATGAAAAACTCAGCTCAATATCTCTTGCATTGAGTCCAAATCAGGCTTGATTTAACTGTTTTATTTCAGATATTATATACTGGAGACTTTTCCCGACAAGAAGACAGACATTTAATGGCAGCTGAAATCCCAAATGTTCATCCTGATGTAGTCATAATTGTAAGTTCATTGGGAGGACATATTCTAAATTAATGTAAACTGGATCATAAATGTATGTCTAGTTTGATATAGGTTGTTAATGCTAACCTGTCATAAAGGGTTATTCAAGGTATGGATAAATATAGTGCATTTCTGATAAAACAATCTGGGAAGACATGTTCCTGATCAATGCCATTTTTTGCCAAATTTGTTGATAAGTTTTGGTGATATTTATAGGAATCCACATATGGTACACATATTCATGAAAAAAGGGAAGACAGGGAGGCAAGATTTACTGGACTAGTCCATGATATAGTGAGCAGGGGAGGCAGATGTCTCATTCCCGTGTTTGCATTAGGTCGAGCCCAAGAGTTGCTGCTAATTCTAGGTAAGCATATACAGAAGCACTGCCATCTCGCCGAGTGTTTACTAGATGTGGGTTTGAGGAAATTGTTTATTTTCTAAGTATTCTTTTTGACAAGCCATTGTCATTTGGTTGAGCTATTTAATTTTAGAACTATAACAATATTGATTCCAACTTTAAAAGTCTTGAATTTAAGTAAAATCTAAATTATAATACAGAAGTGGTGCCTGAAAAAAATGATTTTGTAGTTGTTTGTCGTGCATAATTTTATGGAAATGACTTTGTGTTTTAGATGAGTATTGGAGTAATCACCCTGAGTTACACGACATTCCTATCTACTATGCTTCATCTCTCGCAAAAAAGTGTATGAGCGTTTATCAGACATACATCAATGCTATGAATGAAAAGATTCGCAGACAGATCACCATCAGCAACCCGTTTGTCTTCAAACACATATCTAATCTCAAGGTAGGATACATCGCAGCCACCATACTTCTCATGTAAAGATTTAACAAATTGTCATCACTCACATTCAGCATCACTAATATACTTACTAGGGTGTTCATGCTTTCGCCCACACCAAGTAAGATATAATAATTCTTCATGGCGGTACCAGATTTATATACTTTTACTGAGGATCTTTTGAATTAATACTTCCAAGCATTGACAAAACTACTTGAATATCTTTGTATATTTGAAATACAAAGTGTACACAATAAAGCGAGAATATTTCACAATAGCAATACCAAACAGCGACCTTGTACTTTCACCAAAGTATATAAATCTGTGCAGTCTTAAATTGTGTAACTATAAGAATCACAAACATCATGATAAACTCATTTTCAACATTAAAATTTACTTGTCATTTTTTATCACTTATAAAGTTTACCCTCAAAAGCATGTCTTAAAAGTTTCTTTGATAGTAAAACTAAGCTCCAAATATAAACTGGAAGTTGATGTTACATTGTTTGTAAAAAGAATCTAGTATCAATACAGCATCTGTCAACAAGATGATGGAAGTAACAGCACATAATTAGCAGTATTCCTATACATCATTATTTTTATATGTGTCTGTCAATTGTGAATAAAATAATTGTGCTCTTCAAATTTATCATATGCATGCATGAAATCAAAACTCAGTTTTCTAACTATTTCAAGGGAGGACAATACAGATTTACATATTGGCTGATAGCTGATCTAGAGGCAGTGTTATATTCATAACTTTCAAAAGCTCCAGATCATAACATAACCCATGATATAATTACTTAATAATGAAATACCAGATTCACATGCTTATACTGTCTATATTGAAATTTCCTCCCTTATAATTATGATTCAAAATGACTGAAATATTTGATTGTGTGAAAAACAAAATATCTAAAAATGTGTCCACCTACATTTTCTTTGTCTTATGTGGTCTGATTTGTAATGAAAGTGATTGGTTATTGGTAAATTATCTCCCATTGTAGAGCATGGAGCACTTCGAGGATATTGGCCCCTCTGTTGTACTGGCCAGTCCTGGTATGATGCAAAGTGGTCTGTCTCGTGAACTGTTTGAGAATTGGTGTACAGACAAACGAAATGGCTGTATAATTGCTGGGTACTGTGTGGAAGGCACACTGGCCAAGGTAAGCACTGGTATACATTACAGATTAACGGACAGACATTGCAGGGGAAAAGACAGACATAAGAAATATACAGATTCTTTATGCTCAAATACTGATACTGATTCTAGTGAGAGTGTTGGTTTGTATACTAGGGTACAAGTTAACAAGTTAAGTTATGTAGTTTGTCAGCGATATTTCCTTCCTGAATTTCTCTTGAATTATTTTGTCACTTTGGGTATATAGTGCTCTTTAAGTTAGGGCAGTCTGTATGTTTCAGCTGTAAAAGAAGGAGAGAAATCATTGCTAATAATCAACTTACATTAAATAACTAGCAATTTGTACAGGATAAAACATGGGATTTCAATAATGATAGTTTAATCTTGGATAACTATTCAGATAGTTCTGTCTTAGAGAAAAATAATGAAGATGTGTTGATCATGTTTGGTCTGATTTCAGCATATACTTTCCGAGCCAGATGAAATTGTGACGATGGCTGGACAGAAGTTACCAATGAAATGTTCAGTGGATTATATATCATTCTCAGCACATACTGACTATCAACAGACCAGCGAGTTTCTACGGGCACTTAAACCCCCACATGTGGTGAGTTGTACAATACAAGCACTTAAACCCCCACATGTGGTGAGTTGTACAATACAAGCACTTAAACCCCCACATGTGGTGAGTTATACAATACAAGCACTTAAACCCCCACATGTGGTGAGTTGTACAATACAAGCACTTAAACCCCCACATGTGGTGAGTTGTACAATACAAGCACTTAAACCCCCACATGTGGTGAGTTGTACAATACAAGCACTAAAACCCCCACATGTGGTGAGTTATACAATACAAGCACTTAAACCCCCACATGTGGTGAGTTGTACAATACCAGCACTTAAACCCCTACATGTGGTGAGTTGTACAATACAAGCACTTAAACCTCCACATGTGGTGAGTTGTACAATACAAGCACTTAAACCCCCACATGTGGTGAGTTGTACAATACAAGCACTTAAACCCCCACATGTGGTGAGTTGTACAATACAAGCACTTAAACCCCCACATGTGGTGAGTTTTACAATACAAGCACTTAAACCCCCACATGTGGTGAGTTGTACAGTAAAAGCACTAAAACCCCCACATGTGGTGAGTTATACAATACAAGCACTTAAACCTCCACATATGGTGAGTTGTACAGTAAAAGCACTAAAACCCCCACATGTGGTGAGTTATACAATACAAGCACTAAAACCTCCACATGTGGTGAGTTGTACAGAACAAACTCTTAAAACTCCATATGTGGTGAGTTGTACAGTAAAAGCACTTAAACCTCCATATATGGTGAGTTGTACAGTAAAAGCACTTAAACCTCCACATATGGTGAGTTGTACAGTGCAAGCACTAAAACCTCCACATGTGGTGAGTTGTACCATGCAAGCACTAAAACCCCCACATGTGGTGAGTTGTACAATACAAGCACTTAAACCTCCACATATGGTGAGTTGTACAGTGCAAGCACTAAAACCCCTGCATGTGGTGAGTTGTACCATGCAAGCACTTAAACCCCCACATGTGGTGAGTTGTACAATACAAGCACTTAAACCCCCACATGTGGTGAGTTGTACAGTAAAAGCACTTAAACCCCCACATGTGGTGAGTTGTACAATACAAGCACTTAAACCCCCACATGTGGTGAGTTGTACAGTAAGTATTAAGACCTCCACATGTGGTGAGTTGTACAGTACAAGTACTAAATCCCAGCATGGACTGAATATTCTGAACTAACATTGTGAAATCCTAGTATATTGAACCTCATTTCTGGTTGTCACTGCAGTAATGGTTGTTTTTTTTATCAGATTAATATTATATTTCGCTGCTAAAATGCTGTAAATATAGATATTTCATTGTGTTTACAGGTACTTGTACATGGCGAGCAAAATGAGATGTCCCGTTTGAAGGCAGCACTGATCCGGGAGTACGAGGATGACACAGAGTACCAGATGTTGGTCCACAATCCTCGTAACACTGTCCCTGTTACTCTCCACTTCAGGGGAGAAAAGATGGCCAAGGTATTCATCCAGTGTCTTGTGCTCTCATCATTTGTAGTCTTTTTATTAAGGTCTAATTTTGTCATCTAGAAAGATCTTAAGTCCTGACAGCCATTTGTTGTATCAGATTTCCTTATTTTCAATAATTTTGTCTACATGAAAATCCCAAATTAAAAGAAAGCATTGATAATAAAGTGAAAATGTTTTAAACATAGGTTGAAGTCCCCACTACCATTAAAACATCTTTCTTGTAATTATGATGATACTGATTTCTGTTAATTTGCACAGGTTGTTGGAAAGTTGGCTGCAGAAAAACCTATCCAAGACCAAAAAGTGACAGGGATTTTGGTGAAACGGAATTTCAACTATCACATAATGCACCCAAGTGATTTGTCAAGTGAGTATAATCTAATAAAAACCTGAACAGACAGTAAACACTCATCTAGATAAAGTCTACTCTATCTTAAATAAATAAGTAGTGATGTGTATTCTCAATCACTTTCTTTCACTTACTTGTGGAAATTCATACATGCTGATACTTTTGTTATATCAACCCTAACTAAAAATGACACTAACTTGGTGATAAACTCCAGCAAACACAAATTTATTATGCCTTCCATTTTTAATGAGGAACATATACGTGTCTACCATGTCTGTCAGTCCAGTGTCATCACATCCCATTTTAAATTGATCTGATCTACCTACAGGCTATACAGACCTAGCCATGGCCACAGTGACACAGAGGTTGAGTATCGCCTACACTGGTACCATCAATCTGCTGCGCTACTACCTCAATCAGTTGTCTGGCGATGTAGAGCAGTACATGTCAAATGACAAACCTGCCCTTAAGATTTTCAAGGCTGTTACTGTGCTGGTGGAACCCAAGATGGCTGTCGTGGAGGTATTATACACCAAGCAACTGACCACTGATATTATATTAATAATCAATTGATAGAGATAGTTTGACATAATTTAATAAGCAACATTTTTATTTTGTCATATTTTTTCTCAAAGTCCTACTTCTGGTAAGCATAAATATATAAGTTGTTTCTACCTATAAATTTGTAAAATTTTACTAAATTAAAATAAAAATTACAATTTATAAACTCCATAACAGATGACAGTTAATTGAATGACAATTTGTTGTAGTGGGTTGCTAACCCAGTGACAGACATGTATGCTGATGCTGTGGTTACTGTTGTACTGCGAGCCGAGACGGACCCAATGCCACATAAATGTGAGTAACATGAGTGAGAGAATGACTTTTGTAAGGACTTAGTGCAAATAATAAGTGTAAAGAAACAATGATAAATTTTCTGTGTGTGCTTTCAATCATTATATACCACATAGTCTTAAAGGCTATCTATTTCAGAAATAGTTGTATTGGTTGGAGTGAGGGGAAAAGATGATTTAAGATATTAAGGATAAGGAGTAATTCCTTGGATATGAAGGTTTCCTTTGGTCCCTTGTCCAATTTTGACACTAAATCAGGATTTTACAATCACTAACACAAAGGTATTTTATAGATTATTGATTTTTGTGGAAAATTAGTAGCACATCCTAAAAGATTTTCATGAGATTGTTGGAAAATTTAGTAATAGAAATTCATCTGTCTGTCCATGTGATACTTTCAAGAATCCTATTATAAGTTTAGTATTGAGGAATTTATCTGTCTGTCCATGTGATACTTTCAAGAATCCTATTATAAGTTTAGTATTGAGGAATTTGTCTGTCTGTCCATCTAACACTTTCAGGAATTCTGTTTTAAGTTTAGTATTGAGGAATTTGTCTGTCTGTCCATCTAACACTTTCAGGAATTCTGTTATAAGTTTAGTATTGAGGAATTTGTCTGTCTGTCCATGTGACACTTTCAGGAATTCTGTTATAAGTTTAGTATTGAGGAATTTGTCTTTCTGTCCATCTAACACTTTCAGGAATTCTGTTATAGGTTTAGTATTGAGGAATTTGTCTGTCTGTCCATCTAACACTTTCAGGACATCTGTTATAAGTTTAGTATTGAGGAATTTGTCTGTCTGTCCATCTAACACTTTCAGGAATTCTGTTATAAGTTTAGTATTGAGGAATTTATCTGTCTGTCCATCTAACACTTTCAGGAATTCTGTTATAAGTTTAGTATTGAGGAATTTGTCTGTCTGTCCATCTAACCCTTTCAGGAATTCTGTTATAAGTTTAGTATTGAGGAATTTGTCTGTCTGTCCATCTAACACTTTCAGGAATTCTGTTTTAAGTTTAGTATTGAGGAATTTTTTCTGTCTGTCCATCTGACACTTTCAGGAATTCTGATATAGGTTTAGTATTGAGGAATTTAGCTGTCTGTCCATGTGACACTTTCAGTTATAAGTTTAGTATTGAGGAATTTGTCTGTCTGTCCATCTAACACTTTCAGGAATTCTGTTATAAGTTTAGTATTGAGGAATTTTTTCTGTCTTTCCATCTGACACTTTCAGGAATTCTGATATAGGTTTAGTATTGAGGAATTTAGCTGTCTGTCCATGTGACACTTTCAGGAATTCTGTTATAAGTTTAGTATTGAGGAATTTGTCTGTCTGTCCATCTAACACTTTCAGGAATTCTGTTATAAGTTTAGTATTGAGGAATTTTTTCTGTCTTTCCATCTGACACTTTCAGGAATTCTGATATAGGTTTAGTATTGAGGAATTTAGCTGTCTGTCCATGTGACACTTTCAGGAATTCTGTTATAAGTTTAGTATTGAGGAATTTGTCTGTCTGTCCATCTGACACTTTCAGGAATTCTGTTATAAGTTTGGTATTGAGGAATTTTTTCTGTCTTTCCATCTGACACTTTCAGGAATCTTGATACAGGTTTAGTATTGAAGCATTGGTCTATTGTCCATTAGAGACCCACAGGGTTAAAGAGTCAAAGGTTGCATTTTACGACTGATGCAAATTATCAAACTATATTGCTTACCGTATATGATGGGAAGGGGGACATTCATGTGTTACAGATGTTTTCTAGACTTGAATAGTTTGTTAATATGATTTGTATAGGTAGCATTTTCAATCAGTTGTACCATTCACAGATGTACCACCTGCTGTGAAAGTGGACCGTGGACACATCACAGAGTGTTTGATCGAGATGTTCACAGATATGTTTGGAACTGATAGTGTTGGAAAGTTCATAAAGGGAGACAAGATGACAATCACCATCGATGATAACACAGCCGTCATTAATATAGACACATTAGTAAGTAGACACATTAAACATGATATTTCTGCAATTTGATATCAATATTTTTTCAATTGGATAATGAATCTGTTTTTACATACTAGCTCTCTTGAAATGTTAATATCGTAGAATTTAAAGTAACAGTGTCAATATGATTTACTGTTGTCTTAGCTGTAAGAAAAATCCTCAATCACTTGACTTTTCTCAAAATTAATAGATACGATATTAACTATGTAACCTAAAACCTGTCTGGTGTGGACACCAGTGTAAACCTGACATTTAAGCAGACCCCATGGTGTTGACATCTGTAGATTTATCTAATAAAAAAAAAAAAATCTCATTTCACTTCATTTTTATCCATGTTATGTAGAATGTAGAAGTCTGCCAGGACCCCTAATCACTTCAACAGTTAATGAAATGTACACTTTTTTGGTATTGGATAGCAGATTTACTGTCGATTAATGACTTACCTCTTTGCTCTTCATATTGTGTTTAAAAATATTAAAAATATGAAAGGTTAATTCTTGGCTGAAATAACGATAAATCTCATTTTAGCACTACAGTTATATTTCTATATATTAGATTTATCTGATTGGTTAAAAGTTTGTGACTATGCTAATTATAAAAGATAATTGGAATGATGATTTCCAGATCTTCATGTACAACAGACACATGTTTTAACTAGACTGACCTGAGAATTGAAAGAACAGGTGTGTTCCGATTGGCCCTATTATTTACTGGGATGTGATGTTTTAAGTTTTGTTTTCGTATTTATATACACTGAAATTTGGTTTACACTTAATGCATTGTGTAAGGATGATTATTGTCCGTTTTACACACATTAATTCATGGATTTAGGACTTACAATTAAAATCAACAAAAAATAAAACTCCTCTCCAAAATTAGTACAATGAATACAGAATAAGATTATATTCTTTTGTTGACAAAAACTCCCCTCAAAATTGATGATTTATTACAAAATAAAGTAATGTGCCTTTTTGTCTTTTATAGGCAAAAGAAAAAATTCCCTAAAAAATAATGATTTTACAGAATAAGATAATGTACTTTTGTCTTTTGTAGGATGTGAAATGCGAGGATGAAACTCTACATCAAGTCATACAAACAAGTGTATCCAAATTAATGTTGGCCATCTCTCCTATCCGACAGCCAGCTCACTGACATCTACAATACAGAAACTGTACACAGTAGAACCGCTGTAGTGTGGACTAATTAAAGTTGCACAGAACTGTTTTACCGGAAAAAAATGGAAAATTCATTTTTCCATATTGAAGAATCTCCAACATAAAACTGTTTAAAAATGAAGGGGTGAGATGGGTGGCATCTCCATAGTGACTATACTGGTTGGCATCTCTACAGAGACTTTACTGAAGACAGTTGGGTGGCATCTCTACAGTGACTATACTGAAGACAGTTGGGTGGCATCTCTACAGTGACTTTACTGAAGACAGATGGTTGGCATCTCTACAGTGACTATACTGAAGACAGATGGGTGGCATCTCTACAGTAACTATACTGAAGACAGATGGGTGGCATCTCTACAGTGACTTTACTGAAGACAGATAGTTGGCATCTCTACAGTGACTTTACTGAAGACAGATGGTTGACATCTTTAGAGTGACTTTACTGAAGACAGTTGGGTGGCATCTCCACAGTGTCTATACTAAAGACAGATGGTTGGCATCTCTACAGTGTCTATACTGAAGACAGATGGTTGGCATCCCTACAGCATCTATACTGAAGACAGATGGGTGGCATCTCTACAGTGTTTATACTGAAGACAGATGTTGGCATCTCTACAGTGACTATACTGAAGACAGATGGTTGGCATCTCTACAGTAACTATACTGAAGACAGATGGTTGGCATCTCTACAGTGACTATACTGAAGACAGATGGTTGGCACCTCTACAGTGACTAAACTGAAGACAGATGGTTGGCATCTCTATAGTGACTCTACTGAAGACAGATGGTTGGCATCTCTACAGTGACTTTACTGCATAATTTAAGATCTGAGTGCTGAAGATAAATAATTGTTGCTGTATTATATTATGATACTAGTGCAATGTTTTATTCTGTTCTGTTGTAATGAGAGTGAAAGGTTTTGTGTCTGAGAAAGTCATGAACGTAAGTGTAACATTTAAATCAGTTTGATGTTCTTTTGTTGTCTTTAAATTGGCATGTTCACTTCACATGGTGAATGTATCTTCAGTAATGTGCATTTTACATTACACAAGATGATAGTCGCTCATTCTGATCAAGTTTTTTGTTTCTTTTCTTTTTTTCTCATTTTTTCAAAAGAAGTCATCTTTATAATGTATAAGAATTGAGAATAATTGAACTGACATAATTTCTGTTTATGGTAATCTAAAAAGAGTTACGATGTAACTAAGCTGATCATTAGTCAATACAGATAGGTAATCAGGATAGGGAAAACTTGGTATCTCTAACAATGAAAGGATAGGACAGATTTGTATATCCTGGATAGTGTCATCCTCACAGTGTGTGATAATCAAGTAGAATTTTATTTGGTTCCCAACTCTAATAGGATTTGATGGTAGCTTACACAACTTTGTTTTATACAAATACTTATACCTAAATGTAATTAAAAATTTTTTCAAAATTCTTTAATTTGTTAACTCATTCAGACAGTATTAGGATGATGTATAACTTTTTTTACAAGGTAATAAGTTTCATTTTAAGACAAATAAGAGAAATATTTGAAGATTAATTATTTCTTTTGTGTATGTAAATGAAATAGGAATAACATAAAAGATACCCTTAAATCTTCAATAACACCAATATTAACCTTTGCCCCTTCCCCATCTAACTTTTTGTTTGTCTCGGACACTAAAGATGGAAGATTTTCAAAGATTAAGCCAGGTGTACCCAAAAATTGTGAAGTCTTACAATTGTTATCCAAATCTTGTTGGTATGAATATTTCACTACTGCATTTATAGGTCAATATGAATTCCCACAAACCAATAGTAAACATTGATCTGTTTCACATTGGTCGGCCGTGTCTTAATTACAGCATTATATCATTACATGTGAATAACAAAAAGTGCTGCTAGCTTTGTTGAAAACATTGAACTTCTATAGATAATGATATGAGCATTGTCATCACATCATCTACATCATTGTTGTTATCATCTATCAATCATACAGAAGAAATGTTGTTATTAAAATATTGCTTCAGTCTAAATTGAATTTTATCTGTTTTGTTTTTACAGAAGCACCTGTCAAAGTGAAAACATTGTATCAAAGTAAATATAGATATGGAAATGAAATTATAATTGTCTAAGTAAAAAGTCACTGAGAGAATATAACTTCAGTCATTATTCCAGTTTTAAAGAAATTTTGAAAATATCAAACCGCAATAACTCTTCTAAAAATTAACAAAATTCCATGTCAAAGTTATAAAGCCTACAGAAAACTTGTCAAAAAGTGAAGACGGATATCCCTGAACAAGTTAAATCTTTGTTGAATTGTCATCAAAATGCAGTTCAGGAAAACGACCCTTCATATTATGGTTATGATACCTACAAAGTCAGAAAGAGATTAGTGGAAAACTGAGAGATTATATCCTGAGAAGTTTTGAACCATGGCAGAAATAAAGAGAAGTACTTCTTCCAATAATATTTAGATGAAAATGCCATTCCAGAAAACAATTTCACTTCATGTCAGTTGATGATGATTATACACGTTTTCTGAAACACCAATGGGAAACTTTAGATCTCAACACAAATAGAAATTATGATGAATGTTCGCACAGACAGATAACACATACACATTACTCACAAGTCAATAAAAAATAGACAAAAGAATTCCTTAAAAGAATTTATTCAAAAGTAGAGAATTGGATATCACAGTCAATGTTATTATATAATCTTGAAAAACTAGAAAGGGTTTTACTAAAACGGAAAACATGTACGTCATTACCTTGATGATAAATCTATCACAAGAACAAGCTGCCTGTTTAAATTCATTACTCCTCCACATAACACTGGTGACACTTATCTGTATCATGTGAAACTGATAATTGTAAAAACATGTTTAACTGACCATTCAAAACTGAATCCTGATTAGACATGTTTCAGTAACATACTTCAAGATAGTTGAGAGGAGATTCTATATACCAATTTTTAAAAAATACAACTTTTGATAAAAAAAAACATGAAGTTTTTGTTGAAGAACATGATTACGCAAGGATAATGAGGATAAACTGATTTAAGAATTTATTCTCTGCCGTTGGTGTGAAGTCTTCTAACAGATTCTTGGCATACCTATTGTAACTTACCGATTCTATCTTGGTTTTCAGACAAAACACAACAAACCAAAATGAAAATATCATCCATTTGAACCCTCACCTAATAGCATAACATTGCCAGAAATACGTGCATATACTGACCCTGGTTTAAACAGGAATTCTGGAAACTATTGGTTTTCATATACTCGGTTTTGGACAGGCATGTCTGTTCCTCTCAAACTGCACTTGCCAAATATTTCATAGTTAAGCCTCAGTCTAGATCTGTACCTGGCATTTCTCTTGCAGGTTCAGCCGGTTTGACTGTTCCAACCACTAATGCAACGGCTCTTAATAGTGGTACCTTACTCATAAACTGCATGCTGTAAACTTCCTCTGTTATGAACTTCCTTTTTCTCTATATCAGCAACCCTGCTTCCTTTATCCACTCTGTTTATGTTGCAGTTGATTTAATATTCTTAAATAGACTCTTGCATAACCTTGAAAAATTAGAATATTTTGGAAGTGTGTTCAAAAGGATAATCACCAGTCATTATGAGGTTATAAATACAATAAAAGTTAACTACAAATATACAAGTAGGTGCAAATCTATGTCACTCATAGTGCAATATGGGGAAATTGTTAACAAAGAACCTAATGGATAGAGTTGTTTCTCTCAACACTTGGTTTAATACAGGCTGAAGATGAAACACAAAAATAATCTTATGAAAGTTCTATAAAAATCTACCATGATGTTATTACAAATAGCAAAAAAATCATTCCATAACATATCCAATAATACCTGGAACACATAACAGTAGAAATAAAACAGCATAGATAAATGAAAACTACAGATTAACAAACAAGAGTTAACTTATATAAGTGTACAAGTTAACTATGAACTCATCAATACAGACTGGTGTAAGATGATTATAAGGTCTTTTTATCATGGACTTTCTCTTGTATGGTGAATTTATTAATTCATGCAATGAAAATGAATGTCTGTTGACTATGTATTTCTTTGCTAGGTTTGTCTCATCAAAAGCCTGGTAACTACCTCACTGAACAGAATACAGGAGGCCTGTTATATGCCATCAAGAGAAATCAGATTAAAGTACATTTCCCAAGGACATGTCAGCACACACCAATCTGTCAGTCAGCTTCCTACAAAACCTCGATCACTACAGGCAGGGAATGTTGGACCACATTCCCATTAACTAAGCTGTAATGAGGTTTTACTATATTTGGATATCACTCACTAACCAACCAACAATTGGATATCACAGGTTTACATGACTGCATGGTATGTACTGCTAACCATGTCAGTTTACAGATGCTTGCACTGACAGTCTATTTGTCGATCAAAAAGTTTTTCGATGGAAGGCAGCGCCCTTTCCTCAAACTTTCATCCAACCATTTTTCTGATACAACTACAGCATCATTAGAGATCCCAAGAGATTTCACATCCTGTAAATATACAAACAGAATTATCTGGAAGTCATCATCCTTATGGGCACAAGATCTGAACACGTCGAGAAACCACAGTAGATTCTGTACCTTGATGGTCTTAAAATTGTGGCAGTATTACAGGGAAAGTAATTACCTTGGATACCATGTCGGATATATCAGTTAGGAGGTTTGTTACAAAAGTTTGGAAAGTACAAAAAAAATAAAGCCTGTTGGTTAAGAATACTCGTGTATATTAAAATTAGGATTTGGAACGATAATGTAGATTGGCTTACCTCTGTTGAGCAGCTGGAGTGAACTATCACGTGAGTGGTTTTGTCTCCTACAGTAGATTCAACATCAGCATCATAAGTGTGAACATTAAGGGAAATCTTGTGAAAGTTTTGCACTCAATATAATCCCATATTTATCTATAAGTCTGACCAACATGTTAGACATAATCAGGTAGATTTGTAATATATAATCTTTTCACCCGAGACTTGTTTATAGATGCTCGACAACCCAGTTAGGGACTCTGCCTATGGCTTGTTATGGTTACTGCTGTTACTGTTTGAATTTTGATATTATTTCTACTGTTTTTTTTGGCATTAACTGGTGCTTCACATTTTCAAATTTCTTTTGAAAGTAGCCTGGTATGAGAAAAACTTTCTACTATCAGCTGGCTGGAGATGTGAGCCCCCTACTTCCAAGACACAAAGTCTATACAATCTAATACAGATCTCTAGACTGCTAAGTTACAGTGATGACATATATCTTTGCACAACAAGAAATACACCTAAACACTATAAACACAGCTTAACTTGATCTAGTCAAAAATAACTTTTTTGGATAATGACTAATCATTATCAAAACTACTTATGCTGTACAGTATTAAAAGGATATGCCACTAAATATCGTCGGTATTTCTTCATCTGGTCAGCTGCTATGTTGGATGGATGCAGAAAGGCTGTGATGCCATGGAAGATATTGGGGAGATTATGAGGTCTGTTCCCGTCTTCCTTAGACCTGACACTGGATATTTTCTTCTCTGAAAACACACAACCACATTTCCTTAAGAGCAACTATCTAAAATGAAAATTTACACATATCGTTTGATGCATTAAAACAAAAATAAATATATATATATATATATACATATAAATTCAAAATGTAAAACATGAATTTCTTATCAACTGACACATATTATGCTATAACTATATCAATGTAAGTTAGATATACATACAGTAATAAAAAGTTCTTACTTTTAGCAGGCAGGTCACCATCATCGGAGGATTTCCTCTTCAAAAGTTGATGTTTACGTGGAAAATAATAACTGGTAAGTTAAAGAGTTTTTTGTTTGCATGATCTGACCTGTGAAGTATTGATTTCATTGAAAAAATTATACATGATGTATCTGTAAAATGATGGTGGCAAGGCTAAAATGAGAAAAAGCTGATCTTCTATACATACATAAGGTGGTAACAAAGAATTATTTAATGAAAAGTAAAGCTCCAATACGATCATCTCAAACACTGTATACCTGATCATTTGTCTGATGAAGATGTGTAAACATGATCATTATCACTTTGATCTATATAGGATCAGACAAGGATACATGTAGGTGGGACATGATCTGTATTCTATATAGGATCAGACAAGGATACATGTAGGTGGGACATGATCAGTATTCTATATAGGATCAGACAAGGATACATGTAGGTGGGACATGATCAGTATTCTATATAGGATCAGACAAGGATACATGTAGGAGGGACATGATCAGTATTCTTTGATCTATATAGGATCAGACAGGGATACATGTAGGTGGGACATGATCAGTATTCTATATAGGATCAGACAGGGATACATGTAGGTGGGACATGATCAGTATTCTATATAGGATCAGACAAGGATACATGTAGGAGGGACATGATCAGTATTCTTTGATCTATATAGGATCAGACAAGGATACATGTAGGTGGGACATGATCAGTATTCTATATAGGATCAGACAAGGATACATGTAGGTGGGACATGATCAGTATTCTATATAGGATCAGACAAGGATACATGTAGGTGGGACATGATCAGTATTCTATGATCTATATAGGATCAGACAAGGATACATGTAGGTGGGACATGATCAGTATTCTATATAGGATCAGACAGGGATACATGTAGGTGGGACATGATCAGTATTCTATATAGGATCAGACAAGGATACATGTAGGAGGGACATGATCAGTATTCTATAGGATCAGACAAGGATACATGTAGGTGGGACATGATCAGTATTCTATGATCTATATAGGATCAGACAAGGATACATGTAGGTGGGACATGATCAGTATTCTATATAGGATCAGACAAGGATACATGTAGGTGGGACATGATCAGTATTCTATATAGGATCAGACAAGGATACATGTAGGAGGGACATGATCAGTATTCTTTGATCTATATAGGATCAGACAAGGATACATGTAGGTGGGACATGATCAGTATTCTATGATCTATATAGGATCAGACAAGGATACATGTAGGTGGGACATGATCAGTATTCTATATAGGATCAGACAGGGATACATGTAGGTGGGACATGATCAGTATTCTATATAGGATCAGACAAGGATACATGTAGGAGGGACATGATCAGTATTCTATATAGGATCAGACAAGGATACATGTAGGTGGGACATGATCAGTATTCTATATAAGATCAGACAAGGATACATGTAGGTGGGACATGATCAGTATTCTATATAGGATCAGACAAGGATACATGTAGGTGGGACATGATCAGTATTCTATATAAGATCAGACAAGGATACATGTAGGTGGGACATGATCAGTATTCTATGATCTATATAGGATCAGACAAGGATACATGTAGGTGGGACATGATCAGTATTACAGATAGGATCAGACAAGGATACATGTAGGTGGGACATGATCAGTATTCTATATAAGATCAGACAAGGATACATGTAGGTGGGACATGATCAGTATTCTATGATCTATATAGGATCAGACAAGGATACATGTAGGTGGGACATGATCAGTATTCTATATAGGATCAGACAAGGATACATGTAGGTGGGACATGATCAGTATTCTATATAGGATCAGACAAGGATACATGTAGGTGGGACATGATCAGTATTCTATATAAGATCAGACAAGGATACATGTAGGTGGGACATGATCAGTATTCTATATAGGATCAGACAAGGATACATGTAGGTGGGACATGATCAGTATTCTATGATCTATATAGGATCAGACAAGGATACATGTAGGTGGGACATGATCAGTATTCTAGATAGGATCAGACAAGGATACATGTAGGTGGGACATGATCAGTATTCTATGATCTATATAGGATCAGACAAGGATACATGTAGGTGGGACATGATCAGTATTCTATATAGGATCAGACAAGGATACATGTAGGTGGGACATGATCAGTATTCTATATAGGATCAGACAAGGATACATGTAGGTGGGACATGATCAGTATTCTATGATCTATATAGGATCAGACAAGGATACATGTAGGTGGGACATGATCAGTATTCTAGATAGGATCAGACAAGGATACATGTAGGTGGGACATGATCAGTATTCTATATAAGATCAGACAAGGATACATGTAGGTGGGACATGATCAGTATTCTATGATCTATATAGGATCAGACAAGGATACATGTAAGTTGGAATGCCTTCCGCTGCTAAGTGTTTCTTAATGAGTCGTTCTGTACCATACCAGTTATACCCAGGGGTGTCATGTCCAATCCTAGGCAGGTGAATGCTGGCTGTAATTACATTAGGTTTGAAGTTATTGACAGAAACATTTACTGTCAACAGTTACAAATCATTTACCACAAAAAACCTTCACTGAAGATGGTTGTTTTGTTTATTGAATATGCAAGCATCACAATACATACAATAATAAGGGAACGAAGTAATGCAAAGAAATGTATAATAAAGTGCATGATGTATTTCAATCTTGATTATTCCTGTGGTATTTATGTTGATCTTTTTGAGCAAACGAAAGCAGTCCTATAATTACATGAAGATAAATTCACTTACTAGTAATTATTTTAATGAAATTCTTTATCAAAGCAGTATCTTTAAGTGCTTGGCTAACTGATTGAATTCAGTTTGAGGAAATGAGAATAAAAATATTAAAAAAACATACAAAAATCATATCAGAATTAGAATCACCGATGTTAAAAAAAGAAAAGAAAAAGAACATTTTTAAAATACACTGTCTTCTAGAAACTATTATCCTGGTGTTTCTTGTTGTTGAAAGTTACCTTTCCTTGCCTTGGCCAGATAGTGAACAGCTTTAAGGCCTTGCTGAAGTGCAGATAACTTTATACCAGACAGATTGTTCCATTTATCTCTGTGTTGACCTATCACCAGGGCCAACTGCAAGTGAAATAAATTAATTTAAACTCTCAAATCCTGCTCATCTAAATTCTTGAAATATTAGGCTCATCTAAATTCATCAATAAGGCACATCTAATAATTTTAATCAAGTTCATCTGAACTCTTCAAAATTACTCAGTAATCTTCATGCAGGCTCTCTACTTGGCATGGGTCCTCTACTTTAATATATTAATTATACAAATATGTTAATTGCATAGACTTTAAAACATCTAAAAGAGCAAAACACAAATATTCTTTATATCGTGTAAGAAAATATAAAGAAGTTGCTAACCCAGTCTTCTTCTCCATCTCGGGTGTGATTGTCATCAAGGGCAATCAGATGACAGTCCCCAAGAGCCAAATCTAGAAACACATATTGACAATATTTCAACAATCAAGCAGTAAACTAAACATAAAACTGCATTCATGTCTACACTGAATAAAAAAGTAAATCAAAAAGTAAACGGAAAAAAGAAATGACATTAATGCCTAACAACTGATTAACATTTGCTTCGTACATATGTAGGGTAATATAGTGAGTAAGCCACATGTTTAAAGTAGATTGAAGCCCTGCAATTATTCTGTCTGGACAGTTTCTGTCAATCACTTCATGAAAAATGTCTACTAGAGCAAAAAATTCCATCAGATCGCTACACTTTAACTAAGATAAAGAAATAACTTTATATCAACATCAAACTTTAGCTTACTTTTTCATTTTACCCTTTTTGTTAATGGGGTCACATCCGTTACTGTGGATGTTACCCATCACCAGTATTCTGTATCAACTGGTTATTTTTGATTTTGGTAACACAAATTCATATTTGAACTTAAATTTCAGATTTTGCTATTGTAATTTTGTTGAAGGCAGTCTGAACAGTACATATATCTTACCTCCCATGTCTCCTGCTAACTCATACTGCTCTTGTGGTGCTGAGGAGCGGCGTCCAATCGCAGAGAAAATACCACCTCGACCCCAGCTCCCAGAGTCATCTAGAGAAATATTTACAGTAACATGTAATAGCAGAATATACAAACTCCATCCTAGCTCCCAGAGTCGTCTAAAGAAATATTTACAGCAACATGTAATTACATAATATACCATCTTCTTCCTAGCTCCCAGAGTCGTCTAAAGAAATATTTACAGCAACATGTAATAACAGAATATACAAACTCCATCCTAGCTCCCAGAGTCATCTAAAGAAATATTTACAGCAACATGTAATTACAGAATATACAAACTCCATCCTAGCTCCCAGAGTCATCTAAAGAAATATTTAGAGTAACATGTAATAACAGAATATACAAACTCCATCCTAGCTCCCAGAGTCGTCTAAAGAAATATTTACAGCAACATGTAATTACATAATATACCAACTCCATCCTAGCTCCCAGAGTCATCTAAAGAAATATTTAGAGTAACATGTAATAACAGAATATACATCAGCCCCAGCTTCCAGAGTCGTATAAAGAAATATTTACAGCAACATGTAATTACATAATATACCATCTTCATCCTAGCTCCCAGTCATCTAAAGAAATATTTACAGTAACATATAATAACAGAATATACAAACTCCATCCTAGCTCCCAGAGTCGTCTAAAGAAATATTTACAGCAACATGTAATTACAGAATATACCAACTCCATTCTAGCTCCCAGAGTCGTATAAAGAAATATTAAGAGTAACATGTAATTACAGAATATACATCAGCCCTAGCTTCCAGAGTCGTATAAAAAAATATTTACAGTAACATGTAATTACATAATATACCAACTCCATTCTAGCTCCCAGAGTCATCTAAAGAAATATTTACAATAACATGTAATTACAGAATATACCACGTCGGCCCTATTTACTGGTTGGTGGCCCTAATGACCTTTTATGTGTTGTCCTCTGTTTTACCTGTAATTACTGTCCTCTATTTTACCTGTAATTACTGTCCTCTATTTTACCAGTAATTACTGACTCCATCCATACAATTCTGTGAAGTAAAAACTAAGGATTTACCTGCACAGTGTACAACCACATTGACCTGTGTCCCAGCAGAAATTGGACGGGTTACATCCCCACTAACATAGTTGATGGATGTACTCTTAGTGACTTCTCCATCTTCCTTCTGAGTGATATCAAACATCTCCTCTTCTTCTTCGTTCTCCTCATCCTCATCGCTCTCAATCTGCACACAAGAAGAGACATATCCTGCTTCCTTCCACATGGCTTCCCTGTACATGAAAAATAATGAAAAACATGAAAACTTACAAACTGTGCACATCATATGTGTGTTATCTTATTTAAAAGTCTACGGCTTTTTGACTCTAAGGTGCTGAATTGCAGCAGCACATTACATTCACTTTGCCTGTCATTTAAAACTGGAGTTCTTTTACCAGCAAGCATATATATCACCATCAAAATGTTGTGATGTCTTGCTGCCTGTAAAAAGCAAGGCCTGGCCTATCAGAATAAAGTGTGCCCTATGTCATCTTACACAGTATTGCTATGATTTGTGTCGGACTATCTCCCTTCATGACAAGCAAGTGTGCGCACATGCACACAAACACACACACATCCTACACATTTCACCTGTGTTATGCACTTCCGTTCTAGAAATGTAAACTTTTAGCTTATACCAATAAAATACCCCCCTTTGATCATTGAAATAATTCTGCATCTTAAGTCTGTGTACTTAAATTTTTTTTTGTAATAATCAGATAAAAAATTCAGCAAAATGCTTTTCTATTTTTAATTTAGCTAAATTATTATTTACAAAAGAAATTAAATTGGTAATTATCTCTGGTTTTCATTACTAAAGCACCAATTAAAACTGACTTCAATGACCTCATATATCAGTCAACTATAATCTACAGGTCTCTAATAGGCCAACAATCTGTGTAACATAAAGAATTAATTTTATCCTTGTTAACATGTGATATTTCTTTTCCATTCCTCTCCTCAACATGTTTTTTTCTTTGCTCCTTTCTCAAAATAAACAATTAGCCAACACTCTAAACTTACTTCTTCTGTCTCCTCTGTTCCTCTCTCTTCATTTTCCTTTCTTCAGCAAGCTTTGCTCTCTTCTCTGCCGCCTCTTTTAGCTATCATATCAAAGTAAACACAATGCCCTGGGTTAGATTATTTATACAACACTTTCACAAGATTCATTTTATTTCACTCATGATACTTCAAATTCCTTTGCAAATTTGTACTTACAACACAACAAATATATAGTTGGTTTTTATTAATATGATTTTGAAATTTTTTTTTCTATCACAGAAATCACTTAGAGATCAGGAATACAAACTGTAATATGTTTCTGGTGTTTTTCTGGAACGAAGTTAAGAGGTTTCCTTAATATAAAGAATTTGTAAGGGTAAACCTTCATTAGTACAACACCTGATCAAAGTTTACATCATTGGTTAACATATTACATATCAAAATACATTGTCTCTATTAATTTCCATCCTCAACACCTTATATGTGTTCTTTACCTTAACTTTCCTTTCCTCCAGTTCCTCTGCTGTCAACGGTTTCCTTGGTTTCCGTTTCACGTCGGGGAATAGTTCCATTAAATTGGAGTTTTTCCCGCGTCGGGATCGCTCTGCTGTGATGTCCTCCTCCATCACTTCTTTCTCAACTGTACAATACATGTCCAATACACAGTCCATCACAACATTTCATTTGCATATATAATATGTCATGATATTTAATTAGCTTTTCATAAAGAGAACAATTTATTCAACGTTACTGAATGACACCTCAATATGAAAACAAGAATATGTAAATGTGGCATTTGTAACAATGTGAACAATTTTGTAAGTGTGGTGTTAATGAACATGTAATATGTAAACATGGTGTATAGAATGGATGATCTCAGGAAAGTTCTCTGAGAAAATAAAATCAATCAGACTGCATACAGCATCACAAATACATCATCATTTGAACATGTTCATTGTCTGTATCAGGTGAAGTATTCTCCCTTGACAAAAACCATCAATTTACTTTTGGAAATAAATAAAACAAACTTCAACAAACCTGCTAAAAGTTTTTCGAAGGCCTTAATGTCTTCTGCAGTGGGTTCTTTTGAGTAATCTGTACCCTCAAACTCATACATACTTGAAGGACCCTCCTCAATCTCCTAAATGGTAAACACAAAATTAAATATGTCACAATAGATTAAAAGTGAGGCTCACTCACACAGCTGATACTGTCTTAGAACTACTCACCTGGCACACTTTTTTGTACCTAAGATTTACATGGCAGGTGACGTTGACAAAGCAGATGACACTTACCCTTCCAGAACACCTGGTCTTATTCTCTATTGACTTTTTCAAGAGTTTCCATGTAAATCTTTTTTTTTTGTTAATATTTTCTCTTAGTCTCATTGAATTTTAGTTTGAATTAAGATTCAGATTAAGATCAAGATATCCTTGGCTATGTTTTAATTTAATTTCTTCATCAAGTTTTCAATTTTTCATTTCAAGAATATTTACCTGTTGATTACTTTTAAAGCCTATAATACGTCTGCAATAATTTAAATGAGGACACATCTGAGAAGAGGTTGAAAAATAGAAATAAAACTGTGATTATAAATGCTATCAACAACAGTTACTGTTTTCAAAACCAAAATAGTCTTTTCTCAATTGTGAAATCAAACCTTAGTGAATAAAACTGATTGAAGTCATCAAATTCACACAAAACATCATCAATCATACCATGGACTTGTTGGGTTTGGTTTCTGGTTCCTCATCTGGCTGCCATTCTCCATTAATTGAAGGTCCAAGAATCTTTGTAAAGTCAACATCTAGTTCATCAGTCTCATCTTCATTCAACAGACTATCCACACCAAACTTGAGAATATCCTGAAGCTGCAGTATAAAGTAATACTTTTATTGAAAAGTAACAGTACTGTGTATTGAGGAAAGACAGAAACTTTAAGGGTATATATTTCGAATAAAGTTTACATAAATTTACTAAATTACTAAACCCCTAAATTTTATATTTAATTCCAATTATCAAAGGGTCACATCTTTATAACATTATTCACAACACTGTGATCAGTGCTTTCAATGGTTACTCTCCATCTTACTCATTCTAGCTGTAAATACCAGGTGGTTTAGTATTACAAAAAGGAGAAGCCACAAAGTAATCTTATACAGATAGGAAGCAGGTGCTACTTTCTCTGGCTACAGTCAGAAGTTACCAAAATTACTATCTTATTACAATCACATATTCTTTTACAAATCTGACATTAAGTCACCTTTATCACATTGCATGTTTTCTTCAAGAAAATGTTCTTTAGCTTTAACTTTAGAGAAAATTCTTTCACATGAACCCTTTCTAATATCTAATAACTGATATTATTTGACATTGGTGTGGTTATGTCAACCTACCCCGACTTGATCACTTGTGATGAGAGATTTAGCTCCCAGAGTAAACTGACCCTCCTCGATGACTTTCTCAGTTAGGCGGAGTTTGTCCTCAGCTCGACGTAAAATGATCTCCTCCACAGTATTACTGCCAATCAGTCTCATCACCTTCACTGGTCTGTGGGATTTAGTGAGAAGTCAAAAGACCAAGTTTAAAGTCCATTGTAAGGAACATAACTCAAAAGATATCAAACATCCTGGGTCCCCTACAAACTGTTCACTTGATAAGGAAACAGTCCTTACCAGACAACTACCTCATACTACAATTAGCAATGGTATTAGATATATTCTTTTCAGTTCAGGTACTAATTATTACACACAAGCGTATAATACATATATATGTATTCACTGAATGTCACTTAGGAAGTTGCTTCAGGGTCATGCACAACAACCCTTTTACAGGGGTCCCCACAGCAACTTAACAGAGGTCGTGATGAGTCAGCTCCCAGGCATGTTCAACCAACATCAGAATTTGCCACCATCCGTCCCTGCCACTCACCATTTTGTAATAGGTAGGATATTTTATTTAATTTGGTTATGACTTATCTTAATATAGTTTAATGTTATTGTAGTTGTCATGGTAACAACAAAGGGTGACCCAGAATTTATATGATCATATCTACTCTCAATGTCACATATATTCAACCACTGTTGTATGATATACCATGTATACTTGCAGACATTTACCTCAGTGGTAAATGTTCCAAATATGTGATATTTGATTATTGCTTATTGTATGTAATGCCATAAAATAGGTGTTATTACACTGATAACAAGGTAGCTATATGATAAAATAATCCACTTTTGTAAAACTCCAGCTTAACAGTGAAGTAACCGTTATATCTCTGTCCCATCAATCAGAATATGTTAGAAAATATGACTAACTAAACAGAACTAATTTCCTAGTCCAGTGGGATTTATTATTAACTTTAACAAGAAAATAATTAAATAATTTGTATTTGATAGTAGTGAACTAAACCATTTGTTCCCTTATGTTAGTACTATGACTAGAGCAAAGTAATAAAATCTTATCCCCCCAGTGATTATCACTTCTACAAGTTTATTCCTAAATCCTCCAGAACTCTATCATATATAAGGTTGCCATAAGGAGGATATTGTTACCTAACTTGTCCAATACGATGTGCCCTAGCAGCAGCCTGAAGGTCGTTCTGGGGGTTAAAGTCACTGTCCACAAATATTACGGTATCAGCTGCCACAAGGTTTAACCCCTGTCCACCTGAAACATCAATGTCCACATTCGTAGAGAAGATATTACAGGTGGTTGACAAAACATTAGTATCAGAAGAAGCTCAATAAGACCTAAATAACATTTAACCTTGTTTCTAAACATAAACAAGAACTGTTGCCAAATGGCCAACTAGTATCTCCTGCTCCCCAATAAACAATAGTTTTGGAAGGTTTGGATTCCTCCAAGAGGCCTTCATTTGGACAGCATGGCAACCAAATGTAAACAATTTTCTTTTTTCGACCAATCAGAAGCCTTAAAAAGTGTTTCCATGGTAACGATTTTGGAACACCTGATATGTCAAACTATAGGCTATTATTATCTGTAGCATTTGTTCAAATTTTACAAAAAGCAAAAGGGCACAACTTTAAATCATGCTAAGTTTGAGAAATATTGCTTCAGCACTTTTTTAGATACACTTGAAACAATATTCTGGACAGATGGACAATCAGACAAATTGATTCTAATAATTCCACTTAATTTCATTACAGGGTGTACAAAAAAACACATATGTGTGTGAAGTATAAAGTCATACTGGTTGATTATATAAGACATGTGGTCCTTTTACACAAGTGATTATATAAGACATATGATTCTCTAACACAATTGATTATATAAGACATATGATTCTCTAACACAATTGATTATATAAGACATATGATTCTCTAACACAATTGATTATATAAGACATATGATTCTCTAACACAATTGATTATATAAGACATATGATTCTCTAACACAATTGATTATATAAGACATATGATTCTCTAACACAATTGATTATATAAGACATATGATTCTCTAACACAATTGATTATATAAGACATATGATTCTCTAACACAATTGATTATATAAGACATATGATTCTCTAACACAATTGATTATATAAGACATATGATTCTCTAACACAATTGATTATATAAGACATATGATTCTCTAACACAATTGATTATATAAGACATATGATTCTCTAACACAATTGATTATATAAGACATATGATTCTCTAACACAATTGATTATATAAGACATATGATTCTCTAACATAATTGATTATATAAGACATGTGGTCCTTTTACACAAGTGATTATATAAGACATATGATTCTCTAACACAATTGATTATATAAGACATATGATTCTCTAACACAATTGATTATATAAGACATATGATTCTCTAACACAATTGATTATATAAGACATATGATTCTCTAACACAATTGATTATATAAGACATATGATTCTCTAACACAATTGATTATATAAGACATATGATTCTCTAACACAATTGATTATATAAGACATATGATTCTCTAACACAATTGATTATATAAGACATATGATTCTCTAACACAATTGATTATATAAGACATGTGGTCCTTTTACACAAGTGATTATATAAGACATATGATTCTCTAACACAATTGATTATATAAGACATATGATTCTCTAACACAATTGATTATATAAGACATGTGGTCCTTTTACACAAGTGATTATATAAGACATATGATTCTCTAACACAATTGATTATATAAGACATGTTTAGCACTGGTGATTACATAAAATATGCAATATGTCTGGTATTGCTTATTGCAGGCTTAAATGTTGGTTTATCTTACCTGCTTTCGTGCTGAGTAAGAATGCAAAAGTTTCCTCATTTTTGTTGAAGTTTTGTACAGCTAGAAATCTTTCCTCTCCCCTTACTGAACCATCAAGACGCTCATAACTGTAGTCTGTGTACAGAAATGTAACAAAAGTTTCAAAACATTTACAGAGCATGAGGTAGAAACTCTCTCTAAATAGAGAATGCTTGTAACAAGTGTATGAACTGACATTTACATGTACTTTAATTGAAAAAGAGCTTCAAGTCCAAAAAAAAAAAAAATTCAGGTCCTAAATATTTGTCTATAATGTGAAAATAATTATTTTTTTCAAAACTTAAAAAAGTTAAAATAAACAAGAGGCCCAAAGACCTGCATCACTCATCTGGCTAATTCAGCTATTCATTCATTTAACAGATAATTTCAAATATGAGAAATAATTTCTGAAAAAAAACCCTATAGGGTACCGACTTTGTGATCAAACAAATTGAGATTCACTATTTATAAAAATTACTTCTGACCAAACTTGCACAATATCACTGTATTATCTTTTGGGCCCTGTCCCTACCCCATGTCCCTCCCTCCCAAGTGGAGTACAGTGTTTATACAAAGCTGATTATCCTCAACCTAAGAATGCCTAAGACCAAATTTGGGCAAAATCCAATCATTCCTACAGGAGTAAAATCTTTAAAAGAATATTTCCTATTTCCCCTATCAGCCCATCCCAGGGGGCCGAGACCTAACATTTTTACACGATTAATTCCTCTTCACCTAGGAATGTTCAGACCAAATTTCAGCAATATCCATTCATTATTACAGGAGGAGTAGGATTTTAAAGAACTTGCAAAATTTCCCCATTCGGCCACACCCCTAAGGCCCCTGGCGGCCCCGAGAACCAATATTTATCCAAACTTTGTTCCCCCATCCCCCTAAGGATGTTTCTGGCCAAAATCTGTTAAGTCTTTCTTGACTAGTAATGATTTTTAGTAAAAAGTTGACCCCTGGACACCAGATGGACGGCGGACGCCATGGCATATTCTCACCAGACCTTCGGGCTGAAGAACTTCATATGCTAATTTTAAAATGAATTCTTGACTATGAAACATTCCTATCATACAAACTGAAAAGTCAAAGCCAAAGTGTGACAGACATTTAATGTTATATAACAACACTCTGATTATCATGATTTGCTCTAAATATTGAAAAATTTACCAATAGATTAAGCAGTATTGTTCCATCTTCTCTCTGAGGGACAGAAAGACCATGGTTCTAAATAACAGTGACAACTTACCTCTGTAGCCGAGGTAGTCCTGTAGGATGTCCAGCATATGTGTCATCTGTGAAAACAAGAGCACTTTATGTCCACACTGTTTCAGGTGACATAGAAGCTTGTCAATCAACACTAGTTTCCCACTAGCCTCAACCAGATGTTCTCCTAATGCAAATGGCTCAGGCTCCACCCCTATCAAATAAAATTACAAATCTAAAACTCAACCATGTCATGTATTGAACATTAGTAAAACTCTCATAACCTTTGCTTTAAACAGTTACCATATTTTTATCAAGTTTCATATAATGTGTTTAGACTCCCAAGCCATTCAAATAGTCTGGTAGGTACAAAAATTTTTTTAGTCTGTAACTGTTTGATTTGTGCCAACATCATTGTCATTTTCAACAAGTGGGATGCAGGGACATCATGGTGAGTAAATTAAGGGCTTACCATCAAAGAGATAGGGATGGTTGACACACTTGCGGAGCTGCATGAGGATGTTCATAAGGCGTGGACTTCCTCCTCCACCAGAGAAGTTATTCTTTGTCTCAAAGACCGCTGCAAATAGTCAAACACAGCATAAGTGATCAAGTCAAATGTAGTCCACATACCAAAAAAGGTCTTCAGACAAGAGGAGCCCCCCCCCCCACCCTCCCCCCCACCCCCGTTTTTATGATATACATAATATAATATAACAATGTAATATGTATAACAAAAGATACATATACTGTATGTTGGTACTATAAATGTACTAAGTAAACCCTACAAAAAACAAACTCCTCTTACAGCAAGCCTGAGTGTATTGTAAACAAGTCTGAGGCATGCATTATCTTTTATCTGATCTTATCTTTCCAATTAAAAACGTGTGTAAACTTCGTGTCTAGTTCTGAATTAATTAACTTTCATTTTTACACAAGTCTTTGTCGAGGATTCCTACCTAGATCTTTGGTAAGAATAGCCTTATACAGTTTCTTCTGTAGCTTTGAGATACCGTGGTAGAGGACAACTTCTGATTTCTTGGGTAGGTCTTTCAATACTCCTTCCTTAGTTCTTCTCAGCAAATAGGGCTGAAGGAGGGTGTGAAGCTCGGATACACCTGTACCAACATTTCAGTCAAAATCCAGGTATAAGAAATTGACATTTGATGTAAAACAATGTCAACAATATTGATAGTTGAGTTATCTCTCTCCAATCTATACACAGTTTATGTTGTACAGCAGAAATGTTCAGCCTTTTGTGTGGTTAAACAACTGGCTTCAAACTATTTCTTCTTACTTTCCTGTTCTTTTTACCATTGCTTTATTTTTTTACCCCACAACTCATTCTGAATTCATCCATGTTTCTTCCTTTATTAATGATTCATCAACATAAAAATGCATGTTGTAATGTGACATCTAATAATCAAACACAGAACAGAAATCCCCCTCCCTGGTCCCTATCTGACTATCAAGAGGGATAAGGACACTGTTCAGTAGTATAATTTTGTTGTTGTACCTGATACATATGAATTTCTTTAATCTTTGCTTGTCCTTACATTTTTTTTCTTACGTATTAATGTTATTAATGATAGCACAAAAGAAAATATCCATTGAACTTTTTTACAGTGAATCAGTAGAAAATATGTACATATACATAGAAAGCCATTGTTACAGATGTGTGAAATTTAATCCAAGTGAACTAGATCAAATCAGATTAAACAATGAAATATTAGTCCTGCTAAAAAAAAAACAATTTTGCTTTACAATTCAGTTATATGGGCAATTCCTGTGTGTCTGGGATACATTTCCATCATGACTTGTACAAGATACCTTTAGAATGATCAATATCCTTGAAGTTTCTGAGAAATTTCTCCAGTCCCGACAGTCTGAATTTTGAGGGAAATATGAAACCAAGGAGGGAATAGAGCTCTTCCAAATTGTTCTGTACTGGTGTTCCAGTCAATAGCACACAGTGTTTCATACTCCACTGAAACAGTTAAAACAGCAGGTATCTGTTATGCTGTACATCAGAGATAATCTGTCAGTATGGTGTACAGCAGAGATTATCTGTCAGTATGGTGTACACCAGAGATTATCTGTCAGTATGGTGTACAGCAGAGATTATCTGTCAGTATGGTGTACAGCAGAGATTATCTGTCAGTATGGTGTACAGCAGAGATTATCTGTCAGTATGGTGTACAGCAGAGATTATCTGTCAGTATGGTGTACAGCAGAGATTATCTGTCAGTATGGTGTACAGCAGAGATTATCTGTCAGTATGGTGTACATCAGAGATTATCTGTCAGTATGGTGTACACCAGAGATTATCTGTCAGTATGGTGTACAGCAGAGATTATCTGTCAGTATGGTGTACACCAGAGATTATCTGTCAGTGTGGTGTACACCAGAGATTATCTGTCAGTATGGTGTACAGCAGAGATTATCTGTCAGTATGGTGTACACCAGAGATTATCTGTCAGTATGGTGTACACCAGAGATTATCTGTCAGTATGGTGTACAGCAGAGATTATCTGTCAGTATGGTGTACAGCAGAGATTATCTGTCAGTGTGGTGTACACCAGAGATTATCTGTCAGTATGGTGTACAGCAGAGATTATCTGTCACTATGGTGTACACCAGAGTTTATCTGTCAGTATGGTGTACAGCAGAGATTATCTGTCAGTATGGTGTACAGCAGAGATTATCTGTCAGAAAGTTGTTTACAAGAGTGTAGCTAGGTGGGTTACATAAGCACCTATGTAAGAGTTGTGTACAGCAGAGATTTAATTGTGTGGGTGAGATAATTACCTGTGTGAGAGTTGTGTACAACAGAGACTTGACTGTGGGTGAGATAATTACCTGTGTGAGAGTTGTGTACAACAGAGATTTGACTGTGTGGGCGATATAATTACCTGTGTGAGAGTTGTGTACAACAGAGACTTGACTGTGGGTGAGATAATTACCTGTGTGAGAGTTGTGTACAACAGAGACTTGACTGTGGGTGAGATAATTACCTGTGTGAAAGTTTTGTACATCAGAGACTTGACTGTGGGTGAGATAATTACCTGTGTGAGAGTTGTGTACAACAGAGATTTGACTGTGGGTGAGATAATTACCTGTGTGAGAGTTGTGTACAACAGAGATTTGACTGTGTGGGTGAGATAATTACCTGTGTGAGAGTTGTGTACAACAATGATTCACTGTTTTTGAGACGGTGAGCTTCATCTACCACGACTACTTTCCAGTCAAATGAGGAAAGAAAATAATTGAACCCAGAGTCTTTTATACACAGCTACAACAGAAAGAATCAACAAAAATTTTAGGTTCTCCTAATCATAACAAAATGAGAAATCTCTGTCATACATATTGTACATTTAACTGTCAACCACTAAGAAAATTCGGTAAGCAGGACCAGACAACACCAATGAAGATCTTCTGTAACTTTATTAGTTGACTAGTTTCGGCACACTAGGTATGCCATCCTCAGAACAGTACAAATTCAACAAGAGGCCCATGGGCCTTATATACTCCTGTGCCTAGCAACTACAAATGTTATTTCCACCAATGTCAAAGAGAGTACACTTTTGCTTATTGAATACAGACCTTTGTAATTAATTGGTGACCTTGAAATGCAAGTCAAACAAACTTTGTAGGGCTCCATGGAGTTCCGCTTTGCCCTAGGCTAATGCTATGTAATGTACAAATATCAATAAAAACTTGAAATTATAAAACACAATATCAAAGAGATTTTGGTTATTGAACAATTAACATTTTACGTTATCCTTTAAAGTGGTATATATAAATATATTGGAAGTCTTCTCCCACATGTCACAGGCCCAATATTACACAGCCTTTGGTTATTGAGATTGTTTAAAGATTTTAACATAATACAGCTGTCATTTAAGAATCTAATCATAATAATGAACAAGTTAATTTGTGCCAAGTATTATAACTTCAGTATTTGAATATAAAAGTTTACAACGGCGACGGCGAATAAACAGGTTAGCAAATAATGTTCATAATATAAAAGCACAACTGTACGTAATAAGAATGACAGTTTATATTTAGTCTTCAAATATCCAGACATGTAGCCAGGTTGAGAATTTCTTAGACTATCCGTGTCTGATATTCAGTCCATGTGGTTCCGCGGTGTTTAAATACATGATAAAGGCTTCTTCCATACGTAAACGGGTATTTACATTCTTCAATGTGATTCCAGGGCATGTTTAGCCGCGAGAATGCCATCTGTGTGGAATCGATGTATAAAGCGAGGATACGTCTGCAATGACTAGAAAACTGTGTGCCGGTATCTTACCGAGATCGTGAATTTTATTGAAGAAGTCTGTAGTATCTTTCAAGTATGACTTGACCTTAGTAGCAAGAGGTTTTAGGTAGTGGTCGACCGTAGCCGACAACTTTTCTGTAGTTTCTCCTACAGCAGATACTATCGGCCTGCCCGGGTTTCCAGGTTTGTGAATTTTAGGTAGGAGATAGAAAAGTGGGGTCCTAGCTTCCTTAATGGTATTAAATGTTACTAAATCTTTATCAAGTTTTGGAAGTCTTAGAAAATTGTTATGCTCAAAATAGTTATAAAGCTAAATGAAGTAATTTATTATTATCATTATCACAACTAATTTTATTAAAAAAAAATTAATGACCATGTGTATTTGTGACCTTCACATTGACACCTTTCGTAGTTCAGAGGTCACTTGAGAAATAATATCTATTAACAATTCAACCTCAGGGCTTAATCTGTTTAAAATTAAACATTGATAGAAAAAATCCTAGACTTGTGAACAATTGTAGCACTTGCTTATGTGATAAAAAGAAAGAAGTATGAACAACATGAAAAAGGCTCTTTGTTGATGTAACAGACTCTACAAGGTAAATATGGGGTAAATGATTTAAAATATATATAGTTTGATGATATACCTCATATGTGGTGATAAGGACATTAAAAGGCTGTTTGCCAGCTTTCACTTCAGCGCGTAGCTCACCAGCCATAGCATTCCGCTCATCTTTGTTCCCTACATAACACTTGACTTTCATATCAGGGGCAAACCTATGAAAACATACATAACAATCAATAATTTAATAATGCATCTAGCATTTATCCATGACAATTCTATAGAAATGATTCTTAGTCCTGTTACACTAGATATAATTATATCAACAGTTGCTTTTCATGTTTTCCTATTTCATTTTCAAAACTGTCCTGAATTACGGCAAGACTTCTGCAAACAATGAAAATGTTAGGGAGCTGACAGTATACCACCATATATACAGTTAACACTTGAGCTGCCAGTGTACCAACATATATACACTTAACACTTGAGCTGACAGTGTACCACCATATATACACTTAACACTTGAGCTGACAGTGTACCACCATATATACACTTAACACTTGAGCTGACAGTGTACCACCATATATACACTTAACACTTGAGCTGACAGTATACCACCATATATACACTTAACACTTGAGCTGACAGTATACCACCATATATACAGTTAACACTTGAGCTGACAGTATACCACCATATATACACTTAACACTTGAGCTGACAGTGTACCACCATATATACACTTAACACTTGAGCTGACAGTGTACCACCATATATACACTTAACACTTGAGCTGACAGTGTACCACCATATATACACTTAACACTTGAGCTGACAGTATACCACCATATATACAGTTAACACTTGAGCTGCCAGTGTACCAACATATATACAATTAACACATGAGCTGCCAGTGCACCAACATATATACAATTATCACTTGAGCTGACAGTGTACCACCATATATACAGTTAACACTTTAGCTGACAGTATACCACCATATATACACTTAACACTTGAGCTGACAGTGTACCACCATATATACACTTAACCCTTGAGCTGACAGTGTACCACCATATATACAGCTAACACTTGAGCTGCCAGAATACCACCATACATTTACCTTTTGAGCTCTGCTGCCCAATTCTCCAAGATAGATCGTGGACAGATGATCAGGTTTGGTCGCCACTTCTTGGCTCTGGAATCTATGTATGCCAGGAACGCTATGGTCTGATGATAAACAATGAGAATACTACAGTCTGGTAATGAACAACAGGAATGTTAGAGTCTAACAAAGAAGGAAAGGAATACTTGTACTACATAAAATCTGTTGAACTGACTAGAGACATCTGTGTACTTATGTATATATAAATACCAACATTATTGGTATCTATTCTTGAGATGCCTTAATTTGTTTTCTATTTGTAAGTTGGACTGAGATTCAATATCATAAGATTTCAAATCAAGCAGTGACCAATTAAGTAATGTCACTTTAATTAAGAAATGATTACCTGGCAAGTTTTCCCCAGACCCATTTCATCTCCAAGAATAGCGCCATGACCTTTCTGATAACACTCAATAAGCCAGTTCACCCCACTCAGCTGATACGGTCGTAGGGGCAAATCTGTAATCCGAAGTAAGTAAAGATATGTAAAGTACAAGAGTTCCTCAGAACTGTATGTGTTGCCTGCATAAAATGTCATGGTCACCCAGAAATTGAACTGAATGTGTAACGATCAACCATAAAGTTGTAATACCAAATTTCATTTCTATAACTTGAAGCATAAAGGGAAAACTGCGCAAATTTTCCAAGTTCAAAGGGACATATCACTGCCAAGATGGGTTACAGTCTGCCAAGAAGCGAACTCGGTGCATAACTTTTGACCAAGAACTCAAATACAAAATTGCATTTTCTTAACTCAAAGCATAACCAAAGAAAGTCAAGAAAACAATATTCCCAAAGAATTTTTTTAAGTCCAAAGGGGCATAACTCAGCCAAGAAGGGTCACAGACAGCATATAGCAAATGTCATTTCTATAACTGAAAGCATAACCAAAGAAAGTCAAGAAAACAATATTCCCAGGAAATTTTCTAAGTTGAAAGGAGCATAACTCTGCCAAAAAGGGTCACAGACAGACGGGAAAGGCACTTAATCTGTACCCTTGCAACAAAAAGACATATGCCAAATGTCATTTTGATAACTCAAAGCATTACCGAAAAAAGTCCGCAAAACGTGTGACGACGGACAAAGTGATCCCTAAGTGTCCGCAAGCTCTGCAGACGACACAATAAATGTCAGAGACATCATATGCAGTAACTATTTACAGTGAAAGCTATGAGACTATTTTAGAAAGTCATTAGTCTTGCTAAGGTCTGTGGATGAAAATAAGCTTTCAAAACAACATTAATTTAGTGACACAGCCAGTGTAGTCAGCAAGTGTCCGATAAAATTCTGCAGTAATCAGATAAACTGACAACCTATATAACCAGAAACAGAAACTCTGAAATGAGATATTTGTCAGAAGATTTTATACAATAATTCACATACATTAATTAAAGACTAAACTGTTCTTAGGTCAGTTTTCAAATTCAAAGACACCATCTCAATCAATTTCTGTACATGGCATTTGATCTTTCCATCATGTGACCTTTTTTTGCACACATAAGCATATTGCTCACTTACCATAGACATTTCTTATATACATAACCCTGATAAATACTAGCCGCAATATACCGCTCAGCTAGAGAGAACTTCCTTTAGCCCAATCAGCTGAGCGTTAGACAAGTACGCCAGAGGTCTTGGGTTAAAATCCTAGTGGAGGCATTGAAATAGATAATAACCTCTGTTACATATATATATGATTTTCTACTAACATGAGTGTTTTCAGCCTCATTTGCATGCTTAAATGCACTGGAGCAGATTAATGCCATGCTTTGCTCATGTGCAGAATGTGAGTAAATTTTAGTTTAGGAACCTCTAAGGGCCTGAAATGTTACATTTGAACAAGCCTCTTATTACTCTAATGTGCAGTGGAGGTACAACAATTGAACAATAGAGCTGTCACCCATTGATTTTCAGACCATGTTTGATGTTGCTTAACTTACATACATCGACATGACACTCAAATGCAAAGCAACAACAGCTAGGTATTGGATAATGTAACTGAAATGCTCATATAAATGAACCATCACATCACCCCTTTCACCAATAAAATTTGTCCCTGAAACACCTCTTGTTGCTTTAGCGATGCTGCCTCAGGACTAAACTCCCTAATCTCTAACAACTCTTCAGGACCACTGTACTTCCCATGTTGTCCAAGGGCAAATTACAGGATACATGGCCCATTCGCTGCAACCAAATGCAATGTGCAGTGGGGGTACAACGAGCTGTTCTCATCAAAGTGCTGGCCAGTGACCGCCTTATATTACGAAGGCCAAACAGTCTGAAGGCACGATAGTCCGAAGGTTCAATATTTACATAATATTGCATAATTTCTATCCTTATACTTGCTATAAATAGACCAGTCAATTACAATCATATACATGTACTTCTGTATAAAAAATACTAATTGCTATTCTAGCCCTGCTAATGGTCTGGCTGTTTTGGTCTATGTGGATCAAACTTCACCTCTGTTTTTTTGTTTGAGTGTGTGTTTTGTTTTTGCTTTTTTTTAAATAAAACTTCATCATAATATTTTACCATACAGTATGCCATGTTGTTCAAAGGACAAACTGGTTTCTGTTTGAGCTCTTTGTTTCTACCCAAGACTTTTGAAATGTTTTCATTATTTTTTATTTTTTTCCTAATTATTTGTGCCCCTCATGCAAGTCAGAGTCCATGAAACTTTTACTGTGCAGGATTTTCTCAGTTTTTTTTTTTTCTTTTTTTGCGCCAGCTTTGCCGCTCATAAGTCCATTGGGCCTTCGAACTTTTTGGCCTTCTGAATATAAGGGTGTCACAGTGCTGGCCATGCACAACACTGCTTAACTTTGGTATCTACATACAATATTCAACAGTACAGCCACAAGAATACTAGAAATTGGGTTATGATGTGCTCAAATGGAACTAATCTCTGTCCGTGGCAATTCCCCTTTAATCAAGCAGCAGACTGCTTGTTTTTCTTTCTTTTTTTCATAATTAGGACACATGCATAAACACGGGAACATGGATAAACTAACGTGATAAATTAACAAATAACTATGTATAGTAACTTCATATATAAGTATTGATCGCAGATTTTATCATATCTGAGAACGTATGTATATACTTGTCCCTGCAGTAGAAATTAAAGGTTGCATGCAGGATCTAACACCAGCAAAGTTAAAATATAATTTTCATTACTCCTACTTATTACAGTCGTAATGTAACAACAACGCCATTACATTATGTTACCGCCCTTGCTCAGCCTGTTAATTTCACCGTGTACTCACCAGCCCATCCAAAATCCTTCAGCTTATCATTGCTGTCGATGTACTTTCTCTGTATTTCTTTAGAACACTCTCCTTCACTGTCGTTCTCGCTGTCACTACTAATGTCGTGCATTTTTTTTTTTGCGTATAGTTAGATACAAGCACCTGACATAGTCTCATCTATATCTTTGATACTGCTAGTCTCATCTTTATCTCTGATACTGCTATGTCAACACAATCTGAATGGTTCCGCTTACTTGCATATTTCCCGGGTACACGTTAGAGTTATCGCCCATTTCTTTTCGGAATGTCTTGCATTTTTTATAGATTTTAATAAAAATAAGCGAGGTGTTACGTCGACATTATTTCCAAGATGGCTTCCAACGGATGAAGTGTCGAGCTGTCAATATTTAAGTTTACTGTTATTATTATTAATGGCTGTCATGGACATTAAAAGAAAATTCCAGAACTTATTAAGAAAACAGGTAATGAAACGAAACAGATGGTGTTCTATGTACATGTTTTAACATTGCATTGTCTCGAAAAGCATGCACTTGCGACAGCACAAAGTGGGCAGGGCAAACTCAAATTCAGAGTTGGTTTTTTTTTTATGTTCCATGAATTTCACTAGGAATCTTATAAGAACACAAGCGTCCTTTTTCTCCTTTCTATGTTTAGTGGCTATACGATATTTTCAGTGTACTCCCATGATTATTATTTCGATATGTGTTGAAACACACACATTGCAAGAAATTGTGGCAGTTGCATCAGGCTGCGTCTAGTGTGAGCTACACCAATCAGATGAAGATCTGATGTGTGTATTTCGATCCCAACCCAGGGGGATTCATGTTTCTCTGGCACCTGAAACACGGATCGTCACGTGCTGTTGTATTTGTGTCACGGCGATTTTACCCAAAAGTGTATTGCATAATATGTGACGGACCTCCCGTATGATGTTCATTGATTCATCCACAAGGTTTTACTAGAAAATCCTAAATCAAAATGACCTTGGCTCTTCATTGGTTGATAATCTAAGTAAATAAAGCTTGGAGTAAAATCATGTCTTATATCTTCCTGGTTAAATGCTAGGTGCTGGGTACCAACTCTTTAGTGTATTGTACAGAAGAGGTAGTTTGTTCAAGCAAGACTACCTTGATGCCTAATTAATGAGGATTTAGGTTTTTTTTCTTGTTTTCTTTTACATGGAAACCATCGACACAAACTGCTGTTTTGGTTGTGTGATTGAATCCATGGAATATTTTGTGAAATCATATCATAAAGAGGTACCATGCAATGCACTGTTACTACTGTAATAGGAAAGAGTAATGAAAAACACCAAGCTACTGCTGAGGTTGAACTAGCCACCCTTCAGTATTTCGCTGCACACTTAACCTCTCGTCTAAAGGGAAATTCACACGAAAAGAGGCTAGTAAGGTGACTGTACTCTCAACACTTCTCTGTAAAATGAAGAATTGATGAAAAACACTCTGCCATCGCTAGGGTTTTAACTAGCAACCCTTCTGTCTAGCCAGACACTTTACCTCTTGACTAAAGGGAATTTGAACTAGCCATGGCTAGTAAGGCAACCTGTACACTCTACTCCTATACTACCTATGGGAGATTCTATTGAGTAATTATGTTGGATGAAGGCATATTATTCATTTGTGACCTCTTTAGCTTCCCAGTGAAATTCTGTTTTCTTTCCTGGCCAGAAAAAGATATAATGATCTATATAATTAGCTTGAATGAAAGTTTAAAATTTTGGCATCCTATGATTTATGTCATGTTTTTTTTTTTTTTTAAGGAATCTGTACAATCTCCAGTAGAAGATGATATAAATCATGACTTATTTACCGGGGAACCTGCAGTTGCAAAGTACAAGGTAATTTAGCTACAGAATCACACATTTACAGAATACAGTCGAGACCTGATAATACCTGCTCCGTTGGTCCGGAAATCTCGCAGTCCGGACAAGAATCGACGGGAACAGATTTCCATAAGGTTATTTTGAGCTACTAATCCGGAAATCCGGATTCGCAATCCGGGCACAATTTCCGGGAACCAAAACCAGAAATATGGTCTTTTTTGAGTCAATAATCCGCATGGAGAAAATACAAAAGAATTTTTTTTTCAGAAAAAATAGACTGCTATTTTATCTTACCTGACTGAGGGCATTGTCCGTCACACATGATTGTATATAGATTGTACCAAGCTGACCTCTGTCTAATGTCACTGTAAAATGTTTGCACTGTTATTAAGTCATCCTATTATAAACTGTTTTCCAGGGTGAATGAAATTAATAAAAGTGTTTGTTTTGAAATTGGCGTTGTTTATCCTTTCGCCATAATGTCGATCTCTTCAAAGGAACAAACACTATTTTGGGAATGCAAATCTGTGTTTTTGTTCAGCTCTAATGCACACAGTGCTGCGAAAGAGAGGTTCCCACAGGTAAATCACACCGTGACGCGACCACTCGGCTTGGACAATGATCAGTGGTATAAAACCCGTTAGGTAAGCTAGGTGTAAATACTAGGATGATTGGATTAATGGTGTTCAGTGATTACGTGAATTCTGTTCAATTGTCTGCTTGTCAAAATATAACTGTGTATAAATTCTGCCCGGGACCATTCGGAAGATCATATCGCTTTCAGCCACTCATAATACAGTAACGCATCGATTTATCTGTTTTATTATAAGATTTATTTTTACGTTTGAAATCAGATAGTTTTTTCTTTTTATTATTTATTTACTTTTATTTTTTTTGGTAATTGATATCTATTTGTCATTTACAGTGTTTTATGGCTTCCCCCGCACCCAAACGCCGTCGTGTAGAAATCCCTGTTTGTGTTAAAAAAACTATCTGCCAACTCATTGACATAATGCCCAAACTCATCAAAGGAATGTTTGAAATCTTTATTAATTAACATAATTATCATATGTTTAATAATATGTACAATATACATAATATTTCACAAACATGTATCTCTCAAACAACACACATGACATGTATATGTACCATGTGCAGGCATACATACTCAGTCCGGCATACGTGATCAACACCTCTGGATGGTAATGACAAGTTCGACGGTCATTAAGGTCATGTTCCAGCAATCCGGAAGATTCAGAATCCGGACAAATACTGCTGGGGATCAATGTGTCCGGATTATCGAGATTCGACTGTATATCAGTACCAATAAGGTTCTTTCTAGTGAAACACCGTACTCTGATTGGTCAATAAAACACAAAAGAACATAGTTCACTTGATCCTAGTAAACATTTATACTATATGAAAATGAAAGCCAAGTTTGGATTTATCTTGAATTAATGGACCTGTCTGTAGATTTAAAGCACATTATGCTGTCATTTTATGAATATTAAGTGAAAATTAGATCAGTTCCAAAGGAGGGGAAATAATAGTACTGTAATGTGATCACTTCTAGTATTCAGATTGATTTCTGGATTATATCTTCTATCCTTTTTAGGATTTTCAACATTTTTCTTGATGTACATCATGGCATGATTTTATTAAAGAATTCAACCAAAAGTTGAAACTTCAGGCAGATTTAGTTCTTGTATAGGGGATAGTGTGAGACCTATTGATTTGTTTAGTATGTTGTTTCTTGCTTAAAACATTTAATATCATAAAAGTTAGGAAATGTATGTCAGAGTGAAAGTGAAACTGTTGGGTTATAAAGGATAGATTTAAACTACTTCTTAATATGACTTTTCCAAAGAGGTTTTAAGATGATGTGAATTGTGAGTCATGTAGAAGACAGTCTTTAAAGCATTATTGTTGGGTTGAATATTTGATGTGTTACTGCTTCAGACATTTATATCAACCAGTTTTATTTATTAAGGAGATTACTCTGTTAAATATATGTAACCCTGTTTTACAGCACAGCCATGTGGTGAATCCCCATGAGGAGCAGGAAGTGTTAGAGAATATAGAAGAGGTGTATTACAACAGCGAGGATGTTGACACCAGCAACTACGAACTCCAGGTCACTAAATGGGATACTTTCCATGATAATGAAAAATGATTGATATGGTGATCTGTGAAAAGTTGCAACTGCACCTAAGAAGAATTACATAATTAAATATAAAAATTCCTTCTTCAAAAGAAATCCAAATAACATTGGTTTTATTGTTTGTGTCTTTTATCTTCTAGAAAGTGCCGGAGGAACCTGATCTGGACCAGATAGACAGGGACAGACAAAAACTGAGAAAACAACTACAAGTGGTGGGTATTCACAATAATTCACGCTCCTTTTCATGTCTGCTATTGTACAAATTTAATAAGCCACTTACCTCACATATTTTAAATTACCAGGTTTCCAAGAAGGTGTCTGATCTGGTGCTGCAGAACCATCCTGCATATGCCACAGAGTTACAGAGGGTTATGGAACTACAGAAAACACTGCAACTTGCTAGCATCATCTGTGCTAATGGGCGCAGGTAGGTATTGGATAGACAAGTAACTCAGGGTTAGTTATGTAATTCTTGTACATAAGACAGAGAAATCTCACACATTACTCTGTGCTAGATTTTTCTGTCTCATCTGACATTCAGTTGCCTATCAAAGGTGTTACTGAAAAGGGAGGTACTTAATGAAACGGAAAATAGATCGTAGCAGTTCTTATTCAGTTTTGACACAATAAGGCATGAGAAATAAATCTATTTTCTGTATGTTTGTGAGATCAATTTATTTCAGACTTACATTTGTAACATCACATTTTTGGCTTTGCCCAGAACAAGATTTTGTTACAGAGTGTTAGCCTTGACTGAAATAAATTGATGTTGAGCACATACAGGCAACAGATTTTAAAGTCCTAGACATACATCATGAATAGATAAATCAGTTAGAGACAGATAAGTGAGTCTTGGAGGCTAATTCAGTCATGGACACAAAAGAAGTCATCAATAGACAAGTAAGTCATGGACAGATAATAGAATCAACACCAGGCAAGTAGGTAATGGACAGAAAAGTAGGTCATGAACAGACAAGTAAGTTGTGGATAAACAAGTAGGTCATAAACTGGCAAGTAGGTCATGGACAGATAATTATGTCATGGAGAGACAAGAAGGTAATGGATATACAAGCAGGTCACAGACAGAAAAAAATCAGTCAAGGACAGAGAACAGGTCATGGACAGACAAGTAAGTTGTGGATAAATGAGTAGGTGATAAACTGGCAAGTAGGTCGTGGACAGATAATTAAGTCATAGAGAGACAAGAAGGTCATGGATATACAAGTAGGTCACAGACAGAAAAAATCAGTCAAGGACAGAGAACAGGTCATGGACAGACAAGTATGTTATGAATAAACAAGTAGGCCATAGAAAGACAAATAAGTTATGGACAAATAAGTTATTGACATACAGGTAGGTCATGGAAAGATAGGTTTATCATGAACAGATAATTATATAGTGGATGTCATGCATGAACAATTATATCTTGCATGTGTCTGCAGGATTTGTCTGTGAGATTTGAATTTGAGATGTGTTGGAAAGAGGTGCAATATGGCTGAACTCATCTTTGTTTTGGTGTAATAATTCAACTGTTGAACTTGCAGACAACTGTCCTGTGCAAGGAAGAGTTTTACTACTGCCAGCCTGAAGATGTTGGCCAACTACAGAAAACGACAGCAGCTGATTGGTCTGTTGAAGTCCCTGAGGACGATAAAAACATTGCAGCGCACAGATCTGAGACTGAGGGAAATGATGGAGGTAAAGTTTTCTTGTGTTACTTACATTTCCTGGGATTTTTTTTGTAGATAAACAAGGATATGTAAATAAGAGAGACAATACATTTTAGTTTTGCTTTTTCAGCAATAATGATTTTTTTAGCAGTGTGGTAGAAATTGGGTATCTATTTTCTGGTCATGAATTTCATCACAGGCACACTGACATGAAATTTGAACGGCAATTATTGTTAGAAGTCTATATATAGCACATTTATAAACTTATCCAGGATTGAAATTTTTATATATCATGCACTTATATTGTAAATAGACTTTGCAATGAATTGCTTACAAATTGTATAACTCACTTCTTTGTTGTCAAATAAAAGTTGTATTAGTCTTACATTACCCTGGTTATATACAGATTATATAATGTGACCTAGGATTAGTATAGACATGTTAGATATAAAGGATTTATTATGTTTCGTATGTTTAATGCTGTGTTTGTATTGAGAACTACATGAAGACAAATGTGACTTTTTTAGGAGGAGGATTACTGCAGTGCTATACAACTGTGTCTAGAATGTCAGAAGGCTGCTAGCACGTTCAAACATTTCACTTGTATAAGGTAACACTATTACATATTACAGTCTGTATATTTTCATACATAAGTCAAATATTCGTGACTCATAGTTACCATTGACAATGTAAGTTAGTGTAAAAGGATCCAGTCTGGAGTCTGCAAATTCCCACATAAAAAACATAATCTGTTCTCCCTATTACATAAATACTATGAGGTACAAATTTATGTTTACAGTGAGTTGAGCTCCAAACTACAGGACACACTGGAGATGATCGAGGAACAGCTTGATGTTGCACTGTCCAAGACGTGTAGTCACTTTGACATCGTCCACTATGAAAAAGTACAGATAGCATATCGACTCCTTGATAAAACTCAGGTAAGAATACTAGTGTTGTATTCCTTTGATTCTGGTGATAAATTCATTTTTATTGAATCTGGAAAAAATAGCACTACTTTTTGACAGATTATTTTCAATGTTATAAGTCTCTCAAATATTCTCTGGCTTTTTTGTGTTAATTGAAGTGATTGTGACTTGGCCAATTACAGGCTGGTGTCTATATATTGAAGATCATTTTGACAACCGAAGGTAGTTAATATGTAACTAGTTTGGTCCTAATACCCAGTGATAATGTGTCTAAATATTGCTGTTTAGTGGCGTAAGAATGTGTTTGACCTTGAGAAATTTTGTTATTGTAGACTGCCATGGATCAGCTTCACATGCACTTCACCAGTGCCATACATAGCACAGCCTTCCAGATTGTTCTGGGCTACGTGGAGCTGTGCTCTGGAACAGGAAATTCAAACTTCCAGAAACGATCCTATGTAGATCTTTGTAAGGTAAATGTTTTGACCTTGAACATATAGAACCATGTTTAATCTTGCATGGACACTTCATTTCATGTTACCTTACAAATTTTAGCCAAAAGTTATCAGAGTCTGTTACTTTAGTGATGTATGAATGTCTTTACATATTTATCTGATATCTTTCAAAGCCTTTATCTATTTAATAGATTTTCTATAATCTCCGTGCTTAAATAATCTGCATTTGCTTTAAAAACACTTGCTGAAGATCAGACTTGAAAAATGTGGGCCTGTGTATAGGTCTATCAATTAGACATCACATGTTGCCTAAACAAGACTCTCTGTTGCAGAATATTACACAAGAAAGTTTCAAACCATGCTTGGTTGATCTGTGCAAAGCATTATGGGAGGTTATGAAGAGTTACCACAAAACAATCCAGTGGCACGAGTCACATGATGAGGAGTTTATTCGGGAGTCAGGTATGTTTTTAGGTCATCTGACCTGTTTCCATTGTGTTCTGACATTGTTGTCATCCATTGTCCTTAATCATTTTCACATTTTTTCAGACATCATTCAAACCTACCAGTATTCAAGTTTCAAGGTTTAACCAAGTTTGCTCACAAACAACCTTTAGGCAAGGACTCCCCTCCCTTAGACTTCAGAGGTCAAAGGTCTAAAGGAGGGGATCTCAATTGGCAAAAAGTAACAAAATGTTTTAAATCTTTTTCACAAGGCCTAGAAAAATAAGAACTGAAATTGTTTTATTGTTATAAATCCCTTAGCAAAACTATCACTTAACTTAAAACTACAGTTCAATAACAGGTTAGATGACCATTAAGACCTGTGGTTCTCTTGTATTACTGTAATTTAAAGATAATTCTAGGTGCAAAAATTTGCTTCACAATCTGTAAATTTACTTACATTCTGTCCAGAAAACTTTATTTACAAATGACGATTGTTATTGTTGCCAGGTGTGGATGTGGACATCACACTAAAGATGAAGTATATACGCCAGAAGCTTGACCATGGTTTGACTCGCATATGGCAGGATGTCCAGCAAAAGGTCAAGATTTATATTTTAGGTACAGACATGGCAAACTTCAAACTAGAAGATTTCATACGAGTGTTGGACCTCGTCAACAGGTAAGTCCCTGTAATAATCTGGTAGACAACAGGTATGCTATAACTGAAAGTACTTAACAGCAAGAAAACAACAAGTAAATGTTCCTCTATGATTTAACATGGATGTCATTTACAAGTCTTAGATATCATCAAAACCCAAACTTCTGTCTTTTCAATTGATAAAAACAGTCACCCAAAGAAACCAGTAATCCTTAGGAAAGATGTTTTGATGCATATAACAGCCTCCTTGGATCTGTCTGATTGATTTGTTTCATGTCTTCCTCAAGGGGACATATTATTTATTGCCCTTTTTTCTCACAGATTGATAGAGATTGGAGAGGAATTTTGTGGCAGCAAATCAGAAGGTCTCCAGGACTCCCTTAAACAACAGAGTCTTAACTATTTCAAAAACCACCACAGGTCTGTAACCCCATTTATTTTCTGATCTATAGATATGTTTTGTTACAAGATTAATTTATTATAATCCTTATGGAGACCTGTGTCCTGTCTATTTAAACATCTATGGAAGAATTAATTCCTTGTTTGTAGATACTGTATTACTGAGTTAGGAATGTATATCTTCATTTTCCAACGTGCTGATTGGTCAATACACAACTCATAGGTCTAGTCATATTGTGATTTTTCTCTGAGACAATATGTTTCCATGAGCTGATAACAGTAAAAATAATACCCTGTTTGACATCCCACAGGTGAATATAACAATTGAAAACTCTGTTAAGCATCTCAACAGGTGAATTGAACAATCCAGTAAACTGTGCTTCAATTTTTTACCCATCAGAAGTGCATATTGTCATCTTGCGATAAAGCAATTATTGACCTGTTTTCTGGTTAATAAGAGGATTATCAACTCTCTGATAGTATGAATAGACTAAGAATGTATTTCTTGTTTTATAGGTATCGTATGGATGAACTTGGAATGTTCCTGGAGAATGAAGGATGGGAAATCTGTCCTGTCAAATCCAATTTTACTCTGTTACAGTTGTTGGTAAGGAGTTTCATGTTTCTTTTCTTTCTTCTAGATATATTTGTGTTGAGCTGAATACTAGTTCCACTTCCAAACAGATGATTTGGTTCCCGTTTCAATTCTATACCACAATCACCTTAGAGCTAGTTAGTTTAAACATATGCTACCACCATGGCAGTTTGTGTTTCTTAGGAAGCTGAGAAACAGACCAGTCAGTGTTGATGCGGTTGTATCCTAGGGCAAGACACTTTACCCAAATTGTTCTGGATGATAGGTCTCCTGCCACCAGCTTATACAAGGTGACCCTGTCTGTTCAGGGGAGACAAATTTAGCAACCAACAATTAAGATATGGATACATAAAAGGAGTTAGAATTAGCTAGGCATGTATGATTGATGACATGTAGCAATTGGTGTCTTGAAGTATTGATGTTTAACTATTGCTAGTGATGGGTCACAGGAAAGTAACACCCCTGTACATGTGTTTGTAGATACCCATTGTAATAACCTGGCCGAAGTACCTATGCCCTAAACTCACACTTGACAAAGTACTAGTAACCAGAGGCTGAACATTAAAATCTAGTTACTCCTGCTAACTAGGATAGTTTAAGAACAAATTTTTATCAAGAAATTATTTATGTAAGGTTTTTTATTCTGATGAAAAATAAATACTGCTGTTTGGTCCACAATGATGTTTTGCTCAGCTTCTCTCAGAGTGTCATGTTCACCATTTTATAACAAGGCCCATCAACACCTCCTTACTGATTATTTTCTTTGTAAGAAAGTCAATAATTTTGATAGATATCATTCATATCTAGCCAATGAATGTATGTGGAAATGTCATGCATATCCTACACCTAGAAAATATCTTGAGTCTAGTTTGTTGAGTATGATTTGCTGGATTCTTAAATGGAGTAGCAGACAAGATCCACCGGAAAGGATTTTAAATAAATGATAAAAATCCAATATATCACAACCTTTGATAAGAGTTGGAAAATATTTATGATATAGCTGTTAAAAAGTTTAATTTGAGATGATAGAAATGTCTCCTACTAATCACATACCTTGTATATACTAGTACTGACATTACAAACATTGTGGAAGTAATTGTGAATTTATATGATTGTAACACCAGGAATTCAGGTTCATGCGGAGTTGGACTCGCTCTCCGACCACCAACTCTCTGGTGAACTCTAAACAGAATGGAGAAGAGGAGGAATCCTTGCCAAATGGACATGATATAGAAAGGGAGCATTACTTTGATCAATACAAAGATGAGGGCAGCCCCTTTGATGTCCAACCTGATGAGGAAGAAAATGAAGACGTATTTTCAGGAAGCTGGGTAAATGTTTTTCTTAACAGAAGGAAGCATGCTTCAGTAAACAGATAGAACTTATGAAATTTAAAAATGAAACAAAGTTTGACAATCAACTTATTGTTTACTATTCTGTTGAATGCTACTTTTAAAGTTTTAAAGATGTTATTTTCTTGAAAAAAAATTATTTCGACTAAAAGAAAAATAGTATATTGAATGAAAGAAAGTTTTCTGGTGTTGAAAGGACGATGAAGATGGTGGAGGCAGCGACACAGACTCAGACGAGCCTGATGAACTCAAACAGGATTATATTGATGAACTCACTGGGGAGGCACAGTCAAATCGGTAATGAGCCATGAAAAGCCATGTACCAAATGATGACACTACCCAATTATGAGTAGTGTCAGTTGTCTTTCCCTACCATACCCCATCCCTAGCAACCACTGAATCACCCTGTTAAATATGTGAATGCTATTTTATCTCTAATATTTCTATTTAAAAGAGAAATTGATTGTAATAAGAAGATACAGTTCACCAAAATGGGTAACAAAACAGATGTGATATAATTTGGTTCTCATGCCCTGTTTTCACTTCTATCATGATCATCACTTTCATAGTTCATAACTGTAGTTATCTTCAACTTGGATCAATAAACACACATTTTATCAATCACAATAAAAAGCATAGCCATTAACAGATGTAGGTAGACGAAGAAAAGTTTTGTTGGGATAAAGAAGAATCCCATCTTAGGAAGAGTTATGTCTGAACTAACAGAAACAATTTTTTTTGTCTTATTATCTGATTGAATTTCTTTTTTGATATATATATATATTTTAGGCAATACAGAAGAAGAATATCAAGAAACAAAAATCAGAGACACATTCCTATTGTGACTAATACAACTCTCAATGTACTGAGGGTGATAGGTAAGTTCATGATACCGTTTATTGTGAGTCAATGGCCTGAATATGAAATGAATTTGGCCATATTTATCTGAATGGTTGAATTTCTCTTTTAACAGGTTACTTTGATCTTTGTGCTAATTCAAACATTTTTTTAACCTTTAACAGGTAAATATATGCAGATGATGACCGTCCTTAAACCGATTGCATTTGACGTGATCAGCTGTATGTCCCAACTATTTGAATATTACCTCTACACAGTAAGTGTACCGACAATCCACTCATATGTAATGTTTAAAAACATAGAACTAATGAAGTGTCCAATTCTCAAGGTACTTTAGGCCAATAATAATTTTACCAATTTATGTGTAATAATCTTACATGCAGAGATTTTAATACATGTCCTTAAGGAGATAATTTAATATATCTCAAGTATAATATGGCTATTTTATATATCTACAGTGAAACATGGCTATTTTATATATCTACAGTGAAACATGGCTATTTTATATATCTACGGTATAATATGGCTATTTCATATATCTACAGTGAAACATGGCTATTTTATATATCTACAGTGAAACATGGCTATTTCATATATCTACAGTGAAACATGGCTATTTCAGATATCTACAGTGAAACATGGCTATTTCATATATCTACAGTGAAACATGGCTATTTCATATATCTACAGTGAAACATGGCTATTTTATATATCTACAGTATAACATGGCTATTTCATATATCTACAGTGAAACATGGCTATTTTATATATCTACAGTGAAACATGGCTATTTTATATATCTATGGGATAATATGGCTATTTTATATATCTACAGTGAAACATGGCTATTTCATATATCTACAGTGAAACATGGCTATTTTATATATCTACAGTAAAACATGGCTATTTCATATATCTACAGTGAAACATGGCTATTTTATATATCTACAGTAAAACATGGCTATTTTATATATCTACGGTATAATATGGCTATTTTATATATCTACAGTATAACATGGCTATTTTATATATCTACAGTATAACATGGCTATATATCTACAGTAAAACATGGCTATATATCTACAGTGAAACATGTATCAAACCTTATTGTCAATGTTGTGCTGCTATTATAACAATGTAGATGCTGTCATTGTTTCATATGTTTGTTTGTAGGTACATATATTCTTCGGAGCAGATACAGTAAGTACTATACATACTGATTTCCAATTACTTTTATATATTCCCATGTCATATCAGGTATGCTGTGTAAAAGTATATGATATTATCTACCATACCATGTTTTTATCAAATACCTTACATTTATCCTACCAAAGTGGACAACAGCCTACCCTAATGTAAATGGAAGGCATCTACATATAAATGTATGATACTTAGAGAGATGGACATGATCTGTGAATGATGTTATTTTTAATTGGTGGTTGAATGAAAAATGTTTGTTTCAGATAATATTTCAATGGTTGAGATGTTGTATGAATTTTTTTTCAGATAGAATTGATAATAATCAGTGAAGATTTGCATGATTTTTTTCAATACATAACATTATGTTGAATATGCTTATAAATAAAAGTAATCAAAATTATTTGAACAGATGGTATAGTTGAGTCTTCTGCTTTTCTCTTTAGTGGGTGATGAATGAGCGATCCCTGAACAACAGACTGCACATGACACTACAGAGAATTCGGAATAATATGATAGCCGAGATGCCTGTTCCTGGAGCTCCTCCTACTGACCCAGAGAATGGCAGAGTAAGTTTTTACCCCTAGTTGTAATCCCTAGTTATTTGTCTTATCCCTCCCCACCCCGCCATGTCCTATCCCCTTCCCCTACCACCTTCCCCCACCCCCCTTTCTACCACCCCACTCCTGTAATTCCATTATCCCTTGTAAAAACACCTCAATCATCCTCAAGAGTATGATAAATTGGCTGAACAAACATATGCACATCCATTGGTATTGCTCTCTTACTGTACTATCCCTGAAAACAACATCACAAGTCTCTACCATCATCCATTCCTGTTTATTACCCCTATCTCCACTTCTCTTTACCTCTTACTGATATTTCTTGTTTCCTTGTTAAATACAACATCATTGTTGTCCTGTTGACATGATTCCTCAGCCACTTTTTTTGTATGTCCACCCCCACCTAAAACCCTCCCTTTACCACTTACTGGTATTTCTTGTTTGATGTTGTTTCCATAAAAGACACTAAAATATATAACCTTTTTGTTTTTAACAGGACAGGATCCCCCAGCCACACCTCTCCCCCATTGTAGACCTAAGTGGAAGTGGCCGTCTGTTTGGGTTGGCTGAGAGAGTAGTTGCTGCAGAGTCTTTGTAAGTCTGTTAGGTCTCCGACTGAGAAAGTGATCACTGCTGAGTCTCTGTGAGTCTATTTGGTCTGAGTGATTAGTCACTTCATAGTCTTTTTAAGACAGTTAGTTCTCAGACTGAGAGAGTGGTCACTGCTAAGGCTTTGTAAGTCTGATGGTCTGTTCGAGAGTATTTCTGTCAAGACTCCTGATAGCTATCGATGTAGAACCTAGGTCATTTACAGTAACTGTTAATGTGTGTATTCCCTGTTTCAGGCAAAACGTTCAGTAAATTAATGAAATTACTTTGCCATGGATGTGATTCAACTTTTATTTTTCAGAGTTTTCCTGGCCAGCCAAATGGAGCTTTTGTATCCACACCTGGAAGCTATGATTCCTGGCAACAAAAAAGTATTCCTCCAACAGTTCTTCTCTCAGGTATAAATTCCACACGTCAATGTAACAATGCTTGAGTAGTGATGAGGATAAGCACTCATCTTTCACAAAGATGTTAAAGGTTGAATCTCCTAATCAGAATTTTGAAAAATGCTGACATGTCAACATTAACATCATAATGCAAATTCAAAGGCAAAATATCAACAAAGACAGATAACCTGTACAATGTACTGAAACTGTACTACAGGGTTGTTGTTTTGTACAAATTGAAAGATTTTGCTCCATTTCATCAGCTTTTTTATGCAAGCTCTTTCAAGAAATTATAATGTCTACTGTCAAAATAGTAAAATTAATATAGGCTTTCTCACCTCAAAACCATATAATTTTTCAGCAACAAATGTCCTTTAAGTATATATTATTGTGACTTAGTTTAGAAAGAAAGACCATGTACTTAAGAGGAGCATACTGGTGTTGTAAATTTCAGACAGTTAAGATGGCTGTGGAGCTACGGAAACCAGTGTACTGGACCGTGTCTGTTCAGGCAGTGGACTACGATAACATCTTACACCACATGTCAGGGGTCAAGTGGGATGTCAAGGACATCATGTCACAACACAACTCTTATGTCGATGTCATGCTTAAGGTAACTCATACTTTCAAGGTAACTCACTCTTTCAAGGTAGCTCACTCTTTCAAGGTAACTCACACTTTCAAGGTAACTCACACTTGAGGTAACTCAAACACAAAAGGTTTAATGCACTCGGGTTAGTGAAAATACTCCAGGTATTTTGTGGTCCTCTAGTAATCTGTGTCTATTGAATGTTTGAGAATGAAAGAAATATTCTTTTTAAGTGTATATTGTCAAATATATGTTAATATCATTTGAATGTTGAACAGCTTTTAGTTAGAAGTGTATAATTTACTGCATAGAGTAAGCAGCAGGTAACGAGATGTGTATGTCATGTGTTTAACAGAATTTGGAGCAGCAGATTTTGAGATGTGTATATTATGTGTTTAACAGAGTTTGGAGCAGCTGTCAGTAAGATTAGTGGATATCAACAGAAGAGTACCTATACCAAAAATTGTTTATGACCTTATCTGGGAACATTGTGTGCGACTCGCAAACCGGACAATTGTTGAAGGGTAGGAACGTTATGAACGATCAATTGATCTACTGTTTTGTTCAAGCTCTTTACAAAATAACTGAATCTCCACATCACAAGTTTGCAATGGTTTGCGTTCAGAAAATGACTATATTGCTCAGTATATCGTAACCTTCATTCATTATTCCTGTCTTAATTTGCGGTGATAAAATGTGAATTGATGTCAATTATGAAATTTAGAAAATCACACATGTAAGAAAGTTGATATAAAGAATTAGTGCTTACAAACATAAGAAACAGGAAGAGTGAACATAGATAGTAGTTATACATAGAACATGACGTTGTCGCTATACTGATTACCTCGTGAACTCACAAAATAAAACATGCATCTCATAAGTGAAATGAGAATGTTAATGCCCTGTCACATCATTCCAAGTAGACCTTGCATGCTACTTGCTGAGGACAATTTTTGTTTGAGTTCCCTGGAGGTCCATAGGACATGGCAGTATGTTGTAGGGTTGTGGCAATGTTGCTGCATGGACCTCTGCCATAAAAGTAGTCCCTATAATGGAATTCCTTCAGTTGTCAGTCTTGCTGTACAGAGACTTCTGGTTGCTCAGGCTGTTTAGGGGGTTGTGGCAGACTGTTTAGGGGGTTGTGGCAGACTGTTTAGGGGGCTGTGGCAGACTGTTTAGGGGGCTGTGGCAGACTGTTTAGGGGGCTGTGGCAGACTGTTTAGGGGGCTGTGGCAGACTGTTTAGGGGGCTGTGGCAGACTGTTTAGGGAGTTGTGGCAGACTGTTTAGGGGTTTGTGGCAGACTGTTTAGGGGGTTGTGGCAGACTGTTTAGGGGGCTGTGGCAGACTGTTTAGGGGTTTGTGGCAGACTGTTTAGGGCGCTGTGGCAGAATGTTTAGGGGGCTGTGGCAGACTGTTTAGGGGGCTGTGGCAGACTGTTTAGGGGGCTGTGGCAGACTGTTTAGGGGGCTGTGGCAGACTGTTTAGGGGGTTGTGGCAGACTGTTTAGGGGGCTGTGGCAGACTGTTTAGGGGGCTGTGGCAGACTGTTTAGGGGGCTGTGGCAGACTGTTTAGGGGGCTGTGGCAGACTGTTTAGGGGGCTGTGGCAGACTGTTTAGGGGGTTGTGGCAGACTGTTTATGGGTTTGTGGCAGACTGTTTAGGGGGCTGTGGCAGACTGTTTAGGGGGTTATGGCAGACTGTTTAGGGGGCTGTGGCAGACCCTCTAATGATGCATACGGGCTGTCTTGACCCTTCGTTTCCTCTTGGCGGGCTTCTAAGTTGACAAAAGGGGCATCCTGACTCTATGAAATCTGGGAAATGAAGACTTCTTCCAGCGAACTTTATCTATATGCCCTCATGGATTGCAGGCAACTCTCACACAGAAATCATGTAGATGGCATGCAGGTATCCAAAATTGCCTACATGTGGCCCAGATCGAACATAGAAACTATTTTGCATCATTCAAGTGCCTGTTACACAGGTCAAATGGAGAACTTGGAAGTATTACACAGATATGACACATCCCACAGGCAATGTTTACACAAAACTAATCCAAATCTTGGATGTCCATTAAGGTGTGACTGGGCCCTAACTATGGGTGTAATGAAAACAAATTTGCACATGTTTTAATATGGAGTTTTATAATGAAAATTCTGAATATAAACTTTCTTAACAGGATTTACAACTGAAGTGAGAGACAGTAAGAAAGTGCATTGAAGTTAATTATTACTTACATCAGTCCAAACTTTGCCTGAGATGGCACTGAGGCATTATTGTAATAGAAGTTTGTTCATTCTGTAGGTATGCTGGTGCTAAAAAGTGCAGTAATGTAATAGAAGTTTGTTCATTCTGTAGGTATGCTGGTGCTAAAAAGTGCAGTAATGTAATAGAAGTTTGTTCATTCTGTAGGTATGCTGGTGCTAAAAAGTGCAGTAATGAAGGCAGAGCTTTGATGCAGTTAGATTTTCAGCAGTTCCTGTCTAAACTTGAGACCATCGTAGACCTAAGGTATTCATTATCTGTGTGTGTTATGCATTCATATAAAATTTATAATGATTAAAAGGTAGTTATTTCTTTGAGGATATGATTTTCTCACAAAGATATTGGCAACTACGATGGTGCGATTTTCATTGCTGCTGTGTAGCTTTGTTAAGTCCATGGTAAGGTAAATTTACTTCTGTTCCAGACCTATCCCTGAGAGAGAATATGTGGAGGCATATATCAAAGCTTACTACCTACCAGAGAGTCAGATGGAATCGTGGATACTGGATCACAAAGTAGGTCAAATTATTAAGTTGGAGTCAAAGGTTACAGGATATTAATATGTAGGTCAAAATATTGACATGTGGTCAAAAGTCACATGGTACTAGAACATAAGGTCAGAGTTATTGACACAAGGTCAAAGGTCACTGGGGACTACAACATTTATAAGAGATCAAAGTATTAACAAACGGCAGAGATTGACATTTCCCAATGTCACAACACATTAAAAGGAATTATTGCTGCAGAGCCAAAGGTCACAGGAAAAGAGAATAAAGTATTTCCTTGTGGCCAAAGGTTACAGGGTAAGAGAACAAAATATCACCACAAGGCCACAGATCACAGAGCTAGGGAACAAAGTATTTTCTTGTAGTCAGTGGTCATCATAGGGTAAGAGAACAAAGAATCGCCACAAGGCCACAGATCACAGAGCTAGGGAACAAAGTATTTTCTTGTGGTCAATGGTCATCATAGGGTAAGAGAACAAAGAATCGCCACAAGGCCTCAGGTTACAGGGTGATGGAAAGAAGTTTTTTCTCTGGACCTAAAATCAGAGGGCACTGGAAGTATTTGAAAACACATGACCTAAAAGTTACTAGAGGCTAGACCATGTAGGAGGTCAAAGTAGGAACACAAGGTAATTGGATACTATAGCACAATGTTGTTGACCATTCTGTTGGTTCTAAGTCTTGGAAAGATAATGATACTTTAACATGCTAAGAAGGGTGAACATTTTTGAATACATAGAAGAAAAATACCAGACAAAAAGTTTTAGTTTAAACACATGGTATAATTTTGTGATCAAATATTGTAAACAATCCAAGACATTGATGATATCTGCCAATTGCAGATAGATTCTGATTGGTCAGCAAATTTATGATATTGACATCTTTAGGTTTTACCTATTTATCTCTGTTATACTAGGAATACTCCAACAAGCAATTGCTGTCACTCATCAATTCAGTCGACCATATCAACAAAAAGGCACGCCAGAGACTTAATGCCATTGTGGAAGACATTGATCGTCAACGTAGATAACGTCATGCTCCAACAAACACTTCACTCACACCAGAAGCTCCAACACATTCCGAGAAGGACGGTTGTTATATCATATTAATAGACCTTATTCTACACGATCCATTAGAATCAGACCAGATATCACTTTTTGTCCTATTAGCTTACAGTAGATACTGTCATCTTCAGAATTTATAGATTATATATCTGAAACTGAGTTGGGTATTTTGCATGCTCCAAATTCATATTAAGCTCACATTATGTTAACTCTCATGCCTGTAAGTTCAGGTCTGTCCATCTTATATTAATTGTACATATATATATGATTTACGTCTGAAAACAGCTGTGATATAATCTGATGAAATCTTGTGTACTACCAGATAGTACAGTGGCAGGTGCAGTAACCTTGTTATTTGACTTTGTTATAAATCAATGGCAGATTTTTAAGAGATAAATGATGAGCTAGTTTTGGTATATAAATATTGTCTGTTACATAGATTAAATTATAGTTAATATGTAGTGTTATAAAGTGTATCACACTCAGAGATTCTGTTGTTACAGCATATAGTTATGGGGATAGTGTACAGTATACAAAATTCCTGCTAAATGTATCTGTCCTGGGCAGACTTTTTGTATGCTAGCATTACACTTCACACTTGATGTCATTCATTTATAAAAAAACTGTTCATCCACTGTAATGGACTCTAATATGTGGTGCCTGATGGGACCACAACATACAACAAAATAGTTTTTCATTGTCAAATTGGTGATTCATTAACACAGATATGAAAAGTTTTATATCCCAACATACTTCTAAAAATCCATTAACAATATCACATCCAAAAGTAATGTTGTTTCATGAAGTCAATATTTGTGTCTACATTGAGCATTGAGTGTAAAGACAGGGAAGGACGCCATCACTGTTACATCAGATTTTAAAATGAACTGTACCCCAATACATGTGTCTGTAACTTGTAACATGTTATAATTATGTTATGTAAATTATAGAACTGTGAAATAAACAAAGATAAGAAAATTCATGTTTGTTATATATATTGCAGAGAATAAGAAAAATACAATATTTTGCTGAATATTGAATTACTACTTTAAATAATGAAACCTCTGAAACAAGTGATAAATTAATGATGTATTTAACTCATTCTTTCCTATCAGAATTGGAGTCCCTGTTTGGTATAGATATATGTTTACTAAGAATATTAGTGTGATTCTACCTTTGTTAATTTAGGTTGGTAGCAGGATTGTCATATAGTACAGTAATTGTGTACTCCCTTTTCACCACAACAATCAAAAATATTTGTAGAGTTATCTCCCCTGATATACAGGTGGCACAAAATGCTTTGCGGTCCTGGCAGTTGATCACTGTTAAAATTTCATGTTATAAGCTTAAATATGATAGAGGAATACCTCATGCTTTAAAGGTATACTATGGAATTCTAGGCCAATTGATTTATATTGATAAGAATCACCCAGGAGGGTCAGACCCACCATTTATACAAAACTGATTTCCCTTCACCCAGGCATTCTTCAGAGAAAAATTGGCAATATCCTGAAATGTTTGAAAAACAAGATAAGTTCTTAAATATATAGATAGATTTTCCCAATTGGGCCCCACCTCTTAGGGCCTTTGGGCCAAGACCCACCATTTGTACAAAATTAATTCTCCTTTCACCAAGAATGCTTCAGAACAAATTTGGTTAAAATCTGCTCACTTGTTCAAGACTATGGTAGTCGATTTATAGGAAAAGTTGACAGACAATGTACCGCTAGATGACGTATGCTGTAGTAACTCTGTAGCTCACCTTTAGGCCAGATGAGCTGAAAACTCTAAGTTTGGACCTTTATGTCCTCTAAAACAGATGCAATAACCAGCCTCAGTCCCACACTGTCTGTTGTTTTTCTTTCATTCCCAACTGCTTACATGAATGCCCTTCAAGTAAAGGGAGAACAAAACGTCAACAACTCATTGTTATATATTAAATTTATTGGATTGCTAGCTTTCAAAGCAATGGGAAATTTGTACTGGTAATGTGTTAATTAATAGTGTGTTATTGGCAACAAAAATAGAAACATTTCAATAACCCTTTCAAATCCATTTCTAGCTGCTAAACATTCTTTTCTCATTCAAAAATATCACACAGGTCAATATAAAACAAACAATGTTAACAACAATTATACAAACATTCATCAATATATATAACACAGCAACCAGTGAGGTACACATCAAATTTACTAGAAGCTCCTTACCAATGTTTTGTCACATCTCGCTGATAATACACAGCAACCAGTGACCTACACATCAAATTTACTAGAAGCTCCTTACCAATGTTTAGTCACATCTCACTGATAATACACAGCAACCAGTGACGTACACATCAAATTTACTAGAAGCTTCTTACCAATGTTTTGTCACATCTCGCTGATAATACACAGCAACCAGTGACCTACACATCAAATTTACTAGAAGCTCCTTACCAATGTTTAGTCACATCTCACTGATAATACACAGCAACCAGTGACGTACACATCAAATTTATTAGAAGCTCCTTACCAATGTTTTGTCACATCTCGCTGATAATACACAGCAACCAGTGAGGTACACATCAAATTTATTAGAAGCTCCTTACCAATGTTTTGTCACATCTCACTGATAATACACAGCAGAGTGCAAATACAAATAATATATACTACTCATTTAGCTAGAAATCTTTTTATCGCTGTGATGGCACATTTCTCTAAATATTACAATGTGATGTACACTTAAGAAATAGTCACTACAAAGTGGTGAATCGTCTTGCTGAATATTAGTTATGTAGGAGTACACTTAAGATATACTACTAGTAGCTAGAAAGCAAACCGCTGTGATGTATCATCAAGCTGAATATTTCACAGTGATGTGCGAGTACATGTAAGTTAGAAAGCTCAACAGTAACACAGCATCACATTGAATATACATGTATGAGAAGATATAAATCTAGTAGAGAGCTTAGTAACATTTGAAGTACATATGATATCTAACATGAAAACCTAACTAACATTATACAGCAATTAAACAAGATGTCTGAAATTGGTCCAATCACTGAACATGCGACATAAATGAATAAAAATAGAACACGTGAGAGAGAAGATCAGCAATGTAGAACAAGAATTTATGAAAAATTTATAATAAAAAAAATCTCTTCTAGAGAGTTTGAAAATCTGATGAAAAAATCTCAAAATAAGATAGACAGGAATTACAGACCGTTTTCAACAAATATCACTTCAACCTATGAAGTGAATTGCCCTGCACAGATGTAAAGCGAAACATTGTTAAGCTGTTCATGAAATATCTTGTACATGAGGGTTATCTATGACTTACTGATTAAACAATATCCATCTCCTTACCTAAGTAGGTGTTGTAACAAAAGTCAAGCTACTCACATTGTGTAATAAAAGTAACTGTAAGTGACAGCTTGTTATATGCTTAACAATGAGTATGGCATATTTAAATTAGTGTCCAAATTACTGAAGTTTTTTAACTTTAATTATATTCATTGTATATACCTACAATAACAGCATCAGATATATAACTCTTATAAAACACTTTTAAAGCAAGCATCTCACTATAGCTGATTTCCCATCATATATAACACAATAAAATTAACATCTAATAGTTCAGACTATATATAACACAATAAAATTAATGTCTAATTTTAGCTCATTGACTCCAACACAATAAAAATAATGTCTATTTATAGCTCACTAATTCTAATACAATAAGATTAACATCTAGTTACAGCTCACCGACTCTAACACAATAAAATTAAGAAACATTAACAAAAGTTCAGGACTTTGTCTAACACAAATATTGAAATGAAACTATTGTACAAGAGATAAACGAAAAGGACACTACAACATTAAATACCAATAATATCACAATGTCGCTACCATGGATGTGTCAGTTATACAACTCCCACACACAGTAATATAAGTCCCAAAAGCAACTCCTCAACAACTTTATAAACAATATGGCCACAATTCATAGACAACATATTTACAACAGTGTGCTCATAAATAACAGAAACTTATTCAATTCAGCCAAATTAATCAGTGCTTTCATTCCTTAAGCAATTTAACCTAGCTAAATCTCAATATCTCACTTAATACTAAGTCAAGTATCCAGAACACTGAGAAATGGAGTCTGTAAATCTGAACTAGGACTATTGAATTAAGTCTAGACATATATCAGTGTACTTCTTTCTGTCTGAAACAGGACTATAGCATTGAAACTAAGCATGCATCACTGTATTTCCATCAGTCTGAACCTGGACTGTGGAATTAAGTCTAAACATGCATTAGTGTATTTCTTTCAGTTTGAACCAAGACTATTGGATTAAGTCTGGGATTAAGTGTGGGTATACATCAGTATACTACCTTCAGTTTGAACCAAGACTATTGGATTAAGTCTGGGATTAAGTGTGGGTATACATCAGTATACTACCTTCAGTTTGAACCAAGACTATTGGATTAAGTCTGGGATTAAGTGTGGGTATATATCAGTATACTACCTTCAGTTTGAACCAAGACTATTGGATTAAGTCTGGGATTAAGTGTGGGTATACATCAGTATACTACCTTCAGTTTGAACCAAGACTATTGGATTAAGTCTGGGATTAAGTGTGGGTATACATCAGTATACTACCTTCAGTTTGAACCAAGACTATTGGATTAAGTCTGGGATTAAGTGTGGGTATACATCAGTATACTACCTTCAGTTTGAACCAAGACTATTGGATTAAGTCTGGGATTAAGTGTGGGTATACATCAGTATACTACCTTCAGTTTGAACCAAGACTATTGGATTAAGTCTGGGATTAAGTGTGGGTATACATCAGTATACTACCTTCAGTTTGAACCAAGACTATTGGATTAAGTCTGGGATTAAGTGTGGGTATATATCAGTATACTACCTTCAGTTTGAACCAAGACTATTGGATTAAGTCTGGGATTAAGTGTGGGTATACATCAGTATACTACCTTCAGTTTGAACCAAGACTATTGGATTAAGTCTGGGATTAAGTGTGGGTATACATCAGTATACTACCTTCAGTTTGAACCAAGACTATTGGATTAAGTGTGGGTATACATCAGTATACTACCTTCAGTTTGAACCAAGACTATTGGATTAAGTCTGGGATTAAGTGTGGGTATATATCAGTATACTACCTTCAGTTTGAACCAAGACTATTTGATTAAGTCTTGGAATGCATCAGTGTACTTAAGTCTGAACTAGGAATATGGGATTAAGTCTAGGCATGCATAAATGTATTTCCTTAAGTTTGGACCTGCATTAGTCGGCCAAACATGTTCAAAAAATTTGTATGAGTTAACATACACACTATCAACAACAATAATAACAGGCACTTTTAACGGTACAATTCGTTAGACGAAAAGCCTCCTCGGCATTGTCTAACAGATTTAGTGGTTTTTCTTTTCTTCACACATCTGTATGGTGAATCCAAGATTTTAACAGCTGAAATATTAACATTACATATCAACAAAACATCTCAAAGCTTCTAATATACATAGTTCTTATCTATAAAGCTCAACACAGTACTAACTCAATTCACTACACAGCCTTGCTACATGAAAAACAGATATGTATATTGAAATCCCTGCCTGGGGTGAAAGCATTCAACATATTCCACATAGCACTACAGATACAGAGCAGACCCGTTCATAATAAGCTCCCTTAAAAAAACAAAGACCATATGAGGATGACTCTGATCCTGAAACTTTAAGTAAAACATGATAGTGATTAGTGAGTAACTATCGTAGTGGAGAATACAGCAGATACATTGTACCTAGGTATAATACACTTAAGAGACTAGGACCATCTAAAATAAAAACATATTTTTCACACAAACAGTTTCAAAAATTATTTCAATGGCAAAATTTCCTTCAAGTAAAATGTGAATTCAATATTTTGGCTGTTTTCATAGCAAAAAAATGCAATTCACACTTACCAGGTAACTAGAATATATTTTTCAAAATCCTTAATTAACTACATAGCAAAAAAGAAATAATAATTAATGACATCAATTTCATGGAATCTATTAAACTGTCTAACCAATCACAATAACATGGCTTCACACCAGTAACCATGGTGATAGAGAATGAATCTGTAACAGGTAACATTCTGTCACTGTTGGGGGGACTGACAGTGAGACTCTGAGGAAGACGCACTGTCACAACACAACCTAGTTAAAATTTGACTCGTTATTCTGTTCCTGTACAATACACTTGTAGTGTAGTGTATCATAGAGGAGCTGAATTATACGTCTTGTTTTAATTTGCTTTGCAACTAGAGGGAGATCCTGTAATAACCAAGTGAAATGACTATTTTCAAAAGAATTTCCAGTATTAACAGCAATATATTACAGAAATTCAAATGACACTTTTTATCTCTTTTACCAAAACAAGAAAACTTGCATGTTCCAGCTACATAGACACAGCAGAATTATTAACATAAACAAATCAACAGAAAAACACTCTATGTGGCCCCAAGATATATATATACCAGTATACCGTACATATTGACTGACTTCAGCTTACTGTCCATTCAGTCTCTTTGAAATGGGGCCCCATACAGGGGCACAAGGAAAATTTTATCACAATAATTAAATCAAATCTAATGTTTAAAGCACATTTGATTGTTGTTCATCTTCTTTAGTAGGGTGATGATTAAGGACCTCTTTTCATGGTGTCATAATTAACAACCCTTTAAAGACCTCTTCTCTCTGGCTCCTTTAGTAGCATGATAATTATCCCTTCTTTCATGGACCTCTTCTCTTTGGCTCCTTTAGAAGCGTGATAATTATCCCCCTTTTTAAGGATCTCTTCTCTGTGGTGATAAATTATCACTCAATTTAAGAGTCTCTTCTTTTTAGTACTAGTAACTCCCTGTATGGATTATTGGGGCTCAAGTCACAAAATACAGTCAAGCACATGTTTAATACATAACATGTCCCATGGACCACAAATTACTCCCAGATTACTATCTGTCACAGGTCCTGGCCCAGGTCCATCGTCAACCAGTGAGTGGTCGAAGGTCAATTCTCACTTTTTCACAACTACTCAACATACCCACAGTTGGGAAGAAACCCCCTTTAGGTATAGGTACTTGTTTTTTCCCAATCATTTTTCCATTTCTTGTGAAAAATATCTGGAAATGAAAGCAAACAGTTTGTAATTTATAAATTTAAGTTTACATGTCTTACAATAAATCTTAATATTATTTTTCTAAATCTAGTGTGATAACAATTATTTCATACAAACACCAATACGATACTGGTCTAAAGAAACAAATGTACACGTCCAAAATTTTTTTTAAAAAATGGAAGGAGTGTTCTGATTAAGGTTTGAAGAGGAGGTCAATGTACTGAGTATCTGTAGTATACGAGTCAAGCCTGATATTGTTATGATATTAGTTAATATAAACAGCAATTCTATGATGTATACTTTTTCAATCTGCTAAATCTGGTTTCCAGATACTGTTAATTACATGCACAATCAAAAATCTTTTAATCATAAAATTTCATTTGCAATCATTATTTTATCTAAATGGTTGAGAATAAAGCATGTCATATGTGCTGTCATGGATACCTACCCATACTTTGGTACCATTCTGATCTAAATATCTGCCACCGGGTATAATATCATCTTCATCAGAATCATCACTGAAATCATCGATCATATCATTATGGACATCAGGGTCATCCGGAGAAAGATCACTGTCTGTTTCACCATCATAGTCCGGGGGAAACAGTATACCACAACCCATGACATCACCTGTAATACAAAGTTTACCCCTCAATGGTATACCACAACCCATGACATCACCTGTAATACAAAGTTTACCCCTCAATGGTATACCACAACCCATGACATCACCTGTAATACAAAGTTTACCCCTCAATGGTATACCACAACCCATTATATCACATGTAATACAAAGTTTACCCCTCAATGGTATACCACAACCCATTATATCACCTGTAATACAAAGTTTACCCCTCAATGGTATACTACAACACATTATATCACATGTACTACAAAGTTTACCCTTCAATGGTATACTACAACACATTATATCACATGTAATACAAAGTTTACCTCTCAATCATATACTACAACCCATTATATCACCTGTAATACAAAGTTTACCCCTCAATGGTATACCACAACCCATGACATCACATGTAATACAACATTTACCCCTCAATGGTATACCACAACCCATTATATCACCTGTAATACAAAGTTTACCCCTCAATGGTATGCCACAACCTATAATATCACATGTAATATCAAGTTTACCCCTCAATGGTATACTACAACCCATTATATCACATATTTTATTAAGTTCAACAGACAATGGTAATTTACACTATACCACTACCCATTAACACACAGTGTCATAATACAGATTACCTCTTAAATTTACTTCAGCTAAATCTCACCTTTATGACACCTTGGTCCAAATGGATCTCCAACACCAGACCCCACAAATATTTTACCATCGTCTGCATGGTATGCTATGGACCCTTTGTTCCATCCAGGGTGTCGGTGATGAGGATAATTCTACCAATATTTAACAAAATCTATTTACAAATGAATCAATAAAACATGTTTTAACTTCGTGTTTGCAAGAATTACATTTTCTAGTTACAGTTACCACATATTGAATGAATAACTAGGTTTATCCAACAACAATTGATCTCCTTCAATTCTATGACAACTAAACCATTTTGAAAAACGTACTTGGTACATTGTGTAGTAGCTAGTCAGCATACTTTGTAATACTATGCATTAATGAAGAAACTGAGTGACACAAAATGTTCATTCTCTATATCTTAACGCTACAGACAGTTTAATGAAAATCGATAAACAGTATAGGCCTTTGCAAGTTTTCCCCTCAAAGGTAACATGCTATTAGAATATTAACTATGGTAAATAATCCCAGATATAGACCAACCTTTGTACTTAATCACTAAATTGTATTATTGTTAGTAACAACCTCCATAAACAGTTCTAAAAATAGTCTTCAAATTGTTCCCGTTTGCCCTTTCTATAACCATTATACTACAGATTAGACTGGATATTGTACTCACTCTTCTAGCCACTCCTATTGCAATGTAGCAGTTTTCACCTGGATCCATTATTTCAATTTCAAAATAATGATATGTTGTGTCGAGGGGCCATCTGGCTTGAGCTAAACCAACATCATGTATGCTCTTCCCTCGTCCCATGTATTCTAAAGTCTGAAATATCACATGAAATTACAGTATTTTCTGATATACAATATTATGGAGATATGACCTTTGCATTTCAACTGAAAACTAAATCAATATTCAGACCTATATGAACTTTACTTGCCACAGAGTCTAAGGTAAAGGTCATGTAAAATTGATTTCAACTTACTGTGCCATTCAACCTGACATCATGGAGACGAGACCAGTCCTCCTCCCCATTGTCGACAGCCATGAGCACCAGGTCCTCATACAGCCATTCCGCCTCTAGGTTGAGACGCACTTCTTCCCCAGAGGAGTGCATTCCTACTGCAGGATACAACCCTCGGGCCGGAGCTTGCATCATCGTCATGCCAACCTGCAGCAAAAACAAATCAAAAGTTTAAGAACATTTGATATCTATTTCTTAATGATGTAAAGTACTTACATAGACATGAACATGTACCAGTAGTATATCATTTAAATCATCACGGGCACTTTGATATAAATAATAAATTTCTCAATAGATATAGCATCCATTTACATATATCAGTACATACTTTGCCTGTATGATATGGATTAGAAATTAAATGGTTTGTGATGGAAATTGATGTTTATAACTCAAGTGGATATCTGAGAAAAACTTTTCATAGCACTCAGGCATCAATGAAGTGACAATAGTATGTCCTAGTCAATGTTTGGGAGACAATTCCCTTTTCCACTAAAAGTAGGTAAATAACACTAGTTTTTTTTTACATAAATAAAACATGGATGCCATCAATAGTGACCAGATAATATATCCTTAAGTTTTCTGAAGTGGGGTGACAGTCAACTTAACCAACCTCCTTCCCATTGTGTGTAAAGAAGACCTTGACCGACTGCCCTGGCCCCTCCTCTGGGGCTGAAAATTTGATTCCACATCCTATTCTATCGCCAGTTTGACTCTTTGAGCCAAAGGGTTTGCCAAAACCGTTAGCTTTGTAAAGCCTGCCGCAACAAACACAGAAAAAAATTAACAGCATGTCTAAAACCAACATCATCATAATCAATTTTTTACATGTATTTTTTCTTCAGTTAATTTAAATATACCACACATTTTAAGTAGTCGATAATTTAATTTAATTTGCCATCTTATTGCTGTTGATAATGTTTAAACAGTGTTGAAAAAGACATGAGCTTTGAACATCAAACTTTAATTGATCCAAATCAGCATAATATTCCATTATCATTGGGCAGTATTACACAATCATCAGGAACATAGTTAATCAGGCAGCATATTATGGGTGCGATCACATACTTCCCATCATCAGCATGGAATCCTACAGAAAATGCTCTCCATCCAGGCTGGGCATCAAGAGGGTATCTCTGGGGCACCAAACCCACACCTTAAAAATTAATATCATTTCATTCCAACAACTCTGAAATAACTAACAATTTTTTTAATCACATTTGATACAACGTTTTCAAACAAATTTAGTGAAAAGTAATATTTTGCATTTACACAAATACCTCAATACCATTTTATCTTTAGAGTATCCTCATAACTCTATAATGATGTATTCACATAAATATAGCCAATACTAAGTGAAAACAAATCAATATTTGTGTTTGGAAAAGCTCGATTATCATTTACTTTAAACAAAACATGCTAACCTATGGTTCCTCGATTGCCAATGTCAAGGATTTCCACCTCAAAATAGTAATCTTCTGGTGTGAGAGGTTCCCCTGCTACATATAATCCAACACTAAATCTGTCATTCGGGGCATAGCTGAAATCCAAGATAATGATGATGGCAAAATGAATTATATACTATACAAAAGTTTATATCATAACTAATTCTACCAAGAGATATAGCCTGTCTGATACAAATGATACTCAAAACTACTAATTGTAGATCAGAAAGAGAAAGGGTTTTTGTGTATAATGAAAAAAAAAAAAGTCTTATGAAGTTAGTTTGGGTAAAGTATATATTGCAGATCGTATGAAGTGAAGTAGAATCAATAAATCTATATTTTTAAAGAATTAAAGGTAAACTTTTTTTTTTTTTACCATTTTCAAAGTTACTTTTGAAACATAAATTACAAACTATATTTAATAATTAACTCTTACTTAATGTTTGTCAAAGCACAGTTCTTTGTCTTAATCTAATTTTCACTGACTAATAAGACATTTGATTTTGAGCTGTTTCCATTGTTATGCTTCTTTTCAGATCAGAAAATTGAAATCACAAAATTAACCCACTGCAGAAATAATCATGACAACAATATGGTTTGACTTAATGCTCATTACCCGAGAACATCTCCATCAACACTAATGTTGGCATATCTTGGTTGTCCTGCTTCTACATCGGCATCTCGCACCTGTCCAGCATCCTGGTGAATTCTCTGGTGATGTCTAAATACATGCATGAATTGATTCGGATATCGTATTTCCATGGCCACTAAGTTCTGAAAAAAAAAGAAAGCAACACAGTTTCAGTAAAATGATGAGATATATCTGCTGATGATCAGAAAACAATCAGTATAATTATCATTGATGTCATTCTATGATAGGTTATCAAGTTTATCTAAGGACTTAACAATTTAAATTTTAATGATCTCAAACATTTGTACTGCTATGTCATTATCTTTACCACATGCTTAGTAGTAGTGAATGAGAAGCAATAAGCTATACTTTCAATACAATATGTATTGGTAAAATAAGATCTGGCAGATTGGATGTATAGTATAGTCAGAAGTAAGGAAACAAAATTCCCTATGATGGACCAAAATGAAGCTTAAATCAAATGATTTCATTTCCATTATGATACCATGAATCCTCTTAAGTTTAAAGAAACAGGACAATTCACAGAGCCCCATCAACACCCCACCCCACCAATGCGAGTATGAAGTTCCAGTATTTTAAAACTTTGGATTAGGGTTGGTAATGCAAATGGATAGAAGTTATTATAACACAACCTGTAGAAGATTACAGTGTGACGTTTCGATGACTGCATAGTCACCTTCATCAGACATATGATCAGTGTGGAGTGTACTAGCACTGACCTACATAGTATACAAGATGGTGTGTGGAATCGAAGATTTTTTTGAGCTGTATTATAATCCTACATACACTAAGGTCAAAAATAGTGTGACAAGATGGTAAACAGATCATAGACAAAAAAAATACATAAGATGGTAACAAGTTACGGTGGTCAATTCGGCTACGCTTCATTTAACACTTGGTCTGTGGCCTACCCACATCCCTACTAAGTATTCCAGTGAAAAGATTTAGCTAATGGAGCCTGAACAATTTCATTTTTTCTCTTTTATGTATGTCAAAGGTCAAATGTAAGTCAGAGTGCCTTAGATTTGACACATAACGCATTGCCTCATCAAGGTGGACCCTTACCCCAAGTATAAAATTCTAGTGACTGATAGTGTAGGAGACAGTGCTCAAATTTGTTTTTCCTATGATGGAGGTCAAAGGTCAAAATGTTGGCAACAGTGACCTACTTTTGATACATGACACACCATTCACCAAGTGAACCTGTATCCCAAGTTTTAATTCCAGTGACAAGTGGGGAACTTATTAACATCTACACATACAGCTTCCACTGGAGATTGAACCAAGATTCTGTGAGAGTGAATAATCTGAAATTTACCCCAGAGTTTCACATGGTTACTTTACAATCGATTTCCAATTGCTACATTATCTTTTAAAGTTTCTTCATTTTTGGCAGAAGAACCACTGGAGTTAAATCTATACACTATAACATCAACATTGAGAGTGTACTCCTTGTCCTGTGTGTGGAAGCTTATACAGAGATACACAGTTGACAGTAATATACTTGACCAAACCTCACTAGTCAGTCACTGTCTTAACTATCTTAAACAACAGGTTTTTGGTGGAGGTGGCAGTTATTGTTGCCTCTGAGGTTCATGGCACAGGTGAACCTCATCATGATGATCTTTTTTTTTGAGGTACTAAGTCATTTGTCATTAAAGAAAAGAACAACTTATCCTCCTGGTATATGTTAAAGGTATCATACTTTAAATATCCTACTAGTTTGGCTCCATGATTTGAGTAGTAAAGGAAACTGTGAATGCAAATCCTTGCATTGCAAACAGTACCTATACAAGGTCTCGCTCCAACCTAAAATAACAAGATTTTTGGATATCCATTAAAAAGTTTAAAAAACCTATCAAGCAGACATTTATTCCAGAACAATGTCTAATGAAAACATACCCTTGTACATGAGAATATTTTGCTTTAAACTTTGCTCAGCCAAATAATGAAAAAGAAGCCAGGTGCACATGAACAAAAAAATACAGATGACAGAGAAAAAGTTTGTGCTAGAAAATTATCTGATAAGTTAAATTACAACATTTGGTCAATGTTCATCAACAAAGACATTGTCTGATTCATTGACTTCAAGGAAATGTTAGAAGGATGACAGTTCCTAAAAATTTGTACAAGCCAGAATCATGACATATCTAGATGTGCAAGCAAGATATATTCCTAATAAAAGTAAGCATTTCCTAAACATATGTCATTAATCCTTAATTATTATTAATTAGCAAATCACAGGGTCAAACTAAACACAGGTAGCTGAAACTTATGATTATTAGCACCATCAAAATCAATCCATATGAAACAATGAGCTAATTACAGTGATTTTGCAAACTGAACTCACACAGATCAAATCCAACACAAATACACATGTGATTTATCGTGACCTGTTACTGTATACTCAATAATGAAATCATCTTAATTTGGTCGTTATCATATATGAAACTGACTTTGTATATAATTGTATTAGGACCATATTAATATATCTTTTCATGCCATGAACTTTATTAGGTATTTTAAGATATAGTGGTACACTATACACACATATATCTCTGACGATCAAGGAAAAATTGAACGGTATATGACTCAACCAATTTCACAAATATCAACAGGAAACTTGTTACCTAAGTTTATTATTCATATCTACAATAAATTCTTTGATGACGCTAACTTCATTCACTACTTAGTCACCAATTTTACTTGTTGCCAATTTTTAGATAGACCTGAAGCAAGACCTTTATACATCATTGCTCAACATGCTCAAAATGAGCAGATCTGGTTCTCTTGTGAGAAAACCAATATACTCTATTCTGACACAAGTCATCAATCTACCCATTTTACAACTTTATCATATAAAATTTGCAACGTTTAGTGTGCGCTGAAATGGATATTTTCAAATACAGCAAAACCTACAATGCGAAGTGATAACAGCTTGAATAATAACAGTAAATATATGAACAGATAGTCAGTCATGTCACACGTCTCAGTTTATCAACAAATTACTAGTGTAAAAATTCAAGGAGAAATTGTGGATAATGTTGATATTGTAAAGAGGAATCAACCACATACCTCATGTGAGTAGACTTTACTACGTGCAAGCATTCCAAATTAGAAAAATCATAATATCCACAATCACGAACGTTACTTCCTTTTGCAAACAAAAATAACAACAACGTAATCTTGTCTTTTCCAAGAGGCCCATAAGGGAAGCTATGCAACGGACAACATCTGTTACAGTACGCGTTTATTCTTAATATATAAGTATGCGTAATGGCTATCAATAAAACAGAATAGTTAATTATCGACGTCTCAGATCAGCCAAACCAATACCGCAAACAATTTACCTGTAACGAAGACACGACATCTTTCTCGTTCATCTCTTGTCAACACATCGTGTTTTGTTCATTATTTCGCCGACAGATGGCGCTGATTCTATCCATGTCATTCATAACCTTTTTTACTGAGCGCTGAATAACGAGTCAATAAGCGTTTATGTGACCCCAAAAATATCGGGCTGATCAGGGTAAAGAAACAGTTTTGTACAGCGGGGAAGACGCTTGTATTTAGTAAGCGGGAAAATATGAACAACTCTACGAGATTACTCAAGGGGGCCTTGCCATTAACAACAACAACCCAACCCCCCCCCCCCCCGAAAAAAAAATAATCCCAAAATTACATTGGCTGAGAAGAACTGCCAACCAAAAACGGACATTGAAAAGAACACAATTAAATAGAGACAGAAAACCTGTCAATAAACGAAAACTTGATAAAATCATATCATACCTGAAAGTACGATTGAATGGAAGAGCTCCACGGTCGAGGTTTTCGACGACTAACTTGTGTCTTCGTTCGAGTTTCATCAAAATGACACCAGTTCCTTAGTTTCTCCAGGGACGTATGTTTCTCAGGACATTGAACTCGCCCAATCTTGTAACGTTATCAACTTCATCATAAGCCCCATGCATGTCCGGACTGTTACAAATACAGAGGGCGAAGGACGTTCACATGATGCTCTTAGGTGAGCCCCGCGTTGAGTCACACCATTTGACTTGTTGCAAAGTTAAACTTGGGTCAACCGATTTGATCGTCCCCGAAGCGACCGACCCCGCAAAACGACAGAGTGTGATACACTTCCGCAAGTACATTGTTTAATGGGCGTCGTGTGCCTCGGTGCCAAAATATGAAAGCTGTGAAGATTTAGCTTTTCGGAGATTATTCACCAATTTACACAGTCACCGAAGCCCCCACTGTTCACAACAGTTTTACCTATACCCAATTCACTTTTATATTGCAGTTAGTGTCGACTTAGCACTTACCATTTTTGTCCGGAAATGAGGGGTGAATCTCATTTACGTATCAAATAAATCTAAATGACATGGTATAAGAATCACACGCGTCAAACGAAAGACTACTCAGATTTAATGTCACTTATTTAGAAATAATTTTCTTCATCTTTTGGGCGGTGACACCCTTATATTCCGAAGACCCAACAGTCTGACAATAGTGTATCATACAGAATGATATTTCAGTAATTTCGTAAATAGTTAAACATGCGTACTTCTGTTATGTTTATAGAAAGGTTGGTTAAACCAGAGACGTATATATCACGTGAAATATACGTCTCTGGTTAAACTCGAATATACCTCAATGGTGTGAAGCCCGCACTCATAAAATGCAACTGAAGACTCGGAGGGCAGCATTTGAGATCACTTGTAATAGTAGCTTGTACATCGCCCCCGAGGTTAGCTGTAACCACGGAACTTTTTTTTTTTTTAATTTTCTTTTTTTTTCCGAAAGGGCCAAGTGGCAAGAATAATAATCTATACGTTCCTCGCGCATGAATTTGAAATAAATTATTATTGAGAATTAAGAAACTTATTCTTGGGTTTATGCACTTGCTGGGCTGGTTTTTGGTATTCTTTCCGGACTAAGAATCAACAACTCTGTCCAATAGAATCGTTGACTGTCCCGGAAGGACCAAACCATCTGTAACCAAGTCCTGGTGCAGCATGATTACCGGAATCAGTCGATGTTAACTGAATTATTAATTACAGTCAAATCCGCCCCTCCCCCTTCAGCAGCCTCTCATTGATGAGCCAATCACAGTCCAGGGGTAAAGGTCAAGTCCTGTTTGCTCACGTTGATCTATCGAGCAGTGCAGAATATTTAGTTGTTGGCCTTTTGACATAACCGGCACCAAAAATGGGTAAAATTAAAGGTAAGTAGGTTATACTGGCTCGTAAAACAATCTCAATTTGTGCAATAAGAATTGTTTAATTGATATTCAACGTGTATTTTGTGTGTATTTGACAGGAGGTCCTGTTGTGGAAATGCAGGGAGATGAGATGACGCGGTAAGAAATGTGTCAAGCTGTCCCGTGTCAAACACAAGGAAGACACTGTCAAGTGATACTCCAATCAAGAGACTTCACTAAATTTTCTTTCTAATTTTGGCATTCCATACCAAACAATACGCATATCGGTCACGTAAAATTCTAAATATATCGACTTATCCTTGCAATGTCCCGGCGATGTTATTCTGATCCGGTCCGTCTGACACTGACCCGACCAGCTGATCGTAACCCGATCAACATGATATGGCAGTTTACTTTGGTCTTAGCTATGTACGAGTCTAAAAGGCTGCATACCCTCATCTGCTTCTTGAATGATAGGCTCAATACTATTTCCAGTTTGGCTTTCAGATTCCGGAAATTGACCCCGGCCAATAGGTTTATGAGGTGGATATCTGTAGCGTCCCAGTTACCGACTTCACTTCTTGATTGATGAACCGTTTAATTTGATTAATCAAAAGTTACTCACAAAGGTAAAGGGGTCTTCTTTCTAGGCACATGAAAATGATTTCTTCGTATGTAGTCTTAATACAGACGTTTCGACCGAAAGATTTTTCTTCCCCAAGGAATGTATTTCCTTAACAGAAACCAAACGTTACATAATAATTTTACCAATTGTAGACATATGAAGTAAACTTTTGACAGCTAAGTGGGTTGATGTTACATCAGTTGGAAAATGGGAAAGTACAAAAACATATAGATGCAGATCTGGAGTACAACGCAAACACACACTAATGCATTCTATGGATTGTTTAGTTGCAGGATTGTACCACTGTAGACATTTATACTAGACATGGCTTCCTTCATTTGCTCTCCACCCAAGGTGTATCTGCCCTGCATCCATATCCAGGATCCTCTACCCAGGTCATGCGATATTGAACTCCCATTCAGGGTCCTGTATCCTTAAATATATCTATACCCAGATTTCCCTTTGCCAATTAGGATCTTGAGCTGTGTTGTTACCAGAAAACTTCTTTATGGTCACTTTACTAACAATTAAACACTTACACTCAGTCCATCAGGTGGGACTTAAAATGGTGACCTGTGTGGCACTATAAAGATTCCTCTGCAGTTCTTTGAAAAAGAATAAGATTGATAATATCAGCCCAGAGGATAGGTTTATATTAGCAATGGGATCTATCCATTAAGTAATTTTGAGAGACTTCCGAAATGTTATAAACATATCAAAATTCATGAAGTGTAGGATCCTTTCCCATCTCCTCTCTGTCCCTAACCAATCCTCTTGCTGTGATGCACCTCATAAATGTTAGGTAAATTTGTAAAAAGGCCGAGGGGTCATTTTCAAAATTATAGTTTAAGAACAGGTTTGGTTGGATAGAAGGCCTCTCTCTTCCATATTTCTCTATCCTATTCACTCCCATTACTTCATACCTCTCTGCTCACTTTCCTATTTTTTCTCGTCCGCTGAAAGGTCAAATGGCTGTAATAATGAACATAAAACTCTTTAGATAAATAAACATTGGTGTTGCTACGTACAGGGTTTCTTCAAAGGTCTATCACAGTCAAGTTATCCAGCTTCATTACAGGACACTACAGGACACATAGGTGTCATAATAGGATATGAGATACTTAGACAACTAAGTGACCAAAATAATCAGACTGCATGTCAAATTTGTATTTCTGTTTCATTAATGTTGAGCCTTAAAAATGGCCCTGCTGTTCCACTATTTGGTTTGAAGACATGGTTCGCAGTTGATGGGGCCACTGCATGGTACTTCTGTAACTGAAATACCCTATACACAACAGTGTGGTGCCCCTTCCTAATGGGAGGGTCACATGGTATACAGTTAGAACTGAACATTAACTGGGACAGCATTACGTAAATGTAAGGATTTTAAGCCCACTATCGTGACATGATTGGGTAATTGAATTACTCTTCATTCATGGTCTGACAATCAGTACTTCTTGCAGTAGCTATTTTGGATTGGAGTTACCAATATTTAAAAAAAAAAAAAAAAAAGAATACTGCTTGAAACTTCGTTTCAGAATAGGTCCATATTTTTATATTGATGCTACTTTTGATAAGAGATTGAAGATGGCAACCAAAGGTCTTTTTGACTTTCGACATTTGAATTTTGTTTTCAACTTGGCTTTGAAGACTATTGAAAGGATTTGAAAACTTTGTTGACATGTTCAGAATGACATTGTCTAGTCTGTGGATTGAAATTTCTTAACCCTAGAGATGCTGTGTTGTTTTATACAGAGAACCCGCCCCCTCCCCCAGAGCTGTATGTATGTAACTTATGAAATTTAACTAATTTTTTTACAAACCATTTAGAAGGTAAGTATTTAAGAGTCTGATTTAAAATAATTCTATTGAAGAATTTAATAATTTCAATAACACGAAGTGCAATGTTTATGGAATATGAAATGAGAAAAAAAAAGAGCAAAAAAGGGAGGGGAAAAAATAAACAGCCACCTGCAAAGTTTGTCTTCCCTGTTGACTAGTTAGACTCGGGGAGTAACCCACTAAGTATTTAGTTGAGAAATGAAGAACTACTGTACCATTTATTGACAGCAAGCTTCCTATACTTTATTTGAATTTGATGATCTATATGTCTGTCTCATTATTTTTATTTATTTTTTTTAATATATTTGAGCTGATCAGGAGTCATCTTTGCTGTATCTTTTCTATTTGCAGGGTGATTTGGGACCTCATCAAACAAAAACTGATTTTACCATTTGTAGATCTAGAACTTCACACATATGACCTTGGCATTGAAAACAGGGATGCCACTGATGATCAAGGTAATTCAACATTGCTTCTAAGACATAACTTTGCTTATTGTTACATTCTTGTATGACCTCGATATCGAAAAGGTGCAACAGACGAATAAGTTGTCACTTTACCTGTAGATGTATATAATAGTGATGCCTGTAGATGTATATAATAGTGATGCCTGTAGATGTATGTAATAGTGATGCCTGTAGATGTATGTAATAGTGATGCCTGTAGATGTATGTAATAGTGAAGCCACTATTTGACAACTACAGATTGTCACTTCATACATACAATACTTGATAGAAAATATGGATTATGAAGAACTACTTCACTGAAACATTTCTTTAAAAGTGCTCCCGTTCACAAAGTAAAATACTACGAAAAAGAAGCAAATTTTTGTTAGTGACAAGGTTTGGATAGTTTATGATTTAGTAAGAATCTGATACTGTTGATTTTCCAGTGACTATAGATGCTGCCTTTGCCATTAAGAAATACAACGTTGGTGTCAAGTGTGCCACTATTACTCCAGATGAGAAAAGAGTGGAAGGTAACTTTCTGTGACTTACTATAGATATCCTGCAATAAATCCAGAGTACTTTAAAGTTCTGACCCAGAGTTAGAGGATGGGCTTATTACAGAACAATGATAGCAATTTTTTTTTTTTTTTTTTACATCAAGTAAACCTTCACTCAGTTTGAAAATATTGTTGAAGCTATTTGAATTATATGCAATTATACTTGTGAAAATAGATTAAGTTTAAACTATCGGAGTTGACATTGCCTCAAAATCATGACAAAAAGTTTTTTATCATACCAGGTAGCAATGCATGTAAGGACTGATCCCTATTGGCTTGTTTGGAGTATTGAAAATATTTTGATTTTGATATTTGATTTTCTTTTTAAACACTACCATGTTAATCAACCGTTAAGAAATTGTAGGTTTTATTTTACTCTTCATCACAATGGATATTGTAATGAAGAAAGCATGATCACCTGATTTAAAGGACATATCTGCTTGTATATTAGCAAAATTTAGCATTGACATATCAGTATGCATACTGTGGATTGAGACTTATGACTACAGATTACTGTTTGTTGAAATTAACTCATCGGTATTTACAACTCCTATCTATGAGTCTCACAATTATTTATTTGACATAATAGATAGACATAGTCTTTATCCAATCAAAATGTGAAGTAAAACAATGTTGGTCATTCCATGTTCCTTATACCGGTCACTTGTTTGGGATTTAAATTGTGTCAGACGTCATTTTCAATTTTATTTTTATAACCGAAAGCAATATTACATACATATATATGGATGTGTATGAAAGTTATTTTTCACCATGATGTTGTATATTGGAGTATGTTGTTTAATAATCATGTTTAGGGCAATACTCAATAGTGGTAGCACAGACCCATTTTTGGTACCATATCAGTTATTTCAAAAACATAATGGACATCTAACTGGATTTTAAATGAATGATTAAAGAAAATTTTTTCCAAATAGAGAAGATAGCATACTGCTGTTATCAAAATATGTTTTAGATCTGCAATAGACATGGATCGGCTTAATAGCGTGCATAGACTTATTGTCAGTTTCATACATTATGAAATGTAAACATATCACCTCAATCCTTCCCATAATGTCAAGTGACTGTATGTAACAAGTAGATATTTTTACATCTTACTAAAACAAATGTTGCCAAAAGAGAACGATTGATTGATTAATTACTTGGTTGAATCTTAAATATATTACTGTATAGGAAGGAGGCATTTCACAGTTAGGATGTGATGAAATTAATCTCCCCAGCTTGTTTTATATTTCTGTTTTGTATTTTTAGAATTTAAACTTAAGAAAATGTGGAAATCTCCAAATGGAACGATCCGTAACATCCTGGGAGGTACTGTATTCCGAGAGGCTATAATCTGTAACAACATTCCCCGTTTGGTACCAGGCTGGACAAAGAGTATTGTCATTGGCAGACATGCCTATGGGGATCAGGTACAAAGTCTATTTTAACATTCTTGTGCAGAAATTTGGATATTTATGCTATAAACTTTTTGCAATGATGTATTGTTTTTGGAATACAGATATTTGAGTCAGTCTTTTCTTTTCCAGTTTGAAATATTAAATGTAGTTGTTGATTGCACTTTGTCAAGAATTGTTAATAATTCCATTTAATTTAGTTTAAAATCAATAGATGTTTTTGGTTAGAAATGTTACCCTCAGTAAGTGAAACTATATCATTAATATTTTCCTTTAAAAATTAATGGTATTTACTTTCAGTAATATGTAAAGAATACTTTAAATAATGCTCCTCTTTTCAGTACAAAGCCACAGACTTTGTGGTGCCGGGTCCAGGAAAGCTTGAGATGAAGTTCACTCCAAGTGATGGAGGGGAGGCCATGAACTACACAGTGTTTGAATTCCAAGATGGCGGTGGTGTTTCTTTAGGAATGTACAATACTGATAAGGTAAGCACAGTAAATCAGCCACAGACATAGATGTACTGATGGTGAAATGGTATTCACAGCAGGGAAGCAGAAAGGAATGGTGGCTAATTCAAGACAAAAAGAGATCATTTAGGTATTATATATGCTTTTGTCCCAGTCGTGAGATTGCTGTTTGCTTATAGCACTTGCCTCACTTGAAGTTTGGATCTGTTAAAAATAGCTTTAGAACAAAAGAAAATTGTCCAGAGATTTAGACTATTGATATTTAAAATGAAAATTGTCTGAGAAATATTTCTGGAGAATATTAATGGGATAAAGTGTAAAAAAAATATTAGTTATTCCAAATTTTGACACATTCCAAACTTAGCCTTTTTAATAGGCCAAAATATATTGACTTGAATTTTGCTTATTCTTCACAGAATCTGCCAGACCTTATCTGGTACTGAGAAATTTGATATTTGGAAATAAGATTTATCAACAGTTATTGATATTAATTATTTCAGAGTATAACAGAGTTTGCACACAGCTCGTTTGTGTTTGCCCTGGAGAAAGGTTGGCCTCTTTACTTGAGGTAAGTAAATTTAGTTGTGACCAGAGCAATTATCAAACATCTGTTTTCTTTTCTGGGAATTATTTTATTTCATGTCTGCAACATAATCAATTTGACTGAAATTTCAGAACATTCTTTACATAATCAATTTGACTGAAATTTCAGAACAATGTTTACATAATCAATTTGAATTAAGATACTACAAGTTTACTGTAATAATTAATAGCTAAATTGATTACAAAGTGTTTAATGAATGAATCTTAATTTTATGGCCCAACAAAGATAACTGTACAGCACCCAACCTTAATACAGGCAATAATGCTAGTACATTATATTTTCAGTACTAAGAACACAATTCTGAAGAAGTATGATGGACGATTCAAGGACATTTTTCAGGAGATCTACGACAGGTATAAAGTTGTGTTTATGATGATTAGAAGTGTAATTACAAGTTATACAAATCTCTAATTCTAATTCATAACAAAATTTCTTAATATTCTGTGATAATTTCAAAGCAAATGCGATTTCAATCTAAACAGTTACCATTCAGGATGATATTTTTCTGATGAAGAAGTGTCAGGTACTTTAAAATGTTTTACTCAGTGTTTGTGCATTGTTATGTGTAAAAGTATAGTACAGTCAGATACAAAGCAGGCCTAAAGTGACATGTTAATTTGTTAGGCTTTATTAACTCTACTTTTTGGCAAATATAAAATGTGTTAAATTACTTTCCCCTAGAGAATACAAGTCCAAGTTTGAAGCAAAGTCTATCTGGTATGAGCATCGCCTCATTGATGACATGGTGGCTTATGCAATGAAGTCAGAAGGAGGTTTTGTGTGGGCATGCAAGAACTATGATGGTGACGTCCAATCAGACTCTGTTGCTCAAGGTACACAGAATGGGACTAATGTCTGTTTTACTATTAGCTGCTTGTCTGTAATTAGAGGACATCATTGATCTTACCTGCAGCTTTTGTTTCATTTAGGAGAAAATGAAATGAGGAAAGAGATTTTAAGATGCTTCTTAATTTCCTTTTTTAATTTTTTTTTTTTTTTGGTAGCAGGTGATGGGGATTGGGATAAGGTTGTGTGGGGGATATCCTAATATATCCATATTTGTATGATTTTAAAGAGATGATCAGAGTAACAGTAAATTTTTTACAATGATTATTCTAAAGAACATTAGAGCCGGGATTGATGTAAATTTGGGGAATGCACATACTACCCATTATGATAAAAAGGAGAATATGTAGATGACCTCTCTTGAAAACTAGGATATCTTTGTGTCACCCATATGAAAAAAGAAAAAGTTGGCACAGAATGAATGTAGGAGAAGCATTAAATATTTTACATTTTTTTCTAAAGCTATAGAAGTATTGTGACTTAGCTACTTTTTTATTTATGTTGTCATGATATAATTTTTTTTATATTGTTCTTGTGCTGTCTGTTTGTTTGTTTGTCTGTTGTCAGCTTTAACCTGACCATAACTATTGCACCATAAGAGATAGGACTTTCATTTCTAGCATGTGTGTTCTTGCCAGTAGTACTAAAACTTTTGATCATGTGACGTTTGACCTACATTTGATATATTTCAATATTGGCCATAACCATTGCACTAAAACTAAAACATAAAAGTGTGCATGCAAATAGCACTTGCCTTATACAGTACAGTTTTAATATCCCACTTCAGAATTTTTTCACAACTTTGGGCATAGTGTTTCATAAACACATCTTGTTCTGAATATTTTGCTAGATAGGCTTTAGGAAGTAAGATCATTCTGAACAGGCACTTACTTATGCCCATGTGGGAGTTAAGTATCCCACATGGCTTGTGGATATTCTGCATGGGACATGTATCTCTCATGTGTGTGGATGGAAAAATCTCTCCTGTCAGTTGTTATGTTCAATGCTAAGATAATTACTGCCATTTCACAGATTTTAATCCCTATTTCAGGTTTTGGATCTCTGGGAATGATGACTAGTGTCCTGATTTGTCCAGATGGTAAAACAATAGAGTCAGAAGCTGCCCATGGAACCGTTACAAGACACTTTAGATTACACCAGCAGGGCAAGGAGACCTCCACCAATTCTATAGGTAAGGACATGAGTATTAGTACCCTGCTTGGAACTTGAGGAAGGAGGGGGGTGGCTTACAATTTTGTGTCACGCCTTTCTGTAATTTTGCTATCATGTCCAGGTACTATCTCATACATGTCTTATCACTGGAACTTCATACTTGAAGTATGGGTTCACTTGATGAGGTGTTGGTCCATTAAGGATTGCAATTCTGTGACTTATTTCATTTAAAATTTGACTCCCACCAATTCTTGGGTAAAGACATTTTTAAGGAGTAGAAAATTATTTTAAAATATACTGGTAGCCTCACCAATGGTACCGCTAAGAGAAGTCCTCCACACAAGTGAGGACAAATTTTTAACGAGTAGAAATCATTTTAGATAAACAAACTTGAAGAGACATGTTCTGATTTTTGGAAAGAAGTCATGATCAACATATTGTCTGTATATTAAGCTGTTCAGTTGTTCATATTTTTCAGCCTCCATATTTGCTTGGACAAGGGGTTTGATACACAGAGCCAAACTGGACAAGAACAGTAGTCTGAAACAGTTTGCTGAGAATTTGGAGCTTTCTTGTGTGGAAACAATCCAGTCTGGCATTATGACAAAAGATTTGGCCATTTGTATCAAAGGAATGAATGGGTGAGTTTATATATCACAAAACCAGAGTCTACCTTGTAGTTGTCACTGTAACTGTTAACTTTAAATGAAATGTTATAACACAAGAAGAATCTGTATTGTCAACCTGTGGAGTCAATAAAGCTCTTCACCATTACCTGTTAAAACAGAAATATATATAATCTCTGTTATGTAGACTCTTGTTTGGTTAGTATATCTCTTCACATTTACCTATTTAACTCTAGTAAATATAATCTCTGTAATGTAGACTCTTGTAGGGTCAATGAAACACTTCACCTTTACCTGTTATAACACTAGTGACTCAATCTATATGATGTTAACTTTTGAAACATCGATGAAATGCTCCAGCTTTAACACAATCTCTGTAATGTAGAAACTCTTGTAGGGTCAATGAAACACTTCACCTTTACCTGTTATAACACTAGTGACACAATCTATATGATGTTAACTTTTGAAACATCAATGAAATGCTCCAGCTTTAACACAATCTCTGTAATGTAGACTCTTGTAGGGTCAATGAAACACTTCACCTTTACCTGTTATAACACTAGTGACACAATCTATATGATGTTAACTTTTGAAACATCGATGAAATGCTCCAGCTTTAACACAATCTCTGTAATGTAGAAACTCTTGTAGGGTCAATGAAACACTTCACCTTTACCTGTTATAACACTAGTGACACAATCTATATGATGTTAACTTTTGAAACATCGATGAAATGCTCCAGCTTTAACACAATCTCTGTAATGTAGAAACTCTTGTAGGGTCAATGAAACACTTCACCTTTACCTGTTATAACACTAGTGACACAATCTATATGATGTTAACTTTTGAAACATCGATGAAATGCTCCAGCTTTAACACAATCTCTGTAATGTAGACTCTTGTAGGGTCAATGAAACACTTCACCTTTACCTGTTATAACACTAGTGACACAATCTATATGATGTTAACTTTTGAAACATCGATGAAATGCTCCAGCTTTAACACAATCTCTGTAATGTAGACTCTTGTAGGGTCAATGAAACACTTCACCTTTACCTGTTATAACACTAGTGACACAATCTATATGATGTTAACTTTTGAAACATCAATGAAATGCTCCAGCTTTAACACAATCTCTGTAATGTAGAAACTCTTGAATTCAAGAGTCAGTAGAAACCTCTACCTGCACCTTCATTTGTTTGATCAGTTGGACCTGGATTGTTCATTTATGAAATAAGGGAAGACTTAATTATATTGTTTTTTTCTTTCTGACAAGCCCAATTTTAGTACATGAAAATACAATCTTTGTAATGTCTTAAATTTCAGTTTTGTAGTCTTGAAGGGTCTGCAAAACTCTTTTTTTACTTGATATATTACTGTGTTCTCTGTAAAAATGAAACATCTTAATTTGTATGTACATTGCTATTTATTCTTTCAGAATTACTCGCAAGGACTACCTGAACACCTTTGAGTTCATTGACAAAGTAGCAGAGGATCTTGAAAAGAGAATGGGACAATCCAGTTGACTAGGCCTGGATGATGAACCAGCTAGTCGACTTTAAAGCCTGCTGTGAACATCATACTTAGGATTTTAAAATTAAGGACTGATTGTGACAATATAGGTGATATTTTTTCCAATATATGAGGTTTTTGCAAGATTAAGGATTTATTGAAATTGGGGCATTGTTGTTTACTAGGGAAATTAATTGATGCCAAAATCAGTTAATTGAATACATGTTAATGATTCTGTTTAGCTAGTGTCTTTGTTTCAGCTTAGTTTTAGGGAATAGTGTATGTGTTCTTATTTAAGTTTCATTACCATACAGAATTATTCTAGAATGTTTTAAAAATCAAAATGTATTTTTTGTGATTAATTTTCTTGAATTAATTTGGCATTTGTAATTGTTCAGTAATGTCATACAGTAAGACCTCATTAAATCATGCTCCTTGGGACCATGTCAATAGTTTAAGGAATATGGCGTATTCAGGTAATCAGAGATTGGTTATTGATGGTCCTGTATGGACAATCCATGTCCTTGAATGACTTCTTCAATACACAGTTCTTTGACCAGTCAAATTTATAATCATTTTTTGATTGACTAAAAACGTCAATTTGTCTCAAATTTTAATGGAGAGAATTATATAAAAATGGTATCGCAACACCAATCTGAATTCTACAGTAAGTATGTAATTGATGGTTTCTTAAGCTTAGTGTATGTAGTAAATAGGAGGTGGATTTACAGCATTCCATATAAATTGATGAATAATTAATACATTAAGTCATCAAATTGCAAAGAAAATCTTTAAAACTGTTATGGGACCAAATACTATATACCTGCAATACTTTTCATTTCTGGTAAGTGGAATTTGCAGAGTAACAGAAAAGATGCGAACAATCTTGACGTAAACATGTGTACATAACTTACATGCAATTAATGTGTCATTGGAACAGTTACCCTGAAGTTGATCACAGTTCTGTGATAGAGATAAATTGTTCAACAAATAGAGGGAGGAAATACTATGAACATGAAAAGATTGGGGTAAAAATAAGTTTGAGGAATGCATGGTATTTAAGGAATAATGGGTCGAGGAATTGGAGGTTGAATAACTAGAAACACTTAAGAAGGACATGGCTAGGACAAAGCGACTTGTTCGATGATTAGGGGTATTCAAGGAAAACGGGGTCAAGTAAATGGGGTTTTACTGTATTTGTGTTCTGTTTTTTATTTTGATGTTTCAGGTCTTGTATTGAGAAATATTTCTGCTGCTTTTGCTTCCTTATTGTCTATAGAAAATTGTTGATTTATGGAATTTCATTGTTTCTGCGAATTTGATCGCAAGGATCCAATCACTGTTTGATAAAATTCCCCTGATATTCTATATTATCTGAGTATGCAGATTTCCATAAATAGTCCCTTTCCACGAATTTGATGGCTAGGATCTCATCATACACAGATTGATAGAGTGTTACTTTCTTGTGATCTTCATGGTAATATTAGTGCTGATTGGTGAAATTTCATTCGTGAAATTTCATTCGTGAAATTGGATGTTAGAAACTTGTTAGTTTAACTTCCTATATAGATCATTGTTTGAATTAAAAAAGAAACATTGAGAGATTATACATCATACTATTGAGTGTAATTGTGGTATGGAAGAATGAATACTAGATTGTAATCATGGTGGTTCTAATGTGTTTGTTTTTGGTAAAAACTTATTCTTTCCATTGTTAGTGATATGAAAATGTGTTTAAAAGATAAAACATGATTATCCCCCTTCTGTTAAGGGACATTCATGACCATAGTTTGACACAGATCTGTGGAAAAGTACAATCACCAGAACAGTTTTTTAGAACAAAACCTGCAGTGTTTCACTCTTTGGAATTTAAATGCTGCAAAGTGTGTCTATATTTGATATTAACAATACTAATGTTCAATTAATATATAACCAGACACTTGTTAATACTATCTAAATTTTGTCTTTTCTCTTTCTATGTTACATTTAAACATAATCTCAAATATTGTAAAAACTTGTTGCAGTAAATGTAAACAATGGTCAATTAACACTGGTGTAATTGATATTTTTATGAAATAATCTTTTAAATTTGTACTTGTTAATTCAGGTTTGTATCCTTTTAATAATTTATATTCATATTTTACCAGTTTTCTTTCGGGTATGAGTTGATCTCGGATATTTTTTATTGTCACAAGTAACTCTTATATATAAACATTCGTTGTTTTTTACCACGTAGGATTTTATCTTCTTGTCTATGAATATTTATCTATCAACATTACTTACCAATATCAACAAAGTTCAGTTTAGACACAGGGTAGTAAATCAAAATGGGAAACATATCAATTTATTATTTAATTTGTAGAATGGTTGTGTGTGATTTGGGTTAATTGTAGTTAAAGTGATGCCCAGCATCAGTAATTACATGAAAATGTGTATCTTAGAACATCAGGGTTTTATGATAAGATACAAGATCAGTAATTCAATATTCTGCAATGGGATGCTATGACCAGAGATGAAATGCAATGTTGATAGAATTTATAATCTATTGAGAATATACGATTTTGATTTAAAATCAATTTTTTATAAAACTTCTAGAAAAGTCTTATCTTGTGCAATCATACTTCCTTTTGTAATTGGTTTAATGTGTTATCTAACTGATGGATAAATAGAACTAACTAATTTTTTAATTCATGTGATAACAGAAGGGTTAAATACATATATACATTGTACTGAGTTATGTATTTGCAAATTCAATAGATTCTGCATTACAAAAAAATCAAAATGGTTGAGATTTATTTTTACATGGTACGACTTTTGGTCAGGATGACCTATAACCAACATGTTTTGTCTATTGTGTGCCTAGCACCATCCACTGTGTAACCTTTACACATTTTACCATTGTTACTTCAAATTCTACCATTGGGATCGATCTAGTGCTGGCCTGTTTGTAAAATGATTGTACAATCATGATTTTCTTGAAAAACACTCACCGGTATTTGAATCTTCATCTGAAGTTCCACCAGTGGAATGATCCGAAACTTGCCTTGAATGATCCTGAAATTGCTATCAAATTAGCGGGAATGTTAAGGAAAAGAGCCGACAAAGTGTTGTTAATTTTTGGTCTTGTCAAAAGTTCAGCATGGCAACAACAATATTGGTTTTCTTGAACATCACCTTTAAACCGTCTATGGGATTTGGATCAGACTGAAATAATCATCAAGGTCTTGACTTAGTGTATACATCACTGTGGTTCACTTTACCATGATGATACCCCAGTTCATAACGCCATGCTTCACAACACCAAGCCACACCAGCATGTAGTTTGCTAATTAAAGTTTCTGGTGTTTTCAGTTGTGAAACATAGATTGAAATATGCCAGTTGTTTGCAAGTTTTTCCATACTAAAACTTTCAAATGCATATGTGTTAGTGTTGAAAAAATGGCACCTTATGAACAAACAAGCAACATATATATGTTTCTGTAAGCAGTTTTTTTTTAACAATGTCCTTGCATGATCAGATGATGCACCTTAATCATGCTGTATATGGAGCAGTTGTTGTATAGTGGCTTAGGTCATCAACATAAACATTTGTAGTATCTTATTAATACTATTAAAATTGCTCTTCATCCTTCTCATCAGTAAACATCTGGGTGGAGAATATAGGTTAACAAGACTTCTCATCAGTTAACATCTGGGTGGTGAATATAGGTTAACAAGACTTCTCATCAGTTAACATCTGGGTGGTGAATATAGGTTAACAAGACTTCTCATCAGTAAACATCTGGGTGGAGAATATAGGTTAACAAGACTTCTCATCAGTAAACATCTGGGTGGAGAATATAGGTTAACAAGCCTTCTCATCAGTAAACATCTGGGTGGTGAATATAGGTTAACAAGACTTCTCATCAGTAAACATCTGGGTGGAGAATATAGGTTAACAAGACTTCTCATCAGTAAACATCTGGGTGGAGAATATAGGTTAACAAGACTTCTCATCAGTGAACATCTGGGTGGAGAATATAGGTTAACAAGCCTTCTCATCAGTAAACATCTGGGTGGAGAATATAGGTTAACAAGACTTCTCATCAGTAAACATCTGGGTGGAGAATATAGGTTAACAAGCCTTCTCATCAGTAAACATCTGGGTGGAGAATATAGGTTAACAAGGCTTCTCATCAGTAAACATCTGGGTGGAGAATATAGGTTAACAAGCCTTCTCATCAGTAAACATCTGGGTGGAGAATATAGGTTAACAAGACTTCTCATCAGTAAACATCTGGGTGGAGAATATAGGTTAACAAGCCTTCTCATCAGTAAACATCTGGTTGGAGAATATAGGTTAACAAGACTTCTCAGCAGTAAACATCTGTGTGGAGAATATAGGTTAACAAGACTTCTCATCAGTAAACATCTGGGTGGAGAATATAGGTTAACAAGCCTTCTCATCAGTAAACATCTGGGTGGAGAATATAGGTTAACAAGACTTCTCATCAGTAAACATCTGGGTGGTGAATATAGGTTAACAAGACTTCTCATCAGTTAACATCTGGGTGATGAATATAGGTTAACAAGACTTCTCATCAGTAAACATCTGGGTGGAGAATATAGGTTAACAAGCCTTCTCATCAGTAAACATCTGGGTGGTGAATATAGGTTAACAAGACTTCTCATCAGTATACATCTGGGTGGAGAATATAGGTTAACAAGACTTCTCATCAGTAAACATCTGGGTGGAGAATATAGGTTAACAAGACTTCTCATCAGTAAACATCTGGGTGGAGAAAATAGGTTAACAAGACTTCTCATCAGTAAACATCTGGGTGGAGAATATAGGTTAACAAGCCTCATTAGTGAACATACTGGTGGAGAGTACAGGTAAACATGCCCTCTCATCAGTGAACATCTAGGTGGAGAGTACAGGTAAACATGTCCTCTCATCAGTGAACATCTAGGTGGAGAGTACAGGTAAACATGCCTTCTCATCAGTGTACATCTAGGTGGAGAGTACAGGTAAACATGCCTTCTCATCAGTGAACATCTAGGTGGAGAGTACAGGTAAACATGCCTTCTCATCAGTAAACATCTAGGTGGAGAGTACAGGTAAACATGCCCTCTCATCAGTGAACATCTAGGTGGAGAGTACAGGTAAACATGCCCTCTCATCAGTGAACATCTAGGTGGAGAGTACAGGTAAACATGCCCTCTCATCAGTGAACATCTAGGTGGAGAGTACAGGTAAACATGCCTTCTCATCAGTAAACATCTGGGTGGAGAGTACAGGTAAACATGCCCTCTCATCAGTGAACATCTAGGTGGAGAGTACAGGTAAACATGCCCTCTCATCAGTGAACATCTAGGTGGAGAGTACAGGTAAACATGCCCTCTCATCAGTGAACATCTAGGTGGAGAGTACAGGTAAACATGCCTTCTCATCAGTGAACATCTAGGTGGAGAGTACAGGTAAACATGCCCTCTCATTAATGAACATCTAAGTGGAGAGTACAGGTAAACATACCTTCTCATTAGTAAACATCTGGGTGGTGAATATAGGTTAACAAGCCTTCTCATCAGTAAACATCTGGATGGAGAATATAGGTTAAGCCTTATCAGTACACATCTGGGGAGTAAGTATAGGTTAACAAACCCTCTCATCAGTAAACATCTGGGTGGTGAATATAGGTAAACAAGCTTTCTCATCAGTAAACATCTGGATGGAGAATATAGGTTAACAAGCTTTCTCATCAGTAAACATCTGGATGGAGAATATAGGTTAACATGCCTTATCATCAGTAAACATCTGGGAGGTGAATATAGGTTAACAAGCCTTCTCATCAGTAAACATCTGGGTGGTAAGTATAGGTTAACAAGCCTTCTCATCAGTAAACATCTGGGAGGTGAATATAGGTAAACATGCCCTCTCATCAGTGAACATCTAGGTGGAGAATTTAGGTGACCAACCAATTATACTAAATTCATTGAGAAAACAAATATGGATGCTTCATAATGGATCCAAAATATCACGAAAGTAAGGGTTGTACATGACATAAAAAAGAAGACAGAAGATTGACATGTTTTACATTTATTCTGTAATACAAATAATATGATTGTACACCTCATGACAGCCTCCCAGTCATATCCGAGGTTCTATCTAGCCTCTCTCTCCTCTGTATAAATATTGGACACAAACGTTTACATAATCATAATTCTTGCAAACGTGACATCATGTAAACAACCAATATCTCACAGACTTTCAAACCATTTTTTAAACTATTTGCAACAAAATTGATTATGTCCATTGAAAGCTCTACTTAATAATTTCTAAATCTATTCAAAAACAAAAGGCTTTTTTGGGCCTGTATCAGTCAGTATTTGTCATACACTCTCAAGTAGTTGAAAATGATTTAACAAATATATCATTGCAGCCATCTTGGATTTCTAACTGATTGAAACCATTACAATAAGAACACTCTGACCAAACAACAGTCATTTCTACTTTGTTTTGAAAAGATAAGAAGATTTATTTTTCTTAAGTCAAAAACCATAAATGGATCAAGGAACTAGATGCAAACTGATACACAAAATTTTGAGAAATTTGGTTTACCATTCCAGGGGAACTTTAGAAATACAAATAATGTTTAGCTCAATTTCAGCCACTCAGATTTCTTGGATTTCCTTTTGAATTGTGAAAAAAAAACTTTATCTAAATGGACCAGTTTAAATTACACCTGATCACAGATTATAAAGAACTTTATAAAAAAAAGCTTGCCATATGCAGTCTTTCTGTTGTAACTCTCTTACCTCCTCTTGCTCTTTAATGCATTTTTCTCCTTCTTACTTGGAATTTTTCGACAGACCTCTTGATTCAATACATCCACACATACTCATCAGACTCTCATTCTCAGAAGTTTTTTTAATTCAATACATCTTGGCGTGCCCAAGTAGACCAAATTTTAGCAACATTTCACATGTAACAATCAGTACAGTAAACATTCTTTCAAGTTGAATCCAAAATTACAGAAGTTAATTTTACAATGGTTATTCAGCATTCATGAAATTAAATTTCTGCAAACTTATTGTATTGCTGAAATAGAAAAAAGTAGTAGCCATTAAAGAAAGTCAAATGTACAGTAAGCTAACATAACTTTCAACAGCCAGATGTACCTAGTATCAGAATGTATATATATAGATTATAAGAGATTCCATAAAACAACAACCATCACATAAAAATAGCCTCTTATGAGGTTCAAACATAACAATGAAAACATCTGAAATACTATATATCTATATCTACAGTATTTAAACTGAAATTAATACAATACTTCGACAAAATTCATTCCGATATTTGTCACATGATTCAGACTTTGGATTCTGTGATTTTATGTGAAATCATTTCTTCTCATTATCCATATTCTGCTATTTTTAAAAAAATCAAACTGTTGGCACATTTCTATGTTTACAGCAAAACTACTAGTTTCTCTCTATATACATAATGACACCAAAAACTTGCATGTTGGAATATCCTGTCATCAACAACTATACTTACAGTCAAGAAGACTTTGGCTCACATCATATAACTCATTAATAAACATAATATTCAGCATTACTTTTCTACTGACAAGTTGTTGTTGGTGGCGTCTTCCTCAATGTAACATGTCAATGTGGAGTCCCTTTACATTGTTGCTATGGTAACAATAACTTGTCATTGGTGTGTCTCCCTCCTGTATGTTATGTATAAATGTTATCTCTTTATATGGTCACTATGGTAACGATAACTTGTCTTGTTGATGTCTTACTCCTGTATATTATATATCAATATAAAGCGTCTTTACATTGTTGCTATGGTAACAGTAACTTGTCATTGTTGATATTCCCTTCTCTATGTTATGTATCGACGTAAAATCCGAAGTTCATATTTCATGACTGTAAACTCTCATTCAATGGTTGCAAGTGGTACAACATATATTTAGGTCATGATAATCAATCTCTCTATTGCAGTAGTTGTAATTAAAAACAATTTAGATTTTTTTTAAAAGAACATAATCATCTTTCTTTGAAATTCAAAAGTTCCACTCTAAATATTTTAAGGTTCAAGAGAAGCATACTAAAGAAAAGGACACTGAATTTAAAGGAGAGAGATCTGAAATGAAGAATTAACTTCTTAATTTATGAATTCAAATTAGACTGGAAAATGTCTTTACAAATGTGATGGTTAAAAATCTGTGGGGAATAAAAACAGAAAAGCTGTGTCATGTGATTTCTTTGCACAAAAAAGCTTTCTTCTTAAAAAAAAAAAGATTTAAAAAAATCATAGGGTAATCAATACATTACACATATCATGAAGCAATCAAAGATATAAAATGTACAGAGATTCCAGCTCAATCCGATGTTTGAAAGACATAAGACATACCATTGATACAGATGTTTCCATGAGAAGCTTGGTAAAGAATTACACAGCACTTTAATGTAATGCTGTGAAGTTTAGTGCAGAATTACGGTGCACTTAACTGGTAAGTCATGATCACAACAACTAATTATATAAGCAAATGCTACAGAATGTTTCACCCTACCTTCACAGCTCTTTAGGCGTTACAAACAGGAATATTTTGTGAATCTGTGACTTTCTAGAGTTCACAAATATTGATGAAATTTGATAGAACTTCATCTCTAGGACACCTTTACTTTCATATTGTCGGTGTGTTTATAATAAATATAAATTACACTTGTGTGATTTGTAATAATCATTTTTACAAATATACATATATACTCATAATATTTCAAAATATCTAATATTTAAGTCATACATTTGTGAGAGTCTATTATTATATATGCAAAATGGATTTTTAAATTACTCTTCAATTAGAAAATTTATCTTTTTTAGAAGAGAATCAATGACATCGGACATTTCTGTAGATACAAAATTAAAACTAATGAACAAAGGTAATCACACTTTAAATGTTTTACATCTAATTATAATTTAAAACATCTTAAATTTTTGTAACATAATTAATTATGCATGCCTAAAAATTTCAGTTCAATTGTTTTTCTGAACCTCAAATTGTTAATACTATAAATTAAAATAACATAATCAAGTTGTAAATTACTTCTGTACATTTATCACATAAATGTAACAATTGCAATGTCTTGTTTTCCAATACTTTGTCTCAGATATTTTATAGATCAGGAGCACATATATCAATTTCTGTAATACTTTATACTGGGAACTCTCTATAGGTATCATCACAATCATATCACCTACATAAGAAAAAAAATGTTGAAATGGGCAAGAAAAATTCAACAAAATATTTTGAATATTACTTATTTAAAGTACAGATGCTCATACATAAAGAAAAAGTTTTGACTTCCCTTATAAAGAGAACAAAAAACCATAGTAGACACATGATGTACAATCTGTTAACCCTGCCTGAAAACTACAGTGACATGTCAGTCAATACTTGATGTACTATCAGTTAACCTAGCCTGTATACTTCAGTGACATGTCAGTCCATACTTGATGTACTATCAGTTAACCTAGCCTGTATACTTCAGTGACATGTCAGTCCATACTTGATGTACTATCAGTTAACCTAGCCTGTATACTTCAGTGACATGTCAGTCAATACTCGATGTACTATCAGTTAACCTAGCCTGTATACTTCAATGACACGTCAGTCGATACTTGATGTTCGATCAGTTACACTAGCCAAACTCTCTCATATGCTATACATATGTATACAATCGATACTATAAATACGAGTCAGTGACAAGTAAGGAATGACTGTTAAACTGATTAATTTAGTGACATGACAGTCAGCACTGGTGTCTTAAGACTTTTAACAAGCAAACGAGAGGTAGCAAATGTGTCCATGGTTGTTCTCAATATAACAAGTGAATTTGACTAAATTAATGCTTGATATACAATCACAGCCACTACAAAGATATAAGAACTCATTTAATACTACTTCTCTTAACCTAAACAGTCATATGTCTTCATCCTGTTTGTATATATTTCCATGGTAATGGTATCAACATGGCGGACAACCTTAAAGCACTACAGATGTGAATCTGACACTAACTACACTCTCTCCGGTACACTACCACGATTCTCACTGACCATCTTCACAATGATATTCCAGCACGTAAGATGGGTAGGCTTGGGCTGTGTCAAATATGACAAATATTTTTGGGTTGTGTATGTTGTCAACACAAGAGTCGTAGCACTTGCCATAGGGATCTGTACATGGGTATAATGGCGGAGGTTTTCTCAGCCCACTGTGACCACCAGTATATTTCCCCACTAGCACCTTAGCCAGAAACATTCTATGTACAGTTTTATTTGATGCCTGAATGTCTGCTGGATTGCCCAGTGCAGGCTGACCAATCTGGGTGGGTATTGATGTATTTCTCAGTTGCTGTACACTGGAACGCAGCACATTAAGTTGTCTCCTTATGGAGGTGAGCTGGTGAGTGATGTGTCGGTTTCTGATTGGTCCAGGAGCCTGCTGGCCAGATGATGCAGCTGCTTGTTGCTGCGGTACCTGACTGGAATTGTTGGATCCTTTGTCCACTGGAGGAGGCGCCACTAGACCCTGAGCTACCATGTGAGAGGAGCTGGAAGAATTAGTGGGTGTGGCAACATTGGAGAGAGGGACATTACTGGCTCCAGTAGAAATGGAGGAAATAGGATTTGGTGGATGGTACACCTGTATCGCAGCTGGACTAAACCCAATCTGTGTTGAAAGAACATTTGAGGAGGGGGGTGTCGACAAGAATGGCACATGGGCCGGCATTGGGCGAGGCATCCCAGACAACAAGGTAACAACACGTCCACGACGACGATTTTCATTGCCATTATCTGTATACATGTGAGAGTAGGAGGCATTCACAGCAAAGTATGAACCTGACGACAGAAAAGATACATTTCATATAATTATATCATTCATTTTTTATCATTTTATATAATAATATCATTCATTTTTTATCATTTTATATAATAATATCATTCTTTTTTTATTATCAAAAGTCTCGAGGCCTGAAACAGTTATCAAAATAGTGATCTATTCCCTAACATAAAATATAATTTAATACATCAACATTTGTAGTTTTCTCATTTGACCTGAAACCACAAAAATACATACATATCATTTTCCATAATAGACTATTTTTTTGTTTTATATAATATCCACTGTTCAAAGTTTGTACCGTTCAACAAAGTTCCAAACAAGTTTTGTACCGTTCAAACAAGTTCCAGACAAGTGAGTATAAAATGTAATGTTTTACAGTATCCATAGTTTTAGTTTGAGTTATTGTTTACTTTCATCCTCATTAATACAGCTGTCTCAGTTTTGATTCAAAGCCTCCATTAACTGTATCAAGGTATAAGCGTATATCTCTATACTGCCTCCCTTACCTTGGCCATAAACTGTTGCATTTTTTCCACATACTCTCCAGTCAAATCCTTTTTTACAGATGGCATCCAAAACAGAACTTGTAGTGCCATGAAACAGACTGTTCTCCTGGACGTCCAACCCATCATTCTCGATAATCATCTCTGTTCTCTTCCTGTTAAACAAACATATATTGCAGTTACAAGTGTTTTGGCACAATTTCTCCAGGTTGGTTAATAGAATAGAAGTTCTTAGAACACAACTTGTAAAAGATTGTGAAGCAAACTGATGTATGTAGTGTATCAATGGGTCAATTCCTTACCATCTCGTACATTACATACATCAGTGCTAGTACTCTTCACATTGGACATTTTTGTCTAATGAAGGTGACCATGTAGTTGTTCAAAATGTCTTAACTAAATCTCTACTAGTTGTGTTATAAGATCTTCTATCCTAGTAATTACAAGTGACTAACTAGAGACCTGATCAGAATACAGATTTGATATGTGTAGTAACAAGTCTGGTGTGCTACAGAGGCATATAGAAGTTTACAGACATTTTTGTACTCACACAGTCTCAAAGTTTCAGGGGTTGTGATCATATTCTACTTTCTCTGCAAAGATTGTAAGTAATCAAAAACCTAAGAATTACGAGTCTGAAACTCGAAGGCCTCAGTAAGCATATACACAATGACTATAAGTCATCCCGACCCTCGAAGTCAGATGATTACATAATAAGGAAATACTTTAAATATGATAACTCCTAGGTAGATACATTTCTTGTTGTCAACATTTTTTTCATCTTTATTGCTGTCTTACACTGTGTAGTATTTCCAGAGAATCGGATTCTGAACTCTGAAGATTTTGGTGATATCAGCTGCTGGGAACTTCATTGAATTGTGGAACTTCAGGGCAACATCAACATATTCCTGTGACTCCGGTTCAAGGGGGACCATAAAATAGCTCTGTGTAAAACAATGTACCAGGAATTAGGACAAAGGACAATCAACAAGAACATAAATCAAGACTTTTTCAAACATACATATTGACACAAATGCCTTATTTGTTCTGCAATAAACAAGGGAACCAACACATTACTTCTGTTTAAAAGTCTAGGGGTGGACTTATTAAGAGACAATGACAATTCTAACCAAGTTTAAACTATTTCCTATAGAAAATAAATAGATTATGCCTAAAATGTTATTTTCCTATATTAACTATAGCAGAATTTACCCCCTTCCAATGGGGAAATGAGAGACCCTTGGCTCATGAAACTTAAAATTTTAGTAAAGTACTTTTAAGACACTTTTATCAATGAAGAGTTTAAGGTTCTACTTTATCTGGATAGTGAGAGGGTTTTTGAAATTCAGTCAATTTGACCCCACCAATCATCCATAAGGGGTCAGTCAGGTTCAACATGTGCATATTATCAAACTCTTATCCTATAGTGACAATTCAAACCAAGTTTGAACTAATTTCAATTGAACATAAACAAGTTATGCTCAAAACTGTAACATACACTATAAACTACAGTAAATCTGATTCCTTCCTCAAGGGGAAATTTGAGACCATAGGGGGACAAAATTTGGTAAAACATATAAGACACTTCAATCCATTAAGAGTGTTCTATCTGATCTGGGTATTGAGAAGGTTTTTGAAATTTACAATCAATTTGAGATAACGAGTTTTGACTGAATCACTTGATATGATTCTTTTTGTCTGAAATGGTTTCTTAAACTTCATTGGCATACCGAGCGTTTGTCCATTGGTGTCCAGTTGGGTGGACAGTCCTCCATCATAGGTTCTTTTTTCTCGGTTGATAACTCTGGTCTTACAGTTTCATTGGTGTCTTTGACATCAGGTGTTCTCAATGGCTGGCTGGTCGAGGCACCCATAGAGTCATCCATCATCACCATGGGGGCAGCTGAAGTTGAGGGAACAGATGAACTGGAGCAAGAAGCTGAGGAGGAAAGGGATGACGTAGATGATGAAGTGGAAGGAGCTGGATTAGAGGAAGGAGGAGAAGAGGCCCCTGCATTCTTCAGGATCATATTGGCAATGTAATCAATGTAGTCATTGTCAAGTTTGTCCTCCAGTATCTCCACCACTATGTTTGGAAGTGACTGTTTCAGCTCACCTGTAAATAATAATAATGGGTATATTACACCATCTGAATGGATCAAACAATGTAAAAGGCCAAAAGGTCCTGGATCTGCAGCTTATAATAAAATGGTTTTATTTGTGTCATTTTCATTTTTACCCTAAATGTAACACCTGTCCCTCCTTAAATGTTACACAAGAGGCCAATTGACTTAAACAATCAGCTGACTAGTATTAACCAGACATACTATTTCGTTTTTTACATAAAGCTGCATACAAAATTTCATCAAAATCTCTTTTTATTTACTCAAATTATGTTCACAAGGTTCAATAGTAATAAAACTGCAGAGGGCTACAACTCTGTAAGTTACAATCGAATCAATTTCATAGTTAAGCTCATCTGAGGTATTATTTTTCATATTTATTATTGTTATCATGTTCACGAGAAAAAGTCAATGCATGACCATGGATGAACAATGATTGCTATTGGTAACCATGACCTATGGTCAGGTGATTTAAAAATACACATCTAAAACCTGTGATTTCTTGTTTATTCACAAAACATTTAAAAAATTCAAATATTTCAATTATGTGACATTGAAAGAGAGCCAAAGTCATTTATTTGAACAAACTTGAAAACTCTTCACCCCAGCATGTAACTAACCCATAATCTTGACAATATACCCATTGCTATTTCAATATAGAAGCCACTCTATGTAGATAAATATCAGCAGATTTACAAAATTATTATAATCTAAAAGTTCAGAATTTCAGAGAACGGTGTTGCTAAAGTTTATGTCACTCACTAGTAAGAATACATCATTAGTAGTGGATGGACCCCTTAAAGAACTCTTCGATGCAACCACTTAGTACTTACAGTGCTTCAGTCAACCTATACTTATGACCTTCCCACCCATCACTCCACTTCTAGTACTTAAATTTTAAGTGTTAGTAGTCATCATAATTGAAGTAGATGAAAACTTTCACTTTTACAAATACTTGTGATGAAAGTTCTCAACTATGTATGTCTATGACTAATGTAACTAAGGACTCAGTTACATATATCATATTAAAATCAAGGTCAAGGTCACTGCGAATAACATGAATTTTTAGAATCCTGTAGATGTGGTGTAATATTACAATTTTAAACTACAAAGAGTAATTACATTCAGACTCTCAACAGATATGAGCATGCATGTATTAAAATGTTAACAAAGGCAGGAAAAAGAACTTTTAAAATACAGTATGACCTTTGAACATGAACGAACACTACACCAGCTCTGAGTGAGAATTTTACATCCCACAGGATTTCAACAGTGATCTGATTAACTTGCCTCAGGTGAAAGGTCACTTCCCTACTATTGAGTGAGGCAGACAGCTGACAGAACCTGACCAGTATTGTATTCACAATCACAGTTATATTACATTTAGCACTAATTTACAATATTCACAAACAACCTGAAAAAATGTATGCAATGGAAACACGTTTACTACAGATAAGACTGAAGATGTGACTAAGCCCAGGATAACGCATTTCTGTAAAAACTGGTAATCAAAACTACCAGCTATACACTTGTCATACACATGCAAGTTCACTAGGATTAAAATCAGGATTGTAAATGCCTACTTTATATGTGATGAATAGTCAGATGGCTTTCATACTAGTATATATACATGTATGACTTTTGTACGTCAGGAAGGGTGTGTTAGCCTAACATCTGAAACATCTACAAAACGCAAAGTTATGGCAGAATGTAGGACGAGTATATAGAGGAAGGAACGTACAGGAAAGTATCAATAACCTGAAAATTACAGGAGGAAGTACAGAGACACCACAGTATTAAAGCAAAACAAAAGGCCATTGTCTAAATTAATGAGCATCAGTACAGCAAGTTTACTAAAACTTGGTGATCTTAAACATTTCCTTTTACAAAAATAGACTGTTTACTAAAGCAAGTTGTAGGAAATCCTCCTTCAGACATGAGTGTATTGTCATTAAATTGTTAAATGTATTCATCATCTTTTCTTGTCTTTATTTTTGTTAGAAATTTTATATAGCACATGTATACTACTGTCATGTGTCTTTACACAAACACTGTTATGTGACTTTACATGAAGACACTGTCATATTACCTTATATCTTATTAACTATCATAACTTATAGAAACAAGTGATACAAAAGAGATAAACAATATCATGCCTGCTGTGTACAATTTCTTTTCTACTTTTCAGCTATTTGGTTTTTCTGATCAGTCCCAAAATCAACAGGGTACAATAAGACACTAAGGAAACCTACATATGAATTTTGGCAAAGATCCATCCAGTACTTTTCAAGGAAAGATGATCACAAATTATGACTATCAAAAACCAATGTGGGCGTCGGCTGACTGTCTTCTTTTTCTGATTAGCTTGTTAGCCACTTTGTTCTTTTGATCAGTCCCAAAATGGAACAATGCACACCTCTGATGATCCATGGGGTATTTCTCAAAAACTACAGCAAGAATTGTCTCAGACTAGACGGACAATAGACCATTATCTGATGCTAGACCTGACTTTGAATGCTGCACCATATTGTATAATCTAACTTGCATCCTTGAGACACGTGAGATGGAGCAGATAACTGATACTTACTCATTGGGTAGTAACTGTCACAACCGCTCTGTACACAACGTAGAGATTCCTGAAATACAAAGTATTGACACAAAACATTTAGCAAAAATGTACTAAGTAGAAGGTAAGAATTACAAGTGATAGATAAAAGGCTGTTTTACATTTTGTGATATGACTAAGACATATGTCTCAAACACAATTTTACTTATTTTCAGAACTTAAGAAAAAAAAGTTACAAATACATTATAAACATGTGCCACATTCAAACAGCTGGTGATATAAAGATATGAATGTTACAAATAAAGGTTACAGAAATATTATTGTTCCCTATCAGTAAAGGTCAAAGACAATGTACCTCATCAATAAAGGTTACAGGTATTGTACCTCATCAATAAATGTTACAGGTATTGTACCTCATCAATAAAGGTTACAGGTATTGTACCTCATCAATAAAGGTCAAAGACAATGTACCTCATCAATAAAGGTTACAGGTATTGTACCTCATCAATAAAGGTTACAGGTATTGTACCTCATCAATAAAGGTCAAAGACAATGTACCTCATCAATAAAGCTTACAGGTATTGTACCTCATCAATAAAGCTTACAGGTATTGTACCTCATCAATAAAGGTCGAAGACAATGTACCTCATCAATAAATGTTACAGGTATTGTACCTCATCAATAAAGCTTACAGGTATTGTACCTCATCAATAAAGGTCGAAGACAATGTACCTCATCAATAAATGTTACAGGTATTGTACCACATCAATAAATGTTACAGGTATTGTACCTCATCAATAAAGCTTACAGGTATTGTACCTCATCAATAAAGCTTACAGGTATTGTACCTCATCAATAAAGGTTACAGGTATTGTACCACATCAATAAAGGTTACAGGTATTGTACCTCATCAATAGAGGTTACAGGTATTGTACCTTATCAATAAAGGTTACAGGTATTGTACCTTATTAATAGAGGTTACAGGTATTGTACCTCATTAATAGAGGTTACAGGTATTGTACCACATCAATAAAGGTTACAGGTATTGTACCACATCAATAAAGGTTACAGGTATTGTACCTCATCAATAAAGGTTACAGGTATTGTACCACATCAATAAAGCTTACAGGTATTGTACCTCATCAATAAAGGTCAAAGACAATGTACCTCATCAATAAAGGTTACAGGTATTGTACCACATCAATAAAGGTTACAGGTATTGTACCTTATCAATAGTTAAAGGTATTACATGTGTACAACATCAATAAAGGTTACAGGTATTGTACAACATCAATAAAGGTTACAGGTATTGTACCTCATTAATAGAGGTTACAGGTATTGTACCTCATCAATAGTTAAAGGTATTACATGTGTACAACATCAATAAAGGTTACAGGTATTGTACAACATCAATAAAGGTTACAGGTATTGTACCACATCAATAAAGGTTACAGGTATTGTACCTCATCAATAAAGGTTACAGGTATTGTACCTTATCAATAAAGGTTACAGGTATAGTACCTCATCAATAAAGGTTACAGGTATTGTACCACATCAATAAAGGTTACAGGTATTGTACCTCATTAATAGAGGTTACAATAAAGGTTACAGGTATTGTACCTCATCAATAAAGGTCGACAGACAATGTAATAAAGGTGTACCTCATCAATAAAGGTTACAGGTATTGTACCACATCAATAAAGGTTACAGGTATTGTACCTCATCAATAAAGGTTACAGGTATTGCACCTCAACAATAAAGGTTACAGGTATTGCACCACATCAATAAAGGTTACAGGTATTGTACCTCATCAATAAAGGTTACAGGTATTGTACCTCATCAATAAAGGTTACAGGTATTGTACCTTATCAATAAAGGTTACAGGTATTGTACCTCATCAATAAAGGTTACAGGTATTGTACCTCATCAATAAAGGTTACAGGTATTGTACCACATCAATAAAGGTTACAGGTATTGTACCTCATCAATAAAGCTTACAGGTATTGTACCACATCAATAAAGGTTACAGGTATTGTACCTCATTAATAGAGGTTACAGGTATTGTACCACATCAATAAAGCTTACAGGTATTGTACCTCATCAATAAAGGTCGAAGACAATGTACCACATCAATAAAGGTTACAGGTATTGTACCTCATCAATAAATGTTACAGGTATTGTACCACATCAATAAAGGTTACAGGTATTGTACCTCATTAATAGAGGTTACAGGTATTGTACCTCATCAATAAAGGTTACAGGTATTGTACCACATCAATAAAGGTTACAGGTATTGTACCTCATTAATAGAGGTTACAGGTATTGTACCACATCAATAAAGGTTACAGGTATTGTACCTCATTAATAGAGGTTACAGGTATTGTACCTCATCAATAAAGGTCGAAGACAATGTACCACATCAATAAAGGTTACAGGTATTGTACCTCATCAATAAAGGTTACAGGTATTGTACCACATCAATAAAGGTTACAGGTATTGTACCTCATCAATAAAGGTTACAGGTATTGTACCTCATCAATAAAGGTTACAGGTATTGTACCTTATCAATAAAGAAAGGTAACAGGTATTGTACCTCATCATAAAAGGTTATAGGTAATGTACCTCATCAATAAAGGTTACAGGTACTGCACCTCATCAATTAAGTTTAAAGGTATTGTACCTAATCAATAAAAGCTACATTTTTATAGCTGTGTTTGCTGTAGTCATCACAAATTGCTGAAAATATCACTGTAAGAGTTGCCTCCCTTCCAATGGTTCTGCCCTAATGCTTGCCAATTTGCTCTACACGTGTCATGTGAGTTATGTAAGTAAGTGAGCACTCATCCATGTATATGAGCGACAGTGTTGACCAGGTTTTAACATGACCAGAATCTAATCATACCTGCAGGCAATAGATCAGATATATATATCTATATAGTGTTGAAAACCATTAATCAATCACACAGTTTACAACATCAAAGGGAACCCATGGCCACTGTTGCCAGCTATATCCTTCTTGTTAAACTGGATTTTTTTTCAGTGATGGTTATGATATACAGTACATACTAAAATAACATATTGACAGATGCCTTACCTTAGTTTTTCCTGTTAGCACTAGTTTGACCTTTTCCTCCAGGCACATGCCACAGGTCACGTGACCTTGTAGGCACCGTGACGATTTGAGACCCATGAGAGAGACCTGACAGTAAGAACATTTTTCCCAGCCAAAGCATGAATTCTGTGACTTTGATGAGGTAACAGCTGATGTAGCCCCTCCTTTGCGAAGTGAAGGACAGCTGAACTGCCTCATACATCGTTGCTGCTTCTTTGGGGGTAACTGTTTATTTATAGTGTTACTGTAGGTAAGGTCATCCACTGACATACTAGTCGATGGTGAAGTGTCGGACTTTGGTGTAGTGGAAACATGTAAATGACTGGTATTGACCTTGTCCTTTATGTGACCTTGAGTCAAACGGAGACTGGAGTCTGTCGAGGCAGAGGAATTTAGTATGGATGAGATGGAAAAATTGTTAGATGATTGTGTGGATGTATTCATGCACTTGGAGGGTGGATGAGTAGGGTCCAGTATCTTGGAGATACTCAGTGTTCCTGGTCCATTTCCTCCTGGGTAGGAAAGTGAACTTTGTGCTGACGGACATGAAGGTGTGTCATTTAAAAAGTCTAAGTCCTTTTTAAGAGTGTCCCATATATCCCCAGATGTTTCCTCGTCCTTGCTAACACCTTTGGATGTGGACTGGAGATCCTTGGGCCGTGCCAACACAGGAGCGACCTTTGGTATTATTCCATCCTTGGTTTTAGCTCCCACATGTATAAAAGGTTCCAGTTTTTCAGATTTGTAATGAGGTATATGTGGTTTTATGTCCAAGTCTGTTACATGTGGAGAGGGCACAGATAAGACACATCCTTGCCTGGCTGTAGGCAGGCTGGTATCTGATGAACTGACCACTGCCATGGTAACATCAGAGCTATCCATGACATCCATGGAGGAGACACCATTGCTAGGGAGACTGCTATCCTGTAGGGGCTGCATAAGACTGTCCCCAGTACCACCTCCACTCAGCCTACAGCCCAAGTCTCCCCTGTCTACACCCTTACTGCTTCCTGATACCAGACTTTGTATCACATCGCCATCCTCATCTAGGTCATCAATCGCACTGCTATCATCATCATCATCAGAATCATCACTTGCCTCACTGATGTCACTGAAATCACTTGGTCCTTTTTTAGATGACAGGTCGAGGGGAGAGTTGAGGTCACGATCCTCTATAGTCAAAGTCATACCCAGCGAGCTGGATATGCTCATGCTGCGATTTGATACAGATGGTACTACATGACCACATCCTGTATGTTGTTCATCACATTTTGGAGTGACCAGTGTTGTAGTTGATTGTGATACAAATATCACATCCAAGTCTTCATTTTTTTCTTCGTGAATGAATTCCACATCACTATCATCTTCATCTTCTGTAAGAAAAAGTGAATGAAGTATAAACAAACAATTGTGGACACGTTAATTTTCAAAATTACGGCTCAACGTAATGAGGGAGTGGGGAGGGAGGGGGTTACTTTACGGAGAATTCATGACTGAGTTCCCAGCTTGAGTTTTCTTTATTTTATAAGAAAAGGCTATCGAGCTACCCACTAGAGCTAAGAGTTCCAGAGGGGTAGGGGACAAAAGTATAAACTTTAACCATGATAAGAACTATTCCTATAATACAAGTTCATCTTCATCATTTGAAGTCAATGTTGAAGGTCAATCACTAACCAAATAAATAATCAAACTGAATTGTATCTATACAAAATACTACCATACTCCAGGGATATAGAAACACAGCATAAACTTTGAAAATGATTCTAGGAAAGATGTCAAGTATAATGTCCAATATCTTAAAGTAAGAATGAAGATTAATTCATATAGAACAAACTGCAAAATCAACAATTTGTATCTGGTATTAGGAGTAATTGAAGGGAATTGAAAGAGAACCCTGTAGTTGGCTAGTCAATACCAGGTATGTTTCTCATTCGCTCTTTCCACAGCCCTGATTCTCTTAGGCAAGGAGTTCATGAGTAAGTTTATCCTCCTCATTGGGATGTTGACCCATTCTTCCAAGAGGGCTATTTTCAATTGGGCCAGAGTAACAGAGGGAGGCTTGCATCGTCAAACCTGTCTATCCAGCTGGTACAACCAGTGCATAATAGGGGATAGGTGGGGGCTGTATGGTGGCCTGTCCAGTAGGTGGATATTGATGTTTGTGAGAAAGTTGCGACAGATCATCGCTAAATGGGGCCTGCTGGCATGTGAGGTTGTTTTGCTGCAACAATGGGACAATATGGGGTCCGAGGATCTCATCTATATACCTAGCGGCAGTTAAATTACCCGCTACCACACATACCCCACACTATAACTGAACAATCTGTATACATGTCAACCGTCTGTTCGAAACAGGGTGAACCAGGACTTATCAGTGAACAAGACCCGCCTCCACTGCCTCAATGGGAATATTCTGGGGGCATGTGCTGTCACCCAAGCCATACAACGCCAGTGATGAGCAGCGGTAAGGGGCAGACCTACAAACAAGTGACATGCCCTCAGACGAACTTCCTGTCATCGTTTCCTTACAGTTTTTGCATGGATGGGACGGCTTAAAGTACCTATGGTATGAAGGGCAGATTCAGTGGCAGGAAGGTGCCGATTTCGCAAATGCGCAAGATGAGTAAAGCTGTCCTGATGTTGTGTTGTCACATACAGATGCCCAGATCTAGGTCTGTCAGCAACCTGTCCAGTTTCCCTTACAAGTCTAGCAAGACATTCTATAGCGCAAATGTAGACATCAAAATGTCTGGCAACCTGTATTTGCCTTTGACCTTGCATAATCATCGCAATGGCCTGACCCCTCTGAACTTCCATATTATACTATCAGAAATTAATCAAAATATCAGAAAATGATGTGTCTCTATGAAGACTACTTAATGGTATGACGAGTAGTAAAACTCAATGTCACAACACTGTTGTGCACAAGATTTTCCAATTTCATACTTTAGGACATTGTCACGCAATACAATAATGAAATATTTTATACAGGACTGAGTGCACTGTAACCTAGAGAGTTGCTTGACTGATTTTCATTGTTTATGAACGTTTTCACAAGATATTGCAAATAATGTCACTGCGTTTCTTTATCCCTTGATTATATAATACAATAATGAATACCACAATTGAAATTTTACTATACCATGTTTTCATAGAATCAATTACATATTTTCGTAATAATAAATGTTCAATACCAAATACTACAGGTAAGTAAATTCTATGCTCATTTCAGACTTTGCTTTTCACGTATCATTGTGTGAATGAGGGACAGGATATGAGATAATGATATCAATAGGATAGGGTATATACATGTGATATAGATATTAATGTGGGGGAGGGGAGCAGGTAGCATTGATATTAATGTGTTTAAAGTGAGGACGGGGAGAGGGGAGGCAGGATGGGTAGCAGAAATGTGGTATTGAATATAACAGGGGTTCAACTCTTACTAATGCAGAACAGAAAATCAGGAAATGTGTGATACTGATATAAATGAAGGAATATGAATTAAGAAACAGATATTCCATACTGATATTAATGGAGGTGGGGGACAAGAATGTAGCGCTGATATCAAGGAAAATCAGAAAATGTGATACTGATATTAGAGTGCTCTTAATAATGAATATTCATGATGGAAAGAATGAGCGATGTTATACACATAATATTGATAATGGGGACAGGAAATGTGATTCTGTTATATATTAATTATAAATATATTGTATTGACGTATGTTTATTATTTCCTTTCAGTTTTTAATGGTGGGGAGCTTGAAGTGCATTGAAAACGAAATTTGAAAGGATGTAGTGAAATGATGAAGCATAATCAGATTGGTAGCCTGTAGAATGAAAAGTATAATCTAGATACCTGTTAAGTCAAACATGTAAGGAATGAAGCAAAAGCAAATGGAAAGCTAGTGTCATGTCTACATAAGGTGTCAAACCAAGGACCACAGAAGACTTTTCTATGACCTGTACTCTATCACTGGAGTTTATCGGAGGCAGTTTGCCATTATGACTTATAGACATTCAGTGATTCAGTCAATGCTCTAACACATTAACACATTTTAAATAAGTAAGGGCTTGCAATATTACTGCTATATAAAGTCACAGACATTTTTATATGATGACGATTTTTTTCTAGTCCAGTCTACTTGGAAGCCTCGACTTAATTACAGCTGCTAATTACACGATATACAATAAGTACTAGTGACAATGTCACAAGTTATTGTATAATCATTCTATTACTTTCAAAAGTACAGAAAAAAATCTTTTCAGACATCAAACGGTGGCTTTCCTTGGTCTAGAGACTTACCGTGTCGATAATTCTGAGAACGTGGTGATGAATGACTATCTAATTAATCGGATTGCTTTCATTTTCAATTTTATCGTGGTAAAATGAGGTTCTGACTGTATAAAGATGGTTTCTTTTGAGTTATTCTCATGATATAGATACGATTAAGGGTGTGACGTATCTAACTAAAGGTATATGGGAGAGTAAGACTTAATATCTAAGACAGCTGACTCAGGGGACAACACAACCTGAAACACCCTCGACATATAAACACACTGCCAACAACAAGTTCGCCCATGAATTGCCGCCCAACATAACATTTTCAGTAACCTACCGTCAGAATTTATAAGAATTGGTGTATCGGGTGAGGAATTCATCGTGTCCCCAACACTTGATTCCGTCCCGTCTACACCCTAAACGCTGTCAAAATTCTTCACTCTTCGTCTGATTCATTCTGCCATTTTCTTGACATCGAGCTCGTACTAAACAGGAAGTGATCGTACGCCGTCACGTGATCATAATGCAGGTTTACAGAACTTTGCTTGAGCAAATATAGAATTGGCCTAACTCGCTCATCGACAATGCTTTCACATAATTTGCTTACTTCACTATACAACATTTTAAGTAAAAATCTGATATATAAACAGGATTTTAGTCAGGTACCTATTTATAGTCGATTTCTCGGATATTACTGGAAATTTCCACGTTTACCGAGGATCAATTTTTACTGCTTTATTAACCAACTGTTTACCATCTTCTGTAGTGAACGAGTGATCACTCCAATTAACAAAATTACTATCTTATCTCATCGATATCATAGACCTGGTTAACAGTATTTTAATAAGGATCTTTGTTAAAATTTACGATTCGTAAAAAAAAGTGTAAGCAGATTGAATGGGAGGTGCAGTAATTCTTATAGTATGTCAATATTATCGTCTCCATTTTATGAAACACAGTGTCCCTGTCCATCTGTTATAACTTTAAATTCACTACATTTTTATATACGGCTATGTCCAGTGTTCCCACGGTCATCTAACAGACATATTTTTAACAAATGGCTCTGGAACGGAATATTTTATGGTGGGTGCTGAAAAGCGAATAAAAACATTATCTTGTATAATTTGCCGTACCCCTCTGTCGTTACGAAATGCAAAGTGACTGTTACTACTAGAAGGTGGTAAAAAGGGAAAGGCGCAATTCTATTAGTGCGCTTTTTCGCGCGCAGTTTGCCTTAGAAGAAAAGGCGCCATTTATTCTGAATTGATAAAGTGTTTATCGTTTCTAAAGACTTTAACAATTATTTTATTGGAGAAGTGGTGATGAGTTCCTGCTTCAGAATTTCAAGGGTCAGTGTGGCCGTGATTAGCAGCTGAAAGTAACAATGGCGCGCGAGAGTAGCTTACGTCTTTGTGACAGGCCGGCATGATACTGTAATCTGTGTTAATATTGTACATTTTTCTTTACTTTTCTTCTCTCTAAATTGTGTTACCTATTTATCAAAATCAATGCATTCCATTTTGTCAATATATATTTATGTATTATTCTGCTGATAAATCTTCGGCTCGGATAAAATAAAGAGAATAAGCGTATTTTCAATCAGGGAAATGAAAAAAAAAGTACCCATATATTGACTAAATCGTAATTCTATGTCAAAATTGACGAAACGGGGACAGTCTATGAACAAAAAGAGAGATTTATACGGTTACCTGTGTCCGGAAAGGTAAGCATCATCTGATTCATCTCTCTGTTAATATATAGACAAGACATATGAACATATCATTAATCAGACATAGGCATGCTTTATATACAGGATATAAGAAAGATTTATAAAACATAACGGATATAGTGACATTTGAAAGAAGAACAACATAAATGTTATTTTTTTAAAATTAGACAAAGGAACGATTTATACGTCAAATATAAATTTCATAGTCCAGACGTTTGATTAATTCACAGACTATGTTTAGCATACAATATGTAGATCAGTTGTGAAAGCATTTCAAAGAGCATAAATAGGAAATTTGCACGGCAAAAACATAGGATCGTTGTTTGGAGGAGATTTGGGAATATTTCAAAGACATGACATAGGGACATTTTATAAAGTAGATATAAAAACAATTTTAAACATCACATAAACGATGTAGAAACGAGCAGATATATAACATTTAAACCCTAAATTCAGGAACATTTAATCGTGGGCCAAATAAATAAATAAATAAATAAGGAGCATGTATAAGATTGTTTTATGAAGCAGATAAAGAAACATTTAAAAATAAAATCTAGGAAAATTTTATAGACTAGACATAGGAATTTTGTAGAGACCAGATGTAGGAGTTTTTCACGCGCGGATCTAAGTGATTATTTCAAAATAGCAATCTGAAATTCTCATCATTGACTTGTATAATGACCTTATACGCTAGTGTATCTTGTCGAGGATTGGTCCAGTCATTTGAGGTTAAGCTTAATTTTGGCATAAAATGACTGGACTATCCTAGTCATTCTAAAAGCATTTCCAATGTAAAGTGCTCGATGATTCGGTCTAGCTTTATGCCTGGTCATTCTACAGTGTATCAACTCATTGATATTTACCACCAAATTTGTATTGCACCTGAAGAAAGAAAACATACATGTATTGTATTCTGCGACATATCCAAAGTCTTTGATAGGGTCTGGCATAGAGGTCTTTTGGCGAAATTGAAAGCGAACGGAATTTCAGGCGAATTGCCCATTTGGCTAGAAAATCTTTTATCTCACAGATGTCAAAAGGTGTTTTAAACAGTTCATATTCTTCTGAAGGGTTCATTGAGGCAGGGGTTCCCCAAGGTTCTATTCTAGGGCCACTTTTATTTCTTATTTTTATCAATGACATAGCAGGTATTTTTTAATCGACGTCTCGTCTCTTTGCAGACGATACGTCATTACTAAAGGCATCTTCATCTTGTCTAGAAATTCAAGAAACGTTAAATAGAGACATAGAGACTTCAAATACTTGGTCAGAAACTTGGTTGGTTAATTTTAATACTGAACAAACAGATGTATGATTTATTTCAAATCCCACTGATATCGAAGAAGACTTAGACTTAGAATTTGACGGGAAAGTTCAAAATTTTACAGACTATCATAAACATTTGTGTGTAACCTTTAATTAGAATGCAAAGTGGTGGGGGATCATGTAAATGAAAGTTACACTTCGGTTTTGAAAAAAATCAATGCCTTCAGGAAATTGAAACACTTATTAAGTAGGGATGCTCTTTTTAAAAAAAAATCATAAGACTTTTATTTTACCTGTTTTAGAATATGCTTGTGAGTTGTGGGACGGTTGCAGAATGCTTGAATCAGAAAAGTTAGAAAAAAGGCCCAACGTGAAGCGGTTCGCTTTATATTAGGACTGCCTTCATATTCCCTTATTAACACCTTATACTATGAAACGGGTCTTGAAACCCTATCTAATCGCAGAAAAGTTAGGAAACTTCAACTAATGTATAAGATGCATAATAGATTAACTCCTGAATGCCCACTATAAATTCATACAAATCCTGTTTAACATCAAATAATCAGTCATGTCCACCAATTTACTATAAAATTGGAAATCGCAAACTTAATATATTGCATACTAAGCTCCGACACCATTGCAGTTCCCTTAATTATGACCTTTTTAGAGTTAACCTCCTTGAGAATGCATCTTGTGAATGTGGTCATCCTTGTGAGAATGTCTTTCACTGTTTCATTGAATGTCAACGTTTCTCAAAGGAAAGACGTATTTTAGTTCAAAATCTAAATAATTAGAACGTTGCATTAGATATAGAAATTCTTTTGTTTGGCAACTCTCAATTTTCCGTGGACCTTAATGCAAACATTTTTAGATCTGTGCAAAACTATATTAAATCCAGCAAGAGATTTTGATGCCAATGTGTAACAATAATTGTATATTTGTATTGTCATGATTGTATTGTCATTTAAAATGTATATTGGGAGAAGGCGTTGATAAGTTGCAATAACTTGTGCCTAATCCTTTGTCTTCCTTTTGGCAATAAATATGTTTAAACTAAAAGCAGTCTCTAAATTAAACGTTGACAAGAAAACACCAAGGAAAACCTACATACGAAATTTGGTCGAGCTATTGGTCGACATCAAAGACACAACCATTTATTTGTAGACCATCTTGTTTTCCCAATTGGACCCAAATCTGAACATCCAACTTTAGGGACCAACGGAAACATATACACGTATGGAATTTGAAGACGATCCCTTCATTTCTTCTCAAGAAGTAATGCAATACCAGTAAACACTTTTTAAAAGTCAAAATACAAAAAAGCGACACGAAATTGACGGCCAACCAACTGTCCCCGCACCCCCACCCCCCCAACCCCACTTCGACAAAAAAATGCACGAAACTAAACGTGATTGTGTTTAGAAATACAAAACAAATGAAACCATTTTCAAACTAACAACATCCTAGATCCGTGCCTGATTTTCACATTCTAGATATAGGAGCATTCTATAGAATGTTTTGTAGAACAGATATAGGAGGGTTTGGTAGGCCAGCTACTGAAACGTTTTATAGAGCAAATGTGGGAAGGCTTGATAGAACAGTTGTAGGAAGTTTTATTTTAATCAGAAGTATAAAAGTTTTGTATCCTAAATGGAGAATTACTAGATCAGAAACATTTTATAGGTCAGATATAGGAACTTTAAAGAGCAGATAAAGGAAGCTTTCATAGAACTGTTGTGGTAACAGTTTTACATACAAAATATAAGAACATTTCATAGATAGTAATGTTCTATTTAAGTATAATGTGTTATAGAGAAAATATAACTATGTTTTATGCAGTTGTATTTAATACAGTAGATACCAAGCATTTAATAGGCCATCGGTAGGAAAAGTTCCAAAACCGATATACACATGTCTAATTCCTTGTATCAAATAAAGGATTATTGTAAAGACCAGTCACAGGACTATTTTATAAAGCAGATTTAGAAAGGTTAGATAAAACACCCGTTGGACCTTTTTATAGAACAGATATGGGAAGGTTAGATAAAACACCTGCAGGAACGGTTTATAGAACAGATAGAGGAAGGTTAGATAAAACACCTGTAGGAACGTTTTATAGAACAGATATGGGAAGGTTAGATAAAACACCTGTAGGAATGTTTTATAGAACAGATACAGGAAGGTTAGATAAAACACCTGTAGGAACGTTTTATAGAAATGATACAGGAAGGTTAGATAAAACACCTGTAGGAATGTTTTATAGAACAGATACAGGAAGGTTAGGTAAAACACCTGTAGGAACGTTTTATAGAACAGATACAGGAAGGTTAGGTAAAACACCTGTTGGAACGTTTTTATAGAACAGTTGTAGGTACAAGTATTCTTTTGACCCATATATAAAACACAGTAAGACTTGATATGACAAGGTGTAATTTTTATTATATTATACAAATGATATAAAAACAGGATTTTCACCAGTCAGTCAACAATTAGGTACATGGTAAAACAACACACTACATACACATCTGGACAAATGTTGGTTTTACTATCAATCAATCTACATGCACATATGAGTTGTATGACTAATTCCGTATCGAAATAAATACATGCCACAAAACGTTTATCTTGGTATACCAAAATACAAAACTTTACAGTTTTATCATACTACTGCACATCTTAACATTGAAACATTTTAGAGTATAATTTTTTCAGGTTTCCTGCTATGCATCATGTAACAGAATAAAATAGCAACAAACTTGTGCGCTTTATCCAATTAACACTCCAACAAAAACATAGATAAATGTCTGGCCCCAGTGGTTAAAACCTGGTTAGAGTTAACAGATGGGTTTGAAAATAATACCTCATAAAGTTTTCAGGAACTGGGGCCTGACATTTAAATCAGAAGTTGAAACTTTATGTATACTATATTAAATTTTCAGTGTAAATTAATTTCAACATTTACATATTTCATTCTTCTAGCTGTAAAATCATGCTTGACAATCTACATCCTAAACCAACAGTGTATTGTTCTTATCAAACCTGATATTAAAAATAAAGTTTGATGTTTATCAAAACCCACACACACTAGTTATTGACATCTGTTTACAGTTTTTCACAATAATAGATTTTGAAATATTTGTTGTTTGGTGGTCAGAATACTTTCGAATTTTAAAATATGTCAGTATACTGTATAGTTCTATAACAAATCACAGGCACTAAATTTTGCACATTTAAACATTGGTATCCATGTATGTACCCATATGACATACATTGCCTGAGATCTCTATTTCCATTAACATTTTGCTGGGTCTCTAATTTTGTGTCAATTACAATAACCAAAAAATACAGCGAAATTGACTCCCCCTTCCAATACTATCAATTATACAGCACACTACCTATGTAATACTATCAAAATGGTTGTCTATTCAAGAATAAAATTAAAACTAGAACTATATATCTAACTACATGCAGTACTACCATAATAAATCACTATCGCAGTCCTACAGTTTCTTTTAAGAATTATCTCCCTTAGGTTACAACATAAAACCAGCCAAATACATCACATACAAGTAGAATTAGACATGCATCTAGAATCTAAATTAGAGATCAAGATGGGGGGTTCGGTTGTGGTTGAGGAGAAGGAGGAGGACTGGGATAGAGGGGTAGGAGATTAGGGTTAATCAAATGATTTTATAAGATAGGGACCAGTTTAGAGGATAATTTAAATGGTTGAGTATAAAACTAGAATAGTATAAACACATGCGAACTACAGGAAATACTTTCATAGGACTAACACGGTCAGTAATTGAAAAACTAGACAGGTTTTGTAAAATTTAATAACAAATAATCTCCCTTTGAAGAAAATGAAGTTAAACAGAAACTGGAGACTATATTTAGACTATAAGTATGATCATTTGAATAAACTTTATCCACAGACCACATACCTCGCATGTAAGAATAAAACTCCTATGGCCTATCATAACACCAGCTGATAGCAGCTGTACAATAATGTCACATCAGTTCTACAGGTGATTACTGTGTTTATTGTCTATCAATACCATATCGTATCCTCCTAGTTCCCCCTCTCAAGCTACGTCTAGAAGTAATATGGAAAGTACAGGACAAACCACAAAGAACTATGTCACATCAAAACACCTGACAAACTTCGGTCAAAAGACAGATGGACATAGTTATACTAACCAAACCTCTTCACCTCACCCACATGTAAATTTGCAGTGGTGCTGATCAAAATAAAATTATTATTCATATCAAGGTGTATACATTATCAATTGATGATCTGTCACTTTTCATCCAATGAAATACACTTTTGAAATCAGTACGAATTTGCTTCACACAATGAGTGCCAAACATATACATACATAATTAGAAGAATTTACATCATTCAACAGAAGTACTGTACTAAACATGGTGATGAAAATAGGCATGATTTGTGTATGAAAATACCACTCGAGAAGAAAAACTTATTATAAATAAACCTCCATTAGGATTTCATATCTCATACAAATCATGATATTGCATAAAGGCAATTTAGTTTGTCTTAACCTCAGAGACGGAATGAAAAAATAGTTACATAATAATACAAAGTACTGCCATTTTATTTGAACTTTGACTTAGATCTATTTCTAGCTATACTGCAGGTGATAATGTTTGGGAGTTGATGGTTCTTCTATCATTTAATCTACATATAGTTTAGTACCAAATATTACAAGAAGAAATTGCCAATATTTTAACAACTGAAAAGATGATCACATATCATGATAATTACAAATTTCATTCATTTTGATGATTACACTGCAACCTTCATCAGACGAATGACCAATGTGGTGTGTATTTACACAGAGGTATGCAGTATACAAGTCGGTAATGAACAGGATTCTCTATGTTATTATAACCCTATGTACACTAAGCTGGAAATTCATGTAACAAAATGTAAAAACACATCAAATTAGTTATCTTCCAGACATACATCTGGTTGTAACAAAGTACTTTCCATTGAATGTTGATTTAGCGAACTGGTTGTGATGTAAGAAAATACTGTACATAAAAACTAAGTACAATAATTTTAATATGAAATGTAGAATCATATATTCTTATGAGGTTAATTTCATGGTTAAAAAAAACCCACCTTAATTGTTGACACTCGAGTTCATGGATAAACATAGATGTATGAAGATATTTATATTAATGTTCAAGGACTGAGAGTATACACAAAGTCATTGAAAATAAATACCTCACAAACACGGATTATTTTACAGTACATTTTTTGTCATTATGATTGAAATATATCTCAATTAAGTTTAAACTAGATTACTGGAGGATTTCATAGCAACAATGACTTTTTATCTCATGCTATATTTAATCCCTATATAAATGTCCATTGTACTTTATTACAAACAAATCACCAATGGTATGAACTATGTTTGTTATATTCCAGGAAGTGACAGTGGACAGTATATTAGTGTGGGGCATAGTCCATCCAGCAACAAATTAATCAAGCACAGAGATTCTTCAGGTAGCACTTTATCACCATCTTTCAATTTTTTCAAATTCTTCCTCGTATGTTAACACAGATCATCCAAGATTTGCGTAATACTGATAATGACATGTTTCATGTTAATTTGACCTCTACACGACACACTGGACAGCTTGCATTTCCCTGTCAAAAAAAAGATAAGTAACATTTAATGATAATTACAACAGCAGTTAAAAAATATTTCATAAATGTTACATAAGGCAATGACTACAAATATACTAAATCTAATGTTTAAAAAGTATTCCAATTCTTAAATTCTAAAAGTTAGTTACATTATATCTATACACATTCAATATTTGGACGCGTGGGTTACCAGCACTGTTGATGTTTATAATTCTCTCTTTTATTTTGTCACCTTCAGTCTCATTTCAATAGGAAACAACATATGCCCATCCATATATATGAGTGATTGACACTTATCTCACAAAAGAGATATTATAACAAGTTCACAGGGAAGAGAAATCCATCATAATATTGAACAGATATGAATCATTTTTAAATTAGAGAAAAAAACTACAAAAAATATAAAAATTGAGTATGATTGTACACTTTCAACATACAAAATGTTGAAAATTAAATATCTATTTTAATCTGAGGTCTAAACATATCAACAGAATATCAAATTATATTACTTACTTTGATCCACTTGTCAATGCACTGAGCATGAAACTCGTGGAAGCATGGAAGCATTTTAAGTCGGTCGTTCTGGTCATACTCGCACATACAAATGAGGCAGTCTTCTGACTCCTGCTTTTCACTGTTTGCCTGATATGTACGTATTGGAAGCCTGGAGCTCTGTGCTTCAGTCAAACCTTTGTTCTTTACATCACCCAACATCTCAGCCAGACTTAATAGATCCTGTACAAAAACAGTATAGTTTCTTGAAGAAAACTGAACCAATAAGTTGAAATATTGTTGTAATTACAAATGAAGACTTGGATTGTAAATCTCTTCTTTATCTTGCAATCTCAGCTGGATATACATGTTTAGGTAATAGACCAGAGAATAAAACTTGTATTTGGAGATACACTGTATTTGTGAAAACTGCATCCGCTTATGATGAGATGAAATACCAGGTTTATGAACTTTATCCAAATTAATGCAGCTACCAAACTTCGATCAGAGGGCATGTACAGAATATATGATATCTCACCTCATAATCATTTCCATCTACTGAACTGCCTACATCAAATCCACGTGGGGCAGCATTCCGCCTCTGTCCTCTCCGTCTAGACCGTGAATGTCGTGCCACAGGCTACAATGTAAACATTTGATTGTTTAACATAAATACACCTAACAACACAAAGAGGCCAATGGGTCTTAATGAACATCAAACTATAGACAAATTTGTAAACTTTAGCAGTGAAGGCAACAAAAATAACACTCTACAATCTAGTTTCTCATAAAATTTCATTTTAATCTAACTTGATAAGAAGTTTAAAATTTGCTTTTCAAAATGGTGGTCATGGCAGCCATATTGGATTTAGGAAAGACCTGAAAAATAACAACAAATGGTCAGACCCATCTCCGGATCATGTTAAGCAGGTTACAGCCAAATTCCACAAGTGGAACTAAGAAATTTGAAACATGAGGAAAGCCTGATTGTACAATTATGTGAATAAATGGCCAAAACAGATGCCATATTGAATGAGTTGAACTGAATTGAATTAAGAACAACACTTTGTCACCTTATTTTCTTCATCTTCCCCACCAATTTTTAGCTCAATGGCACCAATAGAACTTGAGAACAAGTTTAAAACAAGTTTTTCAAGATGGCTGCCATGGCAGTCATATTGGATTTTGGACCAGCAGTGTCAGGACCATGTCAGGCAAGTTAGAGCTGAATAACTCTAATGAAACTTAAGAAGAATTTTAAAGTGTGTTTTACATTCGGTGGCTGAATACCTGGCATACAATGACAGACAAATAGAGAATATTTAATAGTTTCTTCAGTAATAACAAATATATTTCACAAGAGTGCCTAATATCTACCAGGTAAGTATCTTTCACCAGCGTGCAGCAAGTGAAAAATACCAAAAAAATAGACAAACAAGTGAAATATTTGTTATTACTGGAGACACTTTTAAATACCCTCTATCCATAACATTTTCACAAACAATATAGCCAAATTACTGACACATTTAGATAAAAAAGACCAAGCTGACTAGGATATTTGTGACCACTACTCACTCATAACTTTGCAGTATATGACAAAATGTAGCCATAAAAATATGTAAACAAAAAACAGATTGCAATTTTCATTCATTTTCATATTCACATAAAAAATGTTATTTATTCATGTTTCTAACAGTGTTCAAAGAGAGTTTAACTTGTGACAAGTTAGCATGTGGCTGATGATATGGCAGTAGCTCCGCTTTCAAGATGTTCAGTTATGAATTAATTGGGTTTTATCTCTGATAAGGTAACTTGCGTTGCATTGCTTGCTCATGGTTTCTCATGGAATTGAAGGTCATGTTACTAGTAAACAACCCCTCTGTGTTTCTTGTTTTGTGTTGTTAATTTTTTGTATTGGGTTTTAAGATTTGTCAATTTTATTAGAGGAAATATGTATTCTCCTTTTACTGGTGTAAGTCTGCAGAAGTATTATTTTTTCACTGTTTTTCTCTTTGGGTCATATGACTTTAAAACAGAAAGAGATATAAAAAACCACCAACCTAGTGACAGATTATTGCATAACCAATGAATATGAAGAATTCCTTGCTGACACCAATAATATATATATGTATAGTTATTACACAATTTTTTTTACTTATCATACAGGAAGTCAATACAACATGGATATAATCACACACATGACAAAGTACTTACAGGACTCATTACAGAGTTACCTCCCTCTAACATAGACAACAGGCTGTGGTTGAGATGAGCTGTAACACCAAACCAATTCATATTAAGAAACATAGCTAGAAAAACTCACATAGCTGCATAGAATCACAATAAAAACTTTATCATCAGACAGTATGGACTTATGGTTTTATCAGGTTATGAACACAGAAAGGTCTTTCAAGACAACAAAGAACATGCTGTACTCTAAATGATTGATATAAGTACTAAGTAGCTCTGTGTTCCAAACTTTATAACAAAAGGGTTAACTGTAAGGTTAAAAGTACTCTAACCATCTATACATATACATGCATATGAGAAAAGTTAATTGTAAGGTTAAAGGGTTCTCCATATATGAGGAAGGTTAAAGGTTAATGTTGAACTATTATCATTACTAGTGTACATCTAAGCTTCAATTCCAAGTTTTAAAATATCAACAGCCAAGCAATACTATCATTCTCTAATGTTTGATATCAAGTCTATAAAGTAAAAATAAAAATCACCAATGTCATCCAGAAAATGCTGGCCTGTTTGTGTTCGGACACCGTTACGTGTCATTGGTCGACCTTGCGGGGAATGCTGAAATAAAATAGACACATTAGAGAGCTGATGTTATTTATTCATTAACCTATGAAACTGAGACTCTAAAAGGAATGGTGTGATGCCAACAATCAACTCAAAGGTAAAATTGAAATAACAATCACATACTTTGTTACAATGATATACTAATATCTCCTACAGGGAGACTTACAGTGACCTAAAATATTCATGTTTTAATAACATACATTGTAGGATATATAGCATACAAACCTGAAGTAAATGCTCCTCAGGTTCATCAAGGTCATGAAGTAGTGCCTCCACCTCATCTAGATCTGTAACAAATAGACTTACATATAATTCACTCTCAAAAGGTGTTCATAGTCATCCAGAGTGTGTTGCTACCTAGTGTGTGATGTCATCTACCATAAGATGTCACCCAATTTGTGCTATCACCTAGTGTCATATTACCAAGTGTGTGAAGTTATCTTGTGTGTGATGTCATCAAGTGCATGATGTCATCTAGTGTGTGATGTCACTGAGTGTGTGACGTCATTGAGTCTGTGAAGTCACGTAGTGTGTGATGTCACCTAGTGTGTTAAGTCATCCAGAGTTTGATGTCATGGAGTGTGTGAAGTCACCTAGTGTGTGATGTCATTGAGTCTGTGAAGTCATGTAGTGTGTGATGTCACCTAGTGTGTTAAGTCATCCAGTATTTGATGTCATGGAGTGTGTGATGTCATTGAGTCTGTGAAGTCACGTAGTGTGTGATGTCACCTAGTTTGTTAAGTCATCCAGTATTTGATGTCATGGAGTGTGTGATGTCATTGAGTCTGTGAAGTCACGTAGTGTGTGATGTCACCTAGTGTGTTAAGTCATCCAGAGTTTGATGTCATGGAGTGTGTGAAGTCACCTAGTGTGTGATGTCATTGAGTCTGTGAAGTCACGTAGTGTGTGATGTCACCTAGTGTGTTAAGTCATCCAGTATTTGATGTCATGGAGTGTGTGATGTCATTGAGTCTGTGAAGTCACGTAGTGTGTGATGTCACCTAGTGTGTTAAGTCATCCAGTATTTGATGTCATGGAGTGTGTGATGTCATTGAGTATGTGAAGTCACATAGTGTATGATGTAACTGAGTGTGTTAAGTCATCTAGTGTGTGATGTCATTGAGTGTGTGAATTCACATAGTGTATGATGTAACTGAGTGTGTTAAGTCATCTAGTGTGTGATGTCATTGAGTGTGTGAAGTCACATAGTGTGTGATGTCACTGAATGTGTGATGTCATCTAGTGTGTGAAGTCACTGAATGTGTGAAGTCACCAATTCCTATATTGATTCTGTACTTCACCTTCAACTTAAGTTTTGATACTATGTACTCGAGATATGATCAAGCCAAAATAATTTGACCTTCAAACTTCCTAATTTGAAGTTTAATGAATAAATTAACCCCTGACCATGCTTTTAGTACATGTTCTAGTAATCTGAGCTTTATACTTCATAATTTGAAGTTTAATGAATATATTAACCCCTGACCTTGCTTTTAGTATATGTTCTAGTTTAAGAACTAAACCATTAGCTACACCTTAACACCAACCTTCATTTTATTTTATTCTGCACATAACTTGACATATTCTTTATAACTACACCTTGACATTTGACAACTTGTATCAAATAAATAACAAAGACATACTGCTTTTATCAAGAATCTAACACAGTTATATTTAATATTTCAAGTTATGATCTGATAGCTTTTACCAAGTACTTACACATTCACACATATTTTTATCATTTAAATGCGACAATGTTCCACTAAAGAAAATACCTACCAGGATAACGAGATGTGGCCCGTCCCCTCTGTGCAGTGGCCCAACGTCCCTGCCCTACAGCCATAGGACCCCTGTTGTAGGCAACTGGGGTTGGCGATGCCATGTCATGGTGAGGGAAAACCCCTGCTCCAAACACTGGGGGCTGGTTCTCAAGATTCTGAAGAGACAGGGCAAACTCCATGTCCATCTGCTCCTGTAGAAAACATTAAATATGTGATTAGGGAATATGTCACCTATCAGAGGGTCTACAACAGTATGGTCTGGTAATCAGTATAGAAATATCACCATTCTTTATACCCTTACTTTGAACTTGGATGACTTTATCTAAGACATCCATTCTCTCTTACTCTAATACAATATATATATATATATATAAACATATATATAAAAACCTTTTACGAACCTCAACTCTTATGAAGCTAATATGCCAATGATTTAATCTGGTTGACCTGTCAACTGCATACCTGTAATTTTTTGGCTAACTCTTCATCGCCTTCTACCTGATCAATTTGACTTTGACAAGGTGTACTCTCTTCCACATTATCACATATAATTGGTTGTCCAGGACATCCATCCTGCTGCCTTAAGACAGGTGTACATCCCTGGTCCTTTCTTGGACTTGGATTAGCTAGAAAGTCATGACCCACAGATTAAAATCACATTAAGGCTGAGGTGAATACAGTTCCTACATGTTTGATAGCATAATTGTAATTGTTAGTGTTCAGTATACAAGTAATTATAAGCAGCTAATAACAAGACTGTTGCTGTTATGAACCAAAGATCCTTTTAAAACTGAGAAACAAAATGGATAGCAATTGCAAAACCATGACATCAGCTCATCTAGCCCTAAATTGGCCAAGTACATTAAGCTAATAACATTTAAGACCAAATCTGAAAACATCAGTTCACAGTGTGAAATCTCTGGATACATAAACACGAAATGAAATTTCTTACTTCTTTTGTTTTTATGTGACCTCCCCTCTGTTGTATGTTGAATTGATCTGGACCTTTCTGTGGCCATTTTTCTTGAATGTGACCTTGACTCCTCTCTCACAGTTGGAGACCAATCTGATTCTGCCATTCTAGAAAAGCCATCATCAAACCAGTCCGACATTTTTTCACTTTGATCACTTTTCACTGATTTTGTATTTAAATGTTTTGTTTTATTTCCATCCAATTTTTCCTGTTTTCTATGTGCTCCCAAACTTTGGCTTTCAACTTGATGACCTTGAGGATTATGATTGCTTGACCTTGAAGAAGTAATGTCATGTAAAGATGATACGTGTGTTAAGTGAGGTTTTGTGTGCGTTGTAAATGTGTGATTAGCACATCTCTTTGCCTCGTCTCTGTGTCTGTGAAAGTGACCCTGACCTTTGGTAGGCGAGACATGTGGGACTGCAGACAATGTGTCGTCAGTCTGTGGTTCACAACTACAATCAATCATTTCTTTCAGTGTCTGTGAACTAATGGGATCAAATTCACTATCCTCACTGTCTGAGGAATCTGAAGGCCATGTGTCATACACTGGGTACAATGATTTGGAATGAACTCTGCTATCTAGTCGAGCACGTTTACTTCTGGCCGGGGATGACGAGGCCTCACACTTTCTTCTTCCAGCATTAGAGGCAGCCTCTCTGTTATGGTGTGTTTCTGGGTCCTTCTTTTGATCTATAGATAGTTTGAGACTGGGTTTAACATAGTGACGATGATTTACTCTTGCACAATTTCTATCTACATGGTGGCATGACTCAGTATGAGAGGACAGGTCATGGTGATTCTTATGAAGTCCTGAAGAGCTTGAGGTATGGGATGGTTTTCTAGCACTCTGTTCTGTAGTCTGATTAGGGTGTTTTGATTCATTTCTAAATTTATCTTGTTTTTTTTCCATCATTTCTTGTAAAGCTGTTTTAAAATGGATGCCATGGGACGGAACATATGGGCTGATTTTTACCTTTCCTGGACTTAATGCAACCTTCGTTTTAGCATCCAAAAATTTGCTTCGCATACTAGGCACAATTTTAGTAGATTCTGAACTTGCATTGTTACTGTTCTCTTCAAATTGATTTTGTTTCCATGGTGATGAATGTTTCTCTGGTGTTAACACTGGTGCCCTAGGCAGTCTTGACTTGCTAGGTAAGTTGCTCTCTGCCCTTTGACATTTGGTTGACCATTTAAATTTTGAGTTAGTAGGCTCCTGTCTGTCATCACTGGTCTCTTTATGTCCATCAGTGGTGAATTGTTTCCCTTGCGTTGGTTTTCCTCTTTTCCCAACAAACCTTGAAAATACTGGGCTGAAAAATGATAATGATATTTGTGTACCTTTTGGTAGTGTGTTCAGTATATATGTAGGAGCAGGGAACACTCTGGGGCAAGATTAAGGAATTTTTACCATTTTTGTTTTTCAGAAAATCTGTAAGAAATTCTTAACATGTGCTATTATAGAGAAAAAGAAGTCTATGGGCCAAAGCTGTCACGTGACATCAACTGCAAAGAGCTGAACTCTATAAGACTCACCAAATCACTTCCATTGTTGAACTCTCTGAGATTATATTAATAGAAGGCTGTATACCAAGTCTTATCAAAATATGAGACTGTTTACTCAAATTATTGTGTTCACAAATTCACAAATGTATGTAACATATAATTCTTATAGGTATGCACCTGATCTAGCTGGACTCCCATCAGCCATTAGTTATTTCATATCAACTATAGAACAGTCAAACAATTTCTTTAAATAAAATGTTTACCTTGGAGTATCTGGTATAATTATTACACTATCATTTCCATTTGATGTTCCTTGCATCTCCTCTGCAGACTTCGATGTATGAGTTGCCTCACTTGATTTCTGACAGAGACCAGAGGATGTTAATCTCTTTGCTCCATCATAATCTTCCCCCTTTTTTCCATCTTTGATTTTTTGTTGGATCCTCTGAAAAAGGTTGCCATTTGGATCCATGTCTGAAATTCCAAGATAAAAAACTTAAGGAAATAAAAGGTTATGATAGGCGTATATTAAATATTCTACATCTAGATGTCTCAGTTGTAAAAACCTTACCTTGATCATTTAAAATCTTTCAGCCTTGGAAAAATGAGAAACAACTGTAAAGTGCAAGCTTACTGCAATAGCTAAGCATGAGTGTGATGAAACTTTTAAAAACATAAACAGATTTGGATAATTGTATGGTTTCCTCATGTCAGGTAACAAATTCTATGTTAACTGGTTGTAACTTAACTGATATTAATACACAGTCTCAGTAAATAATGTTTTCTTACAATAACAAAACAATTCTAATCCCCCCCAACCCCCATTTAGTCTTGGAAAAATAAGAAACATCTGCAATGATAATCTTGTGTGATACTCTCTCAAATGGACTCCACAAATAAGGACAAAGGGCTATGCTACCTGCAGGAAAACTAGTTGTTGTGCCCTATAAAGCAGGAAACAAACAATAACAAGAGACCCACAGGGCCTGTATTGCTTACCTGATTTACCTGAAATTGGTCTATCTTAAATAAGGGAAAAGTATGTAAAACATTTTATTTTACTGTAGTAGATTTGACACTCCTCTACAATGGGGTTAGATGTTTGTACATAACTAAGTTTTCAGTTCCAACATAAAAAAACATTTTATTTCCCTGTAGTAGATTTGACACTCCTCTACAATGGGGTTAGATGTTTGTACTATATTTTCCCAACATAAAAAAACATTTTATTTCCCTGTAGTAGATTTGACACTCCTCTACAATGGGGTTAGATGTTTGACTAAATCCACTGATTCATACATATCACTATTGATCTGTTTTTCCACTGTTCATACAACACTGGCATATCTCACACTAAATTGGGACAGAATCCAGGCATTCCTATATAAGAACATGATAGAATTTAAAGAAATTTCTAGTTTTCCCTATTGGGCCCTGCCCATCTGGCACCAGGTGGCCGAGATACATTGCTTCAAAAAAACTGATTTTCCTTCACCCAACCATGCTTCAAACCAAATTTGGACAATATCCTATGATTCCTTTAAGAACAAGATAGACTCTAAAGAATTATTCTATAACAGATTTTCCCTTTTGGGCCCCATCCCTCTGGTCCCAGGGGGCCCCAAGACCAATCATTTATATAAAACTGCTTTGCCTTCAACAAAGCATGCTTCATACAAAATCTGGATAATATTCTGTGATTCCTATAGAACAAGATAGATTTTAAAGCATTTTTTAGATTTTCCCTATTTAGCCCCACCTCTCAGGCCCTGGCGAGGGCCAGACCCACCAATTACATTAAATTCCTCTTTCCCCAAGAATGCTTCAGACTAAATTTGATAAAAATCTGCCCAGTCATTCATGAATAGTTCCAATATATAGTAAAAGATGGCAGATGCCCTAAAAACACAAGATTACTTTAGTATAATGTCTTTGGTGCAGTTTGTATTTTCTTGCTTCAAATGCAATGTCTATTCTTTTGTCAAACTGATAGTCAGTGACAAATCTCAATAATATATGATTTCATTATGTATTTGAGGCTGATAAGTTCTAGATTCAATATACCGCTTGGCTAGAAATAACTTCCCTTTAGCTTGAATGCTTGAATATCAAACTTAGTCTGAGGTACAAAAGTACTGGGTGCTGGAGAAAAATCCATTTCTCCCTGTGAAAATCAAACATCATGAAATAAAGAACCAGCTGAATCAGATCACTTACCACATACAAAATTCAAATAATCGGGGTTGTTGTTGGGGAGTGGGGGTTATGAGAAGAAATTACTGACTGTACTGTATAACCTTGTGTCTCTTATGGTGTTAATTCATTTTATCATATTATATCTTGTCGCTTGAAACACAAAAAGGATACATCTATGTAATGTATAAATTGTGTTGGTGCATTTATATAATATGATAAAAGGATAAGACATATTTTGTGTGTATTCTTACTGCCATGTGTCCATGTCATCAGTATGAATAAGACAGTGTATACGCACTTGTTTACAACGGTTCTGATTACACTGCATGTTGTACAGGAGTGCCATACCTGCTATACAGTCCCTTAAATTCTGATCGATCACCTTGTATAAACATTCCGGGTATACTCCCATGCTATATCTATATGCTTTGCGTGCTTCTATTTTAATTAATATACCACTTCAATTATAATTTTATAAATATTTATTTATTCTTCAAGAGATTCTAACTTCATACTCTGTGACTTTTGTGATCATGACCCAGTAACCCCAGACAGGGGTGTTACAACAATGTCTTGTGTTTCTGATGCTCTCCGTGTTATATTGAGCATAGATGAAGAAGGTGATGAATATATAATGATACTATAATTTCCTGCATTCGATTAAAGTTCTTGTATGTACTTACCTTGGCCCTAATCTGGAAAAATTAATCATCAATCCTTCTTGATCGAACACTTGCCGCCATTGCTACTTGACCTTTCACCTTTCATAATAATGATCATGATCAGAAAGATGTTTGGAACGAATACTTGCCATGGTGTATTTCGGAATGCGTTCGTTTGACGCCGATACGTAGATAAACAAATGGCTTGAAATCGAAAGCAATAAATAGCGTATGGGTGAATAAAAAAGGTAACATTTGTTTTGATTTGACAACAGTTGTAAGTTGTAGAGCTTAAGTTCACTCGTTCTGTTTCACCCGATAATATTTATGGAAGTTGTGAACAAGTTATTGTCTGCGCTCTTGGTCATGTAACAATTACAGTAGGCCTGAGATTACGCTTAGCCACTTGTTGAAAAAATCCAATGTTACGATGTTCTATAAACATTTTATGATAAAATAAATCAAACTTTAAACTTTCAATTGTTTCATCTATTGCAGCAGTTGTTTATTGTTATTTCCCTTGTTTGGTCTTCCTGTTTTTAAACTTCCCGCCATCTTGTCAATCATGTACTGGTTACACCCCTTGGTTCTACATAGCAACAAGGCAACAAACGTTGGCCACGCTGTACTAATGATGGGCGGTGTGTTATGGTGATCTGTGACGGACCATACTTAGCAACTTTAGTGTCGCTTCCTGTGTGTCAACTGTCCTTGTCATCTGGCAGAACTAGACATCTGGTAAGTAAAGTGTTGACTTTCATCTTTTACATTATCTTCTATATGTACCCTTTGATCTGAAGAAAATAAATAAATATGTAGTTTTGTTAAAACATTTAAATGCATTGAATTGTATCATTTCATTCATGAAGGTTGTGTGTATAGAATTTCATGGTCGACTTTGTGATAACTGTTGGCTTGTCACCACGTTGGGGAGATTAGAACCACCTTGTCATCGGATAGGCAGCTAGCCACTTCCTGAATAATATTTACATTTTATATGTTATATATACATGTATACAATGCTAAATTTCAGCTCATTTGCTGTAAGAATACTGATTTGGTGTCTAAGAATATCTCATGCACCATATTTCAGCAATTAAGAAGGGACCGGTTCACTGATTCTAATGTACACGGGATGTCCATTGTTGTGTCTGTATTGGTGTTACATAGTTAAGTAGGCTCCAGTCAACACGCTGTTGTGGTAGGCAGTGCTAATTATGATTCAAGATATCTTTTTTTATCAAACTTGTAGTCTGATGGCTAATATAGAGAAGCTGCATGAGAACTATAGTGAGAACATGTAAATAATACTGTAATTACCATACACATTTCTGTTACTTGCCAAATTTCTGTGATTCCCATAGAGGAGATTGTGCACATTTAAACTTGCAAGCTTATAGACCACCTTTTGACAGACTCATAATCTATACAAGACAATTCAAGTTGTTCTTCCTGATAGCATATATGAGTATTTTACGTTATCAATCGTTCATTGGATTTTCCTATTAAATATTTATTACTTATTTACAAAAATTGGGGCCAAAATCAGTCCTTGTGCGGGATATTTATTTATTTATTTATGGCAATAAAATAAAGAAAAGAAAATATGGGTACTTTTATATTTACGTGTATTTACAAATTCAGATCATAAACAGATATTTCACCGAAAATGTTAAGAATGTTTTTTTTTATTCACTGATGTTTTACTATGTATTGGGACAGTTTAGGTTTTTCTGACAGTATATTCTCATCATGATGTACATTTTATATGTTTAAATCTGCCACCAGAATCAAGTATAACATTTAGTCCAATGTTCCTCTTCTTAGTTATACCAGGCATCAAAATATCTAACAAAGAAACTGATCATAAATGAAAACGTTTTGATATAAACAATAAACAGATACACAGTTTTCATGTTACAGATCCTGGGAGCTGGTGGTTACTGTAGTTGTTTATTTTCACTTTCAATTTGTGCATAAGACAGATTTCTAGTAATTCATATAATGGTATTTGTAAGCAAGGCTCAATACATAAACATATGGTTGCTTGGTTGATTGGTTGGTTACAGGTTTTCCGTCTCCATGCTTCAATTTCTATCAGCATTAGCTGTTGTCTCAATGTTGAACGTCAGTGTACACCATGCAGAGTATTTTCACAATTGATAGCAGTCTGCTTTATCCTTGAATGTATACTTAAGTTTTTGTTAAATTTCAGGAGCAAGATTTGTTGATTAGATTGCATTAAGTTCTGTACATTCCTTGTATAAATGCAGCAGGCATTACATACATATTTATTGGTTGCCAGATACTTTTACATGTTTGAAAAAAAACAGGGAACTGCATTGTGTATTATACTTTTCTAAGCGAAATTAAATCTCTCTTGTTTCTCTATACACTGAACTCTAATCTAGAGTTGACGTTTGTTGATTTAGTTACTGGAATTTAAATAATTAACCCTTTGTCAAAATGGGAACTGTTACTTGTTATAACTGTAGTTGTCACCCTCAATAATCATTTGAGCTGTTGACTTCTCAGGGCTAACAGTAAATTTTGTTGTGGCAGACCGTCACTGGAAATTTTATGTCGGACATTGGTTTTCTTCAAAGTCAGGATACAAACATGAGATTTGAGGCTGACCCACATGGTTATTGATTTTTCAGGTAAACAACATTTCTTCCAGGACCTGAAAAGGAATATCTGAATTATAGATTGTACAGCCTTGTGTTGTGTGTTCATGGATCTCTGAATAGTGTCTGTAGTTTTTGTAGGAGAGAATTCATATTGTTGATGGAATGTCAGCACAAGTTACAATCCTCAAGATTGTTTCACTTCATTTTTACAAAAAAACAGGGTTATTGTAAAGGCTAGGTAGATGATTGATTCTGTCTGAGTAAAAGTAATAATTCATGTTATGATGTATGTAGAGCTATAATAATTAATCAATGTATTTGTAAGAAATTGTCATACATTTAATATTTTTCAAGATTTTTATTCCTGAACTTTTATTTAAGCTGTATTTGATAGAATAATGTATTGGGTATTAGATTGGTCTGTCCACTTGTATGTCTTGTATAACATCTTGGTAAATAAGCTGAAAAAAATCACATGTTGTATCACATATGATGCTGTCATCAAACTTTCTCTTGCTTAATCATTTCTTCTTTTTACTTTGTTTTTGTTGGCTCATTTTTGAAATCACTATCAAATAGGATTAGTGGAGTTCTTGCCGTGTCCGTTAACAAAAAGAGTCCTGCCATTCACACTTCATAATTTGAAATGGATAATGTTGGATGAATTTGTGTTGAATTGCTGATCAACGATAAAATCATCAAGTGGGGAATTTAAAAAAAAAAATTTACAACAAACATTGAAATATATATTTTTTTGATTTTGATAAGCATTATTTTTACCTTATTTAGTGCATGAAAATTTAGTATCCATGAGGTTAAACTTTCTTACCTCCCTTTCTGTGTGTCTCATCCCATCCATGTACATATTCTACAAATTGATTCTCTCTCCTAATGTTTGAGAGAAACATATTGATTAGAAAATCCACACTTAAGTTTGTAGATAGTGGCACATTTTGATGAGATAAGACAACATATGTAATCCACAGCTGTAGGATGTGAAGGACTTTTATTACCACTTATATAGTGGTTTATAAATCAGACAAGGAATTTACAATGTGGCTTTATTGATTGGTAATAACTTGTTCAAAATTTAAATGTGAAAGAAATCTTTGCCAATTGGAGGTAAATAGTTATCATAAAGGGTTTTTGATTTATTTTTATTGATGTGAAAGTGTACCATTTAGTGGCTGTTAATTCTTGAACACTGTCTACGGGTACAGGTACATGCTTTTAAGAATATAAATTTCTCTTTTTCCTGAAATGTGGACAAGAGGGAGTATAGTTGTTCACGGGTAATGTTTATTATATGGCATTATGCTAAGCTTCAGCTTTCTTGTATGTTCTGAGCTTGGCATGTATTTTAGGCCTCAGTGGCTGTGTTGAAAGTGTCTGTATGAGGTGTTTCATTCAGATATGGATAAACGTAAGCGTTACATGGTTTTTAGTAGTGTTGCTCTAACTGTAATAAACACATATTACAGATTCCAAATTGGACCTACATTTTACACATCATATGGTTCAGATTTGACAGCCTCGTCTAAAAGGAAATCAAATCTAGTCTATGCACTACACAGTGACTGCAGTATCAAAGCAGGTCATAATTAAAGAGATGATTTTTTAAGGAATTTGTATCATCAAAATTATAATTTGTTTAACTTTATGACATTCAGTTCAGATATCCAAAAAATGCCTTGGTATACTGCTATTGATATCAGCATCCAGGTAAAATATCTTTTCTGTGAACTTGTTAAATCCATAAAAGGTTTTGACTTGACAGTGAATTTAAGTTGGAGTTTTGCTTAGTTGTTCAACAAAATGGTTTATATCAACACCCGTGTATTGATATATGGCACAACAAATGTGTCTGTAACTGAAGTGATGTTAAAATTCTGCTGATGTGATTCACATATGTCTGTATGAATGTGGATCTGCTTCTCGTCCTTTTGTGGTTGTGATTTCTTAACCTGTTGGTGAGAATATTTCTCGTTCGTTGGTTTGACCAATTTGATATTAAGGCTGTTCCTTTATAATATTAGGATGAACATATTGATCATGTATTGCACTCTGAGTCTCAATTAAGGCTTTAGAAGTTTGTATTCTGTCAAACATGTTACCTTTAAAGTACCAAGGAACCATTTTGTCTGTATAAACGTACACTACCCTAGTATGTGATGTACTGTTTTTGTATTACAAGGTTTATGGTATTACAAAAGCGCTATCAGTCATAATCAGTAAATATGCCAGGAAAAAAATTCACTTGAACAACCACCAATTGATGGGAAATACTCATAATGGCATCTTTTTGTAATTTTCTTTTGTTTTTGGCAAATTGGATTGAGTTTTCAATTTGGATTATGGACATTGTCTCTTACATAGAAGTATACCATGATATACTATACTTGAGTAAAGTCATCAAACAAGCAGTTCAAAATAATATAATTGTATAAATGTGTACCTAGCCAGTACGTTTTTCATATTCTTGATGGTAACGTCTTGTATGGTTTGATTAAGTCATTTATGGGACAGTGTAGAAGGAACACTAGTACTTAAACATGGAAATAGGTCCTTTAATTATACAAACAATTATCATAGTGACAATCTGATTATTTTAATGAGTGAATTCATTCACACTGGTATAGTATGATGTAATCACAGACTCAGGGTAAATATCATTTGTCATGCAATTTAACAATACCGTTGACTACCTGTGGAATTTTGCCAAACATATAGAGGATATTTAATGCTTTACCTGTTCATTTACATATATTTCAGGAGTATGACAGGATATCTATATATTTCTCTGGTGCAATTGGTCAAAACAACATTAGTGATATTGTCACTGGAAAAGTTCTATCATCACTGCAGTGATGGTTCAAGTTTTTATTAGTTGATCATTTCCTCTATTTCACAAGCAAAAATGTAATGTAATACGATATTTCTTCATTTACTAAGATTTTGAATTCACTTTTAACATTAATTTTCAAAGATATTGATGATTCTTATTAAGATGCTTTTAAAATACAATTGTACCAGTATATCTATGGAGTTCTAGATTAATTAATGAGTACAGTACATGTTTTTATTCTTTCATGATGATAAGTAAATATTTTCACAACAAAATATATTTTGAGCAATCATCAAAGTATTGTAACGAAAAGTAAGAGATTTAATTTCTAGTAACAAATGTAACAAAAATTCTGAAATAATTTGACAATATCAGAATCATTATATGTGACTGTCACAGACTAGCTACTCTATATATCATTAAATGTGACTATTACAGACTAGCTACTCTTTATATCATTAAATGTGACTATCACAGACTAGCTATTCTTTATATAATTAAATGTGACTATCACAGACTAGCTACTCTAGATATCATTAAATGTGACTATTACAGACTAGCTACTCTTTATATCATTAAATGTGACTATCACAGACTAGCTATTCTTTATATCATTAAATGTGATTATTACAGACTAGCTACTCTTTATATCATTAAATGTGACTATCACAGACTAGCTATTCTTTATATCATTAAATGTGACTATCACAGACTAGCTACTCTTTATATCATTAAATGTGACTATCACAGACTAGCTATTCTTTATATCATTAAATGTGACTATCACAGACTAGCTATTCTTTATATCATTAAATGTGACTATCACAGACTAGCTACTCTATATATCATTAAATGTGACTATCACAGACTAGCTATTCTTTATATCATTAAATGTGACTATCACAGACTAGCTACTCTTTATATCATTAAATGTGACTATCACAGACTAGCTATTCTTTATATCATTAAATGTGACTATCTTTTCTATCATAGATGTAAGAAATATAGGAACTAATCTGGGATTTAAGGGAAATACATGTCCATTGTAATGTGTCTTAATTTTAATGGGAGGTTGATGCTCAGGTCTAAAGAGGACAATATTTCCTCTGAAAAAAACCAACTTCATCATTAAGCTAACTTTATTTCTAAAAGAGGGCCAACTCTAAATTAGTGTGTGCCATCTATCTGTGGAATGGCCCCTTTTACCACCCTGTAAGGATGGTAAAGTCCTAACCTTCTTCATTAGCAACATTTATCAAAATATTATATGTATAGCCTTAAGAAATTGAGCAAACAAATCAATGATGTAGCTACTGTCCTGACATGTATATCTCCAGCCTTTGTAACACTGCAACACTCTGTGTTAATTTGCTTAACCTGATATTTTTATTTAATATGTAAAGATAAAATGTTCATCCGTATTAAAGCTGAATTAATTGTATGTATAGCCCCAGGTAATAGCTGGAATGCAATACTGTTGGTGTTCAGTTACTTGTATTCAGGTGATGTACCATTAAAACTTTAATGATTGGTCTTCTTCCTCACTGAATAAGTTGGGTGTCAAACAGCTATTTATCTACCTTGATATACTTCTGACAAACTAGAGATGACTTAAGGTATATGTGTCATAACAGTCCTATCGCTGGAGTAATCTGTGCCTGTGGCACTCATATGTTATGATAACTAATTATACAAAACACCTTCAGAAACTGAAAATGGTCACCTTAACATCACATACAAAATTAACTGCTGCTAACCAATTCCCACAGTTAGTCACATTGTCATTAAAATCGCATTAATATACTCCAGTGGTACTCAATCACCTTTGTCCCAATTTTATCATTGAATTTGAATTTAAATTATAATGGCATAGAATTACAAACTTCTCACAGAAGACTACAAGCCATTAATTATAATATTGATTGAATTTGATTAGAGGTATTAAATGAGGTCCAATCACCCTGTAGTGTGAGAAGGCACACATTATAGTATTACACAAGTAATGAAGAGATCTAGAACAATAGAAGTATGTAGCCAGAGCATTTAAAGACCCTGATAGTTGGCAGGTAGGAACGGGAGGTTTGTTTGTAGGCTATCTCCCGTTACTAGCCTGAGCTGAGCTGAGGATAGGTTGAGGGGGCTTGACAATTCCTGATCAATGGTCGCTGTAGTAGTACCACCCCACAGTGATCCACCTGTCCTACAATGAGAGTCGATTGTGTCTTTACCGGCAGGCACTTGTGTTTGATCTACAATTTTCTGTTCATTATTCACATGTAAATGGAAACATTAGTCCAGAGGTAAGTGTGGTGGTTGTTCTTATGAAGGTAGGTAACCTACTAATGTCATTTGTCTCGTGTATATCTATCTACCTGTCAGCCCAGGTTTGGCTTACTTTTGGCTTAAAAAACATGTAAGCTGAATGGGAATTTGCCAAGAATTTTAGGCTTTTGATCAAAGTCATGTTTTGGAGTTAGAAAATTATATAGGGCATTTGTTAAGACAGAATCTTACACATAATTGAGTTAATTCTTGTTGGAGTGATGAAAACAATCACAAAGAAAAATGTACATGGTTTTCCTTTAGTTTTCAGTTTCTAGTTTTCTGAGGAATGATAATGGTTTTATTAACTGGATCAACAGTCCAACAGTTAGGGAAGTAAGGTATTAAGAATTTTACCTGTGATAATATAAGGTAGATTTTAACTCTGAGGTCACTTAAGAATATTACTGGTGAATATTTTAAACCATGGCTGACCATTAGTTTCTGTGTCATATATACAGGTGTAAGAGAAGTTAACAGCTATTTCTCCTGTATTGATTTAACACCTGACTCTTAATCAAATACACATAAAATCTATATAAGCCTTGTAACTTTACAAACATATCATAAGTAGACATATGACCAGTAAACAGTAGCAAACACCTGTGTTATTTCTACCTGTAAGGCCTTCATTGCCAATATATTCACAAGCCTTTTATTTAGACATTCATGTGGGAATCAATTATGGAAAAATACTATTGTCACCAAGAATGTTTACAAGAGAGAATATTGATTTAGATTGCCTTAAAACAACACATGTGTAAGTAAGTTGTTCAAAGTCAATGAGGACTCAGTTTTGTCAACTTACACCAAAAAACAAAAATAGTGTTACTGGGTATGTTTATAATAATCCTTACTGATAGGGCACTTGTTAACTGTATACATAAATCTCTACAGAATTTAAAGGCACTACTATTGTAAAGAATGTCAGTAGTAATGAATTTCGTTTTTTTATGATATTCTAAATGAAATTTTTTTCTAACAAATTTTGTTGCTGCAGAATCACAATTGTTTGAATTTGAAGTATGATCATATTTCAAAACAAAATAAAACAGAAACTTTACCTCCCAGAGGTAGGACTTAAGACCTCTCCACTGACTACACTGTATAGTAACATGTCCCTGTCTTGGAAATGTAATTATCTTGTAAGGGAAGTAACTCTGTGCCAGAAAGTCCTTTATGTTGCTTACCTTGATGATTCGGGGAGATCACTTAAAAGTTCAAAACCAACTTGGACAAATGGAAATTTCTGTTATCAATGTAAATATTCAGTGGTTACCTTGACCTTGGTAGCATTCAGTTAGCTAATACAATAGTGTGAAAATTTCTCCAGATCTATAACTTTACACTGAACAATGATGGTATAGTTATTCCAATAGTGGGGAAAATGTTATATATTGTAACTCAATAGTATTCAGTAAACTTTATTTATATGTTGAATAAGTTCATATAAAATATTTTTGTAAAAGATCTAAATATGGTACCAGAAATTGAAAAAGAAAACCCAATACTTATACTGACATGGACACTTCAGAACTTGCTGAACGTACACAAAAGACGTTTTATGATAATGAGGTTTAACCTTGTTGATATATAAACTTAGCTACAGTGTGGAAGTCTTTAAAACTGAATTTGTTGATGAAAGAGATCAGGTTTTATATTAAAGAAATGTCCTTCAATAATAATAAATTATAAATCTCTGCACTGTCTGCTTACATTTTGTTTTTTTAAAGAAGTCACAAAGATCCCGGATCACTTGATTATAAAGGAAAGTTCATCAGCAGTCTGGACATTATAAATGATGCAAAAGTGTATAGATACAGGAGTATTGTAGTGTAGTGATACAGGAGTGTTGTAGTGTAGTGATACAGGAGTATTGTAGTGTAGTGATACAGGAGTATTGTAGTGTAGTGATACAGGAGTATTGTAGTGTATTGTAGTGTATTGTAGTGTATTGATACAGGAGTATTGTAGTCTATTGATACAGGAGTATTGTAGTGTATAGATACAGGAGTGTTGTAGTGTATTGTAGTCTATTGATACAGGAGTATTGTAGTCTATTGATACAGGAGTATTGTAGTGTATAGATACAGGAGTATTGTAGTGTAGTGATACAGGAGTGTTGTAGTGTATTGATACAGGAGTATTGTAGTCTATTGATACAGGAGTATTGTAGTGTAGTGATACAGGAGTATTGTAGTGTAGTGATACAGGAGTATTGTAGTGTAGTGATACAGGAGTATTGTAGTGTATTGATACAGGAGTATTGTAGTGTAGTGATACAGGAATATTGTAGTGTAGTGATACAGGAGTGTTGTAGTGTATTGATACAGGAGTGTTGTAGTGTATTGATACAGGAGTGTTGTAGTGTATTGATACAGGAGTATTGTAGTGTAGTGATACAGGAATATTGTAGTGTATTGATACAGGAGTGTTGTAGTGTATTATAGTGTAGTGATACAGGAATATTGTAGTGTAGTGATACAGGAGTGTTGTAGTGTATTGATACAGGAGTGTTGTAGTGTAGTGATACAGGAGTGTTGTAGTGTAGTGATACAGGAGTATTGTAGTGTATTGATACAGAAGTATTATAGTGTAGTGATACAGGAGTGTTGTAGTGTATTGATACAGAAGTATTATAGTGTAGTGATACAGGAGTGTTGTAGTGTATTGATACAGGAGTATTGTAGTGTAAAGATACAGGAGTGTTGTAGTGTATTGATACAGGAGTATTGTAGTGTAGTGATACAGAAGTATTATAGTGTAGTGATACAGGAGTGTTGTAGTGTATTGATACAGGAGTATTGTAGTGTATTGATACAGAAGTATTATAGTGTAGTGATACAGGAGTATTGTAGTGTAGTGATACAGGAGTATTGTAGTGTATTGATACAGGAGTGTTGTAGTGTATTGTAGTCTATTGATACAGGAGTATTGTAGTGTAGTGATACAGGAGTGTTGTAGTGTATTGATACAGGAGTGTTGTAGTGTATTGTAGTCTATTGATACAGGAGTATTGTAGTGTAGTGATACAGGAGTATTGTAGTGTAGTGATACAGGAGTATTGTAGTGTAGTGATACAGGAGTATTGTAGTGTATTGTAGTCTATTGATACAGGAGTATTGTAGTGTAGTGATACAGGAGTGTTGTAGTGTATTGATACAGGAGTGTTGTAGTGTATTGTAGTCTATTGATACAGGAGTATTGTAGTGTAGTGATACAGGAGTATTGTAGTGTAGTGATACAGGAGTATTGTAGTGTAGTGATACAGGAGTATTGTAGTGTATTGATACAGGAGTATTGTAGTGTATTGATACAGGAGTGTTGTAGTGTATTGTAGTCTATTGATACAGGAGTATTGTAGTGTAGTGATACAGGAGTGTTGTAGTGTATTGTAGTCTATTGATACAGGAGTATTGTAGTGTAGTGATACAGGAGTGTTGTAGTGTATTGATACAGGAGTGTTGTAGTGTATTGTAGTCTATTGATACAGGAGTATTGTAGTGTAGTGATACAGGAGTATTGTAGTGTAGTGATACAGGAGTATTGTAGTGTATTGATACAGGAGTGTTGTAGTGTATAGATACAGGAGTGTTGTAGTGTATTGATACAGGAGTATTGTAGTGTAGTGATACAGGAGTATTGTAGTGTAGTGATACAGGAGTGTTGTAGTGTAGTGATACAGGAGTGTTGTAGTGTATTGATACAGGAGTGTTGTAGTGTATTGATACAGGAGTGTTGTAGTGTAGTGATACAGGAGTATTGTAGTGTAGTGATACAGGAGTGTTGTAGTGTATAGATACAGGAGTGTTGTAGTGTATTGATACAGGAGTGTTGTAGTGTATTGTAGTGTAGTGATACAGGAGTATTGTAGTGTAGTGATACAGGAGTATTGTAGTGTATTGATACAGGAGTGTTGTAGTGTATAGATACAGGAGTGTTGTAGTGTATTGATACAGGAGTGTTGTAGTGTATAGATACAGGAGTGTTGTAGTGTAGTGATACAGGAGTATTGTAGTGTAGTGATACAGGAGTATTGTAGTGTAGTGATACAGGAGTGTTGTAGTGTAGTGATACAGGAGTATTGTAGTGTAGTGATACAGGAGTATTGTAGTGTATAGATACAGGAGTATTATAGTGTAGTGATACAGGAGTATTGTAGTGTAGTGATACAGGAGTATTGTAGTGTAGTGATACAGGAGTGTTGTAGTGTAGTGATACAGGAGTATTGTAGTGTAGTGATACAGGAGTATTGTAGTGTATAGATACAGGAGTGTTGTAGTGTATTGATACAAGAGTGCTATAGTGTTCCTGCTTGTTAATAAACCAGATATATGTTGGCTGTATTATGACAACAGGTGCTCAAAGAAATTAGTTCACCATACAATAATGTCAAAGTGCCTTCCTTAGATCTCTGCCTGTATAAAACCTGAAGTGATTTCCAGGGTCAGGGAATTCTCTCTATTGGTATGAGCCCTCGGACTGATTATATTGGTGTAAAGTCATCTATTCTGACAATTTTATCGAGTAATGAAAACTTCAGGTAATTGATATAGGAATACAAACTTTATACATTTCAATAAAACTGGAAATCAGTGTGGAAGGTTTAGGTTTGATGGATTGGGGATTAAGTTTATACACAACACCATACCTATAAGACATGATATATCAACACATGGTTTTACCTGTACCCAATGTACCTATCTGAGGTAGACAAGGGGATCAGCAGGTTTATGGGTTGGTAATCTTTTTCATATCTAAATTGGATTTTTATCGCTACAGTGTAGTTATTATAATGATAATTCTAAAGAAAACCATTTTTGCATTAAGGTTGTCACTGTATATTATATACAGTAGTTGTTTGTCACTGAAATGTTATGTTTGATTTTTATCATAAATCACATGATAAGGGATGTTAATGAGTTTTATGAATATGAAATAGTAAATAATGAAATGGAAATATTAATTAGGAATAAAAAAGATAAAATCACAGGATTTAGTCTTATAGACACATTGTATTGAGCTAATGTAGACATGTAGAAGTAATTTTATCCTGCTACTGGCACTGCCATACATGTATTGAGCTAATGTAGACATGTAGAAGTAATTTTATCCTGCTACTGGCACTGCCATGGTAGGAATACATCTGCCACCAATATTGTTGCTGTATTTGGCAATGACAGAAAACAGCTGTACAGAATCACCCACTGAACTTACATCATATATAACAATAGAAATAACTTGAAATAAGCTATTTTATATGTTGTGACGACCAAGTTTATCTTAGAAAATTCATAAAACCACTGCCATATCTGTTGAAGTGTGGAATTATATTTCTGCTTAGAACAATTATTTCGGCGTACATGTACGTCATGCAAAATTCAGTGTAACATCAATGTCATGTAAACAATGATTGGACAACAAGATGGTTGAAGTTTTGGTAGACTGGTTTTCAATCAGAGTTGCTGGATAAATAGATTACATGGTCAGTGTCTTAAAATATAAGCTGTATTTTGACACATATTTAAAGACTGGACATGTGTTATATACAATGTATTATTTAGATTAGGACAAACTACCAGGAAGGTAATACAATTTGTCACATATCAGTTAATTCACCCATGAAATATTTTTGCGTGTATATCCTATCTGGATAGGTATTGTTTGGCTCTGCCAGTCAAAAATTGATTGTGATGTCATAATATGGACAATGATGTCATGAATTGAAAATGGTGCATTTTAACTTAAAACCTATCAAATGTAGCTTTACTGAGTTATAACACAAGTATCTACCGCAACAAGCTCAGAATATGTTGGCTATAGGTTTATTAATCTCATCTATCGGTTTTGCTGAAACTCTGTGGGCTTCATCAGAGTTACGTGATAAATTTTTTTTTTCATTTTATATGACATTTCATAAAACTTATTGCAAAATTAAGAATTTTGATCATTAAGGCTAACAAAAATATCTTAGACTCATTTCATGAAATCTCATAAGATCATTAAAATCTACACACTGTATATTGGGAAACATTTTTGTAAGCTATCTATTTCACTCTTTTACCAACAGGGCAAAATTAAAAGTCAAGTTGTAGTTTGATGTTAAAGCCGAAACACATGTTTTATATGCATTTTATGTAGTTTCTAAGACTGGGCGAAAATGAATTGGTTTACGTTGGGTCGAAAAACTTGGGTCAATGTTATGCCATATCCATGGTCAATTACTTAAACTGTTTATATAAAGATAGCAAAGAGTTTAGTCAGAAATAAATGGAGCTGAATGAGTCTATTTTCATCCAGTGGTCTATGTACAAACACTTAACTCATGAAAGGTAAGACCCACGACTGTACAACCTGCCTAGAATGAGGAACACTTGTAGCTCCTCTGAATTCTAGAAAGACTATAGAGTAGTTACTTATCACTAGCAAAAGGTTATTTATAGTTGTGCATTAATTATGGTAGAGTATTTTACATGTGGGCAACAATGTGTATACAAATATCATGATTGACTAGCCCCAGTCTTTATTGATTTGTTTATTTATTACAGACTCCCGGGTAACTTCCAGACAAGCAGCCCCCGTTACCTGGGTGACGATGACCCTCAAATCCAGGCTTACTTGATTCATCAAGCAACAAGCCCTGAACCTGTGGAGGACATTTTTGATGAAGACGAAGTAATACGCTTGTATATTCCAGAGTTAGAGAATTACGGGGGTGAAGAGACAGAGAGGAGTGACCCACAGCTCCAAAGCAGTGACATTCCTGTTTATGAAGATCAAAGATCTGTCAGTGAGTTTACACATCAAGGAAACGTTAAAACTGACTATCGTGTGAAATCAGCTCCTCCTAGTAGGAAACAAGTTTCTAGTGAAAAGAATTCGCCAGCTTCAACTCCCAAAGAATCAGGTCGGACTTACATAACAGCTCAAAATTATTTGCAAAATTTGTTTCCAAAATCGCAGCGATACATACATAAATCTGTGTATGAAGTTACCTCCCCTAATAAGAGTGACCCAACTGACAACGTCCGTGGCAGGTGTACCAATGTCACTGCCGTCCTAAATAAACCAATAGCCTGTCCTTCAGAAACTGGATTTAAAAAGCAAACACGACCATTTCGCTCTTGTTATAGTGCAAACACTATTCGTAAAATAGGAAAACAAAAGGAAAATAAAAAGATGAATTGTATTGGAGGAGAAATGTTTTCAACATCCAATCACATGACATCAGGCAATATGATGACCAGTCACATGACAACTTCATCATCAGGTCATATGAATCGTGTTCAGGAGAAAGAGGAACTTCAGCGTTTGAACGATAGGTTCAGTGCTTATGTACAGCGTGTACGACAGTTGCGAGAGCAGAGTGGACAAATTGACTCTTCATCATTTCTGAAGACCACAAAACAACTAGAGGATGAAGTGGCAAATCTAAAGAATTTATATGAACATGAACTTCACAATGTCAGGTAAGCATTCATATTGGTAGCTAGAATTGGGTATATTCAAACATTATCATTTATGTGTTTCATATTGCAAGTAAAGATATATATTATTGTGAAATGGTATTGTAGTTTATGTATGGTTCCAAGGATTTCAGATAGCCATTAGTGGAATGCCTTATACCTCTCCATTATCATTTATAGCCTATATTGCTGTGAGCACTGTAATTTATAGACAAGGATTTCAGACTGCCTACATGTACCTCTCCAATGTCCATTTTAATCATTCATCATTGTTAGACCTCCGACCAATAGAGACATCTGTTTATGTTGTTGCTTTTCTATCAAACAGTATCACCATACAGATGTTCACTCTGTCAGTATCATACAGGTGTTCACTCTGACAGTATCACCATACAGATACGGTATTCACTCTGACAGTATCACCATACAGAAACGGTATTCACTCTGACAGTATCACCATACAGATACGGTATTCACTCTGACAGTATCACCATACAGGTGTTCACTCTGACAGCATCACCATACAGGTGTTCACTCTGACAGCATCACCATACAGGTGTTCACTCTGACAGCATCACCATACAGGTGTTCACTCTGACAGCATCACCATACAGGTGTTCCCTATGATAGTATCATCATACAGGATTCAATATACAGGTGTGACAACTTACTCATCAGTTATTTACACCACTTGGACTTGACTACATTTTACAACAATATACCAGTATGTATTGAATCAAACTTAATGGTTACCAGCATATTGACTTTCATAAAAAGTTTCTGACAATTCATTCTCACCAAATGTTAAGTGATAGATCATATTTAGAACCAGTAATCATGAATGACCAGTGACGTAACTCTAGACCTAAGCTTGCCCTTTAGGGAAAGACCAGTGACTTACCACTAAATCAAAACCCTGCTAATCAGGGTAGGACTAGTGACAACTCTAGACCAAACCCTGCCTGTAGGATGACCTTACAATGTATCCAGATTGTATGTTGTACCTCATTGAGCTTACTGTTGCTCTCATCTGGCGAAAGGCCGAAAGGCCTTAAAGTGGATGATAAACTCATTAAACAATAAATAATCAATATTACTATGTTTGGTCTGACACTTGATAAGAGCAGTCTAGCCAAGACGAAGCCATATTCAAGTCATGAATAATAAAATTTAATGATGAAAAGACTTATCAGTATTGTACTATGTAGATTATTGTTGCTAGTTACAACAGTATGTACAGTCCTTATTACCATACCGGAATAAGCACACATCAAACTAATGGGTTATTCATGAGTATTAAAACATTAAGCCCCTGATTTTGATACATCAATAGATATTTAAATTCTATACAACATTCTACAGGTTTGTTTATTCAATATCAGCTATACGACATTATACTGGTTTGTTTATTCAATATCAGCAGAATTTACATTAGTTACAGCTTATGTAATGTATGTGTTCTCACAAGAGAATTTACGACGAGTAGGATATGTTTGACTGAATTCTAAAGTAACAAGTCTGTAGCAAGCTATATGTCTAACAGATATATATAAGGCAACACCTGTCACCTTCATACTTATCTTGATCTGATTACATCAATTCATGTGAATTGTTTCTACAAAGGTTTCCTATAGAATTCTGTTATAAAATCAGGACATTATATCAATATGAAGTCATGGTTGAGTTTACTGTGGTACTGACAATACTAACCTTAGTGTACTGTGGTACAGACAATACTAACCTTAGTGTACTGTGGTACTGACAATACTAACCTTAGTGTACTGTGGTACTGACAATACTAACCTTAGTGTACTGTGGTACTGACAATACTAACCTTAGTGTACTGTGATACAGACAATACTTACCATAGTGTACTGTGATACAGACAATACCAACCTTAGTGTACTGTGGTACTGACAATACTAACCTTAGTGTACTGTGGTACTGACAATACTAACCTTAGTGTACTGTGGTACTGACAATACTAACCTTAGTGTACTGTGGTACTGACAATACTAACCTTAGTGTACTGTGGTACAGACAATACTAACCTTAGTGTACTGTGGTACAGACAATACTAACCTTAGTGTACTGTGATACAGACAATACTAACCTTAGTGTACTGTGGTACAGACAATACTAACCTTAGTGTACTGTGGTACAGACAATACTAACCTTAGTGTACTGTGGTACTGACAATACTAACCTTAGTGTACTGTGATACAGACAATACTTACCATACTGTACTGTGAATACTAACCTCAGTGTACTGTGGTACTGACAATACTAACCTCAGTGTACTGTGGTACTGACAATACTAACCTTAGTGTACTGTGGTACAGACAATACTAACCTTAGTGTACTGTGGTACTGACAATACTAACCTTAGTGTACTGTGGTACAGACAATACTAACCTTAGTGTACTGTGGTACAGACAATACTAACCTCAGTGTACTGTGGTACTTACAATACTAACCTCAGTGTACTGTGGTACTGACAATACTAACCTTAATGTACTGTGGTACAGACAATACTTACCATAGTGTACTGTGATACAGACAATACTAACCTTAGTGTACTGTGGTGCAGACAATACTAACCTTAGTGTACTGTGGTACTGACAATACTAACCTTAGTGTACTGTGGTACTGACAATACTAACCTTAGTGTACTGTGGTACAGACAATACTAACCTTAGTGTACTGTGATACAGACAATACTAACCTTAGTGTACTGTGGTACAGACAATACTAACCTTAGTGTACTGTGGTACAGACAATACTAACCTTAGTGTACTGTGGTACAGACAATACTAACCTTAGTGTACTGTGATACAGACAATACTAACCTTAGTGTACTGTGATACAGACAATACTAACCTTAGTGTACTGTGGTACAGACAATACTAATCTTAGTATTCTGTGGTACTGACAATACTAACCTCAGTGTACTGTGGTACTGACAATACTAACCTTAGTGTACTGTGGTACTGACAATACTAACCTCAGTGTACTGTGGTACTTACAATACTAACCTCAGTGTACTGTGGTACTTACAATACTAACCTCAGTGTACTGTAGCACTGACTATACAAGACTTAGTGTACTGTAGTATCAGGTTAGCACAATGCATTTTCACATGGGTAAATTAATTGTTTTGGTTTTATTTGCCACTGGAAGAGATTTGAAAATTACTCTGATGTCTGAATAAAAAGTATTGAAATCAGAAATCATTTTTTTTTTGCATATACAGGTGTCAGCTTGATGAGGTGACAAAAGAGAAGAACTCGTATCATCTACAGTTTAACAAGAGTAACCAAACTGCAGCTGACCTTCAGGACAGGTAAAGATCAAATTTTGTTTTAATTAGTGTCAGGAATAACAGCAGAAGTTTATGGTATATGATGAGGCTTGATTATAGGGATTAACATTATCAAAGTAAAGTCAACTGTCTAAACTTAAAGCTGTTAATCTCTATCATTATGGCAACCTAATAAAACTGGACTCTTGAATTCTGACTGCGTGGCATGCTCAACACAAGACATGATAGAAAGTAAGTCCTTAACTAGTACAGCTATTTCAGATACCAGTATATGTTTATATGTCAATTTTTGTATCTATGTATTCAGCATGTATTCAGGGTCTCTCATGTATTTCTAAATAATGTTATGGCATATTTTGGTGACTGCAATCTTTACTTGGGCTGCTGACAAGTATTTGGTCCGTCTTCACAATACAAGTATCAAGAACACCAAATCAAGTTCATAAGTTCAAAAGTTCAGGTTTATATAAACAAAGTTCAACAGTTCATCAGTTCAAAGTTCAACAACTATATAATTTAACCTTGGGTACTCAAGGAGTGTCAACGGTCAAAGTTCATTAATTGCTTGTATAAATTATTTGACCCTGGAAACAGCAGACAAATGGGTAACAAGCAGTCTAAAAATATTGTTATGGTTGTGTGCTTCGCAAATGCCAAATGGCTAAGACATGTTATAAACATGACTGACAACACCACATGTCTTCCTTAAATAACTTATCTATTTAATTATTGAAGTAAATATTAATATTTATTGTAAAATGTGATGTATAAACATAATTGCACCCATGGAATGGAAGTGAGTGACATATGCAAGCCCTCCTATGAGAGGACAACTTATTGTTCGGGGGATAAACCCAGGACTCTTCAACCCTGGCAGCCTCAAAAAACAAAATTGATATCTATATATGAATATAAATTTATACATATAATTGCTGAAGGAATAAATTTTGCTGTTATTTTTCTTAAACAAAAATAAAGAAATAAAACTGGACCCAAGAGTCATGATATCTCAGTGTTGGAAAATGGTCCTACGGCAGACTGTTCAATGTGAAACAGTTATTCCATTTTTCCGTAGGTCCAAACTCTATTGTTTGTTGTAAGATGACACTATTTCAGTCATGTGACAGGATTATCTTTGATTGTGTCCTACAAGATCGTTTTAGTAGTACATGTACTTGTATTAGGTGATTTGACTTTGTACCGTTATTGAGAGTATTGTGTTCTCACCTAGACTTTCAGTGGAAGTGGACAAGAACAGAAAGATAACAGACGACATCAATGTGTGTCAGAGGAAGATAATGGCTTTACAGACAGAGCTGGAGGATGCCAAGATGTCCTCCAGTCAGCCTTATGAGGATATGAATCGCCTCCAAAGGGATATAGACAGTCTTGTGCGAGAAAATGAAAACTTCAAGCGAAGGTAGGATGCTGCCTATGTAAACATGTCTTTTCTCTTGTATAATGTTAATATTTGTCTCATACATTGATTCGTCCTCTGGTGTGTCGTAATGTAGCCTCTAAAGATGTCCTGAATTGTATCAGAATGTAGTCCTTGACCTGTGGATGTCTTAAGATGTGGTAGAATTTAGTCCTTGACTGGTGGATGTCCTCAGGTGGATGTCCTCAGATGTGTCAGAATTTAGTCCTTGACTGGTGGATGTCTTCAGATGTGTCAGAATTTAGTCCTTGGCCTGTGGATATCCTCAGGTGTGTCAGAATTTAGTCCTTGGCCTGACGATATCTTCAGATGTGTCAGAATTTAGTCCTTGACTGGTGGATGTCTCAGGTGTGTCAGAATTTAGTCCTTGACTGGTTGATGTCTTTAGATGTGTCAGAATTTAGTCCTTGACCTGTGGATGTCCTCATGTGTGTCAGAATTTATTCCTTGGGCTGTGGATGTCTTCAGATGTGTCAGAATTTAGTCATTGACCTGTGGATGTCTTAAGATGTGTCAGAATTTAGTCATTGACCTGTGGATGTCTTAAGATGTGTCGGAATTTAGTCATTGACCTGTGGATGTCTTTAGTCCTTGGCCTGTGGATATCTTCTGATGTGTCAGAATTTAGTCCTCAGTCAGAATTTATTCCTGTCAGAATTTAGTCCTTGACCTGTGGATGTCCTCAGGTGTGTCAGAATTTAGTCCTTGGCCTGTGGATATCTTCAGACATGTTAGAAGTCAGTCCTTGGCCTGTGGATGTCCTCAGGTGTGTCAGAATTTATTCCTTGGGCTGTGGATGTCCTCAGGTGGGTCAGAATTTAGTCCTTGACCTGTGGATGTCCTCAGGTGTGTCAGAATTTAGTCCTTGGCCTGTCGATATCTTCAGATGTGTCAGAATTTAGTCCTTGACTGGTGGATGTCTCAGGTGTGTCAGAATTTAGTCCTTGACTGGTTGATGTCTTTAGATGTGTCAGAATTTAGTCCTTGACCTGTGGATGTCCTCATGTGTGTCAGAATTTATTCCTTGGGCTGTGGATGTCTTCAGATGTGTCAGAATTTAGTCATTGACCTGTGGATGTCTTAAGATGTGTCGGAATTTAGTCATTGACCTGTGGATGTCTTCAGAAGTGTCAGAATTTAGTCATTGACCTGTGGATGTCTTCAGATGTGTCAGAATTTAGTCCTTGACCTGTGGATGTCCTCAGGTGTGTCAGAATTTAGTCCTTTTGCTGTGGATGTCTTCAGAAGTGTCAGAATTTAGTCATTGACCTGTGGATGTCTTCAGATGTGTCAGAATTTAGTCCTTGACCTGTGGATGTCTTAAGATGTGTCAGCCTTTAGTCATTGACCTGTGGATGTCTTCAAAAGTGTCAGAATTTAGTCATTGACCTGTGGATGTCTTGTGTCAGGTGTGTGTGTCAGAATTTAGTCCTTGACCTGTGTGTCATGTCCTTGGCATGGTGTGTCAGAATTTAGTCCTTGACTGGTGGATGTCTCAGGTGTGTCAGAATTTAGTCCTTGGCCTGTGGATATCTTCTGATGTGTCAGAATTTAGTCCTTGACCTGTGGATGTCCTCAGGTGTGTCAGAATTTAGTCCTTGGGCTGTGGATGTCTTCAGAAGTGTCAGAATTTAGTCATTGACCTGTGGATGTCTTCAGATGTGTCAGAATTTAGTCCTTGACCTGTGGATGTCTTCAGATGTGTCAGAATTTAGTCCTTGACCTGTGGATGTCTTCAGATGTGTCAGTCCTTTATGTCATGTGACCTGTGTGATGTCTTCAAGAATTTAGTCATTGACCTGTGGATGTCAGAGAATTTAGTCATTGACCTGTGGATGTCTTCAGGTGTGTCAGAATTTAGTCCTTGATCTGTGGATGTCTCAGGTGTGTCAGAATTTAGTCCTGGACTGTGGATGTCTCAGGTGTGTCAGAATTGAGTCATTGACCTGTGGATGTCTCAGGTGTGTCAGAATTTAGTCCTTGGGTTGTGGATGTCTCAGGTGTGTCAGAATTGAGTCATTGACCTGTGGATGTCCTCAGATGTGTCAGAATTTAGTCCTTGGCCTGTGGATATCTTCAGATGTGTCAGAATTTAGTCCTTTGCCTGTGGATATCCTCAGATGTGTCAGAATTTAGTCCTTGACTGGTGGATGTCTCAGGTGTGTCAGAATTGAGTCATTGACCTGTGGATGTCTCAGGTGTGTCAGAATTTAGTCCTGGACCTGTGGATGTCTCAGGTGTGTCAGAATTTAGTCCTGGACTGGTGGATGTCTCAGGTGTGTCAGAATTGAGTCATTGACCTGTGGATGTCCTCAGGTGTGTCAGAATTTAGTCCTTGGCCTGTGGATATCTTCAGATGTGTCAGAATTTAGTCCTTGACCTGTGGATATCCTCAGATGTGTCAGAATTTAGTCCTTGACCTGTGGATGTCCTCAGGTGTGTCAGAATTTAGTCCTTGGCCTGTCGATATCTTCAGATGTGTCAGAATTTAGTCCTTGACTGGTGGATGTCCTCAGGTGTGTCAGAATTTAGTCCTTGGCCTGTGGATATCTTCAGATGTGTCAGAATTTAGTCCTTGACCTGTGGATGTCTTAAGATGTGTCAGCCTTTAGTCATTGACCTGTGGATGTCTTCAAAAGTGTCAGAATTTAGTCATTGACCTGTGGATGTCTTCAGGTGTGTCAGAATTTAGTCCTTGACCTGTGGATGTCTTCAGAAGTGTCAGAATTTAGTCATTGACCTGTGGATGTCTTCAGAAGTGTCAGAATTTAGTCATTGACCTGTGGATGTCTTCAGATGTGTCAGAATTTAGTCCTTGACCTGTGGATGTCCTCAGGTGTGTCAGAATTTAGTCCTTGGCCTGATGTGTCAGAATTCAGTCCTTGGCCTGTGGATGTCCTCAGGTGTGTCAGAATTTATTCCTTGGGCTGTGGATGTCTTCAGAAGTGTCAGAATTTAGTCATTGACCTGTGGATGTCTTCAGATGTGTCAGAATTTAGTCATTGACCTGTGGATGTCTTAAGATGTGTCAGAATTTAGTCATTGACCTGTGGATGTCTTCAGGTGTGTCAGAATTTAGTCCTTGATCTGTGGATGTCTTCAGATGTGTCAGAATTTAGTCCTTGGCCTGTGGATATCCTCAGATGTGTCAGAATTTAGTCCTTGGGTTGTGGATGTCTTCAGGTGTGTCAGAATTGAGTCATTGACCTGTGGATGTCTCAGGTATGTCTGAATTTAGTCCTTGATCTGTGGATATGTCCTAAAGTATATCTTTTGTCTATTTACTAAGATATCACTGTTGTTGTGTTTGTGATCATTTGCTGATATTTTATCTGCTGGTCTATATGTTCTGTGTGATTGCCCTCAGCGCTGGTGTAATTTACTTGCTGAACAAGTAGATCTCGTGTCAGACACACAACACAAGATATTATATTGCACTTTTATCGAAATTGCATGTGGTTTTGTTGATTCCATTTAATGCATGGTCATACCTGGTATACTGGTGTCCCTTATTGATGAAACATTGTGAGGTCTATTAACAAAGCACCTGTTGTCACAAACAGCTTCTGTTGTACTAGACTGTAGGCAGAATTTGTGCAAGGCTTTAAGTAAACAGCGAAATGCTAGCTGTTATCTCAAGTGGTGGAGTACACAGTAGACCTTTAGTAGAGGTGTCTGTCTGATGGTAAGCTAGCTTGTTGTGAACATTGTTGAGAGGATATAAAATAAAGGACATTGTGACATGAACACATTTACAACACCTGGCAGGCTTACATAATGTTTAGAATATCTGTAAATATGGACATGTATTTTCATTTTACATCACTGTCAACTCTTTGGAAAATGGGGAAATAGTGAATCTTCAAAACTGATAGTTGTCTTAAAGATGAGCATATAATGTACTTTTTGACAAAATAGTTCCATATTTGGTATTTTAGTTATCTAGGTATTTTGCATTAATTAAAATTGGTTTGGATTTGGTTTGGATTGAAATTAAGGGAGACTTTGATGGGGAAGGTCAACGGGTATGCTGGTGGTGGTCTTGATGTTTAGATTTGATGCAAGTAAATAAATTAAATGATATTGAAGCTTTGTTGGGGAATTAAATTAGAAATAGAGCCCAATAGATGCGATTATCAGTCAAAGCATCATATAAAAAAAAGTTAAACAGAAAAATTTTTTTTGAAAACTCCTGCAATTGTGCAAAAGATCTAAAAAGTGCAAAAACCATAATTAGTGCAATCATCATTAAGCTGCATCATTTAAACACTAAGAGGACATCTTCCTTGTTATTTACAGATATGACAAGGAGCAGTTGATGAGACAGGAGTGTGAAGACAAGCTGAGTCAATGTATAAAGAAGGCAGAGTTTAGTGAGCAGGTGTTAAACCAGCAGTTAAATGAGGCCCGTGAACGCCTTAACGTGTCAACAGCTACCATATTATCCCTGGAGGGTCGTGTGCGGGATCTGAGCAAAACCGACACTACTGTGCCTGAAATGATTCGCCAGGTCAGAGAGGCAGCAGAGGAAGAACTTGCCCAGTACAAGACCAATTCTGAAAATGAGTTTGCTCGCAATGTAAGGAAATATTTACTGTCACTAACAGCTAATATCCTTTAAATGCCTTTAGCATGTTAATTATTATAATTGACCTGAGGTTGACTGGACTTGAAGACTAGTAATTTATTGTCCCTTCTGTTTTATAACCATTAAAACTGACCAGGGATTGACTAGTATTGAAGACAAAGTATTAACAGCCAGACACTGAGATGCATTCAATAAAATATTAATATTATGTCTACAGATAAACTCACTGAAGGTCCAAATGGAAAATGATGCCCAGACAGTCGAGCGGATCAACCGAGAGAAGTCTGAACTCTTAGGAAGTACAGGAGAGTTGAAGGCCAGGATTACCTCCCTTGAGGGACAGGTACACAGTGTGATATTATGTTGTCACAATTGACTGAAACTTAGAAATTTGTTTATTTTTCTTTTTTGACTTTCTTGAAAAGAAAGAAAGTCTTGATGGTTAATGATTACACTTTCACTTTTCATTGTAATTATATCAGAATTATATGTAACACTCAAGGAAATAAAAGGATAAAGGAATTAAGGGAAAGGTTATTGTGGATCACAGTTTCTCATTGTTTTGGCAGTTATTGTGAAGCAGTTCACTGATTTGGAAATACAAAGTTCAATCAGAGTGTTAACAAGCTAGAGGTGGTCAAATTTTTGTTCCTTCGACTGCGTTTACTAATACAGGGTTTTTTATTTTGTTCTTATGCAGATAAAAACAAATTTATTGATTTCCTCTGTATAATTATATGATATGATTTTTTTAACAGTGACCTTTTTAATATTTGAAACAATTTGAGATACAACATACATCATATACTTTATCAACCCTTCTTATCATCACTCTAGTGTGTAGAAAGAATTTGTATGCTTACTTATATTGAAGACCAGATTTTAGACATATACAAAACTGTATACTGTGTATAATTACATTGGTCTGACATACGTCTAATGATATCTGTCTACTTACTTACAGATACATATGCTGGAACACCAAAAGAAATCGGCAGAAGAAATGTTACAGCAGGAAAGACAACGATCTGCTGAGCAAATCCAAATCATGGAAAAGAAATTCCGGGAAGTCCAAGATTTACTGATCGTAAAAATGAGGGAAGTCAATGTGTCACGAGACACAAACATCCCACTGAAGGCTGAGATAGAGGCTATGAAAGTTCTATTAGAGGAGGAGGAGCGAAGGTAGGTACTCCAGAAAATACTGTAAATTAAACTTACAGCAGGTACTATAGTACGTAACTGGTCATCAAACAAGGAAGAAATGAGGTCATCATCTTGATGATAATATACTGTAAACCAGCTTTTGTTTGAGAGGGATTTTTCAACCAAAGATTTCTCACCTTCAGTTGAAAAGGGACTGTAAACCATGTTTGTATCGTTATATGATATAATCTGTTTTGCTAGTTAATAGCTTGTAGCTTTGAAAGCAATTTGATTTACAGTCACTTATACAAACCTTGGTCACAAATTTCACATTTTATGCTGTTAAAGGCGTGCTAAATGGAATAAAAATTTTTATATAACACTTCTTTAAAGAATGTGACACATACTCTAAACATAGTTAATTTGAAATTTAAGCAAATCATTAGTTTTTTTGCAGAAAAGTACTATTCACAATAGATTCAAAATAGTGACATTCACAGTAATTGAAGAACATACAGATGCTGCAGTTATTATAATCATATTTAAGTGCAATATAGCTTATATACATTTATGGTACTATGTTGCAGGTTTATGCATTTCCTGGTGCTCTATGAACTTGTAATTAATTAGTTGATTTAACTGTAGTTTTTGATATCATGACATATATATGCCAGCCTGTTAACATACTACACTGGTATGTTTGACTGTCCTTTGACTTTGATATTTCTGATGTGGCCTGTTAACATACTACACTGGTATGTTTGACTGTCCTTTGACTTTGATATTTCTGATGTGGCCTGTTAACATACTACACTGGTATGTTTGACTGTCCTTTGACTTTGATATATTTCTTCTGATGTTGCCTGACTATACATACATACACTGGTACGTTTTACTGTCCTTTGACGTTTTACTGTCCTTTGACTTTGATATTTCTGATGTTGCCTGTTAACATACTACACTGGTATGTTTGACTGTCCTTTGACTTTGATATTTCTGATGTTGCCTGATAACATACTACACTGGTACGTTTTACTGTCCTTTGACTTTGATATTTCTGATGTTGCCTGATAACATACTACACTGGTACGTTTGACTGTCCTTTGACTTTGATATTTCTGATGTTGCCTGTTAACATACTACACTGGTACGTTTTACTGTCCTTTGACTTTGATATTTCTGATGTTGCCTGATAACATACTACACTGGTACGTTTTACTGTCCTTTGACTTTGATACTTCTGATGTTGCCTGATAACATACTACACTGGTATGTTTTACTGTCCTTTGACTTTGATACTTCTGATGTTGCCTGATAACATACTACACTGGTATGTTTTACTGTCCTTTGACTTTGATACTTCTGATGTTGCCTGATAACATACTACACTGGTACGTTTTACTGTCCTTTGACTTTGATATTTCTGATGTTGCCTGTTAACATACTACACTGGTATGTTTTACTGTCCTTTGACTTTGATATTTCTGATGTTGCCTGTTAACATACTACACTGGTATGTTTTACTGTCCTTTGACTTTGATATTTCTGATGTTGCCTGTTAACATACTACACTGGTATGTTTTACTGTCCTTTGACTTTGATATTTCTGATGTGGCCTGTTAACATACTACACTGGTATGTTTTACTGTCCTTTGACTTTGATATTTCTGATGTTGCCTGTTAACATACTACACTGGTATGTTTTACTGTCCTTTGACTTTGATATTTCTGATTGTCTGTTAACATACTACACTGGTATGTTTTACTGTCCTTTGACTTTGATATTTCTGATGTTGCCTGTTAACATACTACACTGGTATGTTTTACTGTCCTTTGACTTTGATATTTCTGATTTTACAGACTTCTTAACTCTGCTGTATTTACTACACAACAAACCACAACTAAGCCAGCTATTGCATCATACACTACCGCCACACGACCTTTGACCCCGTCGGCTCCACCTATATCCCCAGTTAACCCAACCCTGTCAGCATACATGCAGCAGACGGAGGTTGGACCGGATACATTGCTACCCCAGACAGACATGCTTGACCCTGTCGTGTCGTCAGCCTTAGCCAGACAAGAATATGAAACCATGGCAACCTCTCCTGACATTCCTAGTGCCACACGCTATACCTATGAGGCAACACCTAGTATGAACCGCCTGCAGATAGAACCATCACCACCTGTAACTCCTCGACCTGTCGGTCCTGTTGTCAGAGTCAAGTCAGCCCCAGGTAAACACAGACTCTCTCTCTTTGATAATGCTTTGTATTTATATCTGTATCTGTTGAGGGTTTCAGTCTCTATCGTTATGATGAACTCTGTCTAAATTTGTATTTTGTATTGAATGACTTTACCTGAGTGTTTAACACCAGTCATATTACAGTCTTGAATCAAAAGTAGATTTGATTCCAAACTTTTTTTACCAGTTCATTTTCCTAATACCTGTTTGTAATTTGTGAGGGTGTGAAACCACATTTCCTGTATGCTTGGTGGTTATTGGTGAGGATTTGAATTCAAATTCAATAAATATTTTGTTGTTGGTGAAGAGAGGAATTAACATCCCATGAGTACTCGGTATAAGTAAGGATTTGAATTAACATCCCATGAGTACTCGGTAGTTATAAGTAAGGATTTGAATTAACATCCCATGAGTACTCGGTAGTTATAAGTAAGGATTTGAATTAACATCCCATGAGTACTCGGTAGTTATAAGTAAGGATTTGAATTAACATCCCATGAGTACTCGGTAGTTATAAGTAAGGATTTGAATTAACATCCCATGAGTACTCGGTAGTTATAAGTAAGGATTTGAATTAACATCCCATGAGTACTCGGTAGTTATAAGTAAGGATTTGAATTAACATCCCATGAGTACTCGGTAGTTATAAGTAAGGATTTGAATTAACATCCCATGAGTACTCGGTAGTTATAAGTAAGGATTTGAATTCACATCCCATGAGTACTCGGTAGTTATAAGTAAGGATTTGAATTCACATCCCATGAGTACTCGGTAGTTATAAGTAAGGATTTGAATTCACATCCCATGAGTACTCGGTAGTTATAAGTAAGGATTTGAATTCACATCCCATGAGTACTCGGTAGTTATAAGTAAGGATTTGAATTCACATCCCATGAGTACTCGGTAGTTATAAGTAAGGATTTGAATTCACATCCCATGAGTACTCGGTAGTTATAAGTAAGGATTTGAATTCACATCCCATGAGTACTCGGTAGTTATAAGTAAGGATTTGAATTCACATCCCATGAGTACTCGGTAGTTATAAGTAAAGATTTGAATTAACATCCCATGAGTACTCGGTAGTTATAAGTAAGGATTTGAATTCACATCCCATGAGTACTCGGTAGTTATAAGTAAGGATTTGAATTCACATCCCATGAGTACTCGGTAGTTATAAGTAAGGATTTGAATTCACATCCCATGAGTACTCGGTAGTTATAAGTAAGGATTTGAATAAACATCCCATGAGTACTCGGTAGTTATAAGTAAGGATTTGAATTAACATTTTCATAAAACTTCAAAGTTGTAGGAAAGGATTTGAATTAACATTCCATGAATATTTCATTTTTATTGAAGAGGATTCTCATATTTAGGTCTGTTAGAATCAAACGTTCCGAGAAATAATTTGGTGTCATCACTGAAATTGGCAAAAGGTTTAAGAAACATATTATAACTGTGTGTAATGTACCTGCAGTAATTTGAGATAAACTGCACACAGGTAAAAACTAATTATCAACAAAATTAAGCTGTGATAATTGGTGCTGAGTCTTTTATTACAAATCTGTAATTAGTGGCATTTTATTTTTGTGATATTTCTTCATTGTTAAATTTGTGAAAAAATAAATTGTGTGTGAAAAAAAATTGGTTTACACTGGTTCATGTGAGATTGTAGAATATTGGGAGTTAAACAGAACTCTCACCAGACTGTAGTAAGGGAGCTAACTCTACATGTAAGAAGAATGTAGTAAGGGAGCTAACTCTGTATGTAGTTTATAATTGATAGTATTTCTTGTACCATAATAGAAAGCCCACTTTAGATAAGGGAAGGAAAATAGATACTGTGTTTTAGACTTGTTTCTCATTAAAACTACATATTGGATTTTGTTACCATAGTTGCCTATACTTTGAATTATTCTGTAATTTGGATAGTTATAATGTACCATAGACATTTTATTGAATGTTTGTATTTCAGACAGTTTTTGTGTTTACCCACGGTTTAAGCCATCTAGCTACTACATGTATAAGCCTCGCTATGTGATTCCGAGATATACCCGTTACCTAGGTCATGGTGGTAGGTTTTGGAATGCTGAAAGTTGTAGTAATAGATAGACAGATTCTCACGTGTTTTGTTGCATTTTCAGTAGGGGCAAAATTAGTTGGTCCATTTCATTAGCAAGATTGGAAATAACTTAAACAGTAATATATACCATATTGGTTATAATGTAAAATAATACAAGTTTATGTTAATATTATGTATGCCATACACCTTGAGAATGACTAAATCAAAGTTTCCTACTTGATGTAGTCTTTATATTTTTTTTTCATATCAATGAATTAGAACAGATAGATAGAATACTTCAGTATTTTGAAATTAAATAAAATTATTTTGGATACACAGAATATCTTTTTTGCAAGCGGATGTAAACAACAGGAAAATGTCACGCTTTATTTACAAATTTCCACTGCTTTAGGTGTCCAATCACAATAGATGCATGTTTTATATATAAATAGATTGATAGCTGCATCTCTATGTGCTGATCTCATCCCTGTTCGTCAGAATTTTGTTTCCTATAACTGTGATTTAAACATCTACAATTATAGTACTGATAAATAAAATTACAGTGTAGGTATAGACATAGAGTATATACATCTATGTATATATATTGCTGTAACTCAGGTATGTATAAACAGAACAGGTTTATACTTAAAGAATTTGTATAAACTTAATATTTTTGTATCACATAAATCAATAAGTAGGAGCTTTTTTACAGCATATATCTTCCTTTATTGTTGGACAGAAGGGTATTTACCACTCAGTCTTGGTTTACATATATTTTCACACCTGCCATTAGAAATGCTTTGTGATTTATCTCCCTTTCTCCCCAGCCTCGGGCCACAGTAACCAGGGAAGGATAACAGCCACTGGACTTGTACCGGCCAGTCTTGGTCAAGGAAAGGACTACTTTGATGAAATGTTCCGTGATCTTACAAAAGAGACACTTTACACACAAGTACGCCCTAAAAGTAGTCCTTCTGAACGGCAACCAACATCTACATACCATGATTATAATACATCCACCTCCAGGTAAGTTAATCAACCATGTCTTGTGTCACCTGTAAAGGTCACTTAGGTATCACATATTCATCTTAATCAACTTTGTCTATTTATATGTGTACAACTTAAATCTGTTTACTTGTGATCAGTGCAAGGTTCATTAAAGTTTTTAATGCCCTGCCATGTGATGGTGGTAGTAGGAGGGGTCGGGGTTCAACACATTTCCCTTGTCCATGCAATGTTATACATTAAGACCACTCAACAGATTTTACTCATATTTACCCCTTAGTATCTTAACAACATGTTCTATACCTTATCATATTAAGATGATCATAGGTCCAAATTTAAGAGTGAAAGGTCATATTATGCACTGGAGCAGGGACATGCATATCCTACACACATTATCTACTTTCTTTCCCTTTTATGAGGTTATTTGGGTTTTAAAGCTAACAAAGTCTTCCTTGTCATCTGAGGACCTAGTTCTTAATGATTTCGTTTACTTTCTGAACATTTCAAACCTATTTCTTCAAGTTTTTATCAGACACGATACCCGTCTGTAAAACCAAGGAATGGTCTTATTAACAAACACATGCTCAGTGTTACCAGTATTTTGTGAAGTAGAAACTGTTGGGATTGTCTTGGATTCAGTTATCACTAGTATTTTTTACTGTAGATAATGTTAGGCTGAAGTGAAATTCTAAATAATTCACACATACCATGTTTTCTTGTTGCTATGGTAACAGTATGGTTGTGGATCATGTTGTGCTGTGCAGTTATCTACTAACAAAATAGAAATACCATGTATGGGCAAATAAATATTGCAAACGAAAATATTCCATGAAAAATTCCTTTTCTAAAATTAATCAGGATTAACAATTTCAGGAAATAGGGGTTTGGAAAAGGTATAATTATACAAATAAATAAAGCATAGGATTTTATAGGTTTAATCACCAGGTTCTTTCATGTAACACGGTTGGATGTAAGAAATCCTTCTGTTCCTTTCATTGTTAAAATTCTATAAACAAAATTAGGAAGTTAAAATTGATGGCAATTATTGGAAATTTGCAGCCAAAGTGAGAGTATAGGGATTCCAGGCTGTGACTCTCCTGACCCTACGGCGTTTACATTTAGGTACAACTTAAACTTTGTTTACCCTTTATACGCTAGATTTGTCTTTTATTTACTAATTTTGTTTACCTTCAGTTACAACCAAATTTTTATCATTTTGTTCTCTTTAATTTTCTGAAGTTTGAGACATCATTTGATGCTGATGTTTGTTGATACCTAATTGATTACAAAAGAATGAATATCTTACTATCATAAATATTAATGAGATTTTCTAAAAGACACAGTCATGTGAATATGACCTCAAAATGATGTCAAATCTTGATGAAAATTATGTTCACATCTCCATTTAGATTTTTCTGTGTATCGTTTTTAAGTTTTTTGAATTAGAAAAATAACACAATCATTAACAAATTTGATTTTGCTTTGAGTGAAAAGATGTTTGTGCTTTGTTGGTGCTTCCATACAAGCATTGCTTATTGTAAGTACATTACTCCCATCAGTCACCTTTAAAATGTTTAATAGTGCATGTGTTAATCTGAACTGGTGAATTCTGATTTAAATATCACTCACCTTGTCTGACAGATACACCCAGTCATCCCCAAACAGCTTGATTTCCCATTATACTGTAGTGGTGGTATTACATGTTGTCTGTTGTACTGTAATATTGTTACCTTAGTCCAGGTACCTTGTTAGCGCATATCATTGTTAATGAGTTGAACGTATGATGTTGTTATGTGATATCCAAGGTGACTTCTAAAAATACAGAAAAAAATAATTTGAAAAATTTAGGAGATTCGAAATCAAGTATTTTTGGAAAATGAATCATATTTCAATTAGTATGTATTTGACGACTTTGTCGTGTCTATCTCACAGTGAGGGTAAGAAAAACCAGAAAGTCAAGTTAAAACGCAAATTGTGTGGTGAACAGTACTACTACGCCAGGTAAGGAACGGTCTAATCAGCCCTGTCCACGACTGCACGCATGTCCACTCATTAGGACAACCATTAACCAATAGTGTATGCATGCTGTATGTTAGATACTGGTGCAGATGTCAAATTTCGTAAAACCCATATTTAATTTGAGATCATATTCTCAGAGTTCATAAAAACAAATGTTCAGGTTAAACATTTGTATTGACCAATATTGTTCTCTCTCTCTACCAGGAAGGAAGGAAAGTTCCTAGATTAATGTCTTACACATTTGTACAGACCACTGGTATGAAGGCAAAAGCTTAATCTTTTTGAATCGTTATAAAATAATTATTTAAATTTTCATTATCTATGGTTTATTCAAGATTGATTGAAATAAACTGAACTTCCATGAAATTCACACACAACACACTTTATAAAATCACATAAACATGAAATCTGAAGGAAATATATTCTACCAGAAATTGTCATATTAATTATCCTAAGAGAATTTCACATGAAATTGATATGAATTGAAATCATTGTAAAAGAAATTAAGAATAAAAATGTTAATTTAAAAATTAGTATTTAATACATCATTTACAGAAAAACAAAATGAATATAAGCACAATTACAGGAAATCCTCTCTTAACTTGTTAAGATTGACAACTATGATTTCTCTAAAATATCATTTAATAAGAACTGCTTGACATTCCATTAAAAAATCTTAACCATAAGAAAATAAACATTGCATAAAAACATGATCACAAAAATGTAAATCAATACACATGATATTGAAGGAAAGGGGAGTAACTCTTGAGGTTTTACACAGTGTAGTATGAGAGGGATGTTTTGGTGAGCAGGTTTTCTTTCACCTTTGGTGTATAATTGGTATATGTCTTTACGTCACCTACTGACATGGACACTTGGAAGGCTAGGTAAACTGTGTAAGGTTTAGTGCATGGTTATTGGGAGTTGGCTTTACAGATTTATCAGCTTCTTTCCTTTTGCTAGAATGTATTTGAATTTGTGATATTTTTAGCACGAAACATAAATTTCACATAATCATTACAGTATTTCTCTTATTTGTGTATTATTTGCATGTTAATATTAATTAATGGTAACAAGGTATCAACAGAAAATATACTGTCACATTCAGATGTAACTGAAAAATTACATCCACCTAACTTTGTTGTTGCTGACATCAAGCATCCACTTACCTAGTCATTACTGGTATCAAACGTTTATGTAACCTTGTCATTAGTGACATCAAACATTCACTAAAGGTTGTTATTGTTGGTATTAAATATTCACATAACCTTGTTATTACTGTTTTCAAACATCCACATAACCTTATTACTTTTTTCAAACATCCACATAACCTTGTTATTACTGTTTTCAAACATTCACATAACCTTGTTATTGCTGTTTTCAAACATTCACATAACCTTGTTATTACTGTTTTCAAACATCCACATACCCTTGTTATTGCTGTTTTCAAACATCCACATAACCTTGTTAATGCTGTTTTCAAACATCCACATAACCTTGTTATTGCTGTTTTTAAACATTCACATAACCTTGTTATTGCTGTTTTCAAACATTCACATAACCTTGTTATTGCTGTTTTCAAACATTCACATAACCTTGTTATTGCTGTTTTCAAACAATCACATAACCTTGTTATTGCTGTTTTCAAACATTCACATAACCTTGTTATTGCTGTTTTCAAACATTCACATAACCTTGTTATTGCTTGCATTAAACAGCAGACTTCTAGTTTGAATCAATACAATTCACTTTCTTCACCATTAAACCTGAGCTCTAATTAATGATCACAGTTATAGAGTTAATTTAACATTGTTTTTGTATTTAGGCGTCTAACTTATTTATTATCTCGCTTATTTCTGTATAATCACATGACTTTTGTAATTAGTTTGTATTAATTTATGATTTTATATCCTTATTTACAATAACAATAGTTATATAGTTGTTTTTGTTCTATCAATGCTATTACCCTAATCAGCAAAATAAGATGATATTAGAGGAATTAGGGGTCGTGCCATGTAGGGTATGATCAGGAACCGTGATAACATATATGTTATACAGCAGTCAAGCGTATCTCAGTGACTTGTGGTAATATCCCACATCTGGTAAGATGTGTATTAGATTGTTTTCTGTAAAACTGCAGTAGATAATTAATCATTAAATGTTTTAATTAATCTAAAGGTCCTTGTATCAGGTTACTCTGTCTATGGTGGGTAAGGTATATGAATATATCATCTTACACTGATAGGAAATCAGAATTCTTCTGTCGTGTGCCAATTACTGTACATTATATTAGCAATTAACATTTCAGAAATTAGATTTTGTGAATATTCTGTTTTTAGGAGCCAGAAGTGTATGATTTGGTTTGATTTACAGATCAGTTTTCAATATATTTTATGTACAATACTTATTTCCTATGTTTTACAATTACCTGGTAGTTGTTATAGACATACCAACTCTGTGTGAATTTTTCTTGATTGACTCGACTTAGCTTGACATAACTTGACTTGGCTTCACTTGAAGTTACTTGATTTGACTTGAACTTGACTTCAATTGAATTGACATGACATAACTTGACTTGGCTTAAGTTAGCTTAACTTGATTTGACATAATTTGATGTGGCTTGACTTGGCTTTGCATGACTTGTCTTGTCTTTACTTGACATAACTTGGCTTAACTTAACTTAACTTGACATAACTTGACTTAACTTGGCTAAACTTGACTTAACTTGGCTTAACTTGACTTAGCTTGACTTGACTTGGCTTAACTTGACTTAACTTGACATAACTTAGCTTGACCTGACTTGGCTTAACTTGATTTGAAAAAGTGGTTAATATGATATATTATTCTATGCTATGAGGTGAATTCTTTTTAGGTTGATAGAACGCCTATATCATATATCACAATATCCTATATTTTGTTTTCCCTGTTATCATTTGGAATTTGTCCCTAGTATTCCAAAAAGCCATTAACTGTGCTTCTTGGTCTGTGTCTATTTGAAGTTGGAGTTCCTTTAATGATAAGTTCTTAATGACCAGAACTCAGTTATATTCCTTTTTAAGGATACAGGTCACCTTGCTTGATAGTCTCGTTCAACTGGATTCTTGTTGGCTGTACACATTACAACAACAGAGAGTCTAGTCAAAGTCTGTGATGTGGTTTTCTTATGTCAAAAAGAGGCTTACCAGAAACCTGGTAAACATTGTCACTGGTAAAAAGTACACACCTTTATCAAGATGGCTACGCCTTTTATAACTGCTGAAATATTTTCCTTTCTCATTTTCCTTGAAATCACTCCATGGTTTCTTCAGTTGATTATGACACATAGTATATTTTCTTTGAAGCTGTTGAACAGGAAAAAGACTTTTGAGTTAATTGAAATACAAAAAGTATTATTTTAATGTTGTTGACATGGTGATGGACACCAGAAGTAAAGATCACCACACTGTGGTTGTAACAATATCAAACGGAACAGACTCAATTACAAAGTGATCTAGCCATTGGCTGATTGAGAACGCTTGTTTGAAACATATCATAGTCTTCAACCTTGTATCATGAAAATACAAATTTAAGGTCCTTTGTTAGCCTTACACTGTTACTACTAAAATTTGCCTTATTTTGTATGAGAGTGCTGCTTAAGAAGATGAAGTATCATGTGCTCAAATTTTGTTCATTTGTACACCAAAAAATTCCAGAGGTAAAGAGATTACATAAAAAATGATCTGTCTGGTCAGATTTTATCACCAGAAACTGTCTATCTTAACTGACATCAGTCATATGTCACAGATGATACAATAGTGAGGTTATATAATAGAGGTACTGTATCAGAGTTTCTATCTAAGATGTAGCCAGGCATCTTGTTAAATGTGTTCTAGCTAAGTCAGTGCTAGTTTATATTACTAAGAACCTACGTGTCAGAGTTTCTATCTAAGATGTAGCCAGGCATCTTGTTAAATGTGTTCTAGCTAAGTCAGTGCTAGTTTATATTACTAAGAACCTACGTGTCATAGTTTCTATCTAAGATGTAGCCAGGCATCTTGTTAAATGTGTTCTAGCTAAGTCAGTGCTAGTTTATATTACTAAGAACCTACGTGTCATAGTTTCTATCTAAGATGTAGTCAAATATCTTGTTCAATGTTTTCTAGCTAAATCAGTGGTAGTTTTTATTGCTCTGTGATATTACTAAGAACCTACATGTCATAGTTTCTATCTAAGATGTAGCCAGACATCTTGTTAAATGTGTTCTAGCTAAGTCAGTGCTAGTTTATATCACTAAAAACCTTCGTGTCATAGTTTCTAGTGTCATAGTTTGTGGCCAGACATCTTGTTAAATGTGTTCTAGCTAAGTCAGTGCTAGTTTTTCTTGCCCTGTGATATTACTAAGAACCTACGTGTCATAGATTCTATCTAAGATGTAGCCAGACATCTTGTTAAATGTGTTCTAGCTAAGTCAGTGCTAGTTTTTCTTGACCTGTGATATTACTAAGAACCTACGTGTCATGTTTTCTATCTAAGATGTAGCCAGGCATCTTGTTAAATGTGTTCTAGCTAAATCAGTGGTAGTTTTTCTTGCCCTGTGATATTACTAAGAACCTACGTGTCATGTTTTCTATCTAAGATGTAGCCAGGCATCTTGTTAAATGTGTTCTAGCTAAATCAGTGGTAGTTTTTCTTGCCCTGTGATATTACTAAGAACCTACATTGTCTACATTGGTATTTCAAGCAGATATAAATATTGTAAGTGAATTTGTAGAAGGTGTATAACCTGGACAGTGGTTAACAGAGATTAGCTGATTAAAGTATTTACTCTAAGCTGTTCACTTTCTACTACAGTTTTCTCTGATGATAAACCCCTTTTGAAATAAGCTCAAGTATATAGAAATGATATTGTGGTAAATATAAACAAACTTGGACATAAAAAAGGACAATTGGTAGGGATTACCTGCTTCCATTCATTTCTTGATTATGTGAACATAGTTTTGTTGAAGTACTTGTAAATCACAAAGATTTCGTGAATACTTTATTTTGTGAACTTACCTCAGACATATAATACTATGATATATACTTATTTTTTTTCGCTTTTGTCTGAGTAACGGCACTTTATACAGTCCTGTTTCTATTAGACTTTGTTACACTCACATTCAGTTTTGTTAATGTTATTGAATTATTGTGTAAACTAGAATTCAATACTATGTTTGTATAGCACTGTCATGGCTGTGATGTCAGTTAGGTATCATAGCGTGCATATATAGACAGGTCTTTACCATTTCTCTTATATTACGCTGACAGTGGTAATCACAGATTGGTAAAATTTTATAACAACGTTTTTACCAGAAATAGACAGGCAGACTTACTGATGACCATATTTTGTATGTAGAAAACCATGAAACTTTTTTTAATGTGCATGTGAAAAATATTTTTTTTTTTTTTTAATGGACCATCAAAAATGTTATAGCATTACTAGATACCATAGTATGGTGTTTTTGATGCTCCTTCTTTGTCTGTCAGTAATTAAGTTATAGCAGCAGTAGTTGTTTAGTTCTAAATAAGACTATCAGAAATCAATCACATTTACAGTAAATCTCTGACTACCTCTGTGTGTGACGACTGGGTCATACGAGGCTCAATGGTACCTTGATCCATACATAAGACCTTCAAAATTTGAATGACATTACGTTTATTAAATCATTGGCGTTTTATCCCTGTGTTACCATATACAGCAATTGTTTAAGTATTAAACTAGCCAGTAGTATTGGCAAGAGGTGATCATTGTACCTGACAGGTAAATCAATAGCGAGAAGTTTACATAGAAACGAGCATTGTACGGGGCAGGAGCATATATACACACTACCTATATCTCTAAACTGAAAATGCATGTGTACCATTTCACAAAGTGACTTGATACTACCAAGAGGACCAAATTAACACTTGCCCCTTATACAGGTAAAAAAAACATGTGTCTGTGCCTGATGTTATAGGTGTGTAAGCTTACAAGCTCTCTGTTAATTGTGACTTATATTTTCTCCATGGATTATCATATTGACAGTGCCATAGGAGACATCAAGATCCTCGAGGTGAATCAGGAGGGCAAGTACGTCCGACTGTCAAACGACTCAGAACAGGTAAGTGTGGATACATTTAACATTTATACAATTGGATAGGAATCTTCAATCATGTCATATCTACATTGTCGGTGATCTGTTCTGACAAATGTTTCTGACACTTCTGAATTAATTAATCGGCTTTGTTTCTGAAATTAATTTATTGTTATAATGTTAAAAGTACTCGTTCAGCATGTGAACATTTTGATTTAATCAATTGAGTTTAAGTGAAATAGAAAACAAAGAAATGCCTTTTTCTCCCTCAATTTATTACATGAAAATTCATAATTCAGATTTTAGCCTAATTTGACTGTAAAAATGGACTGGAAAGTTGTTGTTAGTTATGTGTTTGTAGATGTTTTAAATCTAGGATCATTGGTGATCCTTACTTGCAGAATATTTTATACGGCTTGTTGATCTGATAAAACGCTAGAATTTAATATCACTTGTAAAACTAATAGCATTCATCGGTCCATTTACTATGTTTAAATCTCCAGTAAAATTGAGATAAAATTTCCAATATATGTCCTCACCATCTATATATGTACTTGCTGGTCTTGTTTCCCTAGCGACTTTAAAGTCATGTGAAATTTCTGAAGTAAGACATTTAATTTCTCCTTCAATGTGTGGTTCAAATGAAAAAATATATACGTAAATTTCAAACGGGACAACTTTTTAAAGTGGAATATTGTGCTTCTGGTACATTTTTCTGGCCCCTGTGTATACCTGGTACATTATTCTGACCCCCTTGTGTATACCTGGTACATTATTCTGGCCCCCTGTGTATACCTGGTACATTATTCTGGCCCCCTGTGTATACCTGGTACATTATTCTGACCCCCCTTTGTATACCTGGTACATTATTCTGGCCCCTGTGTATACCTGGTACATTATTCTGGCCCCTGTGTATACCTGGTACATTATTCTGGCCCCCTGTGTATACCTGGTACATTATTCTGGCCCCTGTGTATACCTGGTACATTATTCTGACCCCCCTGTGTATACCTGGTACATTATTCTGGCCCCTGTGTATACCTGGTACATTATTCTGACCCCTCTGTGTATACCTGGTACATGATTTTGACCCCCTTTGTATACCTGGTACATTATTCTGGCCCCTGTGTATACCTGGTACATTATTCTGACCCCCCTGTGTATACCTGGTACATTATTCTGGCCCCTGTGTATACTGGTACATTATTCTGACCCCCCTGTGTATACCTGGTACATTATTCTGATCCCTGTGTATACCTGGTACATTATTCTGACCCCTCTGTGTATACCTGGTACATTATTCTGACCCCCCTGTGTATACCTGGTACATTATTCTGACCCCCTGTGTATACCTGGTACATTATTCTGGCCCCTGTATATACCTGGTACATTATTCTGGCCCCTGTGTATACCTGGTACATTATTCTGGCCCCCTGTGTATACCTGGTACATTATTCTGGCCCCCTGTGTATACCTGGTACATTATTCTGACCCCCCTTTGTATACCTGGTACATTATTCTGATCCCCCCTGTGTATACCTGGTACATTATTCTGGCCCCTGTGTATACCTGGTACATTATTCTGACCCCCCTGTGTATACCTGGTACATTATTCTGGCCCCTGTGTATACCTGGAACTCCCCCTGTATAATTGTATTCTGTGCCTATGTTTACCAGATATGGTAGGATTTAAGAGACCAACACTACAAATGTGCTGTTTAATCCTATACCACATGTTGTATTTTGTTTTCCTTACACAGGGCACATCTGCTATTATCAATATGACATGTTAACTCCTCAATTCATGTAATTTTTTCCCTTTAATGCCCAGTAAAGGATTGTAGATTTGTCTATTGTTCTCCACAATAGCGCTACAGTCTGTTGAGGATATTATATGAATGACGGCCGGCCAGGCTGATTGCCTGACACAGTCAAACAATTACACAAGGGACGAGATATTAGTGGGAACATTCCTAAATTACTAAACAGCTTATAAACTTCACCTTATTGGTTTGTGTTAGGGAACATATATATTGACTTAACTAAAATTTTAAACAGGTTTCTTTATAAATGCTTGAATTTCTTTCACATCTTTAATTTATTATATTAGGTTGAATGAAATAGATACAGAATATGAATGTATGAATGTGAATACACTGTTCTTAAAACATGTTTTAGGAAAATGTGGTATTATAAATTTGATGTGACTTTGACAAATATCACTCACAATTAAATTTCCTTTTTTTTTCAAGAATAGAAAATCTTGCAATGTCTTACTATAATAATGGTATAGTAAATTAAAGGTTAAAATTTCCAATATTGATAACTATTATTGTCAAAATATGTTCATTTATAAGTCATTGCTTTAATATATTATAATAGCTTAATGTTACTACATTACTACAGGTATTGCGTTAATGTCTTCATGTTTCAGTTCTATCAAACGTCATACTTTTCTTAACATTTTTTTTACTTACTATAAAATAGTCCTAAACAGTATACTTTTTGTAGCAGAAAAAATATCTATACTGAGTAAACACAATGTGTCATAAGGATATCAATATTGTATGGACTTTACTATACTTATCCAGGAGACAGAATTTGGAGGGTTTATGATACAGCAGAACGTTGGAGGACATCCAGTAGCTGTTTACAGATTTCCTGGCCGCGCTAAATTTCCCAAACAATCAACAATTACTGTGTGGTCAGGAAGTAACGAGGCAATCCTACACCAACCCCCTACAGACTACGTGTGGAAGGAGCAGACTAAGTGGGGTACTGGACCTGAGTGTACCACCATCCTGTGTAAACCTAACGGACAGGTAGTGTTTCAGTCCTGTATATATATAATACCTCGTAACACAAAGCACTATTACCAACTAAGTGGGGTACTGAACCTGAGTGTACCACCATCCTGTATAAACCTAACGGACAGGTAGTGTTTCAGTCCTGTATATATATAATACCTCTTAACACACAGCACTATCACCAACTCAGTGGGGTACTGGACCTGAGTGTACTACCATCCTGTGTAAACCTAACGGACAGGTAGTGTTTCAGTCCTGTATATAACAATACCTCTTAACACGCAGTACTATTACCAACTAAGTGGGATGTTAGGCCTGAGTGGACCAGGTAGCTTCTCAGTCCTGTATATCCACATTATGTCTAAACACATCAACAAAGTGTAGCTATGTTTGGGGTTTACCACTGTCCTCTACAAACCTGATGGATAGGTAGCTTCTCAGTCCTGTATATCCACATTATATCTAAATACATCAACAAAGTGTAGCTATGTTTGGGGTTTACCACTGTCCTCTATAAACCTGATGGATAGGTAGCTTCTCAGTCCTGTATATCCACATTATATCTAAACACATCAACAAAGTGTAGCTATGTTTGGGGTTTACCACTGTCCTCTATAAACCTGATGGATAGGTAGCTTCTCAGTCCTGTATATCCACATTATATCTAAATACATCAACAAAGTGTAGCTATGAGTTTACCACTGTCCTCTATAAACCTGATGTATATCCACATTATATCTAAACACATTAACAAAGTGTAGCTATGGCTAGAGTTTACCACTATAAACCTGATGGTTAGGTAGCTTCTCAGTACTATATCATATAAAGATGATTTATATAATACATAGAATATCTTAACACACACCACAATCTACGGTTATGGTAGTTGATTTATATTTCTGAACAAATATAATAACTAAAATGTCGGAGTGTTGTATACATTGACAATGTTCAGATAAACAGCTGGTGTTTACATTGTCAAATATCATTGTTTATATTGTAGAATATCACTGTTTACATTGTAGAATATCATTGTTTACATTGTAGAATATCATTGTTTACATTGTAAAATATGTAATAAGCATTGTCAACTATCATTGTTTACATTGTCAACTATCATTGTTTACATTGTCAAATATCATTGTTTACATTGTAGAATATCACTGTTTACATTGTAGAATATCATTGTTTACATTGTAAAATATGTTATAAGCATTGTCAACTATCATTGTTTACATTGTCAACTATCATTGTTTACATTGTCAAATATCATTGTTTACGTGGTTGACTTTCATTGTTTACCTATAAGGCTAGTGTTTACATTATCATTATATATTTTGCAGGCTATTGCATGGACTACAGCAGCACACAGATTTACCAGAAACGCGTTTGAAGATACACGACCGAACTCCGATTTAGACGACTACCAAGGTATGTCCAGATTTCCATTAGAACCAAAAAACAAAACAAAAAAAGTCAACTCCCCCCACAGGAAGATTTTGGGTTTTAATCATTTTAATTCATTCCTACTGTGCCTTTTAAATTTATTAATGTTTTATATGGAAATATTTCTATTTGGCTTGGCTACATGGAATATCCAGGGAAGGATATGGGATTTTTTCCCTGATTCAAATTTACATTAAAAGGTGTAAGAGGTAGACATTGGCTAGTGTGTTGTTAGTGTTACACAACTTGGTGAGTTGTCAGTGTAACATGACTTGGTGAGGTGTCAGTGTAACATGACCTGGTGAGTTGTCAGTGTAACATGACTTGGTGAGTTGTCAGTGTAATATGACATGGTGAGTTGTCAGTGTAACATGACTTGGTTAGTTGTCAGTGTTACACAACTTGGTGAGTTGTCAGTGTAACATGACATGGTGAGTTGTCAGTGTAACATGACTTGGTGAGTTGTCAGTGTAACATGACATGGTGAGTTGTCAGTGTAACATGACTAGGTGAGTTGTCAGTGTAACATGACTTGTTTAGTTGTCAGTGTAACATGACTTGGTGAGTTGTCAGTGTAACATGACTTGGTGAGTTGTCAGTGTAACATGACTTGGTGAGTTGTCAGTGTAACATGACTTGGTGAGTTGTCAGTGTAACATGACATGATGAGTTGTCAGTGTAACATGACTTGGTGAGTTGTCAGTGTAACATGACTTGTTTAGTTGTCAGTGTAACATGACTTGGTGAGTTGTCAGTGTAACATGACATGGTGAGTTGTCAGTGTAACATGACTTGGTGAGTTGTCAGTGTAACATGACTTGTTGAGGTTGTCAGTGTAACATGACTTGGTAGGTTGTCAGTGTAATATGACTTGGTGATTTCCAGTGTAACATGACTTTGTGAGTTGTCAGTGTAACATGACTTGGTGAGTTGTCAGTGTAACATGACTTGGTGAGTTGTCAGTGTAACATGACTTGGTAGGTTGTCAGTGTAATATGACTTGGTGATTTCCTGTGTAACATGACTTTGTGAGTTGTCAGTGTAACATGACTTGGTGAGTTTCCAGTGTAACATGACTTGGTGAGTTGTCAGTGTAACATGACTTGGTGAGTTGTCAGTGTAACATGACCTGGTGAGGTGTCAGTGTAACATGACCTGGTGAGTTGTTAGTGTAACATTACAGGGTGAGCTGTCAGTGTAACATGACCTGGTGAGGTGTCAGTGTAACATGACCTGGTGAGGTGTCATTGTAACATGTCTTGATGAGGTATTGTTTTACTCTATCTTGATGTTTGATGGCACTTTACAGTTGCCCTTGAATGACCCCATCATCTATTGACATTTTCTTGATATGACCTTTGCTATTTTGAGGACATAACAAATTAATGAATTCCATTCTATACTGCTGTATAAATGTGAGTTAGCATCTGAAATATTTAATGATTTGAATGTTTGGTAACCATGTAATCCTTGTCTATCAATACATGAGGAAGAATGAAAACGTTTTCTTGTTCACTACACTTGGAATACATATGATGATACTTCTTTGTTCTATTTATAGAAAACATGGAACCTGTCATGAATACTGACCAGGAAAGTTTAACAGACATGACTGTCAACATAAATGAACCACGACCAGATCCTGTATATTTACGCAGGGAGAAGCAAGCTCCACCAACACTAGCCCCGCAAAAACACCCACATGGCATCAGTCCTGGGCGAGAGTCCCACCCCCACTCTGGACAAGCCAGGCCTTTAACATATGGCAATGATAACAGTACCGTCAACCGTCAATCTCGATCTCAGACCACTCGTCCTGATCCAGTCCCAGGTGAGTGCACAAGTTCTGCTTTATAAAGCTTCCATTTTCTGTTTTAATTATGGTTTATTTTAGGGAAGTGTTATCTAGCCATTGGTAACTTTTGAGAGTAAAAATTGATGGAGAAGAATGTTTGTGTTGTGAGGAAAAACCAATGTAGATTTTTTTTGATGAGAGAGAATTAGATCCAGATGTTAAGATGGATGTGTAACAAATAATACATATATGATACAATTGGTGTTTATTGTGTAGGTCAACCTTATGCTGGAGCAGCAGCTCAAAAGATGGGAAGTGCACCACTGCGCAAATTTTCACCAAACCAGATGACCCGTGGAAATACAAATATGTCCAAACAATCGGTAGGTGTTAGAAGTGAAAGGAAATTCTCCCGATTGGTTTTCAATTTACAGCATGTAGTTTGAAAATTGTGGTAAATTTTTATCTTAAATTATTAATTAACATTGTTCTCCAATAGATTCTTCTATAGTTTTTTTTTGTTGATATCTTAGATTGAGATATTTCAGTTTTTGCTTCAGTTTATATTTAAATACTTTTAAGGTTGTTTTTTTTCCAAAAGCTCAAAGCAAATATTCACATTATTTAAGAAAGTTGTGTAATGAGCGAATGTTCTCTATAAATCTATTTTCTATATATCTCTTTTTTATGATCTTTATTTATCCATGAGAAAAAGTTCCCCCCCCCCCTCTGCCAAAAAAAAAAGATAAGCCTTCAAAGATAACAAACAACCTTAACAGTATATGGTGAATCCATGTTCACTTAGCACAGATGTATTTCAAGTATTTTATCACCTTGTCAATATCACACAGTCCTTTTGAATACTTTTATGTAAAATACTTCTATATTTGATTTAAGTTTCTAAGTCAGATTTTCTAGTCAAGCAGATGTACTTGTAATGTATTTGATAACTTTCCATGTTACTATAGGATAAAAAAAACTACTGATGCATGTTGCATGTTAATTAGAGCATGTCTAGATTTGTACATGTATGATGTCACTTCCTCTTCCCTTGTAAAGTCAAATTCAGAAGTCTTTCTGTCAGGGCTACTTAACTTCTTAGACTTCTGCGCAAACCGTCTGGGTTACTTAAACCTCTAGCTTCTTCAGTCAACTGTAACATTACTACTGTATACTGGAAATTTTCACCTCACAAAATACTCGTAAAATTCATATCCATGATGTGGTGAAATCTTTTTGTAATGTGCATAAATTGTCATGATATGTGGTGAAAGATTGGCTGAAGTGGACATTTCCAGGTATATAGTGTTTATTATGTTACTACAACAGTCTTGTCAACTGACTCATAAACCCATAAAACCAGTAGTGAATCAAAAGTTAATGTACTCAGAACCCTTCAGTATCTTTGCTGTATATAATACAGGTTACCAGTGTAGATGAAAGTTTTCTGTGTCACTGTTGACTTGTGTCTAGCTTGAAGGTTAATTTGTGCATTGATTGTGTTAATCAGTGTGTTATCCTTGCAGAATTTGACAAAACTAGTTTTAATGTTTGATGTTTTGTTAACGAATCTCAGACGTTAGAAAGTTTGTGGTATATAAACCCCATCTGGTGAGGTGATGTGTGGGCTAATCTGCTTTATTGTCAAAATTCTTATAATCTTGTCCTTATTAACAAGCTTTGCCTTGTAATAATGAACTCAATTCTCAAAACCGTATTAGAGGAAAAGCTATACACTTAATCTTATGCTATATTCTGCAAGGATACATTGCTGAGATATGGTTTCCTTGGAAACAGAATGGTATCCATGGTTACTGCAGAAGGTGGTCTATTGGATATGTACTACCTAAAATAAGGAACAAAATGGATTGGTATAAACAGTTTAGTTATCAGAAAGGATTTGCTTCACCCAATAAGATATATTATTTTCCTTTAGACATTGATTTTCTGTTTCGAATGCTATAATTTAAGTTTAGTTTTGCTATTCTAATTGTGCTAAATTTATCCCCAGTCATTTTGGAACAGCTCATCAAGAAATAGAAAGACTGTGAGTTTTGCTTGATAAGCCGGACAAGCATTGTCACGGTACAGTCCTATATGGTACTAAGTAGCACGTCACTGAGTGTTGTAGACAGCATGCCATCACTGTGTTTATCACCTTGACGACTTGGTTACAATGGAGCCAGTGATAAATTAAACACTGTTATATAGTGTCAAACTGAATACATTAAAACTGGAACAGGAAGAGTTTTTGTTTCTAGAACAAAATGATTTTAATTTTTAAAAGCTTTTTGTCGAGACAGATAATTTGTTTCTTTCTGTGACATCTGGGACGTTAGAGATTTTGTAGAAAATTTCCTCCAATAAAAAAAAATGTTGGGGAAAACAAATAAAAATCAGAAGAGGGATCCATACAAAACATTTTATAGCTATAGGTATATTGATCTGTCAGGTTTTACTATCATCACATGTGGAAGGCCCTGAATTATTAACAAAAAACATCTGCACCTTTAAATGAGCACATGTGTAGCAATGTTCACAGGAATATTGTAGTAACCAAATAGTATATTGACCAATTTAGTAATACACAATATTACCCTCGTTAGCAGTCTTATTGTAAGATCTTATGTTTTGCCGCACTTTCAGAGGTCACAGTCCAGTTTCCTGAATTTCCTGTTGGCTTCTGCACCTGAGCACTGATTCTCACTGTAAACGTTTAACTTACCTATATCTAGCCTTGTAACCCCGTAACCGTGACAACTTGGTTGTGTGATAATCCTAACAACCATGTGAATGCATGACTTTGTGTTTTACATAAATGTGTGTATTGCCAGCCAAACCTATGGATGTTATTACATTGTGACTAATTTGATTAGTTTCAGATTTTGAAATTAGGTTTTTATTTCATTGTTATGGTAGCAAATAGATGAAGCATTTTTGTTGCTATGGTTACTTGGTGTTAGAAAGTCCTGATAGATAGTAACATATGTAACATATACGTCATCAACTCATTTACATTATTGGACATTAAAAAATAGTCTTTTATCAGGTACATTCTTTATTCTTGTCTGTTGATCACAAGGAACTTAAATTGATGGCATGGTTATATAGCTCCCTTGTGTTTTTTGTTATCATGGTTAAACTGTACTCTTATGTTCCTTTTAGTCTTGGTAACGCTGTTCCCCTGTGTCCCAGGTAGTCTAGGTTACACTGTACTCTGTGTCCCCTGTGTCCCCTGTGTCCCCTGTAGAATTTGATACATGGTTCTGTTGTGTCCCTTTTAGTCTTGGTTACACTGTACTTCTGGGTCCCTTGTAGTCTTGGTTACACTGTACTTCCGGGTCCCTTGTAGTCTTGGTTACACTGTACTTCCGGGTCCCTTGTAGTCTTGGTTACACTGTACTTCCGGGTCCCTTGCAGTCTTGGTAACACTGTACCCTGTGTCAATTGTAGCCTTGGTTACACTTTACCCTGTGTCCCTTGTAGCCTTAGATAAACTGTACTCTTGTCCCTTGTAGTCTTAGTTACACTATTCCCCTATTTCCCTTGTAGCCTTGGTTACACTGTACCCTGTGTCCCTTGTAGCCTTGGTTACACTGTACCCTGTGTCCCTTGTAGCCTTGGTTACACTGTACCCTGTGTCCCTTGTAGCCTTGGTTACACTGTACTCCTGTGTCCTTTGTAGCCTTGGTTACACTGTACCCCTGTTTCCCTTGTAGCCTTGGTTACACTGTACCCTGTGTCCCTTGTAGCCTTGGTTACACTGTACTCTGTGTCCCTTGTAGCCTTGGTTACACTGTACCCTGTGTCCCTTGTAGCCTTGGTTACACTGTACTCCTGTGTCCTTTGTAGCCTTGGTTACACTGTACCCCTGTTTCCCTTGTAGCCTTGGTTACACTGTACCCCTGTTTCCCTTGTAGCCTTGGTTACACTGTACCCCTGTTTCCCTTGTAGCCTTGGTTACACTGTACCCCTGTTTCCCTTGTAGCCTTGGTAACACTGTACCCCTGTTTCCCTTGTAGTCTTGGTTACACTGTACCCCTGTTTCCCTTGTAGCCTTGGTTACACTGTACCCTGTGTCCCATTGATTCACTGTGGAGTAACCAGATATAACTGTATGATCATGCATATCAACTTGTCTTAATTTGCATGCCATTTAAAGAATGTTTAATATTCCACGGTATTAACTAGCAGTATAACATCAGCTAATCAGTTACACCTTACACATTAAATGTCAACATCCTTTCCTGTATACTAACCATCATTATTTGGTATAACCAGAAGTGATTTTGATCAAAAGTTGCCTCCCTTTGACTAATAACTTACTGTCATTTTCAACTGAACCTTTTTTTTTTACTGTATACAGCTACATTATATACATATTCAATTTAACTATCACTGAAATTTTTCCTTTCTGATATACATTTTTTGGACAAAATGGAAAAAAAATGTCTGACTATAAAGCACAACTAACATTGCTGTATCAAGCCAGTTATCGCTATTATACAATAGTGAGATTCATCAAAGGGAGGAACATCTGATCTGGTCGGAGTTCTCTGGGTGACAAAATGACAAGGCACTGCCATTTTGTTTCTATTTTAGGCTGGTACTATCCGGTTTGGACCACCGACACCTTTCTTATCTCCCTTGCAGCAAGAGTTCAACAGCCGTTCCACTTCCCTTGTTCGCTTCACTAGTTAAATCACGAACTTCCTTAGGTGTGTTAACAAGTTTTCATCTTAATACTGCAAAAGTGTAAATAATTAGTAGGAAACAAAAAGACAGATTGACAGAGTAACTTTGTAAGGGTGCATTTTGGCTGAGGCTAAGTTCTGTAAACAATTTTATCATGTGAATACAACATCAGAGTAACTTTGTAAATTTTGTTTTCTGTAAAGACAGATTGACAGATAACTGCTGAGGTTAAGTTCTGTAAAGACAGATTGACAGAGTAACTTTGTAAGGGTGCATTTTGGGTGAGGTTAAGTTCTGTAAAGACAGATTGACAGAGTAACTTTGTAAGGGTGCATTTTGGGTGAGGTTAAGTTCTGTAAACAATTTTATCATGTGAATACAACATCATAAATGATTTTGACGAATGTTTGTTTTTATCTTCAATAATAGTGCTGTGGTTAAGTTACAGAAACAGGGGTTTGGAACTTTAACATATTAAGATAACTAGAGTTCAGTACCAGTTTTTGTTTGCTTGGCCTTGACTTGGGTGACAGGAGCTCTCCTTATGTTTGACCATTCAGGTACTATGACTTATGATCATATCCCTACAACAGGTATCACTGTTATTCTGGAGTTTATCCTCGACCCTGATCTAGTTTGCTGTGCTCTGCCATATGTATGTCTCATAAGATTTTGAGTTTAACCTTGAATAGTAGTTTGCAGTGCTCCATATTTCATTACAAGATTTTGTGATGTTTGGTTTGTCTCCTTGTGAGAGTGATTTTTACACCCAGTGTGATTTGCTGCTAGATTTTGAGGACATTTCACAAACAATGAAGTTTAATACCATACCATTGATTTATATGTTTAATACCAGACCGAAGGCTTTATTGTTGAAAATAGTTCATACAATATCTTATTATGATTTTTAAATGTCAACTTTTCAAGAGATCATGAAACTATTGTACCTCCTTTCATCCTATTCTATACAATGATTCATCGCAGAAGTGTTTTTATTTTTCATTATATAATGGATTAGTGCAAAAATAGGATAAAAATGACAGAGTGGGTGATATATTGCAGACGGAGTGTTTCACAGTTTTTGTAAGCTATATTCAGCTAACTAAAGTGGACTAATTTGATCTTAAAGACAGTTTGCTTCTTTCTTCAAATAATCCAAGAAATAACAAAAAGATATTTCATGTTAAGAATCTGTTCTCTTCTCTTTTCAAGGGTTGGTCTTTTTTTATTTCATTTACTAAACAAAATCAGTTTCTTTCGACAAATCATGTCAGCTTTTTAACATACAGAGTAGAATTACTTGTCTGGAGCATTGAAATTTCCACTGATCTGGAGTTGACATTTATAGAGATATAATGTACATTCATTAAACTCATCAGCTTGGAGGGGTTTACTTCCATTGAGAAGTGTTAGAATGAAGGGTATCGCTCCATTAGTATTGTGGTTGTTATACTGTCAATAGCTAGTGTTGTAGATATTGTGGTTGTCATAATGTCCTTAGCTACAGTGGGTAGTGTGGCTGTTATATTGTCAATTGCTAGTGTGGCTGTTATACTGTCAATAGCTAGTGTGGCTGTTATACTGTCAATTGCTAGTGTGGCTGTTACACTGTAAATTGCCAGTGTGGCTGTTATACTGTCAATTGCTAGTGGGGCTGTTCTACTGTCAAAATCTAGTTTGGTTGTTATACTGTCAGAAGCTTCAGTGGGTAGTTTGGTTCTTACACTGTAAATTGCTGGTGTGGCTGTTATACTGTCAATAGCTAGTGTGGTTGTTATATTGTCAATAGATAGTATGGTTGTTACACTGTCAATAGCTAGTGTGGTTGTTATACTGTCAATAGATAGTATGGTTGTTACACTGTCAATAGCTAGTGTGGTTGTTACACTGTCAATAGCTAGTGTGGTTGTTATACTGTCAATAGCTAGTGTGGTTGTTACACTGTCAATAGCTAGTGTGGTTGTTATACTGTCAGTAGCTAGTGTGGTTGTTATACTGTCAATAGCTAGTGTGGTTGTTATACTGTCAGTAGCTTCAGTGGGTAGTTTGGTTCTTACACTGTAAATTGCTGATATGGCTGTTATACTGTCAATAGCTAGTGTGGTTGTTATACTGTCAATAGATAGTATGGTTGTTACACTGTCAATAGCTAGTGTGGTTGTTACTCTGTCAATAGCTAGTGTGGTTGTTATACTGTCCATAGCTAATGTGGTTGTTATACTGTCAATAGCTTGTGTGGCTGTTATATTGTCAATAGCTAGTGTGGCTGTTACACTGTCAATAGCTAGTGTGGTTGTTATACTGTCAGTAGCTAGTGTGGTTGTTATACTGTCAATAACTAGTGTGGCTGTTACACAGTCAATAGCTAGTGTGGTTGTTATACTGTCAATAGCTAGTGTGATTGTTATACTGTCAATAGCTAGTGTGGTTGTTATACTGCAAATTGCTAGTGTGGTTGTTATACTGTCAATTGCTAGTGTGGTTGTTATACTGTCAATTGCTAGTGTGGTTTTTATACTGTCAGTTGCTAGTGTGGTTGTTATACTGTCAATAACTAGTGTGGCTGTTACACTGTCAATTGCTAGTGTGGTTGTTATACTGTCAATAGCTAGTGTGGTTGTTATACTGTCAATAACTAGTGTGGCTGTTACACTGTCAATAGCTAGTGTGGTTGTTATACTGTCAATTGCTAGTGTGGTTGTTATACTGTCAATGGCTAGTGTGGTTGTTATACTGTCAATAGCTAGTGTGGTTGTTATACTGTCAGTGGCTAGTGTGGTTGATATACTGTCAATTGCTAGTGTGGTTGTTATACTGTCAATAGCTAGTGTGGTTGTTATACTGTCAATTGCTAGTGTGGTTGTTATACTGTCAATTGCTAGTGTGGTTGTTATACTGTCAATTGCTAGTGTGGTTGTTATACTGTCAATTGCTAGTGTGGCTGTTACACTGTCAATTGCTAGTGTGGTTGTTATACTGTCAATAGCTAGTGTGGTTGTTATACTGTCAATTGCTAGTGTGGTTGTTATACTGTCAATTGCTAGTGTGGCTGTTACACTGTCAATAGCTAGTGTGGTTGTTATACTGTCAGTAGCTAGTGTAGTTGTTATACTGTCAATAACTAGTGTGGCTGTTACACTGTCAATAGCTAGTGTGGTTGTTATACTGTCAGTAGCTAGTGTGGTTGTTATACTGTCAATTGCTAGTGTGGTTGTTATACTGTCAATAGCTAGTGTGGTTGTTATACTGTCAATAGCTAGTGTGGTTGTTATACTGTCAATTGCTAGTGTGGTTGTTATATTGTCAATTGCTAGTGTGGTTGTTATACTGTCAATAACTAGTTTGGCTGTTACACTGTCAAATGCTAGTGTGGTTGTTACACTGTCAGTTGCTAGTGTGGTTGTTTTACTGTCAATAGCTAGTGTGGTTGTTATACTGTCAATTGCTAGTGTGGTTGTTATACTGGCAATTGCTAGTGTGGCTGTTATACTGTCATAACTAGTTTGGCTGTTACACTGTCAAATGCTAGTGTGGTTGTTATACTGTCAATTGCTAGTGTGGTTGTTATACTGTCAATTGCTAGTGTGGCTGTTACACTGTCAATTGCTAGTGTGGCTGTTACACTGTCAATTGCTAGTGTGGTTGTTATACTGTCAATAGCTAGTGTGGTTGTTATATTGTCAGTAGTTACAGTGGGTAGTGTTTTGTTATACTGTTCACAACTACAGTGGGTAGTTTGGGTGTTATACTGTCTATAGTTACAGTGGGTAGTTTGGGAGTTATACTGTCTATAGTTACAGTGGGTAGTTTGGGTGTTATACTGTTCACAACTACAGTGGGTAGTTTGGGAGTTATACTGTCTATAGTTACAGTGGGTAGTTTGGGTGTTATACTGTCTATAGTTACAGTGGGTAGTTTGGGTGTCATACTGTCTATAGTTACAGTGGGTAGTTTGGGAGTTATACTGTCTCAGTTACAGTGGGTACTTTGGGTGTTATACTGTCTACAGTGGGTAGTTTGGGTGTTATACTGTCTATAGTTACAGTGGGTAGTTTGGGTGTTATACTGTCTATAGTTACAGTGGGTAGTTTGGGTGTTATACTGTCTATAGTTACAGTGGGTAGTTTGGGTGTTATACTGTCTATAGTTACAGTGGGTAGTTTGGGAGTTATACTGTTCACAACTACAGTGGGTAGTTTGGGTGTTATACTGTCTATAGTTACAGTGGGTAGTTTGGGTGTTATACTGTCTATAGTTACAGTGGGTAGTTTGGGTGTTATACTGTCTATAGTTACAGTGGGTAGTTTGGGTGTTATACTGTCTATAGTTACAGTGGGTAGTTTGGGTGTTATACTGTCTATAGTTACAGTGGGTAGTTTGGGTGTTATACTGTCTATAGTTACAGTGGGTAGTTTGGGTGTTATACTGTCTATAGTTACAGTGGGTAGTTTGGGTGTTATACTGTCTATAGTTACAGTGGGTAGTTTGGGTGTTATACTGTCTATAGTTACAGTGGGTAGTTTGGGTGTTATACTGTCAATAGTTACAGTGGGTAGTTTGGGTGTTATACTGTCTATAGTTACAGTGGGTAGTTTGGGTGTTATACTATCTATAGCTTCATAAGTAGTTTGATTGTTATTTTATTAATGTTTTATTAAAATAATTATTGATAACATGATTTTGATCTTATTTTACAATTCAATTTCTTACTAAAACTTTCATGATTTCCATTTCAGGAAAATGAACGGCCGTCTACTCCTCCAAATTCGTTTATGACCCCCCACAACCGATTTGAGAAGGGGCTAAAGCAGATCCAGTCTCAACATAATATGGATTTCCTTCCCCCCATGCCACGACCTCCTCTCTTCTCCTCATGGTAGTGCCACGCCCATGTTTCATTGTCATTATTGGGCTGTTAACTGTTCTAGAAACTATGTCTATCTGTAGCTGTGTTGTGATCACATCTGTAAGTGGACCATAATGAAAAGTTAAGTCTTCCTTTTCTTTTCGCTCTATTTTGTATACATTATTTGTGATATGGATCTTGATTTTATACTACTGATATCCATTCCTGCTGTTTTAGCAAATCAAATGACAGACTACATCGCATGTCAATATAACAATATCGTTATCAGTCCTTAGGGAAGACTTCCCCTGTGAAACATAGGTTTTTTCAAAATGGTCCATTGCAGTATCATGTTGTTAATTATATATATCTGTAAGATGAAATCAAAATCCAAATGGTTTATTTTTACATCTGAACTATTTATTTGATAACTCTTGTGCTAATAAAAGTGACTATATCTTTATATTATTTAATGAAACTTTTATAACATTGGACAAATTTATTAGCAGCCTTAATATGTTTGACAGTGTCTGATCACATATTACCATGGCAACACCTGTCAATCACATGTAACCATGACAACACCTGTGAGAATGAGTTAGAAGCCTTACTGCCATTAAGAAGCTGTGTATGTAGTCTTATAGAACACAATGAGGGATTGTATTATGTTTATGTAAATCACCAGGTGTACAGTATTAGTAACAGAACTATACAATGAAAGATTGGCTTTAAAGGAGTTTTCAGGATGTTGTTTATAGTATGCTTTATTTACAAATGATGTATGTATATTGTGTTAATATCTGTTGTTCATTATTTCATAAATCACCACTAAAAATTTACAAACAAAAGAGCCTGAACCATACAGGAAGAGAAAGGTAATTTCCATGCTTATTTTGGTACCCCTGACCTTCACTGAAGTGACTTATATGTAAGATATTCAGGGAACTTTCAACCAGATATTGATATGCATAATTCTACAAATATACAACAGTACTTTGTTATAAGTATTTCTTTAGATGTTTCCATTGTAGATTTTTTTTTACATAGTTCTATCTTTATTTTATAAACCGTCCATGTATTTGTATAATACATCAGTTCATGTTATTCTTGCGCTTTCAAGTAGTTTCCTTATGAGGGGAGATAACCCTTCTGGTTTTCCCAAGTATTTATGCATTTAGTTAGGTATATTTTCAATCCCATTACTATGTAAAGAGCTATCAAGATGATTGACTGTAATCAACCTGTTATGTAGCCTTGTTATGTTGTAGGGATCGGTGATCATTCTCGTCAGGTCACCATCTGCTATTTGTGCCTGTCATTTTAGTGTTTTTACTCATTTTTCATTCCCTCCAAAGAAACCTGTGATATTTACATTGTATAATATAATGCTTAAGTTAGAGGAAGCTGAATTATATGAACAGCTTATAATCATGTGCTATGAATTCACCACAACACAGAGATACGATTAGATAATAATATACCTTGTAGATTAGTATAAAGATTTTAATGCTGGAGGAACTTCAGAACACAAGCTATATATTCATATATAATAGAAGAACTTATCTTAAGGTTCACCTTTTTATTATGGTCTCTCACCTTTTATAATTCAGTCATGTTCATTAATTTTTTCTTTCTTTACAATAACAATGATAAATCATATTTTGTAATTAAATATGGAAAATATGTATAACAGATTTTTTTTCTATTTGGTTTTTTCGGGATTTGTCAAAATATCATGTAAAATATTTTCAGATAATGTTTTCTGTGGTGATAATTTTGATGGTAATTATGGTTGCTACTGTCCTACTCTATATAGGTAAGGTAGGTTTTACTTAACAACCAATGACTTATTTTGTTATTTTATGAAGCGGTAGTTTTTACCAGTATACATGTATCAAGGGAGATAACCACATAATCTGTGCTTTGTAGAAATGTCAGTATTTTCAGTCCAGATAGCCAGAGTTTTGCATTGAATGCTATGGAGAGGTTTATTTTTAGCATTATCTTCTATCAAATTTTAAATAAATATGAAGTTAATCTAAAGTTGTGTTCTTTATGTTTGTCACTGTGTTTAGCTTCTTTCTTTAACAAGAGGCTCGTGGGCCTTAACGGTCATCTGACCACAAAAACATCCATCAGGGAGAAGGGATATTTTTCTACTTTGAATGAAATCTTACCAAGAAGCTGTTGTCAATGATGCAGATGTTTGTTTTGGTGAGGAGCAGGTAACTGTAAGAAATGTTAGCTATTTTTTTAGTAAAGTTGGAGCTCAACCCAACTGGTGAATTTTGAGAAGTTTGAAATAGGTGTTGCACAGGAAAACATATTACAAAATGGCCTCCCTAGTTGCCATGTCAAAGTTTTGGCAAGGTTGAAAATTAACAACACTTTGTTAGCTAGCTTTCCTTAACATTACCACCAATTTTTAGCTCGATGGCACCGGTGGAAACTGGAGAAGAAGTTTAAAATATGTTTTTCAAGATGGCGGCCATCTTGGATTTCACACATACCCGACAAATAGCTCAATCCCACTGGTGGAACTTGAGAAGAAGTTTAAAATGTCAAAAGTTTAAGCATGGCAGACAGCATACAGCACATGACGACGGATGAAGCACAATGACTTTAGATTAAAATGCTGATATTTATGTTTGTTTGGCATATAACCTGGTTAGGACAATCTGAATTGGACAAATACAGTAAATGTTAAACTTGTCAGATCTGGACACCAGTTTTATAACCTGGGTAAGATCCTTTGACTGGAGACCAGTTATACCACCTGGTTAAGATCCTCTGATGGACAGCAGTTATATAATCTGGTTAAGATCTATTGACTGGAGACCAGTTATACCACCTGGTTAAGATCCTCTGATGGACAGCAGTTATATAATCTGGTTAAGATCTATTGACTGGAGACCAGTTATACCACCTGGTTAAGATCCTCTGATGGGACAGCAGTTATATAACCTGGTTAAGATCTATTGACTGGAGACCAGTTATACCACCTGGTTAAGATCCTCTGATGGGACAGCAGTTATATAACCTGGTTAAGATCTATTGACTGGAGACCAGTTATACCACCTGGTTAAGATCCCCTGATGGGACACCTGGCCCCACTTGTATAAAACATCTCAACTTGAGATTTCCTCAAGTCAAGATTTTCCTCAGCTGATATCTCCTCAAAAACGGCTTGTATAAGATTTTCTCAAGGAACAGGAGGAAGTCATCGGCTAGGATGTCCTGAAATTCCTTGAGGAATTTTCATACAAGATATTTTCAAGGAGATATAAGCTGAGGAAAATCTCGACTTGAGGAAATCTCAAGTTGAGATGTTTTATACAAGTGGGGCCTGTTATATAACTTGGTTAAGATCCTTTCATTGGAGACCAGTTATACCACTTGGTTAAGATCCTCTGATGGGACAGCAGTTATATAACCTGGTTAAGATCCTTTGATTGGAGACCAGTTACAGTTTATCACCTGGTTAAGATCCTTTTATGGACACCAGTTATTATACCTTGTTCAGATCCTCCAATCAGACACCAGTTATATAACCTTGTTATGATCCTGTGATTAAGTACTAGTTACCAGTATGGAACTTCATTAAGATCCAATGATTCCTACACCGATAGTGAATGGAAATCAGAATAAAAAGAATCACTTTGCTCTAATCATTCTGTCAGCAAAATTTTTGATTGAAAGATCTATCTCCAGAAACATATGTAGGATACAGAGTTATGATTGGAATGTTAAAATGAGATGGAAACATTGATTGAAAGGTACTTTTATTACAGTGGTCAGTATGTGACATCATCAAGGTCCTTAATTCAACATCTAACAAACATAAATCTGTAATGTTAAATTTTATTCTGCATGTCACAAAAAGGAATTTGAATTATGATTTAATTAATACAAAACAAATAAACATGGGTCAGTAACAGAAATCCACAATAACTATGTTAATATCAAGAAAAGTCTACAATTAATTTAAGTGGTATTAAGGTACATGTATGTCAAGAGTAGGCAGAATTCTCTCCATTTTTTTGTTTTTGTCATTTCCAGATGATATAAAAAGTGGGACCATCTACGTCACAAAAACTTGCATAAAAATGAGAAATGTAATAAATAAAATATATCTCTAACACCAATGTCAATAGCACAAGTTTAGATACAAATGTTATGCCTAAGAAAACTTCCAACAAGGTCACATCCTACTACTACACAACACACATCACTGTTCCTCTGATTCAGTAGAATAACCATACACACCCATTTTCATTTATACTTCATACTAGGCTTATTCTTTCGTCATATATTATTTAAGTTACGCATTATAGAGTTAACTCCTCTTGTTCTTATGTGATACTGATAAAGCAAGTCCTAAATGATATCTAGTTTAAAAAAACCCTAACAGAGTTTTGTAAGACAGATATTTCAGACTTTGACCAGAAGTTGTCTGAAAATTGAGAGTAAGTAACATCTTTTCTTCACAAACTTCACATACAAACAGGAAACTGTCCTATAACGTAAATCAAGTCAGATCTTCAGTATGAAGAGAGCTATTGACATTAGAAATCAATTCTCCAAAAGTCATTTACATGTGTACTGTCTTAACTGTACATTTATCACCTCTGCTTATCTGCATTCTCAGTGGAATGTAACATTACATAGCTCATGGGACAATATAATTATTAGTTAGGTTACACCTAAAAAATTTAGGAAACATTTTACAAAGAAGATAACATTAACAATTGTATATAAAAACCTATATTGATGAATGAATTTCTGTTTACACATAAAAATACATAATTACATATTAGTTAACATTAAGTATCAGCAATGTGAAGTTTTTCAGGTTTTCCTCGACAACTGTCCTGATCAACAAGGTGTCACTATAGTGTACACATTAAGGGTAGACTACAGCAGTTACTCCGTATAAATATAACTAGTAAATATCTATTGTTAGGATTACTACATTATTTCTTGTAAACAATATCACAACACCAATACATTCTTGCAATGGACTCAATATGATGATAAAAAATGACAGGACATCTATGTGATGATACAAATTGACAAGACTTCTCACAATTTTTTTGTTTCATTATATAAATAACTTTCTTATGATCATTCCTTTAACATCACAACTTACGACTGATCATTCTATAATATCATAAAGTCATACTGACCTTTTCACGTCTATCATAACTAATGACAATTCCATATAAGTCAATACTTTATAACGACTATTCTGTTATACTCATATCTATATAATGGCCATTTCATAAAAGTCATATCTATATAACAACTATTCCATAAATGTCATATCTATCTAATGACTATTCCATAAAATTCATATCTATATAATGACCATTCTATAAATGTCATATCTGTATAATGACAATTCTATAAAAGTCATATATATATATATATATATATATATATATATGACCAATTTATAAAAGTCATATCTATATAATGACCATTCTATAAATGTCATATATATAATGACCTTTCTATAAATGTCATATCTGTATAATGACAATTCTATAAATGTCATATATATAATGACCTTTCTATAAATGTCAAATATATAATGACCTTTCTATAAATGTCATATATATAATAACCTTTCTATAAATGTCATATCTGTATAATGACAATTCTATAAATGTCATATATATAATGACCATTCTATAAATGTCAAATATATAATGACCTTTCTATAAATGTCAAATATATAATGACCTTTCTATAAATGTCAAATATATAATGACCTTTCTATAAATGTCATATCTATATAATGACCATTCTATAAATGTCATATCTGTATAATGACCTTTCTATAAATGTCAAATATATAATGACCATTCTATAAATGTCATCTGTATAATGACCTTTCTATAATGTCATATATATAATGACCATTCTATAAATGTCATATATATAATGACCATTCTATAAATGTCAAATATATAATGACCTTTCTATAAATGTCATATCTGTATAATGACCTTTCTATAAATGTCAAATATATAATGACCTTTCTATAAATGTCAAATATATAATGACCTTTCTATAAATGTCATAAATATATAATGACCATTCTATAAATGTCATATCTGTATAATGACCTTTCTATAAATGTCATATATATAATGACCATTCTATAAATGTCAAATATATATATGACCTTTCTATAAATGTCAAATATATATATGACCTTTCTATAAATGTCAAATATATAATGACCTTTCTATAAATGTCATATCTATATAATGACCATTCTATAAATGTCATATCTGTATAATGACCTTTCTATAAATGTCAAATATATAATGACCATTCTATAAATGTCATATCTGTATAATGACCTTTCTATAAATGTCATATATATAATGACCATTCTATAAATGTCATATATATAATGACCATTCTATAAATGTCAAATATATAATGACCTTTCTATAAATGTCATATATAATGACCTTTCTATAAATGACCATTCTATAAATGTCAAATATATAATGACCTTTCTATAAATGTCAAATATATAATGACCTTTCTATAAATGTCAAATATATAATGACCTTTCTATAAATGTCATATCTATATAATGACCTTTCTATAAATGTCAAATATATAATGACCTTTCTATAAATGTCAAATATATAATGACCTTTCTATAAATGTCATATCTATATAATGACCTTTCTATAAATGTCAAATATATAATGACCTTTCTATAAATGTCAAATATATAATGACCTTTCTATAAATGTCATATCTATATAATGACCTTTCTATAAATGTCAAATATATAATGACCTTTCTATAAATGTCATATCTATATAATGACCTTTCTATAAATGTCATATCTATATAATGACCTTTCTATAAATGTCAAATATATAATGACCTTTCTATAAATGTCATATCTATATAATGACCTTTCTATAAATGTCATATCTATATAATGACCATTCCATAAAAGTCCTATCTATATAAAGAGCATCATATATAATGAACTGGTATGTAATTTTACTTTCCAAATCTTGAAATGCACAGAAAACGTATTATCTATACCTGTACCATTTTGATAAACAAACATATTATTCTAGTGTTATGTTGATGTGGATCATATGACACTTAAAAATAGCACAATGAGTATATCACATCTTAGACTGTAAACTCACTAACCATATAATGTACTGTACAGATGATTTATCACTTATGTAATGTACTGTACAAATGATTTATCACTTGTGTAATGTACTGTATAATTGATTTATCACTTGTGTAATGTACTGTACAAATGATATATCACTTGTGTAATGTACTGTATAATTGATTTATCACTTGTGTAATGTACGGTACAAATGATATATCACTTGTGTAATGTACTGTACAAATGATATATCACTTGTGTAATGTACTGTACAAATGATATATCACTTGTGTAATGTACTGTATAATTGATTTATCACTTGTGTAATGTACTGTACAAATGATATATCACTTGTGTAATGTACTGTATAATTGATTTATCACTTGTGTAATGTACGGTACAAATGATATATCACTTGTGTAATGTACTGTACAAATGATATATCACTTGTGTAATGTACTGTACAAATGATATATCACTTGTGTAATGTACTGTACAAATGATATATCACTTGTGTAATGTACTGTACAGATGATATATCACTTGTGTAATGTACTGTACAGATGATTTATCACTTGTGTATTACGCAGCGAATTCATCAGGTCTACAGTAATCTTTACCAAGTCTACGGGAAATAAAGTTTTTACATATTCACTTGAAAAAAAATCACTGCCATTCCAGTTCAGTCTGCAGTGAATTCATATAAGATTAACAGATGACCTCAGTATTACCTTAAAATATTACTGCTAATATCAGCAATATATATATATATATATTAAAAGGTTATTTTTTTTGTTAAACTTAATCTTGATGTAAAGATGGAGATTAAATGTTACAAGGCATTAACAACATCTACAACAAAATAAGACACAGAATTGATTTGAATTAGAACATAACTATATATCACAACATTGATATTATCACAATTTTCTACCTCAAACCGATACCCAGGTAGTTAACACTGAGGTGAGTGTGACTCTTCTAGATATTAAGTACAGCTATTTAAAATTTAAAATTTCAACCAATTAAAACATTCAGAAAAGATATTCTGTAAATATATATGGTTCACATACATGATAAGCTACCAAAAACTAAAACCACAATGTAGTTTCCTTCTCTGTGATGTTCAATCTATGAACCATATGATTACTTCACAACTTAATTACTGATATGATTACCATAGCTGGAAAATATGCCAGAATCTGTTTAAAAGATGTCACTCACTTGGTTTTTATACATCTGTTGCTTTTCCCTAATTACGAAATACCCTATTCCTTCATTCTGATTGTGACAAGTGTTAATCTATATGATACATCCTGTTGTTAGAGATTAAACATTATACCTACAATGTCATATGCCTACAAAGCATTAAGTAAATTATACCTACAATTTTGGCACAAAGAAAATTTTATCTACCATATAGGTACTAAGTAAATTACACCTTCAATTTAGGTACAATGTAAATTTTACCTTCCCCCAGTACAATGTAGATTATACATTTGTTGGCCCAAAGCATTTGCAGTAATGTAAACAAACATTGTACTCATTTGACCCAAATTGTATTTGCACCAAAATATAGCAGAAGTATGACCCCAGCCATATAGCACTATTTTAACCCAGCCATATAGCACTACTTTGTCCCCAAAATATAGCACTAGTTTGACCCCAACATATAGCACTAGTTTGACCCTAACATATAGCACTAGTTTGACCCCAACATATAGCACTAGTTTGACCCCAACATATAGCACTAGACTGACCCTAACATATAGCACTAGTTTGACCCCAACATATAGCACTAGTTTGACCCTAACATATAGCACTAGTTTGACCCTAACATATAGCACTAGTTTGACCCTAACATATAGCACTAGTTTGACCTCAACATATAGCACTAGTTTGACCCTAACATATAGCACTAGTTTGACCTCAACATATAGCACTAGTTTGACCCTAACATAGAGCACTAGTTTGATCCTAACATATAGCACTAGTTTGACCCTAACATATAGCACTAGTTTGAAACATATAGCACTATAACATATAGCACTAGTTTGACCCTAACATATAGCACTAGTTTGACCCTAGCACTAGTTTGACCCTAACATATAGCACTAGTTTGACCCTAACATATAGCACTAGTTTGACCCTAACATATAGCACTAGTTTGACCCTAACATATAGCACTAGTTTGACCCTAACATATAGCACTAGTTTGACCCTAACATATAGCACTAGTTTGACCCCAACATATAGCACTAGTTTGACCCTAACATACAGCACTAGACTGACCCTAACATTAGTATGACCTCTGTGAAAGCACTAATGTGATACATCAGGTTGTCCTTTATTATCAACTATTCCCAGTAGATAGTCCTTCACTTCAGACTGGAATTCAACAGCAGAGGGCTTTTCTGTGAGCACCCAGGTGTCATCCGTACTTCGTACCTTGGCACGGCAAATAGGACAGGTGCGACTTGAGACATTCCTATTAAAGATTGAAAAAAGATGTTTACTACCAACTACAAATAAAAGACAAATCTGTGTACAAGCACAATGGCTTGACCAGCTATAAATAAATGAAAAATCTCCATACAAGGCCTGATAGGCAATCCACATGCATGTTTAAGACAACTGCTTGATGGATAATGTACAGACAAAATATGAAATCTTGATGCACAACTACAGGAAGAACAGAATGGATTAAGAATGACAATTCACACACGAGAAAATAAGACTTTTCAATACAATCTACAGAAAACAAAGAGTTGTTTGACAATCTAGACACAAGAGACAAAACCTTAATCTTTAAGATCAATGACAACTATAAAAATTACTATAGAAATATCTATTTATCAATTTACCATTGGTCTATACAGCTCTCACAAAACTTATGGCTACAGGCTAGGATGATCTCAGACTTATTCTCCATACAAATACAACACTCCATTTCCTCTATATCACTCCTGCGTGCTGCCCTGAAACAGATATTGATCGATTCAGCTCACAAAAAACTATCTGCAACAACCTAAAATGATCTCAGACTTATAATTATTCTCCATACAATCACTTGTTAGTTTTGCCCTGATGAGAGTTTATCTATACGACTCTCAAAAACTACAGTCTAGAATGATCTCCAACTTATCCTCGCTACAATCCTTCATTTGTGCTACTTGTTACTGCACAAATATGTGTACACATGATTATTGTTACTGTAGAAATATGTGTACACATGATTATTGTTACTGTAGAAATATGTGTACACATGATTATTGTTACTGTAGAAATATGTGTACACATGATTATTGTTACTGTAGAAATATGTGTACACATGATTATTGTTACTGTAGAAATATGTGTACACATGATTATTGTTACTGTAGAAATATATGTACAAATATGATTATAGTTATTGAAAAGAAATTAGTTTACAGTAGTTAACTGTTATAAATTTTAATGTAGAAAATACAGAAATAGTTTTTAAAGTGTAATCATGTCCCAGTAATTCTTATAATCTTACTCATCAAATAAGATAGAGGCTGAGAGATCTCCAGCAGCTGCCAGTGGTGATGGCATAGAAGTGTTGTCAGAGGCCAGAGAGAGGCTTGACACTTGGTCTGTGATCTCACAATACACTTCAATATACTGGCGAAGCTTAAGGATCCGAGAGGACTCAATCAGGTTACGTCTCGTGTTTATCTAAAAATACAAGGCTACAAGATTTACCTTCCAATAACAGATGTGTATTGTATGTAAAGATCACTTACAAAATTTACCTTCTAATAACAGACGTCTATTGTATGTTGAGGTCACTTCAACAAATGTATATTGAATGTAGCATTCTCAACTACAAGATTACCTTCTGACAACAGATTCGTATTGTATGCTTCCAGAAAAAAGTTGTGTCTGTACCAGACTCCACTGAAAACTTGAGTTGTTTCCCTTTGTGGTCAGTAAAGGCTGTAGTTCTGAAACATATTTGATGACTTCATAGTTCTGTTCATTAATTGCAAAAATAATTTATGTACAAAATTCAGTAATGAAACAGATGAGTATTACTAGTCTATGGTAAACTTTACCCCCTCCCCTGGGGAAAATCTGAGACCATGAGGTTTGTTCAATAGTTAATCAATGTAAAGCAATGCATATTATCAAACCGCCATCTTATACTAACAATTCTAACCAAGTTTGACCTATTTCCAATCGAATATAAACAAATTATGCTCAAAATGTCATTTTCCTAAACAATGTACAAACAATAGTAAACTTTACCTCCTCCCCTAGCAGGAATATGAGATCCTGGGGTCATGCCCTTTACAAGTTTGGTAAGGAACCATAATACCCTTCAATCAGTGAAGGGTATTTGATACTACTAAATGTGGATATTGAGAAGATTTTTTTAAATTTCAACAATTGGACCCCTTTTTGGCCCAGTTCCTCAGGCCCCTGGGGTGTGAGGACCATGCAATTTAAAATTTTAATTTAACTTTAGTCATGAATGGTTACTGCAGTTTCATTACAATTGGTTCTGGCATTTTCAAGAAGAAGTAGAAAATGTAAAAAATTCAGAGGCACACAACAAATGACGGATGATGCCAGGCAAAAGGGATTGCAATAGATCACCACCAGACTACCAGTATGCCTCAGGTGACCTCAGCATAATACTTGGTCCCATACATCTCAATGATTTAAGACAAGTTTCAGCTAAATTCAACTAGACTTTCAAAAAAATTTAAAACACATCCTAATGATTATTCTATCATACACTGAAGCTAGGTTGTTAAAAATTGCTTGTACAAATGAACAGATTTCATCGTCTAACAACTGCATATATATACATATATCAATCGATTCTTTATATACAAACAGTTTTACAGGAGAAATGTGTCACTGATACAGTCACCTTCGCATAGTTAACTTTACTTACAATTCATTTATATCCTTTATAGATTGTAATAAGTCATCATAGGACAGTTTTGCTATCTTTGTGATGACCCCTAAATGTAACTTAAGTTTTCCATGGACAAGTCCAACAGTCTTCTCTGGGTCAGGAAAACTTTTTCCCTGGCCCATGTTGTTCCAGCTATGACACCATTACTTTTAATATGCCATCTCTGTAAGAAAAAGGAACAGTTTTTTATAACTTTATTTATATATATGAACCAAATGTTGATAATCATATATGCCTGATAAAGCTTATGAAGACAGATGTCAATTACCGGTAGTTACTGAAAGCAACATTGTCATGTACGGAGTGATTTCAACATTAATATGATAGTATAATGACATCTTTATTGATAAATAATGAGTAACAATTTAACAGAAGATGTTTATTTAGTGTTCACAGACAGATGATATTGATTTATAGTGTATACCAACAGAAGATGTTTAGTTAGAGTGTCCTCAGACAGACAATATTAATTTATAGTGTACACCAACAGATGATGATAATTGTAGTGTCCTCACAGAGCTGATGTTAAGTTGTAGAGTCCTCAAACAGATGATGTTTAGTTGAAGTGTCCACAGACAGATGATATTAATTTATTATGTACACCAACAGATGATGATAAGTTGTACTGTCCACAGACAGATGAAGCTTTGTTATAGAGTTCACGAACAGACGGAGATTTGTTGTAATGTCCTCAGACAAAGTGTGCTTAGTTAGTGTCCACAAAGGGATGATGTTAGTATTTACACTGTTTCCTGGTTGAAGTGAGGCAGGGTAGGGTAGAAACTAAAAAAAGTAAAAGGCTCTTATGATAATGTTGGCAGTAAGACATTACAATTATAGTAAAACATCTTAAAATGATTTCACATGAAATGATATATGTACACCAAGATATGTTGTCATTGTGTGCAATGTAAAATTATTTACCTAGGTAAAGGAATTACTTCTGTGGTAAACATTTACAAGGTGACTACGTGTTTCTGCTTCAGTATCTTCATTACAGCACTACTCTAGAGTAAAGTTCATGCATTCATCCATTACACGATTTCACAAACAATAAATATCTTTCAAAAGAACTACAGAGTTAACTACCAACTTCCTCAAATATTAAATAAACATCTGTTTCTGATTCCTAAAGTCCTGGTGATTGTTAGTTAAAAACAGAACAAGCAACTTACATATACTTATTGAAAGATTCAGATGTTTGTAAACAGGTTTTCCCCACAAGACTATACGTACAATTTAAATGCGTTCCTAATTTTTACCTGGAACTCCTTTAGAGTTTTCGTTTGATATAGACAGAGCGTGTTTTACGTCATCAATTTGGGCGTAGTACTCACCGGAAGTGAGAGTAATCAACAATCCAAGCAGGTAGCAGAGATGAAAGTTGGAAGATAAGGAGCCAGGTATGTAATCGAGTTGTAAAAAAAGTATTTTTATATTATTTTCAACAAAGTTTTATGAAATAATGATAATAACTTCAATTTTGACGATATTATAGAGTGTAAATGAAGTGAAATTTGATTATTAGCAACGTACAGATTGATTGTCAATGATGATTCACCTGTGTGATGTTTATGTTGTGGTAATCGGGAGTATTTGGTAATGTTAGGTCATCGTTCGGTTGATAGACGGTTGTTACTCAATTTAAGACGTCTAGACGTATTGATAGATGCTTACCCTGTTTGATGACTTTATAAGAGTGTAGATACACGTTTGTTATGTTGATATATCAGAAGATTCTGACATTCTGTCAATAAGAATATCTATATACAATAAATCGCTATAAACACTTACAGAACGCCTGACTCCTGTAATATGAAATACCATTCACATAAGCTGTAGTGATCGTGTTAATGCTAGAAGTGTACATTTTCAGTCTTTAAGTGTGTGGAATTGGTGAAACATATTTAATTTCAAAATTTTTATTGTCAAGATCATGGTGACTAAATGAACTGGGCAACATTTAACATAAACAAGTATACATATACATCAATCAAACAGATGTGATTGAATTAATGGTTTTGTTCATAAAGCAAAAAAATTACAGGATTACAACTGAGTAATTTTGTGGTATATTCTATAGGACTTACTTACTTCTAGTTATCCTGTGGTAGATATACAATGGATTATCAAATAGCTGCCTTTTGAATTAGCCGTATTCAGACTAAGTGTCAACATTAGTTTTTACCTCTTGAAATTTGTTTAAACCTATTTTATCTACTTACAGTATTTGGTAAATGAGTATTTGATCAATAAATCTTGCTTATTTTCCAGTTATAATTGTAATGTTGCATATCAAATGAAAGAATTCATATGTTTTAAAAGCATGTTAAATAGTTTTTAACAGAATCTTGACTAGGTAAACATCAAAGGTGATTGACTACTGAAACACTACCAAAAGATCTGAGCCAGCTTTTATTGGCCTTGATATTGTCACAGATTTTGATGTCTTAGTCTGTGATATTATTTATGGTGTTTGAAATGAATAGGGCAACAATATTTCAAATTCTTCCTGTCCATGCCTGGAAAAGTTTCTCAGGGAACTGAGAAACCAACTTTACCAAAATTGCTCTGGACGAGCCTTCCATATGTTGTTCGGTGAGGTAGCCAACAGCCACCAAGGAGATCATGCTTTAAAATAACCTTGTCTGTTCATGGGATAATAAACCAAAAGCACAAACAAACAAACATTGAAAATAAAAACTACTTCTGATATGTGATAACATCTTTTCTCCTTACATCCATTTTTATAATATATAGTCACAATTAGAATAGTGTCTTGGCATTTGAAATTCCCTCACTCAAATCAATCAATACAACATACCAAAAATGCCAATAAGAACTTACAAAATAGAAAGTACATGTGACTGTTCAGACTAGAATCATAGAAAACTTTGGTTTTATATCTTACATGAAAGAAAGCTATTATGAAGTTGTGTGTATAAACTATAATTTGATGAAAATATATAAATCAAATTCATTAGGGTTTTTATAACCTTATACTGAACAGGTTCTTCTGTTAGGTCAAGACTGATGTATGATACATTCTCAAATTTAAGATTATTAAATTTTTCAAGGTAACATAAAAGCTACTGTCTGTGTGCACATGAATTTGAAGTGATTACTTTGAAACATGTGTAAAAACTAATAGATTATAGATACAGGAGGGCAATGTCATACAATATTGAATATGATACAGGCATGTAATGATGAAGTTCAACAAAGTCATAAACACATATATAATGATAAAAACATGTTTTGTTTAAAGCTAACCTTATCAATGGTTTTTATGTTGTTAATCAAGATTAATTTCATCAAATTGAGAGGACACTTAAGTCTTGTCAATAATAACTTGGAAACAATAATTTGTTATTGATGTGGACACATCACAAAAATTATTTCAAGAAATAGTACCCATTCAAGGTATTACCAAAAAGAAGGAGAAGTTAAAAACAAAACAAAAGGGCTTGTGTGCTTTCAAAATCCAAATATGATAAGTGTCGTAGTAGTTAGACTGAGTATGGTGTGTTGGCCCATATGGTACTGCCCAGTTATCAAACACATGTCTACTTTAGTCCATTGATCTCATCCTGTCCCAGTCCTCAGATAAGGCACCTACTCATCTCAGGTAAGCTGTACAACAACAAGTATAATTAAGAAAACAAAGGCTCTGTATACACAGTATTAGTGTTATCTCAAGTACACAGCTAATCTATAATTGAAGTGACCATGGGGAGACCCTGGTGTTTACTCTATGATTTATACCCATGCAGGTAACCTGTATTACCTGTGGGCGTCTACCTGTCCATTTGCATTAATTTGAACCTAACACATATCCATTACACTGGTGGGCAGGACTGAAACTTAGCACATCCTCAATAATTGCATTAGTGTGTATATTCCATGGGAGAGTACATTTACTTTGATTTGGATATGTCAAATGGACAGTGCCTTAGGATGTTTATAACTGCATGACCTTTTACACTGGTCAAGTCTGTATCAGTCATTCATCAGACCAGAGGGTAAACTACATGTTCTACAGGTAATCACACATATATATGTATATGCATTGTATCAAACTAAAGCACAAGTACAGCTAGTGATTCAAGTCTTGAACCTTCAAATCAACAGCCTTACTGGATATGATGCACCAATAAAAGTGCTTTAGTTTGCTTCCAATTACATTAGAGCCAACATCTTTTAATGAAACTCGATAGTTATAACTTGATTTAGAATAACTAACATACATAAGTTAGATGTGGAGATCAGCCCCTAAATTATACTGTTAACAAATTAAACTTGCCAGGCATTGCAAGTACTCACCCAGATTATGTTCTTGGTCTTAACTTCCCTTAATTTTGTTTGTTGAAGTTAAGGTATATGGCCTGCAGATTTGCTAACAATTATGTAGTCTTATCAGTATACATGAAATAAAATACCTGTACATGGTAATTTGTCAGAGAGTAGTGGTATGAAGACCACCCAAGGGAGAGAACCAGATATATCTGAGGGATGTCTCGAGAAGACTGGTGGAGTCTATCTATTGTGAGATATAGCGACATTTGTAAATATGTTGTGAGATTGAAATGATTTTAATTTGTTTAGTATCATAGTGTCAGCTATATGTACTGTAGACCTTGGTATCAGTTTGTGTGTTGAATGCTAAGGAGGTGAAGATTTGATTGGTACAATACGATGGTAACCATGACTGGAAATCTTTTTCCAATCACAAGTTCAGAATTGATGTTATCTGACAACAAATATTTAAATATACCAACCAAACCTGATCTGATAGTGAAGCCTGAATTTTTTTATGAAAATTGATCTTTATTTATGAATAGATCTATAAAAAATTTCACCACAGTAATTACATGAATGATTGCTATCGCATCTTATGTCACAGACTTAGAGAAAGTGTTTTCAAGGCCAAAGTGTAGTCCCAATGTTGGGCAATGAATGGGATCCCAAATGAGGAAGTTCAATATGTTTATTTCATACACAGAAATAATCAGACACGGTTTTCAGCATTTTGAAATCTTATATTTTTCAACATTACTAATTCTATATACATAAAAGTGACATGTTGTTAGATATCTGAAGATAAAGGATTGAGAGTGTTCGTGCATAATACTTGTATTTCAAGCTTATTCCTATTGCTCAATGGCAAGCTACTATGAAACCATGACAATTAATATTTTTCATGGAAGGTCATATGTCATCTTAGAATCAGGTGGCATAACATAATTCATGTAATTTTTATCTTGTTTTTTGTATTACCATTAGGATTATACATGATATGTTCTCTGATAGTTGTAATTGTATGTTTTAATGTAGCTTATAAAGGTTGTATATGTTCTCTAAAAGTCATAACTTTTTGTTAATATTTGCATGTTTTAAGATTAGTCTGTCAGAATGTCACATTATATAAAAATTACAATCATAGCCAGATGAATATTTCATGTTTTCTTCTAAAACTATTCTGACTCATAATGAATTCAGCTATTTTTAACATGTTGCTTCCTGTAAATAGCTCACTTTTAATGAGAAAGTAAATTTGGCCTGGTGTTAAATGACAGTCATTATATAATGCAGATGTTCTACACGACAAGTGTTTGCTCAGGAATGATGTCACAACATACAGGTCCCAATGCAGTGTATACACCACCCTTTATAGAGACAAACTCCATACCCTCAGTGACTGACACATTCTTTACATTGGAATGTTTTACATGAATGAAAGTTATATATGCAGACTCAGGGAATGGATAATTGAAAGGATTTCTATTCATTTAGGATGTCTGATGCTTTCCGTTTGAAGCTTTCATCTGGTTCATTTAGCTTTAATACTATGTAAAACAGGCATGATGCATTCTATTTTTGGTGAATACCCATCAAACGATATATTTCCTTCATTTCAGGCTCCACAAATAAAAAAGGGATAGTTCATGGTTTTTGATAATGCTAGGTTTGACTTTAGTGACAATTTGATAACCAGAGTCTGCATACAAACTTGTCACATTTACATTCATGCTAGAACTATGACATTAAAATAAATGAAAACATGGCATTTGTTGACGATGTAAATAGCAGACAGTTTACATTTACCGGCCAGTACCTTATCTCATCATCCAGCTGTATGTTTATGTAAAAGGAAAAATGAAACAAAACATTTTGGGAGTTGATTGCTGTCCACATT